GACATATTTGTTCACCAGCTGAAGGATTTGGGAGTGCAGAAATTGGGGGAGAGGGGGCGGCCAGCAAAGTTTCTGGGGTACCCAGAGAGTTCTTCTGGATACAAGGCATATGATGAACGGACTCACAAAGTCGAAATTGTCTGCACGCCCATTTTTCGGGAAGAAGTGAGGATCCAGCCATGTGCCGTTTTCGAATCAAGGGCACATGATGACCCCAGTGACAAGTCAGATGATTTGGATCACCTGACAGAGGCAGCAACCCCCGGACCCACGCCTGTAAGTCCACCTCGTGATCCTCTCACCGAAGGTCCATCAGATCAGTCCCCTACACCTCCCACCATGCCTACTGCTGCCACCCAGCCCATTGCTCGACCACAGAGGGAATGGCATCCACCTCATCGCTTTGATCCATCAGACTATGGCACACATGGCCAACACAGGGACGAGATCGCGAATGTATATGAGGATTTTCTGAATGAGGTACCGATTGCGGCGACCATCACCATGGAAGACGTCCTGGACATCGTATTGGATGAGGCCCACCTGGCAAACCCCATACTGACTGAGGACACCGATCTACCAGATGCTCCAACCTTGCGAGAGGCCTTGGCTGGGCCCGAGCGGGAACAATGGCATGCCGCCGTACTAGAGGAGCTCGCTGCCATCCAGGACACTGGCACCTGGGACCTTGTTGACCCATCCTCGAGCATTTGTAATGTCATTGGCTGTCGGTTTGTACTCAACAAGAAGTGTGGTGCTGATGGAAAAGTGACCTGTTTTAAGGCCCGCCTAGTTGCTCAAGGTTTTGGTCAACGGGAGGGAATTGATTACTCGGAGATGTTTGCTCCCGTCGTAAAATCGGCCTCTCTACGTGTTTTTCTCGCCATATGCACTCGCCACAGTTGGAAAGTCCACCAGATGGATATCAAATCAGCATATCTCAATGGGGTACTCTCGGAGGACATTTACATGCGTCAGCCAAAGGGATACAAGGAAAAGGGGAGGGAACAGATGATTGCGAAGCTTAAGAAGGGGCTCTATGGATTAAAGCAAGCTGGATGGGAGTGGTACGCAACCTTACATGACTTCCTGATTCAACTTGGATTTTGCCAAACACATGCTGACCACTCGGTCTTCGTATTCAAACGAGGATGATCCATTGTAATCATTCCCATCTATGTTGATGACAAACTTCTTGCTGGGAACGACGAAAAACTGCTTGCATCTATCCAAGACACCGTCGGGGACTGTTTTAAAGTTTCCAGCAAAGGAGAAGCATCATGGATCCTAGGGATCCGAGTTCACCAAGACATATCAGCCAGCATGCTATCAATAGACCAGTCACAGTATATCAAGGATATCCTTGCTCGCTTCAACATGACAGACTGCACACCATGTGTCACACCGTTGCCCACTGGGATACACTACAAACCAGCATCAACAGAAGAACATTCGAAAGTTTCCTCATACCCCTTCCTCAAAGCTACTGGTTCTCTCATGTATGTATGCCACTCTAGGAACTTGCCCGGATATCTGCACATCTGTAAGAGCGCTGGCACCATTTGCATCGACTTTTGGACAGGAACACATCGAGGGACTCAAGCACGTAAGCAGGGACTATGAACCGAGGGATAGTATACACAGCCAGGGGAGAGGACCTCATAGGTTATACTGATGCAGATTGGGCGAACAACATGGTAAACAGGAAGTCGGTATCCGGATACGCCTTCCTCTTGTCTGGGGGGGTGATTTCGTGGATGTCAAAGCAGCAAGTAGGTGTGGCAGGATCCTCGACGCATGCAGAGTACGTTGCAGTGGCCGAAGCAGCCAAGGAAGCGATCTGGCTTCGACGGCTCCTGGAGGAATTGCACAAAGGAACATCCAGTCCGACCACGCTACACATTGATAATCAAGCTGCGAATCTACTTGCCCAAAACCCCATCAATCACGCTGTGACCAAGAGCATCGATGTCAGGTACCACTTCATATGGGAATGTATCATGGACGGAACAATTGATCTGAAACTCATTGGGACGAACAATATGGCGGCTGACATACTCACAAAGTCCTTAGCCAAGGTAAAGCACAATCGCTTCTGCCTAATGCTGGGGATGGAGTTTGTGGCCTAGATGGATACGTGGACGTTGGGCTGTGGGGGAGTGTTGGAAGTTACAGCCCGACGCCACTGGCGGTCCCAGGACCGTACATTTGCGCTTTCAGAGCTTTGGGAAGGAGGCGCTTTTGGGGCAATCAACGGTGAACATAATGTCACTTTGGCCCTTTGTTTTCACGCTTTGGCTACCGCTCGCATTTCACTTCAGTGGCATAGAACTGACATTAAATGTATATAAGGATAGGACTTGCACTGAGAGCTGATACATCACAGCATCAGGAAATTGTCACAGTCAACTTTGGACACTTCTGATGATCCTGTTGCTTCTAATACAATGAAACTGGCTGAATTGACCAATTTCCCAAAGCATTTTAGTAAAGGTGTCACATTTCAATTCAGTTCAGAAGTGAACTCAATTGTTTTCAAACCATTTGAAGTGAAACCCTGAGGACCTTTTGCTGATGCCATAGACGTATTGCGCTTCTCAGTTTTACACACACATGATGATGCATGTCTCTTTTTTTTTTCCAGTTGCATTCACAATGCAATGTTTTTTACTCCACCCCAGATGTTCCTTACTTGAAAAGAAAGAATGAGGGTGGGTTTGCCACCCAAAACTACCCTGTGTTGTATGTCGAGTCATAAGTATGGTGGTTCACTGTGTTTGTTGCTAAACTGACTTGAAACTGACTACCTAACCACCCTCTTGTGCTTGTTTACATGATCCACCACCATTCCGTGATTGCCTGACCCTTTCCCAATACCCTCTGATACATCCCCCTCCCTTCCCATGATTTTTGTATGTTTTTTTCCATGCCATTTCCAACCTCCAACCAAACTTCTCATGCGCGACACTATCCCCAACTTCTTACCACATGTACTCGACAACCACTCATCCATTTTCGACAATCTTAGGCTTGTTTGATAGAAGATAACTAGCTCTACCTTTATTCCGGGTTTGGTGCCAAACAGTTCAGCGGTTGAGGTGCACGTCTGCTTTCTTTGATCACATTGTATTTCCACCCACTTTCCTCTTCTCTTTATTTTGTGTTTCATTTTGCATTACATTATTGATAAACTTCAATGTGAGAGAGAATGTGATAGCGCACCGATACAACCAACCATACAATCACTGAATCAGCTCAATCACCCCCGTAATTGGTGTGATTACAATCAGGGGACCCAGTTGAAGTGATTGTAAATCATGTGAGGTTGAAATGATCTCAACCACTTCAATCGGCCTCAGGGGTTTCCTGATGAAGCTGTACACCACCGAGCCTTATCTCTTCGAGATAGCATTGGGAGCATAATTTGGCACTCTATCCTTGTTACCAGAATGTTCCTCCCTCACCACGAGGCGTCTACCTGCCGAGAGAAACATTGGTGAGGCCACAGTACCATCCGCGGGTATGGTAGGCTCGTGAGGTCATCACCAAATGTTAAGTACAAAGAACCAGCCTCCCAACCTTTCTCCTATTATGGTCCTCGGGAGTACACGCTCCACCCAGATCTGTGGGTTTACGGGGAAAGCGAAGCGCCCTGAGCCAAGTCCAACCACTCAGAAGATAGAGTCGAAGGACGTGATGAACAAGAGGATGATGGTGAAAAGGTCTGTGGGACTACAAATTCCATCCCATCCTTTCTCCTGCAACAGTTTGGGTGCCACTGACGTTTGTGGGTGCCAACAGTGCTCAAGGACACATCAAAAAATACACGTGGCAGAGGTTCCAAAACGCCGAAACATGTTCCATCACTATGATCAAGGATGACCAGAGCAGTTCTAAAATGAGCAGAGCCTGCGAGAATGTAAGGGATTGGTTCTTCATTTCCCCCGACACATTGTAGTTACCCACTGGGTCTGGCCATTGGAGCACGATCGGCCTTACCATAGCTAGCGCTATCGTACCGCGTGTGGACAGGAGTGCTCGGGTCTTTGTTTTGCAGGAGTGGTTCTAGGCTGTTCTAGCCCAAGTCATGGCTGTGTCGAGCTTTGCGAGCGTGGTGCACAACCGCTTGTGTGACAGAGGGATGGCGGAGGGGGAGTATAGTGAAGTGGAAATACGGGCATGATCCTATTAGGATGTTAGCGATTTACGCTCAGTCAATCGTTGTTGAACTTATAGATTAGAACTAATTACCTAGCGTTTTACGCTAGGGCATATGAAGATACATGAGTGACAATACAAACATGTGGTAAAAGCGTAGTCTCACCTCAGTCAATCGTTGTTGAACTGAGGGAGACGAAAGTGAAAAATTCTTCACTGCGTTTATAAGCAGTCGCCTCAATGGCGCACTGACTTTGGTAGCAGGAATACCAAGAAAGGAAATAGAGCGCCGCTAGCTCAACATCACATTGTGAGTTGGCCACAGCGTACAAGAAAACCAAGATTTCAACAGATCCGATAGAGGATCCCGTCCTAAAACCACCATGCACCATCGGAGGATGTCGTTCCGTGCAGGCGTGAGAGTATGTACTACGAATTCGTGGCTGTACAAAAGTTGGGCCACCAACAGCTGTAACTGTCAACTTCGCGTATTTTGGCGTCTTCAAGAGAGACCCCAGCATCTCGCAAGGAAAATAGGATCGAGTGTGATACCTGGATCATCTAAAACCCTACGATTTCTCCTTGGCTTCGAATCGCATATGTCAACCCGTGAGTCCGCCAAAGATGGCGAGGCAGCGGTCCCTGCTGGCAGCAATTGGTTTGCATTGAAGGCGGTGCGCTGATAACATAATGTATCGGTATGGTGGTTCAAGGGTCTGATGGAAGGGACTTGATCAGACTCTACCGAAATCACGTCGAAAGAAACGGGCCGAGCCCCCCTCAGAAGAACTAGAAGACCCAGTGGAAGCAGTTCAGGAATTGAGATCACCACCTCAGCCCCTTGTTGTGGATCGTCGAAAAAGCGCTCCAACCGATCTTTATGTTCTAAAGCAGATGATACTGGGGGACTTCCCGCAAATACCACCAGAGAAGGCCCAGGTCGGACGGTATATCGCTCTCGACTGTGAAGTGGTAAAAATTAAGCCACCATATACGGATAAAATGGAAATGTCTTTGGCGCGGGTTTCCGTTGTCAATTTTCATGGGGATATTATAATCGATGTCTTCGTCAAGCAGGTAGAGCCGGTTGAGGACTATCTGACTGCCGTCAGTGGGATCCGCCCTGGTGACCTTGATGGTCCGAATTCGGTATCAATTAGGGATGTGCGCAAGAAGGTGGAGGACTTGTTTAAAGGTCGTGTCTTGATTGGGCATACTCTTTCGAGGAATCTCAAGGTATCGTCACACGTATTGTTGACCGACAACTTGTTGATGTTAATGTTTCTATTCAGACGCTCTTTCTGGCGCACGATCATTCCGACACTGTCGATATCCAGACTATGCTTGCGATTCGTTCCAAGTATAACTCGCAAGAGGCTAGCCTCCGTGAGCTCACCCGGCGGGAATGTGGGGTTGACATCGAGGATCAACAACGTTCTAGCGTAAGTCTTGGTATCCTGTTTTCATTTCGTTCTTACCAATGGCTATTTCCAGGTGCTCAAGGCCCGGGCGTCGATGGCCATCTTCCGCTTATATAAACATACCCTTACGCTTCTTTATAAACGCAAACGTGAAGAGTCTAACGCACCCGACCGCAACCAGAGACAAAGACAGCACAAAACTTGGGGCGATGAGGCCGCTCTGCAAATCGTTGATGATTCAAGCAAAGAGACGAGGAAGGGCGAGAAAGTGGCTTCATCCCGGCCTGGGAAACGAGTCGCCTCAGCGAGGAGTGAAGTGTCTTCAGATGATTGGTGGTCACAGTTGGGTTCACAATCTACCCAGGGGAGGCGTAATCAGCGAAGCTAGTATTTCTGATGAATATATTGACATCATCGTGCCAATGTAGTGGATACGCGTAATGCAATTCGGCAGCAAAAGACGGAGCGAATTACCCAGGTTCTGGAAAAGCTTTATCCTCTCTTCTCCATCGGGCCCCATTTACAATGAGTCAAGGCCTTCAATAAGACATCCCAATCAAGTTCAGTGACCATGACCTCCATGATAAGACACCTGGCTGATGTTACGGTGGTTGTTGCACGATCTTACACACCTGTTCCGAGAAGGCTTTCCTGTCTCAGGCAACGGCAAAGCTTCCCGATGATCTGATATCACCCACCCGTCCTTCGTGCCACGTCCTGATGATCCGGGCTCTGTAGGTAACATTGTGTAGGGACTGTTGCGTTATCACGCCACCGTGGGGTAATAAGATGAAAGTATCACTATCAACGATTCCAGGCATTGCCAAGGGGCCGGCGCGTTTCGCCGGTGAGGTGTTCGTTCAATCTCAATCCGTGCCCGAGGGACGGATTAGCGCACGTCCTTGAGAAAGAATGTATAATGTCTGGGCACAATTAAGTAGATCAAGTCGAAAAACAAGGGTAAGGGTGAGAGATTCATGGCATTTGATCCACCGAAGAGCCCCTCTGGGATGCAGGGAGCCAGTTGAAAGGGGGCGATGCGCTCCGCGCCCGATGAGTGTGCAGATAGGGATGGAGGTATTCAGAGCACTGTCTTGCCGTCTCTCCTCCCTCGGCCTTTAGGAGACGCGTATGTATAACTTCTGGAATCGTTATCAGGAGCATTATCAAACTCGGGGCAAGATTTGGCGGTTAATTCACTTTGTTTATTTGTGTTTAGTCATCTGGCGTTCTCCGACAACTATCGCCTCCTCAGGCGCGTTTCGCCCCTGCACGATCCTGACGTCAACCGCTCCTGTTTGAGAGGGATCCGGAACATTTTTCTTGGCGACGTGCAGGCTTTCCGCTTCCACCAACGTTATGAACTCCCCGTCCAGCCACTACCTGGGCATCCGTTTCCGAAGCCTCATTTGGTCATGCTTAGACTGTGATCTCATATCTTCTGCCATCTTCTTTGCCGAGCGATACTATTCCATAGATCCCCAAAATCACCAAGCTATACATCTATACGCGAATGCTTTGTTTCGTGGAGAGCGCACACATTCTGCCCTCAGTATAGCCAACGATATGACCTGCCTCGGATGTGCTGAAGTTTATGCCCGTTGTTGTAATGCTTTGGGACGTTTTCGAGAAGGGGAAATTGCATTCTCGAAAATCATGGATGGGAGTACGGCGGTTGCTGCCGCCGCTACCCTAGGTCAGCGGGGGAACTCCTGTGGTGGTGTCTTGTCTCCTATTCTAATGCGCCCACTACAGACTCTTCCACGTTCCAGGAGGCTCGACAGTTTCCTGATGCCGCTGTAATCGCATGTCGCAGAGGTGCTATGTGTATGAAGGGCAACTTGCCTCGAGATGCTGCAGCACATTTCAATCGTGCATTAGCCATAAATCCCTTCATTTGGGAGGCCTTTGAGGGTCTTTGCCAACTGGGTAAGGGTTTAAAAATTGATTTTATTTCAATTTCTCATCGTATCTCTACCAGGTTCCTTTCCCGAGATCGACGACATAATGCCGCCCAAGGGTCAATATGTCAAATCATCTGTCCCCAAATCCTCCTCTCAGCCATCCATTTCTACCCCCGAAATATTTTCGAATCCCGCTGGTACGCAGCGGCAGAATGGTGCAACGTCTGGGAAACCACTACCTTTTAGACTTCATGGTCACTTTGCGGCAGGGAGAGATTCAATGTGCGCTCTCTTCTTTCTAAAGCGCGCACTCCACACTGAATTGAACCCTATTTAGTGGTTCAGCTGCAGATTCTTCATTTGGAGAGCTCAATTCTCCTGTTTTTCGCGGTCGACTCCAAGGCCATCCGGAGATGTTGACAACTCTGACGGCGAACGGGAACTCTCGAACATCCGAGGTAAGACCATTGCCCAAGAAATTTCGGGGGGAGCCTTTGCCACAAGCTGAGACCCCAAGTGATATGGGCTTCATCAGCAAAGCACCAACACGAACCCAGCCCGGGGCGCCCAAACGTGTAGGTCACCATTGTCATCTGTCCCCCAGGGTCTTACTTTTTGGTCTTACTACAGGGATTTCAGCGAGTTACTCAGGAGCCGAAAGAGCCCACTCGACGTAGCACGCGCGCTGCAGCAGTTTCTAAATTACCCACAGCTCCTAAAGTATGTTGTTGAATGGAGGGACCCTTGCTGATACTGAATGCCGATGGTCACGACAGCGTGGCGATCGAAAACGGAACGGCATTGCGCCGTTGTCCGTTTTACCAACGGGGATCGAGACGGATGATGAGATGGTGTCTCTTGATGTATCGCACGTGCCTCAAACACCAACGGAGCCAGTCGAGGCTTTAAGAAACAATGCTCATCATTCGCAGATAGCCGAACGAATAGCTGTTGAAGAAGCAGATGCCTACATCATGGAGCTTGTCCGACTTTTCGCCAAAGCTATACAGAACTTAGCCCGTTTTCAGTGTCAGGTTGCTGTAGAAGACTTAGAAGCACTTCCAACTGAGCAGCAGCGGTCTGCTACCGTCATGATACTTTTGGGGCGGTCATATTTCGAACGGATGGATTATGCGAAGGTAACTGTATTCCGTGCGGCAAAGGAGGGCTGGCTCACAGGTGTATTATCCTCAGGCCGAACGATGTTTTCAACGAGCACGTGAAATGGACCCTCACAGGCTGCAAGACATGGAACTCTACTCGACAGTCCTGTGGCATCTCCAAAGACAAACACTTCTTTCCTTCCTCTCCCAAGAATTTCTCGCTATGGACAACAGCTCGCCTGTGTCATGGATCGCGGCAGGCAACTGCTTCTCTTTGGAAAAGGAACATCAACAAGCTCTCACTTGCTTTCGACGTGCGACCCAATTGGACCCTCGATGTGTCTACGCGTATAACTTGAGTGGGATGGAGTGCATCACGATCGAAGATTACAGCAAGGCTATAGAGTTCTTTCGCACCGCCATTTCCATTGACGCTAGACATTATCCCGCTTGGTGAGTCGTTTTCTTCGTGCTGCAGCTAAAACCGGTGCTTATTCAATGACCAGGTACGGGCTGGGAATGGCCTATTTCAAAGCAAACAAATACAACATGGCTCAGTGGCACTTTCGGAGAGCGCTCCAAATTAACCCATCGAATGCGCTCCTGTGGAGTTGTGATGGAATGGTGCGATCGTTGTTATTCTGAGACACAAGGATTGCATGCTCACTTTGACGTTTATTCGCAGATACACGAAGCCCAGAAGGAGTGGCCACAAGCTCTTGAGATGTATACAAGAGCTGCCTCCGTCTCGCCCACAAATCCGCTTGTCATGTTCCGTCGAGCTCGTATGCTGGTCGTACTAGAACAATTTGATGTGAGTTCATTCTTGCATCTTGCCTTCGACCTTCCTCACCAGTTGATTTCTGTGGTTTAGGAAGCTCTCATGATCCTTAATCGTCTCAAGGATATAATACCTGATGAGGTGAATATCCCCTTTATGCTCGCCCAAATCTATCGAAGATTGGGGAGAGTCACGGAATCGTCACAGCACATGGCTCTGGCGCTGGACATTGATCCAAAAATATCGGGTGCTATACGGACAGCTCAACGAGGTGGAAAAATTATTCTGGATGCTTTTGCACCCACTCCAGCGGATGACCAATCTATGGAGGCAGATGTGTCAATAATGAGCATACCGTAGTAATTTCTCCCTTTCTTGCAGTCACCTTTCTTTCATCTTCATCATTATTCTAGTTTTTAATCCACATGCATAGGGCACCAGCACACTGTAAACACTAGCATTGCATTTTTCCGTAATTTTTTATTTGTCGTTTGCGGACTCCGAACAAACTTTGGCTCCACACATTGAGCACGTGCTGGGAATAAGCCTTCAATTAGAACTGACGCAACTTACTGTAACCCCAACCTTCAAAACGACATGCTGCTCAGAGCCGCCCAGAACATTTTCCGACCGACTCTGGCACGATCTTTCAGACCCCTGACGGCCGTCGGTGGCCTCCACACATTGCCGGACCTGCCCTATTTCTATGATGTATGGTCCCTCAGCTCGGTTGCAGTCAAGCTGGGAGGAAAGAACTGAACCGTTTATCTGGATAGGCTCTTGAGCCCTTCATCTCTAAGGAGATTATGAACCTTCATCATAAGAAGCATCATCAGGCTTATGTGAACGGTCTAAATGCTGCTGAAGAATCGTACGCGAAGTCACAGAGTGCTAAAGAGAGAATCGCTCTTCAGCCTTCCCTCCGGTTCAACGGTGGTGGTGAGCCAAATTGAGAAACTCTCGGATACGGCCCCGCTTAATTACGCCTTCGATGCATGCTGCTATCATTCAAGGCCATATAAATCATTCCTTGTTCTGGACCAATCTGGCGCCGGTATCTACTGGTGGGGGTGAACTCGGGGCTGGAGGACTCAAGACGGCTATTGAGCGCGACTTCGGCTCCCTAGAGGAGTTAAAGAGGAGGTTCAATACCGAGACCGCCGCTATTCAAGGAAGTGGATGGGGATGGCTTGTGGGTATTTCGCTTCGCGCCACTATTGACGTGCAGAAGTAGAATTCAACTCTGGCTCCAGGGGTTGAACAAGAGTCTTAAAAAGCTGGAGATCGTCACTACACCTAATCAGGACCCTTTGCTCAGTATGTCTCGCTTCATATCTCGCGGGTTTGCCCACATGTAAACCAACATTGACAGGCCACATACCGATTATCGGTGTCGACATATGGGAACATGCGTTCTATCTTCAGGTGAGTCTGAAGGATCCAGAAACGTTATCGCACGTACTGAGTGACGCGTTGTGCCTCTCCTACAGTACCAAAACGTCAAAGTCGATGTAAGCATCCGCATTTTTGGTGACACAGTTTAGCCTCAAACTTCCCTCCGACAGTATCTGAATGCTATCTGGCATGTCATCAATTTCCAGGAAGCTGAGAAGCGACTTAAGGAGGCGTTGTAAAAAGGAATTAGACATGAACGCCATGAGTCTCGTGCATATGTATACGAGTAATCAATGTGTTCATATACTGTACCTAGCGTCACTGTTTGGCTCGCCGAATTGGCCAATGCGTACATGGATATGTCTTTCGTCGAACCTCAGCCTCCCGTTGTGCACTAGCTAGTAGCAGTGGATGAAACAAGCTCGAAAGTGCCTCGCGCTCTAAGTAGCCGAACCTCGTTGATCACCCAGTGAAGTTTGAGAAGCACGCGGGTGATGGATATCGACAGATCGAGTTGCGAAATCCTCATGCAAGTCGTGCCGGTGATCAGCAGCGATGGATGATTAGAACATGTGCTCGATAGGCGTGTGTCGTTGATCTGATGCCAATCATTGTAACATTTATTTCTGAGGAGGGATATTGAAGCCAGGCTTTGGAAACCTCAGATGCTGGTCCAGAGAAGGCAATTTGAGTATTTGCCACACACACTCCATTTTTACGCTTGCCACATTGTAGTGTGGGTTGGTGATATATATATTTATGCAACCGATGATTTTAATACGTCATGCTTCAGTCTCATACTACTGTCCAAGCTAACATACTTATAAATGAAGTATCCCGTATCTACTCTTTGGCCGGACTCGGTCCCTATGGCATGCGGCTTTCTGCTCAGGAGTTGGGATGATAGCCTCCCCGAAAAACTTAAATAACTGCTTTTGATTGTCCAGCCATGGAGACGAGAAACTCCAGATGATTTGCACTGATGGCGGTAGAGGCCTTAATAATCCAAACGACCTATCTCCCCCTGATGTATTCTGTTGCACTGTGGGAAGTCCCCCCATCAGATTGTACTGGGTTGTACCATCACCTAATCGAAAATGCCGGGAGTCCCTATCAGCTTTTTGGAAATGCTCAGTCGTGTGTAGTACCGGGGCTACCTAGCATCTGGATTCTGACGTACATATTGATACCAAAAGACAATTTCGCACATTAACTTAGAGGATTCCAATCCCTCATTCTCATCATCGCTGAGTTCCACGTCCTCCCTTTTCAAGTCCGTCCAGGTGTGGGAAGTTCCCCATCAGATTGTACTGGGTTTTACCATCACATTAAAATACTTATCATTTTCTTCGAAATGCGGCAGCTGCTCAGTCGAGTGGAGTACCAGGGCTACCGTAGGCATGTGATTGTTGGGAGCGAGGAGACCATTGGGAAGAGTGGAAGCGCGGGGTGCTAATGTTGGTTTTGGGTTCCTTTCGTCGGTTCGGGAGTTGCCATTTACTTTGGAACTTCGTCTCACCTGTCATCTCTCTTATCTCTGTGTTCCCCCCACACTCATCCAATCGACGCTGGATATCCGTAATATGCGCAGCCATGTTTTTCTTGGCTGGCCCTCTGTTTTCTGCATCCTAATACGTGCTTCAATGCTTACTATTGCCAATCCAGGTTGAGCGATCTTGCGCAATCAGCTCATCCGATCTTGGCGATCAAGCCTGCATTGCACCCTTTGGTGGGAGCTAAATCTGTGTCTGCTATTTCGTCCCTTCAATTCTTGAGTCCGACACTGTGGGCCCATGCTCTGTTGCACCGTGCATGCATGCCAGTGCTTCCATTCCAATATTCAGGCTTGTACAATTGGACGCGTTCCCACGCGTTTTGACGTGTTCTTCACTCATTGATGCCAAGATTTTGGGCCAACCGACATGGAAGGACGCAGACCAGATGTGTTATCATGGCATTGCCCAATGCGCTGTTGCAGAGCCTGCACTGGTGCCTAACCACAAAGTGTGCCTACTACTACGCTCTTAACTTTCTACTCCAGGAAACAATCAAACTTCCCAAAAGTGACCGGAATTGGAAGACAATAGCTTCCTCCGCGGCTAAAAGGCGAACTCCCATTGGTGAGGTACAAAGAGTGCTGGAACCCCGCGGGTCGGGTTTCACGGATGAGCAAACTATGTGTTCCCCACCGTTCACCCCACCGTTCACCCCACCATTCACCTCATCATTTGCTTTGCGATCTACCTGCCATATTTACCCCACTGATTATTGTCATCCTATCTTCGAAATCTTGGGACCTACGCCGGCCCCACAGACCCCAAGGGGTTGTCCCTGCAAAGGTGTGTTCAAGCGCGAGGTTTAGCGCGAGGTTTTCTCTGCACCCTCAGTATAGCCTTGGGGTATTATTTTCTCCGACACTCACAATGACAAGCGCCAGTGTATGCGTGTATTACTATATACCAAATGAATATATTATGATTTACTATTAAAACAGGCGGGGTTACCTATCAATAACTTCCAGGGAACCCTGTCAGTATTTCCGGGGTACCCCGTCAGGATGGCCCCGTCAGACTGCGCATATCTGATAGGAGGTCCCGGCACTCGAAATCTGATGGTTGGCCCCGTCAAATGGTAATGGGGCTACCTAGCAGGGCTGGTACCGGGGCAACCCTACACCATCTGCCGGGGTTACTTCCCACTGTGGTTGACTTTGGACGTCCCGCCCGAATGGCATGGACAAACTATATTTTTCGTAGCTAGTATCGGTACAAAGAGTGAGCAACATTCAAGAGCGCCCAAAACATTATGAGCTCTCCATCCTAAACTTTCCCTACAGTTCTACCCCGGAGATCATATTTCTTGTCCGTACTTCTCATCTGATCCTTCTCAGGTGGCCATTGTGAGGCGCCATACGTTGTTGGCAAAACCATGTCAGCAGTCCAACAGAACTCATTACGCCAACGCTAACGACCAAGGGGAAGCGGCTGGGCCAACGCCTTCCTGTGCCCTTTTCCAGCCCCGCTCCAGCAATGGGCGCCATTGGTCCCTGTGACAAGTCAGTCTTGCCGGAGGGCTGAAGCTTCTTAGAATGTCTACGTTTCACAGTGGCCCTGTGACTGAGAACGGCGAAATTCGGCTCGGAAACGCACCAATAAGACAACGAGAATTGGCCCAGAGGGGGTCGAAAAGTAATCAGAATGGGTGGGACCAGCTAGGGCAGATATCTGCCTACAGACTTCAGGCTGCTCGTGAAAGCGACGAAGGCTGCGCCACTCCCACGATCCTCACATTCGGCAAAAGGCGGAATAGAAGGAAACTACGAAGAATCGCAGGAAGCACGAGTCGTATATTGCGTAGGTTGCAGGAGAACTAGCGCAGTGAGGTCTCCTTGTTGCGTAGGCAGGTCACCAGCCTCTATTAGAATAGACCTGTTGCGCCGCCCCCCAACTTCCAAATTAATTCAGATTTGAATAAAATGTATTTGCGACTCAACATCAAAGATTTGTCGTAGACCCCGTGACCATAATTTTGCATCCGTATCCTTGGGCACCGTTTCGTCCAATCTCGACGCCTTTAAGCCGTTTTACGTCACTGATCTTCTTTCCCAAGCATGGTGAGAGTCCGTCTGCGTGATTCTGTACAAGTTAGGCGTTGGGATCGTCAAATTTGGGCTGGATGCGCGATTCAGAGTTTGGATGTAATCAAGTCATACTAACATTATCTTTGCATTGGATTCGTTTTGCTACTCCTCATATGAAGTCCGAAGGGGCCGTGACCGTCCGTACCCGCAAGTTTCAGACGAATCGACTCCTTCAACGCCGTCAATTCGTGGTAGACATCCTACATCCCTCTCGAGCATGTATCGCAAGATCCGAGGTGAACGAAAAACTTGCGACTATCTATAAGACCGCCAAGGAGCGTGTAGTGACCTTCGGATTCCGCACGAAATTTGGTGGTGGCCTAACCACTGGATTCGGCCTTATCTACGACGATGAAGAGTCTCAGCGGAAGTTTGAACCCAGATTTCGGCTTGTAAGGGTACGTTAACCCCTCTCGCTGCTTATCCCACTGTAAGGTTCCAATTCTCATACGTTCTTTCTCGGTGTATAGTCTGGTTTGGTGGAGAAGCTGGAGAAGCCTTCACGAAAGTTGCGTCGCGAGCGCAAGAATCGTATGAAGAAGGTAAAGTTCATCATATCTTCCTATGGTCATTGAATGGCATTGCCGAGCCCCTTTCCCATCGCAGTTCCGAGGAGTGAAGAAGCTCAAAGCAGGAGAACCAGTAAAGAAGAAGTAAAAGGAATGGACATCATCTGTCTGCGGTTTTCTTCCGTTTCAACTTCGTCCACGCTAATTTGATCCTACACCATCATCGATTGTTGCCTTTCCAACCCAAACCCACTGAGCCCCATAATTGCTCGACCATTTAATCTCCTTCATAAGCATTCACATCCGACACTTCACCTACTCATTGGTTACAATGCGATGGCAGTTCACAAATACGTGGTGGTCGAAAAGAATGGAAGCAGACCGCTGCTTTTCTTCCTTTGGATGTATGGTGCATGTTGCTTTGTGCGCCCACATTTTGCTATGAGTCCATGCAATAAAACACTATGCATCTGCCGCGATAGTATGTGTTGCTTATGTAATCGATGTCGGTACAGTCGTTACAGCTGTCCGCGCAACTTATTCCTTACACTTGCGTAAAGGACAATTCCCAGCTGGGCCTCCCCATAACTGAGCGTGAATATTAGGCACTTATTACCAGGGCAATATTTCCTGATCCCTCCATCTTCCGTACGGAGAATTGTTCTCCGGAAGAGCACTACTGCTGGATATGAGATTTGCGTCGAAGGGCAATAGACAACGCTTCTGGTGTCACAAGGCGCATGTTGTCGTCGCATACCCAATTTTCCGGTGACGCTCAGCATCGCTCATCGCGTTCGTCCTGCCGTGGGATGAGTGAGGTCTTTCGGAAATGCCATATCTCGTTCTTTGAGATCAATACTTTATCCTTCAAGTGGAACCGAAGAGTTTGTGACAAGCGCACTCCAATAGAGGCTATTCGCTGCCTTGGGGTTCGCCTGTTTATTGCATTGGAAGTTGCATAAAAGTGAACCTGCGACATTTTTGGTTCCCCAAAGCGTTAGCTGCCAGTTGACGTTCGGAAGCGAAGCAACAGTAGCATCTTCATCACCGTGGGGATCATCGCACCGAAGCCCTAGATGTCCCCGCGCATCGGCACAAAAGAGTTTACGTACTATGCTTGGGAAAATAAAAGCTCGTTGTCGTTCTAAAAGTAGAAGCGATTGCTTTCCCCTTTTGTTCTTAACCTGATCAGGGCAGGGAATAGACAGGGGAATAAAGTAGTTCGATTTGAATGTGCTCGCATGCTCATAGGTCTCGTCCAAGCGAAACCCACTGGGGGGGCCTTCACTCCAGAATGATCGGGTATTGTGTCGACAATGTCGGAGATGGCCTAAGGGATTTCGCCACTTTGAGTGGCGGAATATTGTCCTTTCGACGATCTTATCTTGCTCTGCTTTTTTGTGCACGCCACTCGGTACCAAGGATTTGCTGCCCTCGTCATTCCCCTCCTCTTCCAGGGGCCCGCAAGGATCGCTTCAAACCGGGGCGTGCTGTGGCGATACTCACATAACGGAAACTTAGCCCTGTCTTGCTGCATCCGGTTGCACCAACCGTTGCAGCCGTGCGTGGGATTGATACCTTTTTCATAGAAACCCTGGGTATAAATAGCAGCCAGCTGAAAATCCTCTCGAACCAGCCGGACCTGCTCTTTTGCCAAGCGGTGCGTGTTCCTCGAGTATGTTTTTTCAACAAGGTATCTATCTCATTGAGGTTTTTTCTCGACGACTTGATAGACATATTGTGGACGACACCCGATATGCGCCGTTCGCAAGCATCCCTCCCAGAACAGAGGTTCTCAGGACCAGACATCACTCCCAACGCCCCAATTGCACTTCCTACCCTTCCGCAGGGACTGCCGGCGCCTGTTCAGAGATCAGATGGGGGCTCGACAACGACAAGCTCCACCGCTCGCCTTAAGCCGATTGATTCTCGGGCCTACTCTCATTCGGCATCATACCGTTCCAACACTGACTCTGACCTCCCTTCCATGTCATCTCAGGTGAACACGGCGCCAAGCACCTTCCCTTTGACACTCCCCATAAGCGCATCTGTTCGCCTACGAAAGAAGCGGACCTCCGCTTCCTGCTGCGCGCAACAGTCACCAGCATCGTGATCTGAGGCTAGCTCCCTTGGAAATTAAGGACACTTCCTCGCTGGAAGAATAGAAACTTCCCTTGGCAGTGGCATTGTTATAGATTTTAAAATTGGAATTGTTGGCCATCCCAGATAGCTTCACAATTCCTCTACTCCCTTCACTTGCAATCCATCCACGTTCCTACTGGCGTAAATGTCTTACCGAACACACATCGTGGGACTATGATGAACTTTGCACCTGCCGACATGCCTGCCAGACTGTGAGGTCGGTGAATTTTCAATGTCAGTTTAATAAGTACATGTGGTGCCAAATCGAATTCTCGATGCGGGAGAAACGGAAGAAAACCGTGCCGGTGAGGGGTCAGACTGCAGAGCAGAGATGTCCTACGACTTGAGACGTTTAGAAACAACTTCGTCACCCATTCCACCTGAAGGTCTTCCACCAGTCGTACTAGTGGGACGTGCGGATCCGCCTACAGTTGGTCGGTGCGGAGCATTCTGCACTAACTCAGGTCTTATCAATAAGAATAAGGCGAACCAAACCGATCAATTCCCGCTGTTTCGTCATTTTTTCGCCCTTACTCACCGTGATCCCTGATGCATTTCCTCTGCTGACCTCTTCTTTCCTTGATTTGCTTTGTTCTCAGACAACTTCTCGGCTTCATTCAGCATACTAATACGCCTCGCCTGAAATAAAAGCCTTCAAACATCACATCTCAATGAAATTTTTGAAAAACTTACAGCCCGACTGGCCGCGCTTTCTGAGGAAGTTCGTGACGTTGGATGGAATCCTCCTACGCTTGCTTGACGGGGGGATTCCGTTGGTTGGTTGGTAGTTCGGGGAAGGGGCTTTAAGTTGCTCGGTAATGCCTTCGAAGACGAATCAGCGTTGGACACTTTGGCTCCAGGTGAAGGGCTAGCGTGATCGTCGGACGGCGTCCTTTGTAATGATGGTTGGTTCTGATGCACATCCAAAGGATCTAAACAACTCACGATCCGCTTCCTTCTTCGTAACACTCTAAGTTGATCTCTGCGTAAAGTGCGTCGTCCTCTGAGCTAAAACTTTGACTGCCGTGGAAACTCGTGCTGACCGAGTCATTGACCGTAGTCCTCTCTCCGACTGTGATCGAAAAGTCTTCGGGGCCAGCGGAGTCAGCTACACCTCCTGTCTTGCTGCTTAGCGGAACGCGGGAAAGGGGCGAAGGCATGGACGCTCGAGCAATTGGAAGTCTGCGCTGTGGGTGTTGAGGTGTTTGAACTGGAGTCTGCAGTCCATAGGGCACAGCTTTTGTTGGTGGTGATTCTAGGGGTGACTGGGGTTTAAGGCGCTCCGGAATGGCTGAGATGGGGTGGGGTTTGTTAGACTGATCGTTGGGGAGTGGATTTTGAGGAAGGGCGTCGAGGACTTTATGGGCAGCAGCGATGGAGGTAGCCATTGTCAAGGTCTCTGAGGTCGATTTAGAAGTTGTGGTGGCCTGAGCCGTAGCATTAGAATTTGGGGATGATACTTTAGTCTTGTCAATGAAATCCGCGTGTCTATGGAGCTGATTTCTGTCGAATTTGGGCTATGGAAGTGTCGATAAAATGTAGTTTAAACAACCTGAACCAACGCACCACTGGGATCGGCATTTTCAACACTTCTTTGCAGTATGTTTTGTCGTACAAGCAATTACCTAGCACGTTGCCGAACGTTCGAAATGTGCGCTTAATGGCATCAGTCACCGCTTCTTTCTTGCACTGAGAACGAGTGCGTCAAGGCCAAGGAGTTCATAGCGTCCGTAGCTACAGGGAAAAAAGTACCTTGTCCAACGCCATACCCTTCCCCTTGACGTTCTCAACAGCACCGTAACCGACATCCTCACGAAATACTCCATCTCTGAGCGTCACTCTTACAATGGCGGATACCCCAACATTCACGCGCTGAGTTTCTTCGTTTGTGTCCAGCTGAAATGCAAGTATCTCAACAACCGAGACTGCTGTGAAAGATATGAAAACTCACATAATCGACCGTGATGTTCACAATATTCGAGGCCCATCCATTGAATCCAAAGACTTCATTAGCGAGATTAATAACTTTCCACCCCTCCACGTAAGTGAGCTTCGGGCCTCCTCCTGGGCCAGGCCGTTGACTGATGTATTCTGGACCGAGCCTCTTGTCAAGCTTCGCCTGAAGCCCGGCAATCTTTAGAGCAGTCTCAATGGATACATCAGCGCTGAACGTGTTTGAAGAGAAAGGGAACGGAACAGATGTTGGGACTGGCGTTTGCGCGTGCTGATAGTTCATAACTTGTGCGCAGTGGCGAAGGACGTCTCCCTGAGTTGCAGTATTATTCCGCGTTGCACAAGGGTACTGCTGTTATCAGATAGCGACCTTCTGATCCCCTTCCCCTCGGAGGTCATTCACTGCAAGTCTCGCCAGTCGCTTCTTCCGTTGAATTTTGGCACGAGTAAACAAACATCAATACCACGTCGGTGCCGAGGCAATGTGACCACACGCTATTGTCAATGAAATTGATGTTTGGAAACGCGTGTTTGCATTTTAGACGCTCATAGATACAGCTGAGGCTGTTCCCTGGAGCGGATCAAAGTCCGGGCAGTTGGTCCCGCCTCGTGCACTGCCTATAAAATCTGAAGACGTTGTCTTCTATCAGGTCCCCAATTTCAAAGCTTATACATACACACTCCCAAAGGAAGCGCCGCGATTTGAAGCTTTCTCTGTTGGGCAACAACCCGAACTTGAATCTTTTCCAAGATGGGCGAAAAATGGCAGCGCTCGGTCACTGCGTTCGTTCCGACGCTGGTGATGCCCTCAGAGTCTTTTCTGTGGACAAATATGACTACTTTAGCGCTTCTCCTGGCTGCCTTCACCTTGACATACCAAAGTCGGCTTGCTGTCATACTTCGTGTTTTACTTTCTATTCCCGCGTTTTATTGCAATTGGATCCTGGGATTTTGTTGGTTGGGCTCCCCTAATCGCAAGGTGAGGCTGCTAGGTGTTAGGGGGTTTAGGCTGCAGGTAATTTCAACATATTAATTCCTCACTAGGTGGACATGGGATTAAACCTGATGGGGGCGTTTGGCATAATGCGAACGATAGACATTTGTTTCGTATCTTTACTAGATACCGAACCTCCTCGATGGATCAAGCATGGTAAACTTCTCCCCCTTCCAGAGACGGTACTTGGAAGAGCGGTGTACGCTTTCGACCTCGTGTCATCCATAAGAGGCAGGAGTTGGTTTCAGGGTACCGTCTGGAACTGGGCATCCCCCTGGATGAAACGGGTTCCTCCACCCTCATATTCCTCCAGATTATCCTTTCTTTTGTCTAATCTTAAATGGCTTGCTGCCCAATACCTCATTATCGACATCCTGGACACTCTCAACCATCGATACACCTGGTCACCTTCAAACCCTACACCTATTACTTCACTTCCCTTCCCTGAACAGCTTCTTTGTGCCTTTTCTCTCTGCCTCTGTACGGTTTTTTCCATCACTGCCCCTTGCCTCATCTATTCCAGCGTCTTCACCTTGGTTGGGTGTCCCCTCGATGCGTGGCCATCCATGTTCGATCGTCCGCTTTCTGCCAGTTCCCTCCAAGATTTCTGGTCAAACAGGTGGCACGAGATCTTCCGACGCGTTTTCGACCGTTTGTCGACAGGAATCTTATACATTCCTTCGTCTGCTCTGTCCAAAGATGTTCGTCGGGTTCTCCGAGCGACAGTCATCTTTGCACTTTCGGGGGCTTTTCATCTCGGTTTAATCCAGCACACTGTTCATTCTTCAAACATTCGTCTGAATGGAAGTGCAGCGACGTCAACTGCTGATCCACATTTAATCCTTTCGGAAACAAAGCACATCTTCCTTGACCCTTCTACCCTTAAATTCTTTCTTTCTCAACCATTCGGCCTTTTCCTCGAACGCGCCGTCATCGTTCCCATTGCGGCGAACCTCGCACCCAGATTCAAAGGTCTTATTACCCGAGTGTGGGTCTGGGTGTGGTTACTTTACTCATCAAGATGGTGGTGTGATGCGTGGGTACATGCTGGATTATGGAACATGGAGGAGACGTTGGTTGGGTGGAGCCCTGTGAGGGGTATCCTGAAAGGCCAGTGGTGGTTAGTATAGTTATGCACATCCAACATGCTTCCGAACATGTTGGTCTTAAAGGTGGGGTTTGTCCCCCTCGTCTAGAACTTCTTCATGTCTGAGGGTTGAAAGAGTCGTAAATAATGTGATGTACATTCTCGCACTGATGTCCCAGTTCGCGAGGTGCTCGTATGGATGCAGGCTTGTGAGAGGGACGGACGCTGGGCGGGCGATTAGAATCTGCCTAACTAGTATCTTCACCCTCCCCCCGGCCGTAGTCCACACGTACTAACATGTCAAATCTTGCTACATTTGCCGCCTGTCTTCGCATCTTCACCGATAGGGCCTAATTGGGCCTCTTCCACTAGGGAGCCCCATGAGTTCCAGGTTGGTTGGCCACTTAGTACTAATATGGCCTTCCCAGGAGCTCATGATCTAGACCACGTTGTCCGATTCGATGAATAGGCGACGATAAAACCTGCTGGATCGGTCTCACTATGCGTGGCTTGCATTGTGGTAAGTCTCAGTGACTTCAACTTTGAAGACTATCCTCCGCAAGTGGGAGGCAGCTACCTCGTGGGTGCGATTTCCCTCTTTGGTTTCTTGGTTAATTGTGAATAGCCGGTTTGTGCATGGGTGCACTATTCAGTCATTGAGCATCGATTCTAAGCATTTTACATGTTACGATGGCCTCTGGACTTGACTGCTCTTCGGTTACCTCTGCCTCGTTGGGTGGCTCTGGTGTTTCGCCTTCTGGTGCTGGTGCTGATGCCCCGCCGCAGTTTGCGGAGTTGGTTTCTCTCCGGCGTGTTTTGCATGCGGGAGTGGGGGCCATGATGGCCGACATTGCTCTGCGTTCATATTCAGCGATAGAGTTTGCGTTGGTTAGGCTGAAGTCTGTCTCATCTAGAACTTTCGAGGGAAATGGAGAGCGCCAGTAGGGGATTTTGGTTAAGGGGCATTGCACAGTGAAGTGGTCGCGCCCTTTGCAGCATCTGCAAGCGGTGCGGGGGATGCGTAGTTCACCCGCTGAGATGGCGGGGTGAAACCATTCCGTTGCATAAGCGGCATTTACCCAAAGTCGGTGTTCGTCGACGTCTTCAGGGTGGGGACTGTCCACGAGGAAGGCCCAGTGGATGGTATCATTATCATTTGGTATTGGCCTGATTGGGCGAACTCGTGCCGAGTTTATGATATCTTGCCGGGCTTGTTCGTCGGGGATGGCCTTCATTAGGTATTTTCCTATCGTGGTTTGGGGGGTGGCCAAGTTTTGGCGCAGGCATTCCAAGACAATAGCCTCATCGCTTTCGTCAGCTGCAAAGGCCCAATTCCCAATCCAGTCCGAGGTGAAAGGGGTTGCTGGGTATGCTACGAAGCTGAACTTGTAGGAGAGCCAGAAGTGGTGGTGCAAAAGGGTTGCCGCATCTTGGTATTGTAAGCCGGCTACCATTATTCCCCATGGCAATGGTTCGTCAAGCTTTGGGTTTTGGTTTGCTGCCTTGGCTGGCAGGACGACGTTTAAGGTTGCTGCCGATTCTGGGAATGCTCTCTTGAGGAAGATTAACGTATCTACTTTGGCTTTTTGCATTCTGGATAGGGAGAAGGTCATATACAAGGGGACTATGATTACGGCATGATCGTTCGCATTGTCCCATGCTTGCTGGGCTATCTTCGATACGTTGAGACGAAGGTGTACACTGAACATCCCCTGTACTCTGTAGTGGAAGTTTGGAGGGAGACGGAATGCATTGTAATTCATTTGCATATCGTTCGGCCTGCTGATGGGGCCTGGGATCGTGATGATTTCCGTCGGGGGGTGGGGTAAATTGGAGGCCTCATTCTGTGCAGCATCGTTGAGTGTGACGTCGTCGCTGGTGTCTGGCATAGGCGGGGGCGAGAGGGCCATTCTACCTTCTTTGATTTGCTTACTGTAGTTTCACTGGTTTGTAGTTTGGTCATGGATTTGCGTACCTTGTGCAACGGTGACGGTGAACAATGAGGGTCGGCAATAGTCTGGGACTAACTTGATGGGTTCACTATGTGGATTTTTATTGAACAAGTGGACAGCCTTCGGCTCGATATCCAATCATGTACATCAATTAGCAATCTCATCGACAATTATGTACATTATTCAGCAGTCTCATCGACATCATTCACCACGCGGTCACTTGGTCCAGCACACGATGGACCCGCGCATGACGCATCCGGCGTAGGCACCTCATCCAGATTCCCAAGTTCCACTGCACTATCGTTCCTTATACCCTGCATAGACGCCTTCCTTTCACCGACACTCTTGCGCGAGGACGCGCCAACCGATTTTTTCTTATTGTCAGTTTCAGTGCCGGGCGTCGCAGTGCTACCAAACAATCGTTTTCGTTTCGAAGCAGATGTGGAAGGAGTAGAGCCATCTGCATCACCCATCGTGGCAGGTAGAGCATCTAAGTACGAAATGTTTTCAATCATCCAGTGCGTGCGTTTGCCGGAGTCCGTCATCCACTTTGCTTGGACCTCCGCGTTAGAACCCGGGCGCGGTAGGCGAAATTTGTCGAAACGGCGGTTAGAATCGTCAAAGTGAAGACGCACTTCGAATCGAAGCAGCACTTTATCCTGGAAGGGTTGTCAAGATTAACGATAAGTTGGAGATACAGTGGAAGCCAGTCACCTTAGCGCTGTACGTCCCCACATTGAGACCAAATTCGCAGATTCCCATCAGTGATCGTCGTCACTCGACCAACAAAATGAGCCGTAGCCAGGCGTGCACTCGAAGGCTCGAGGTCATCAGCACGGATACCGACGTTCTCCATCGTCGTTGCATCAATCACCATATGTGGACCATCAATTGCTTCCTGACCCTCATCAAGGACCCGGCCACGTACGCCACCACGTCCTCCTGGGCGTTGTCTTTCATCGGCGATTGTGTATATACTGATAGCGCTATTTCGCGCACGTTAGGGTTGTCGAAAGGACGTAGATAGCTGCAGCATTTCAAGCCCGTCTTTGAGGCCTACTATTTCCCCCAAATGTAATTTGTCACCAATTGCGGGGGAGTACCTAGTGATCGACATTTCGCAGCATGAGACGCGGCCGCGAATAGCCAACAATATGGCAGATATGACAGATAGATGCTCACATTCAGGGGAGCAGGTAACTCCTCGACCATCGCTTTATCGGGTTACGCGAAAAGCCTTGCGAAGAATCGCATCTGCTTTCGCTGTGCGCACTCGTCCTCATCCACGGAATACCCCTCATGCTGTCCAGTTTGGGAAGACTTGTGGACTTCGTGACGTCCCCGATGCTCGCATTACTGCCCGATCATGGGTCGACACATAACATAGTGGCAGGTACATGCCTGGCTGTCTTGAAACCAGCGAATGTCGGCTTTTCGATAAAGGTATCGACCGATCGATAAATTCAAGTTCGTTTCATAACAGCTTGTTGGTTTAGGACCCTGGGGAGGCGTCCGGTTTTGATCTCGGGCGGTAGGATAATGATAATTCTGTGGAGGTTTTGAATGAGGTCCGGCATGACTTTTGACATAATGACCGATGCAAGGTGCGAAGATGCGAAGATACGGTCTGTGGTAGCTGAGAGGGGATAGGCTGCTGGGGGGATGAAGGTAGAGCCGTCCGCCAGCCCATCGCCGAGTGCCCAGGTATCCCATCAAAGGAGCAGACACACTATGGTTCGCCATCTGCACAACAATAGAGAAGTGGAGGCACACAGGCGCAATACAACAAGAGTCCGGCATGTGACGATCAGTTGTTAAGTCATCGTTTTTGATACATCGCATCATGTGGAAAACTAGTGCTAGTTGACGGAAGATGGCTCAGGCTTGGATAACACCGCCAAAACATGGTCCTCCCACTTATGCTCGGTGAGCGTGCGCGCTACATTTTGGTGATGGATATGGATCCCAGATATCAAGTTGAGGAATTCTACAAAAAGGAAATGCGGTCGCATGCGAGCCAACGTAAGGTCACCAAAGGCAATTGAACTGAAGGAAGAACAGTATATCTTCCAGATCTTTGACCCCTCGTCGAAATACGGAGTAAACAGTTCGACCATTACTTCTTCGGTCAAGATAGCTACGCCAAAGACAAAGGCTTCCGGAAGCGGTTGATGCACAAAATTTCCATCAGCATCAATGCGACAACTTGCCAATGCCATCAGGGTCAACGCTGGTAGGTTTGCCGCTACTAATGCCGTTCGAGCGATGATATCTTCTTGTCGATACGGCTTCTGTTGGCGATTTACAGGGCCGCGTGATGCAATGTCAACTGCGACGCCCACAGGGATCTGAGTACCACCGATACATGATAAAGAGCTAAAGTGCGAGACAGAGCCGACAGGACTGAATCCAAGAGTTGCAAAAGTTCCACTGTGAGAACATATTCAGGGTGGGAGTCTCCGGACTAGGACGATATTCCCGGCGCACCCAGGGTTCGTGAACTCTTTAGGCCGATGCCAGCCACGAAATATGTGGTTTATCAATACATGGTTGTCCGAGTCGAAAGTCCACGTGGTCCCTAGAATGCTTGCATTGAGAGGAGGCCATCCAGGGCCGTCCGGGTTGTTTAGCCCTTCGCTGCCATCGCCGCAAATTGTCTCGAACTTTTCGACTTTATGGTAGGATGTGGCAAAGGCAACACTTAAGTTGAGACTCAAGAGACTTCTATAAGAGGTGGCACGCGGGAGGGCCACGAGTTCCTCCTGCTCGAACCCCCGTCTGAGTGCCTGCAGAAAGTTGAGTCATCTATTTGGATAATTCCAAGCTGGGCCTACGTTAAGCTCCGGGGGCAGACTTTCATACGCCACGGGTGAGCGGATGCGGGATGCTATACTAGCCCTCAGAATGTAGGGCTCGGAGAACGAATGCCAGAAGAGGCGGTTAAACTTGACGTATTCAACAGCTGGGCGGTCACTGTGGATGCGTCAGAATTGTCACCTCGCACTGGGGTGGATCCGGACATACAGCCAATCAGCCAAATTCCTTTCCCGCAGTATGGACTTGAGCCCAAGGCCCTTCCCGATTTGAGGCTGCACTGTATCCGCACTTATCGTAGCTGATTCCACACGTAGGGAGGATTTTTCCATTCCTGTTTGAAGTCTCGAGTAAATGGCGGGTTCCGTCCACACTGCCACAAGTGTTGTTGTTGTACTCTATTTTGTTACCCCGCGGCCGCGTTTGTACGTGGCAGTGCGGCTAGCCCGGTTATTTACATCTGACTGTACATGAGGGGCTCGTCAATACAAGGTAGGTTATCTGGTTGGTGTGGTCGGGATGACGGGATCCTCCGGTTTGTGATGTCTGGGATTAAGCTGTGTCTGGGTATGCGTGGGGGTGTGGTGGCGTCTATGTCACTCCTCTCTCCCTACGGGTGGTTACTGGTTGTGTGCTCCTGTCCCCTGTTCCTCCGCTATGCATTGCTCTCTGTCCGCTCTTTTTGTCGATGACCCGCGACTTCTTAATAAAGGCCGCTAGTCTAAGAATGCCTTTGGGCTTCCCCATCAGGATCGAAAATCTGCTCTGACGACCGCGGCCCAGTATGTGTCTGTATTTCTTAAACTGTGGGCATACCTGAAGGACATGTTCTCTTGTCTGGTTGGCAGCTCCACATGGACACTCTCTGCTCTCTGTGTGGATGCCGAACCGGTGATAGTATTCGCCCAGGTGTGCGTGGCCGGTGCGGAACTGGACCAGCCTACTGAAGGTTTTCCGGTCCAGCGATTTGAATCTGGTGGTGGGTTTAGTTGATGGGGAGATCTGGTTTGCCGTATGGAATCCTGATCGGATCGGGGTGGGTGTGCTTGTCCAACGTTCTTTCCACTCTTCTTCCATATCCTGCTTATGCAAGCTTTCTACATAGGATAATGAGTGGTAGCGGGGTCTGTCCGGGTTAATGCGGGCTCCTTCTTTGGCCAGTTCGTCCGCCCGCTCGTTTCCCTTGATGCCACAGTGGCCTGGGCACCAACTTATCGCGACCTTGAGGTCAGCTCTGTCGTCCAGTAGTCTGCACACTATCTTCCTAAAGGTCTGGGCGTGTTCTTGGGCTTTACCGGGCTTCCCTTGGAAGATGCGGCCGATCGCGCTCGTGTTATCTGAGTAAAATACTATGTTCGATGGCTTGTGGGTGTCCGGGTTGTTTTCGATGAAGCGACGTGTTTCTTCCGCTGCTGCCCTCAGCCCCATCATTTCTGTATCGAAGGCTTCTACGTAGCTACCCATGGAACCGTTCCTCTCGAATACCGTTACACCTGCTGAATAACCGACTACACCGAATCCTGTGGCGTTTTGTCCTTCTTCTGTGTACTTGGATCCGTCGGAGTACACGAAGAGGAAGTCTGGGTCGTCCTCGTTTTCCGTCGTAAATTCCAGGTGGTCGTCTGTCCACGACTCCTTGGCGGATTCACCAGCGGTGTTCTCTGGTAGGTAGATCTGGATACGATCTTCGATGTCGAATTCCGAAATGTGCCATGGGGCTTCGCTGTGTGGGCGGATCCTCTCTGTGCCGTGAATCATATGGTCCGCGATGCGGGTGATGCACGTTGAGAAGGTGTCCCTTGGGTCTGAGCGATATCTTCTGTGGGGGTCGTATACCGGTAGTGGTGGTACAGTGTGTGGTGTTGTTAATCTCCTCTGCCACGGGTAGAGGCGGTTGGTGACTGGGTGGTCGTCCGGGAGTCGGGACAAGCGTGTTGCCTCCATCTTCAGTCGGTATTCGAGGAGTATGTCGATGGGTGGGATCGATGCTTCGATCTCCATGGCCTGTATGCTGGTCGTTCGAAATGCTCCTGTAATCATGCGCAGGCATTTGTTCTGTAATGTAGAGAGATGTTTAATGATCAATTTAGATTTTTTGCGCCAGTATACCGGTAAGCCATATAAAGCGATGGGCAATACCGCTCCTAGGTAGAGGCGCCGGGCATGGGTCTGGTGGAGGCCTCTCTCTGAGTTGCCCAGCATACGAAGGGCTTGGGCTGCAGACGCTGCTTTCGAGGTGGTCCTCTTAATGTGTTCCGTGAACTTGAGTTGTGGGTCGAACCATATGCCTAGATATCACTGCCACAAGTGTCAAAACTATGTATGCAGTGTCATTGTGTCAGCTGATGTGCCAAGCCAACTCAGTCGGCTAGGCAGGATTCCAGGCTTCCAGCCTCTACTAAAGTTAAAAGTAGAGCTGGCGGCGGGACAGTCTGTTTGCTGATTTATACAAATAGACTCCATATGCGAGGTGAAACTTGCTTCCAACAATCTCCTCTGATTCATCATCCTACCGTTCATTAGCCTACAAACCCAACACCTCGTGAGGTTCGTCTGTGGTAGTTCCTATTCACCTCACCAACAAGTGGCGCCAACTGAACCACCCTGGGAATACCGCAACAGCGCCAGTAACCCTGCGGCTTACATGCATTGTGGCAGCTCATACTGGCGTTCTCGAGCCCGGGGTCGTATCCGTGTCTAGTATCTACATCCTCAAGAATTTTATTTGTGGTCTTTCGGAACCCTCTCCTAATAATGACGTATTTATGCGAACTTTACCCTTTGACTCGGAACCAACCTTAACCCAACCCTCTCTCAGGGTTCGATGTCCCATATGAGATTGATTTCAAAGATGGCAGAGACTCGAACGCCAACACCTCGCAACAACTTCCCCGAGCACCGACGTCGACTGTCCCGCTTTCCACACACAGATGTTGTGGATCCCCCATACCACTATGTTCCTTGACTTTAACGTAGGCTCCGGTGTTACATCCACAATGCTTTCACGACACCTCTCTTTTGCGAATGTCCCCTTCGACCATGCCTTTGCTTCACGATGACGCGGCATATGCCGATTGGCAGAAACGTGCTCCGAAGCAAAACTGCCATCCACCCACCATGGACTCATCTCCACAGTGTGGCGATCATCCGATTATAGAAAATGAACCAACCCTTCGTTTCTTTGCTGAATCGTTCAATTTTCAACTTAGTTCGTTAGTCGCAGGTCCTGCTCGCTTCCAAACATAACCCATACTCATTCCTTCCAGTGACTTGATTGGCGTTGATCCTCTGGAGGGCGCGTGCCCTCGCGCCGACTCCCTCTCCGGGGCTATAGGGTATCTCAAAAAGCTTCGAAATCACTGGAGCGCTGGGAAGTTGGAACTTCCCTCTAACTGGATGGTAAGTACGTGCTGGGACTTAATTTATCCTTGTTTCTCTAAGAATAGCCATCTTAATTCTCTAAAGCTCAGCTTGAACAGCCAATAATATCCCTCCTCAGGGAAGGCAAGCCTTTTTTATCCCAATTGATGATTGGCGTCACATTGGCGCCCATTCAGCACATGCTGTCGTCGCTCACACCTGAAGAAGTCGATTTGCGATACGACTCGCCTACGGATTTGCGACCCGACTTTTTGCTATCTACTGCTCGCGTGTTCCTCCAACCTCACTGGACCGCGGACGAGAGAGATCGCCAGCTGTTTGGTTACTTGAATCGCGATACGAGATACGCATCGAGCCAGCTCCATTCATTGCTTATGCACAATGGGGGTGACCCATCAACTGGCGACATGCTTATGTATGCATTATCTGGCTCTCCGGGCAGTTGGGTATTGAGGTCACACATTCCTGAATACTTTTCGATACGCTCCGTGCTGAATGTTTTTCGGACAGGAACCCTCGGTTGTGTTTCCCGGCGGAATTCCAGCCTTCTCAGTCACCGGATCGCATTCGTTTCTGCGTTGTCAGACACCTTATCACGCCACTGATGGCCGAATCAAAGCGGCTTGACCAATATCTCCCTGTTTCCTTTTCCAATCCTGCTTTAATTACAGGCGCATTCGATCCCGGGGACGAATCAGTGTCATCTGAAACTCTTGAGAACGTCTTCCATGTAGTTCGCGGTAGTCTGGCGAGCTTGGTGTTGGCATCGTTCTACCGGCGACGAATCACATCTCATGGCAGTGGCTTCTGGTCGAAAGGATCAAAGGATCGTTTATTGCCCGAGTTTCTGATGGTATTCAGCCTCATCTGTCAGCCTCATCATCTTAGACTTTTAGCATTCGTTCCATTCTGGGACGAAGCTTCGGGGAAGTATCTCGTTGCATCTTCAGAGGTGGACACCTTCCGCTTTGGGGAGTATCCGCCAGAAGAGGATCAAACCGAAGAACTGATGACTGGCCCGAACTCTCCTTATCTTGAACGTGTCCGGTTGTTTCTTGCGCTGAAAGCCATATCAAAGCATGCATTCCGACTGTGTGATATCTTTGATACCTCAATGTCATGGCCACCCCTTGATGTCTGTGAAATGGAACAGAAGTGGCGCCTTCTTTATCTTCCAGAGGATGAACGCACAGAGGCGCTGGATGATACCTCCCACTTCGATATCGAAGAAGCGGAGGCCTATGCTCAGGAGGAAGCTGAAGAACTGGACGGGGAGGGCATGTATGGTCGCAGCAGTGATTCTGATTCGGACAATACCTTCGTCTCTACAACGACTGAGACTGACCCTAGCCTCGCTCACCCACCCGTTGACACTACCCGCATTGAAACCTGGTTAGGCGCAATGTCGACCAAAGCGTCAGAGCTCTCGGAGGGACCTCAATGATCTTGGATACTCGTCTCGGTCCATTATTTCATGCTGTTGCTGTTCCTGCACTTTTCTCGAATATCTTATCTTCATTATGTTCCAAATCTATGAGCACCGTAAGGTGTTGCTTTTTCATGGGCAGTTAAAAGTTCAAATGGTTGCTGGACCACGTGGCAGTACAAAATCATGCCAAAATTTCGTTTTGTTACGAGGCTCAACGCGTCTCGACGCTTCCTTGATCCAATGCTCCCTCAATCCGCTCCATTATTTTATCAACCCATTTCGATTGTCACCAAACAAAAAATGGCGGATTCGAATTTACGGGGTCAGTGGTGCAGGTCAATCGTCTGCCTAAAATATTGTTAAATTTTCCGATTTTGGTCTGACTGGGTCACTTATGTTGACATCGAATCCGCCATTTTTTCTTTCGAAAACCGCTGTACATAATCCATTCCAATGCTTCAACCCGAAGTCCCTGGCACTGCTATAAAGAGCAGACAAATCACGAATCTGCGTTCATGCAAGGGTGTCAATTATGGGGGGCCGATGGGGCCCTTCATTCGGGTTTCAGCAGCTCCCCGCAAGGACCCTTATCCACGCGGCCCAGCTGGCAAATTCACATCCCCACTTGTTCCCCACGCACTCTGACTACAGCAACTATGCGTCTGAATGAGGAGAGAACTTGAAGCACGATATGTTCATGCTCAGGGACGATAAGCTGGCTGGGGAAATATAAGCTAAGGTAAATATGGAGGGGCCCGATGTCGATGGCTTTCTTGGACCCTCGATTGTCTTATCCGTTTCCCTGGCCTTTGAGCACTAATCAATTTGGGGCTCGCTAAGCGAAATTGGGGCTTACCCAGTGCGTTATTTCTGCGAACGTCAAGCGGAAATGGGCATCCGCACATGCCCAAGTATGCATGTTTTCAAGTTGTACAATGGGTTCCCACAAAAATTAATTGTATGTATATGTTTAATTATTTTTTTCCTGTTGGCTAGGGATGCACATTCGTGCCTGCATGTCAGAAAGCCACGCCTTGACATCTGACACATGCGCAGAACAGAGTGCCATGGGGCAGCAAAATGGGCGCAAACAATGAACCAAAGATCGTGCTTACGTCAGAATTCGAAGAGCGGATGTACGTACTCCACATGATACTCCACACGATGGCTGCTGTTATGCGTTCCCATATAGGGGGACAGCTGGATCGATGTAGATATATACACGATAGATAGAATATGTAGTCAGAAGCTAGCTGTGCAGATCGATTATACGTAGACACATATGTTATTTATCCTCATGCCAAGTTCCTCATTCTTGGAATCCCTTTGCCTTTCAGGTCGTGTTGCATCTAGGGTTCAATTATATACTCCCTTGGTCACTCGTTTGTATTTCGTTGGGGAGGTATCTGTTCTCTGTTCTTCAATCGGCGGATGATAAACCCATCGCACCAAGTGAAAGTCATTCACTTCATCACCAACAACCCAACTCACCTTCAGTAAGACAACTGGTAAGCGAGACCTCCCTGATTGCGCCCCCCAACCTCGCTGACCTTTGACACAGCAATAGTACTCAATCGATAACCATACCCAAATTCCTCTTGTAATGTACAACTGTTTCAATTTCCCCTCCACTCCACTGACCTGCGAATCCGCGACAGCGTACACTGCTCGACAACAATGTCAAAGAACCTCAGCGATGTGCTCGTGGCGGCGGCCTGGATAGGGGACGTCCACACTCTGGAGAAACTGATCAGCGAAGGCGCTCGGGTCGATGGAAAGAATAGCCGTGTCACTCCTCTGATAGCCGCGGTCATAGCGGGTCATGACAAAGCTGTCGGTTTGTTGCTGGAAAAGGGAGCTAACATCGAAGAACGCGACGAGGAAAGTCGTACCATTATCAAGCTAGCCCTTGACAATGGCCACGAAGCGCTTGCCCAAAAACTCGTCGACCACTGTCCCGGCCTTATTGTTACCGACCCCCGCCTACGCAAGGGAGAGGAATGGTTGCGTAAGCAATTCAAGTCGATGTCGGACAATGTCAAAGACACCGCCAGCAAGCCTGATCCGTCCTTGCTGGAGAGGGTCATCACGGGAGTTCAGAAAGGAGATCTGGGGCCAACCGACAATCGGAGTGTATCGGATGTGTACTGGGAGCACATTCTTCTGCGCTATATTGGGGACATCCCCTTGGACATCGAGCGGAACTACTCGGAGGATCTGACGCTGTCCCTCGTCGGGACGTTCGAACGAATTCTTAAAGGTCACGAGGGCATCAAGGAGTCTGCCAGGCTGTTAAACAGCGAACTGCCTACAACCGAGTATACCATCCTTGATACAGTGGTGCGACAAACAGGCAGCTGGGTGACGGAGCGTTGGGCCTATCATGATTCCAAGCACGGCCTCCGGGTCACTGATGGCATTGACACGTTCTTGATCGAGAATGGGAAGATCACTGTCAAGATGATAAACTATACCGTCGAGAAACGTGCGGACGCTCGCGAGGAGTTTAAGAAGGTTAGACGCGGGAATTGACAGTGGATACGAATGTGCAATTCAAGGATTTAGCATTCAATATGTAGCTGGATCGGTGTTGTATATTACTCAGTAGCGCTGGGGACATCACCTCGCGAAGCCTCAAATTGGCATACGACAAATGCAATATTCAAGGGCCTGGACATGAAAGGAACATAACACTTGGAGGGTGAGCTGATATATGATTGAAAGCTTACCTAAGCACTTATTATTATGTAATGTGACCACCTGCTCTCTATTTGGACGCTCAGGTCGAGCACAGTGCGGGCGTGGAAAGCCAGTCAGGCATCGAGGAGCCCCCGTCATCCGATTCGAATTCGAAAAAGGATTTCAGGATCTGGGGTCGTATGGAGACTCACATCGAATCGACTGAATCGCTCGACCTCGGCTTCGCTTGCCCAGTCATCAGTGGTCTTCCATACCGCCAGGTGACAAGTAATGAGACCTTCCAAGGAGACGTGTCACCCATGATAGACGCAGAGAGGATATTGTGAGTCTGTCTAATAGATTGCTTCAAGAACCTTGGTCATAGTATGTTCGACTACATTCTGGTTTTTGAGAACACACGAGACACCGTGGAAGTTTTGGTCATTTAAATGCTAGTATCGATTTGCCAATTCCTGTCCTTAGCCTAGTTGACTATTGTCGCCGAAGCCTTCCCCTAGTTTTAGGGTAGCTGAGATCTGCGATTCCCCCAACTGTATGCAACGTACCCCTTCCAAATTGTTGGATTGTATATCGAATATCTTTGTTTCTCGCAAAGGGACCCTCGCCAACTCCTGACGCAAGACTCTCCGGATTCAGTTCTTTATTTATTGGTGCAGATGCTGCTTCAACTTGCGACTCCTTCCTCAGTATTGCCAAAACAGTACCGCTTACAATCCGACACAACGGACCAATAATGTACCGAGAAGTAGCGCAATGACAGGAAGGTGCCACAGACTGCCTGGTTCTCTCTGATTGCAGCGCGTGCCGGCGCAATTCAAGCCACCACTTCTGAGTTCATGAAAATCGAAATGGGTGCCTGTACACACCTTAAGGGTTGAGGCACGGACACAGTGAGGTTAGCTGTGATATTCCAGGTGATGCAACGCAGAATTCTAATAATCCAAGCTCGCGACTTGGACCGGGAATCCCGGGTACTATCTGGCATGGAGAAACTGAGAGGGGCGCGGGCCATGTGTGCAACTCGTGCAAGTCAGGGAATCAAAGGATTAAACAGGCCAGTCGCTCAGCACATGTTTCCTATCAACGTGCCAGGGAAACCTGATGAGCCAAGTTTGGGCGAGCTCAGCTCGCCGGGGGAATATCTCAATTCACCATTTGGCACGAGAGTAGTAAGCAGCAATACACATAGACATAGGAGCATGGATCAAAGCAGGGTATGGGCCTAGCCACCACGCATGGTTATCATATTGGTCAGTGCCAGGGTAACACTAGGTGACAGCGCTTTCTTGGGGAACCTTACGTAATGAATTCAATTCCTTTGCAAGAATGTCAGAGGATTTTGCCTCATCTCAACTCAATATTCATGATAAGCCGCGACTCATTATTACGGCTTTCCCGGTGGAGGTCTTGGTTAACATTTTGAAGCATCTTTCTTTGAATGATCTCATGAGGTCCAAACAGGCGAGTTTTAGTCAGAAGCAGTTCGCTATTGCCCTTTCGTTCCCCCTCGCTCCTCACGTTTTATTCCTGTTTGTCATACATTTTTATGGTTCTAATATAAATGACGTTCGTAGGCAACTAAAGCCTTTATCTATGTCATCGAGGGGTCGTTGGTTCTCCAGTATAACATCGAGCGCGAAACTTACCTTCTCGCCGGTAGCACTGCCGCTTGCACGGGTGATGTATATGCAGAGCCTAATGCTGAATGTTGATCTGATGGAACCCCAGATCCAGATCATCTCTCTATTGCAGAGAAACTTACGAGTCTTCGTAGGCGGGAAGTTGGATGGGCTAATTTGAAATGGCGACCTCAAACGTATACCATTTTGGCCAATCCACGGCCCCACCGTTTCACTTCCAGGGACACAATATCATACAAGCTGCAACATGGATTCTTTGCGTATGGGTACCACACATCCAGCATGTTGAATGACCCTGATTGTTTATCGCTCCACCCCCTTCCGAGAGTCGCGGATCGTCTTTCGAATTCAAAGGGTCACGGATTATCATCCACACTGCTTGAATCAATTGATTCTGAGCGTCAGATGTACCTAGAAGGTGGAGATGGCGATGACGTTGAGATAGACTGGTCCCAAACGCCTATTCTCCACCGCCTCGGCTTCGAGTATCTGGACTTCAGTATCGATCCGGAACAGAATTTGGCCATTTACGTTTGCGACGACTTTGATAAGATGTTTGTCAGAATAAGGCAAATGTCTGATAATGGCTTTCACCCGATGGCCCAATATGAGACTCTCGATGCTTGCCCGGCAGCTGGTCCTTCGTACATTCTTGTCGAGATCTTTGGCGACTTTGTCGGCATCATGGTACGGGATCTTTTGGATGTGGGTCGGTATTTTTGGATTTGGAATTGGAAGACAGGGATATGTCAATGTGTAAGTGTCTTTCACTGGCTCTGCATATGAGGCATTGCCCTAAACCTTGGGAGTATAGGAACTCTCGGGTTCCGTAATGGAGTCGTTTCTTTTCTTGTCTCCGCGCCATTTCATAATTTTTCGACATGGGGGGGGCTCTGTCTCACTAGAGGTCTATTCATTTAGACCTTGTCATTACGACGGTCCCCCTGTTAAACTTTTCCTTCCATCTCAGCATGTCGCAACATTCCAATTACCCAATTTCTCACCCGGGGCGGCGTATGCACACATCATGCGGCTGCACTGCCGGCCCAGTCCTGTCTTTGAAGCTCCAGAATATGAGATTTTATCCAAGGGAGACCCGATGCCTACAAACAAACCTATTCCAAGCATGCCCTCCTTCTCATCAAGTTCAGTTCAAGATTCCTCCACAACCCCAATCAATCCGCCAAAATGGGGGGGTACATACGCTACCAACGGACCGTTTGTTCGTCCCCGGCAGGACGATTTCAGAGTCGCTGTCTTTTCACTTACTCTGAAATCCTTGGAAGGGGATGGGTCTTACAAGATGTTTATCGCCGTGTCTGATATTTATCGCATGACCAAACGTTTCGAGAGCAATTTTCATACCAGTGGAAAGATGCTGGATGACGATCTAGATGCTAACTCTTACGCCGACTGCGTGCTCCCTATCCGTGTTCCATGGGATGATTGGGGACCTCGTTCTGCGCGCCTGTTGGAGACTACGAATAGGACGACATTCTACTCTATTTTCATGAACCGATACATTTTTAGCACCCTCGAGCATGTACCGATGCCTGAAATGACTCGAGAGAATCCCTGCTTTACCCGCCTTCATATACTAGACTTCAATCCCTATTCAGCTCGTGCTGGGTCTATTGGCGTGAGGGATAACACCGATTCCGATGATAGGATTGAGCATGGCGCAGACGCGGAAAGACAGTCAAGCAACGAGGAGCCCGCTTCATCCGGTTCGATCAGGCCACCAAGGATATCAAAGGATTACGGGGTTTCAGGCCGTATGAAGATTCACCTCGAACCAACTGTATTCCCAAGCCCTGATGCTGTTGACAAGGTCGTCACTGGACTTCCATACCGCGAGGTGACGAGTGATGACACATTGCAAGGAGATCTGTTACCGATGATAGACGCAGAGAGGATATTGCTCCTTGAGGTGAGTCTATCTTATACATTCATCTGACGAGCCATGGTCATAGTATGATTATTTTCCGGTTTTCTAGGGAGGACAAAGCCCTGTGAAAGCCCTGGTCATTTAAACGCATGTCGCCCGTATGGATTGTCTAATATTATCCCAGTTTGCAAGGCCGCCACAGTGCTCTGGACCTTCATGTTGCTGAGCCCAGCTATATGTAGTGCACCATTTCGAATTATTAGATTATGTATCGAATACCTTGTTGCTGACTCTTGATGGTGCAAGGCTTCCCAGCCGAAGTTCTGTCATCTGGGGGCCGCTGAACCGGGTTGCCATATTTGGAATGCCAGATTTTTTACAACAAATGTCCTCAACCAGCCGAAGGCAGTTCAACTAGTCGTTCCAATATTATGCGCATGCCACCCCTATTTGCAACTCTACACAACTTCAAGTAACTCTGTCGTTATTCGACTCTGCTTCATCATCGGACGACGGACATCCGCAATGCACCCAGAAGCTAGGCTGACAACCTCCGCCAAGCCGCAGTGAAAAACTGTCTGACCATGACGTCATGCCGCATCGTGGTTCCCTCTTCAGCTGCCACACATGAAGTACTAAGGCGCACAAGAAGTAAGATCGCGACTTGATACTTTATCCGGCCTTGGTACACGACCGAGGTAGCCACGACTTACGCAGGAAAAGCGGCTGAATGTGTGTCAGCTTAAGGTTCAGATATGTCCTCCAGTTGAGTAGCTACAACTGCGAGTAGGCACCAAATTATGACATGCAGAGTACCTCGGAGGACCAGGTAGATGTACATTCCCCCGAATTTCCTTCCCCTTGGTCTCCATTGAGGTCATGCGCAGGTAGAGTCAGATGAACGATTCACCATCTGTCGTATCGATGGACAATCCATCGTTCTGGTCACTAGTACATGAACTCCTGGGCGTGAGCATCGGACAATCGTGGCACTAGTTTAAGGTATTGCAAACATACTCGCTAATCCTTCCTTTTTTGACGTTCGCCATGGCTCTCCAACCGCTAACTTTGCCATCCCATCCTTCAAGGAACCAATATCACCCTTGTCTTTCTTCTCTCTTCCCCTTTTCTGCTTTTCTCGCATGGTAGTCCTCTCGTATTTCGACAATGTCCTTGTGTTTGAGAATTTCGTCATACTCGGGGTGGAGACCTAAATTTTTCAGCCATGACTCCTCATCATTAACGTCTTCCCTCCAAACTCTAAAGGCTTCTCCTACGATCCCATGGAATGAGGCAGCCGATAGTTCCTCGAATAGTTCATCGTTATGTTTGAGGACCATATCCATCACAACTCGACGAACTTTGATCCTTGAGGGGACAATTGGTTACTGGTGACCATCTCGGATAGGAAAAACTCTCCAAGTTTGACTGCATTATACACCCACGAAGAGGATGAGGTATTGGGGGCCTTGGCAGCATGCGCTGACCACGATGGGAACATAACATTCTGGGACTAAATCCGTTCCCACTGGTTGAAGCCAACGAAATCAGTGACAGTACAGGTAGTGATGCGAGGAATGTTTGGTTGAGAGCCTGCGCAAAGTTGGGCTGGGTGGCAGATTTTTTGTCCGGCACCGACAGGTTAGATGATGTAGGTGTCGCTTGGACTACTGCATGAGTGGGGGCCTTGGTTTCGGGACGTTTAGCTTCCCCAATAAATATCCCAACTGGAGCCCCCATCGATTGGTTCCAAGGCACCGACGTGAGCAAGTCTGCCCAAGGGGTTGTACTCCCAAACCCAACGATAGGATGAACACTGACAGGTTAGTTCCTATCAACTTCAGTGCTATAGCGGTTGCATAGGAGTGTTGAGACACTTACGAATGGCAGAAGAAGGATGGCTTCGAATCGATATCAAAGAATCGCATTAAGATCGCATCAACGCTTCTCTCGGTATCCGTCTCGGTGGACACTGTTCCTCCGCGGTATGGAAGAAACATTCGAATGATAAACTCAAATGCAGATTTATTCTTCTGTATCATTCCAAGACTTTCTCGAAGAGATCTGGCTTGATGGTTTGCAGCTTTACCCTCCGGGGAGTTAAGGCACAGTACTGTCGCAACTATTTGCAACATCTCAAACCCATCTTCTAACTCGGCTAATTCTCCTAATGTAATCCACCCGCCAATTGATGGGGAGTACCTAACGATCGATATTTCACAGCGTCAGACGCAGTTGCGAGTAACCAACATATGACAGATACGTGCTCACATTCATGACAGCAGGTAGTTTTTTAACTGTCACTTCGACTGATGCCGCGAGGAAGTTCGCGAAGACTGCTATGTTCTGTTGTTGTGCGCCTGCGGTCTTCTTATTTGCCAAATATCCTTTATCGGCGTATGCACCTCAATTTGGAAATACTTGTAGACTTCGTGACAGGACCTCCCCCAGGCTTATGTTGCTGGCCCGACCATCAATCGACCACTAAAAATGAGCTGGAGTGGTGATCTTGACCTACCTGGCTGTCTTGAAGTCGGTGGACGCCGGCTTTTCGATAGGCATCGACCGATCGATAAAGCCAAGCTTACTTAGGTGATCCCACAGAAGTTTGTTACTTATTACTTTGGGGAAAGAGGGGAGTGTCCGGTTTGGTCCCTAGCGGAGAATGTTGATAATTCTTGATTTTTCTGTCTGTGGAGATCTTGAATATGGTCCAGCATGACCCTCGACATAGTGACTGATGCAAGTTAGGGAGACGCGAAGTGCAAAAGCGGAGAGAGAACAAGACTGAGAGCTACTCTGGGAAGGTAGAACCATCTGCCCATCGCCGAGGGCCCGCTAACAGCCGGTTCATTTCATACAGCAGTGGTCAGGTAGACTAATGTTCGCCATCCGCACAACAATAAAGAAGCGAGAGTCCTGTTTGCGACAATCGGTTATCAGTCAAAGTAAAGTCATCGTTTTTGATATATCGCATCGAGTGAATAACTAGTGCCAGTCGACGGAAGATCGCTTAGAAAAGATGGCCAAAATATGGTTTTCCCACTTAAATCTGGTCAGCGTACGCGCTAAATTTTGATGATGGACATGGATCCCAGATATCAAGTTGAGGAATTCTACAAGAAGGAAATGCGGCCGCACGCGAGCTAGCGTAAGATCGCCAAAGGGAATGGAATGACAGGAGGAGCAATATATCTTCCAGATCTTCGATTTCTCGTCGAAATATGGTGTGAACAGTTCGACCATTACTTCTTCGGTTAGGATAGCTACGCCAAAGACAAAGGCTTCCGGAAGTGGCTGATGCACCAAATTTCCATCAGTGTCAATATGACAGCTTGCCAATGCCATCAAAGTCAACACTGGCATGCTTGCCGCCATCAATGTCCTTCGGGCGATAATGTCTTCTTGCCGATAGAGTTGCTGCTGGCAATTTCCAGGCCCGCGTGAGGCGATGTCAACCGCGACGCCCACAGGGATCTGCGTATCACCAATATACGATAAAGAGCTGAAGTGCGAGATGGAGTCGACGGGGCTGAATCCAAGAGTGGTAAAGATTTCACTGTGAAAACAAATTCAAGATGGGGAGAGTATTCGGACGGGAACGGTACTTTTGGCGTACCCGAGATTTGTAAATTCATTGCGTCGATGCCAGCCACGGAATATGTGGTTAATCAACGCATCGTTGTTCGAGTCAAAAATCCACATGGTGCCCAGAATGCTTGGATCAAGACGAGGCCATCCAGGTCCGTTCGGATTGTTAAGCCCCTTACTGCCATCGCCACGAACTACTTCGAAGTTTTCGACTTTATGGTAGGACGTGGCAAAGGCAAGGTTCAAGTTGAGAGTCAAGAGACTTCTATAAGAGGTAGCACGTGGGAGACTCATTAGTTTCTCTTGCTCGAACCCTCGCCTTAGTGCCTGCAAAAGCCTGAAGTAGCCGTTCAAATAATTCTAAACTGTGCCTACATTAAACTCTGTGGGCAGACTTTCATACACCACACGCGAGCGGATTCGGGAAGCTAAACTAGCCCTAATCAGGTAGGGCCCGGAGATCGAGTTCCAGAAGAAAAGGTGCGTAAATTCGACGTATTCCACGACTGGGCGCTCACTGTGAATGTGTTAGAATGGTGGCGAGTCCGACAACAAGGTGGATTTGAGCGTACAGCCAATCACTCAAATTTCGGGCTTGCAATAAGGGATCGAGTCCTGCCCCTTTTATTTGAGGATGGGCAGCGTCCGTGCCTATCGCAGCCGGTTCTACACGCGGGTCCATTCCCGCTGAGGTGGTCACGATTGTACTGCCACGGGCATTACATAAGCTCTGTGTCGCTGACGTTACTGAATTAGGGTTGGAATTTTCCAGACTCCAGCTGCCCATTCATCAATGCACAACACTGCGTAAAGGTCGTTTATGTTTATGATTGATCCTGTTCACCTCGCCCCGAGATCCGCCAAATAATGCCCTAACATCGGGCGTGCCATAGCAACTTGCGCGCCCGCTGTCTTCCCCAACCTGTCTCGAGGCTCGATATTCTATACGAGCTCGGATGTCACAGAGACACTCTCATTTCACACCCAGATGCTACGGATGCTTTTCCATGACATCGGTTTGGTAGAGGCTGGGATCTTGCCTAATCGATTACTGTGTCTAGACATCAACGCATAATATCCTTCTACCACTCTCCGAGCCTTCCGTGCCCCCCGCGCGTGTGTGTTCGTTACTGCGACTTCCACGCGAGCGCAGCCCCGGCCCCGTCACAATACTTTCACGATATTTTTTGCGGATGATGAGAGTACGGCATATACCGATTTTCACACAACGAAACCATCCATTATGAATTCAACCCAGGAATGCGGCGAGCCTCTGACCATAGAACATGAAATCACCCTTCAGTGGTTTACCGAATCGATCGGTTTCAGACTCAAATCGTCAGTTCCCGATCCAGCTCGTCTTCCAGTATAATCCATACTTATTACTCGCAGTGATTTGATTCGTGTTGGCTTTCTGGAGGGTGCGAGCCCTTACGCCGACTCACTCTCTGGGGCCATGGAGTATCTCAGGAACCTTCGAAGCCAGTGGAACACCGGAAAATTGGGACTTCCCTCTAACTGGATGGTAAATGCGTGCTGAGATGTGGCTCATCCTCGCTCGTCTAAGAATGGCCATCCTAGTTCTCCAAAGCTCAGCTCGAACAGCCAATAATATCCCTCCTTGAGGAAGAAGGCCCTTTTGTGTCCCAATTAATGGTTGGCGCTACATTGGCACCCATTCAGCACATGCTATCACCACTCACACCTGAAGAAGTTGATTCGCGGTACGACTCGCCCGTAGATTTACAACCCGACTTTTTACTATCCACCGCCCGCGTGTTCTTTCAACCTCACTGGACAACAGACGAGAGACGTCGCCGAGTGATTGGTTACTTGAATCGCGATACGAGATACGCTTCGAGCCAGCTCCATTCATTGCTTATGCATAACGGGGGCGACGTATCCTTTGGTGATATGGTCATGTATGCATTGTCTGGTTCTCCGGGTTGTTGGGTTCTGAGGTCACACGTTTCCGGATACTGTCTGACATGTTTCGTGCTGAATCCCTTTCAAACAGACATCCTCAGTTGTGTTTCCCAGAAGAATTTCAGCCTTCTCAGCCGCCGGACCGTATCCATTTTTGCATTGTCAGGCATCTCATCACACCACTGATGGCTGACTCAAAGCGGGTTGATCAACATCTCCCCGTGTCTTTTTCCAACCCTGCTTTAATCACAGGTGCCTTCGAATCTGGCAGCGAGTCGGTGTCATCCGAAACTCTTGAAAATGTCTTTCATGTGGTCCGCGGTAGTCTGGCGAGCTTAATGTTGGCGTCGTTCGTGCGACAACTAACCTCACCCCGGGGGAGTGGATTCTGGTCGAAAGGTTCAAAAGATCGTTCATTGCCTGAGTTTTTGATGATATTTGGCCTTGTCTGGCAGTCGGGTTGTCTCACGCTCCTAGCATTCATTCCATTCTGGGACGAAGCCTCAGGAGAGTATCTCATAGCATCCTCAGAATTGGACACATTCCGCTTCGGGCAGTATCCACCAGAGGAGGATCAAACCGAAGAACTCATGACTGGCCCGAACTCTCCTTATCTCGAACGTGTCCGGCTGTTTCTTGCGTTGAAAACCATATCAAAGCATGCATTCCGACTGTGTGACATCTTTGATGCTCCGATGTCATGGCCACCCTTTGATGTTCGTGAAACAGAACAGAAGTGGCACCTTCTCTATCTTCCAGAGGATAGACGCACAGAGGCGCTGGATGATACCTCCCACTTCGATATCAGAGAAGCGGAGGCCTATGCTCAGGAGGAGGAGGCTGAAGAACTGGATGAGGACGGCATCTATGATCTCAGCAGTAACTCCGATACGGACGAAACTTCCATCTCCACAACCACTGATCCTAGCCTTGCTTACCCACCCGTTGACACTACCCCCATTGGAACCTGGCTGGACGCAGTGTGGACCAAAGAGTGACAGCCCTCGGAGGGGCCTCAATGACTTTGGCGGTCATCCTGGAACCTTATCTCAGTCCATTTTTTTCATACTCACCCCGCGCTTTCCTCGAATATCTGATCTTCATTATGTTCGAATCTACGAGCACCGCGAGGTGCTGCCTTTGAATCCCCCGCACTTTATTGCTCAAACCCTTAGCCCCTGTTCTTAGTATCTGCTAACTGCTGGCCCGCTCCTCGGAGCATCCCATCGAAGGAGAGGTTATCTGCATAAGTATGGAGTGGGGAAATAGATACCGCACAGCATGAGTCCCGCTTGTGACTATCAGTTGTCGGTTGAGGATTAATCCAACGCTATTGATAAATACATCGCAGCAGTCGTATGATTATTTAACTACATAACGCTGGAGATAGCTTAGAGAACACTCCCAACATGTCTTTGTCCCGTTCATGTCCGGTCAGTATAGTGCTGCATTTTGATGGTGTACATGGATCCCAAATATCAAGTTCAGAAATTTCTGGAGATCTTAAATAAGGTCTAGCATCAGTTCAGCTGTTGGAAAGTCACTATAGGCGCATCGGTTTGAATATATTCACTTCATTCGCCACTGTTCCCGTGTCGTGTTTACATTTCTTATTTAACCCGATTTGGCTAGGTGAAGAATTTACCTATGTTTTCTTCCCCCAGTACTCCATATCGGGGCTAAGGTAAGACTTTCCAACCAAGAGTACAAATCCATTTGATTCTTCAACAGCGAGCCTACTATGTAGTTATTGGGAGAGGAGGGGGGTTGCTAGGACTAAATTGGGAACCGATCCATCAGCCCCCATGAGATGCGCAAATACTTCCATACTCTTCTACTGTTCACTCAGCGCAGTTCGGTTCCTCAAAAGATTCTTGCGTGGCATATTCATCCCAGCTCAAAAAGACTCGGAGACTTCGCGATGCAACATCTCCAATACTCACGTTGCTACCTCGGTCATGGTCAACCACATGGAGCATAAATTTGTGCATACCTGGCTGTCTTGAAGCCAGTAGACATCGGTTTTTCAACAGGCTCTGATCGATCGATGAATCCAAGCTTCTTCAGATGGTCCCAAAGAAGACCTTTGGGAACGGGGGGAGTGTCCGGTTTGGATCTCTGATAGTGGGATATTGGTAGTTCTTGACCTTTCGGTGGAGATCTTGAAGGTAATCCTGCATGATATTTGGCATGGTGACGACTGCAAGATGTGAAAGTCACAGTGGACGTTGAGAGGAACTAGGGGGCAATTTGCTGCAGGTAGACTATTGTCCGCATAACAATAAACCGGAGAAACACAGATGCAACACAGCAAGAGTCCCATCAGTTGTCAGTCGAGGACCAAGTCAATTTTTGTGATATGTCGTGCCGAACGTGTCGCTGTGTGACTAGTACTAGTTGACAGAAGATGGCTTAGAAAACACTGCCAATACATGCTCATCCCACTCATGTCTGGCCAGTGTACGCGCCACATTTTGATGGTGTACATGGATCCCAGATATCAAGTTGAGGAATTTTACAAAAAGGAAATGTGGTCGCGCGCGGGCCAACGTCGGGTCGCCAAAGAAAATGGAATGACAAGAAGAGCAATATATCTTCCAGTTCTTCGACTTCTCGTCAAAGTACGGGGCAAGCAATTCGACCAATACTTCTTCGGTTAAGACAGCTATGCCAAACACGAAAGCCTCTGGAAACGGCTGACGCACCAAATTTCCACCGGCGTCAATATGACAACTTGCCATTGCCATCAGGGTTAAGACTGGTAGGCTTGCTTTTATCAGTTCCTGCCGAGCAATGACATCCGCCTGCTGATAAGGTTCCTGCTGGCAGATCTCTGGTCTACGTGATGCCATGTCAACCGCAACGCCCACAGGGATCTGCGTGCCGCCAATACAGAATATAGAACTGAAATGTGAGATCGAGTCGACGAGAGTGAACCTAGGAACCGAAAAATTTTCACTGCAAGGAAGAATTCAGGACGAGTGATTCCACAAGCCGAGATAATCCTTTGGCCATACCCAAAATCTGTGAAATCTTCACGCCGATGCCAGCCGCGGAAAATTTGGTTTATCAGCATATTGTTATTTGAGTCGAGCGTCCACATTGTCCCCAGGTTGCTTGCATCAAGTGAAGGCCAACCGGGGCCATTCGGATTGTTGAGCCCATTACTGCCATCACCACGAATTGTCTGGATCTTTTCGGCTTTATAGTAGGATGTTGCAAAGGCCAGGTTTAAGTTGAGAGCCAAGAGACTTCCGTAAGAGGCAGTACGTGGGAGGCTCCTGAGTTTCTCTTGCTCGAACCCTCTCCTTAGTGTCTGCAAAATATTGAGGGTCTGTTCAAGTGGTTCTAAATTGAGCCTACATTAAGTTCCGAGGGGAGATTCTCATACATCACAGGTGAGCGGATACGAGATGCTATACGAGCCCTGGGCCTGGAAAATGAGTCCCGGAACAAAATGTCGTTCAACTTGGTGTATTCAACGGGTGGGCATTCACTAAATGTGGTATCAGAATTGTCCCCACAGCGAGATGACTTGACACGCACAGCCAGTCAGTCATACTTCGCGCTCGCAATATGGAATCAAGTCCAGGGTCTGTCACCCCCTGGGAGTACGCGATGTCTGCGCTTGTCGTGCCTGATTCCGCCGAAAGCATAACTTGTTCCATCGTGTCTCGATTCGCACTGCCACAACATCCACGTGCCACAGAAAATCGAATCTACATGTATTTCACACTCATTACCTCTGAAGTGACTTGGTTCACACCGACGCAGACTCACTCTCCAGCCGCATAAAATATCTGAGGGACCTTCGAAATCAGTGGAACACTGGGAAGCTGGAACTACCCTCCGACTGGATGGTGAATACTTCCCAACATCGGATCCGCTCTTATGCCTCTGAAAACTCGTTAGTTCTCTGAAGCACAGCTCGAAGAGCTAATAGCGTCCCTTCTGAAGGTCCAAAAGCCATTTTTGTCCCAGTTAATGATTGGCGCCAATTCAGCACATGCTATCACCACTTACCACTTGATTCCCGATAGAATTCCCGATATGACTTGCCTATAGATTTGCGACCCGACTTTTTGCTGTCTACCGCTCGCGTATTTCGCGAATCTTACTGGACCGCCGACACGCGACGGTTCCAAATGCTCGGGTACTTAAAACGTGACACAAGATATGCTTCGAGCGCCAGCACTGCTATCTCCTCCTCCAGGGCAGGAGCTTCCCCTTGCTTTTGTCCTTGCCTTTGCCCTCCCTACTCTTCAGCCTCTCCTTTTCTAAAACGGTAGTCTTCTTGGATCATGGAAACGTCCTCATGTGTCAGGGCCTCGCCATACGCTGGATCAAGATGCAGCAAGTGCTCCGGCCATGATCCTTCATCAGTAATGTCTTGCCTCCAAACCTTAAACGCTTCTCTCACGACCCCATGGAATGAAGTAGCTGACAATTCCTCAAATAATCGGTTGTTGTGTTCTAGGATTTTGGCCATAACCTCAACGCCTCCGCACTCAACAAACATGTCTAATAGGGGAAATTCTCCAAGCCTAGCCGTATTATGCACCCGGCCGGGGGATGGGGCATCGGGGGCACCAACTGTTTGCCTCGTCCCATGGTGGGAGCATAATGTCTACTATGGTCAATGCTGCAGAAGAGCGCAATCCAAAGACAAAACCATGTCTGGGGAGAGGAGGGGGGTTGCTAGGACTGAATTGCGTTCCATTAATCGATAGAATAGGGAGCGATGCGGGGAACGTCTGACTCAGAGCTTGGGTGAAATCAGGCTTTGCAGCGGATTGCGTCTTTGGCACTGACAAGCTAGGCGATGCGGGTCTTGGGTCTTCGTATGGCCCTTTGTTTCCGGACGATTAGCTTCTCCAATAAAGATTCCGACTCGGATGCCCATCAGCTCGTTGAAGCCCACGGATATCAGCGAGGAGTTGTACTCCCGAACCTCATAATGGGGGGAGTAATAAGAGGCTGGTTTCTGATGATCAACATTCGGTGCTCAAGTGATAGCGTGGGCCTGCTAACACGTTTCCGAATGGCAGAAGAACGATGGATTCGAAGCGATATCAAAGAATGGTATTACGGTTGCATCAATGGTGTCCGTCTCGGTGGGCACCGCCCCTCTATGATGTGGGAGTAACAATCGAACAAAAATTATCTTGTTTTCCCTCAGCATCGTGACACACTCTTGGAAATTTGAGGCTCGATCCCCACGGTTTTGTCCTCCAGGGTGTGAAGGCACAGTGTGGCCGCAACCACTTCTAGCGTCTCAAACCCGTCGTTTAAGTCGGCCAATTCTCTCAATGTAATTTGCCTCGAAGTACCTGTGTTCAATATTTCATAGCGCAAGACGCACCCGCAAATAGGGAAGATATGACCGACACCTGCTCACATTAAGGGAATCGGGTAACTTTTCAACTACCGGCTCAAAGTGACTCGCAAACTTTTCCATGCCCTTCTGATGTTCGCTCCGGGCGTCGGGATCTGCAAGGGAGGATATCCGTCCCAACCCGAAAAGGCTCGGAGACTTCGTGGTGTGACATCCCCAACACTCACGCCGCTACCCCAATTATGATCATTCACCTAAATTGCGATGGAATGCGGATCTGTACATATCTGGCTGTTTTAAAGTAGGTTACTTATCACCTTTGGGAACGAGTGTCCGGTTTGGGTCCCTGATACTGATAGTTTCCTGATCTTTTTGTGGAGATCTTGATCTGGCACTGTAAAACGGGAGGATGTGAAAGGCACAGTCCGGGGGGAAAATTGGGAGGCGATTTGCTCCAGATGTGAACACGAAGTCATGCGCCGATTGACAAGGGCACGCCAACAGCCGGATCAACCCATGGAGCGTTCCATAAAATGTTGTTTCACCGTGTGCATAACAATAAACCAGGGAAACACAGTTGAAACGCGGCTAGAGTCTCATTTGTAACCGTCGGTTGGCTGTTGAGGACGAAGTTGATGTTCAATGTCGTGCCGAATGCGTCGCTGTGTGACTAGTACTAGTTGGCAGAAGATGGCTTAGAGAACACTGCCAATACATGCTCGTCCCACTCATGTCTGGCCAGTGTATGCACCACATTTTGATGGTGTACATGGATCCCAGATATTAAGTTGAGGAATCTTACAAAAAGGAAATGTGGTCGCGCGCGAGCCAACGTCGGGTCGCCAAGGACAATGGAATGACAAGAAGAGCAATATATCTTCCAGTTCTTCGACTTCTCGTCAAAGTACGGGGCAAGCAATTCGACCAATACTTCTTCGGTTAAGACAGCTATGCCAAACACGAAAGCCTCTGGAAACGGCTGACGCACCAAATTTCCACCGGCGTCAATATGACAACTTGCCATTGCCATCAGGGTCAAGACTGGTAGGCTTGCTTTTATCAGTTCCTGCCGAGCAATGACATCCGCCTGCTGATAAGGTTCCTGCTGGCAGATCTCTGGTCTACGTGATGCCATGTCAACCGCAACGCCCACAGGGATCTGCGTGCCGCCAATACAGAATATAGAGCTGAAGTGTGAGATCGAGTCGACGAGAGCGAATCCAGGAACCAAAAATTTTTTACTGCAAGGAAGAATTCAGGACGAGTGATTCCACAAGCCGAGATAATACTTTGGCCATACCCAAAATCTGTGAAATTTTCACGCCGATGCCAGCCGCGGAAAATTTGGTTTATCAGCATATTGTTATTTGAGTCGAGCGTCCACATTGTCCCCAGGTTGCTTGCATCAAGTGAAGGCCAACCGGGGCTGTTTGGATTATTGAGCCCATTACTGCCATCACCATGAATTATCTCGATCTTTTCGGCTTTATAGTAGGATGTTGCAAAGGCCAGGTTTAAGTTGAGAGCCAAGAGACTTCCGTAAGAGGCAGAACGTGGGAGACTCCTGAGTTCCTCTTGCTCGAACCCTCTCCTTAGTGTCTGAAAAATATTGAGGGTCTGCTCGAGCGGTTCTAAATTGAGCCTACGTTAAGTTCCGAGGGGAGATTGTCATAAACCACAGGTGAGCGGATACGAGACGCTATACGAGCCCTGGGACTGGAAAATGAGTCCCGGAACAAAATGTCGTTCAACTCGGTGTATTCAACGGGTGGGCATTCACTGAATGTGGTATCAGAATTGTCCCCACAGAGAGATGACTTGACACGCACAGCCAGTCAGTCATATTTCGCGCCCGCAATATAGAATCAAGTCCAGAGTCTGTCGCCACGTAGGAGTCCGCAGTGTCTACGCTCGTTGCGCCTGATTCCGTCCAAAGCATAACTTGTTCCATCACTGTTGAAGTGTCTCGATTCGCAAGTACTGCCACAATGGGCACCCACGTGCCACATTAGAACACAATTACAGTTTGCTTGTTCTTATGAACCCCCTTCAGGGATGCGGCCATCCTCTTCCGATAGGGCATCCGAACGCTCTCCGCTGGTTCGTGGAATCGTTTAACTTTCGTCTCAGTCCGTTAGTTGCCAATCCTGCTCACCTTTAAGCACAATCCATACTCATTGCTTCTGAAGTGACTTGGTTCACGCTGGCCTGGATGGTGCGGGTGTTTACGCAAACTCACTCTCCAGCCACGTAAAATATTTGAGGGACCTACGAAATCAGTGGAATACCGGAAAGCTGGGACTGCCCTCCGACTGGATGGTGAATACTTCCCAATACTAGATCCACTCTTATGCCTCTGAAAACACGTTAGTTCTCTGAAGCACAGCTCGAAGAGCCAATAGTGTCCCTTCTTAACGTCCAAAAGCCGTTTTTGTCCCAGTTAATGATTGGCGCTACATTGGCACCAATTCAGCACATGCTATTACCGCTCACCACTGAAGAAGTTGATTCCCGATACGACTCGCCTATGGATTTGCGACCCGACTTTTTGCTGTCTACCGCTCGCGTATTTCTCGAATCTTACTGGACCGCCGACACGCGACGGTTCCAAATGCTCGGGTACTTAAAACGTGACACAAGATACGCTTCGAGCCAGCTTCATTCATTGCTTATACACAACGGTGGCGGTGCATCCACTGATGACATGCTTATATATGCATTATCTGGTTCACCGAGCTCTTGGGTACTAAGGTCACACATTCCTAGACATTTTATCACATGCTCTGTGCTGAACTCTATTGTCCGAGCAGAAAGCCTCGATTGTGCTTCCCAGACGAATTTCAGCCTTCTCAGCCGATAGACCGTATCCGTTTTTGCATTGTCAGGCACCTCATCACACCGCTGATGGCTGAGTCTAAGAGGATTGATCAGTATCTCCCCGTATCCTTTTCCAACCCTGCTTTGATCACGGGTGCCTTTGATCCTAGCGATGAGTCAGTGTCGCCCGAAACTTTTGAAAATGTTTTTCATGTAGTTCGTGGTAGTCTGGCGTGCCTAATGTTGGCATTGTTCTGTCGACAACGAATTGGGGCTGGATTCTGGTCGACAGAAGATCGTAAATTGCCTGAATCTTTGATGGTATTCGGCCTCATCTGGCAGCCGAGTCGCCTTACACTTTTGGCATTCATTCCATTCTGGGACGAAGCTTCCGGGGAGTATCTCATAGCAGCTTCAGAAGTGGACACCTTCCTCTTTGGGGAGTATCCGCCAGAAGAGGATCAAACCGAAGAACTCATGACTGGCCCCAATTCACCTTATCTTGAACGCGTCCGACTGTTTCTTGCTCTGAAAGTTCTATCAAAACATTCATTTAGACTTTGTGACGTCTTTGACGCCTCGATGTCGTGGCCACCCTTCGACGTTTGTGAAATGGAGCACAAGTGGCACCTTCTCTATCTCCCCCAGGATGGGCGCACAGAGGCGCTGGATGATGTCTCACACATCGATGTTGAAGTGGCGGAGACTTATGATGAGGAGGAAGCTGGGGAATCTGATGAAGACGACATCTATGGGTGCAGTAGTGATTCTGATTCAGACAGAACCTCCGTCTCCACAACGACCTGCCCCAGCCTCACTTACCCACCCATTGACACCGACTGCATTGAAACCTGGCTCGATACAGTATTGACTGAAGAGGGATAGACTTCGTGGGCTTCAGAGGGGCCTGGGGGACTTAGGCAGGCATCCCGGTTTCTCGCCTCAGTATACAACAGTTCATTTTCCCGTAATTTCTTCTAGTGCCCTTTGGCACCTTGCCTTCATTATGTTTTAATCGTAGGCACAGTAAAACAGGGCTGCAAATCCAACACCTTGTGGCCTCTGATCGGTTTGAAAGTGAGCCACCTGATGAACCAGCGATTCAGCATTGCTTTTATGTACGTTCACTCAGTCCCCCATATCGGGGCCAAGGTTTTCCTTTCCAGCCAAGAGTAAAAATTCATTTATTCTGAAACAGCGGGCATACTGAGTAACTTCAATATTTCAATCCAGTTCTCTATATCGAGGCTTAGTGCGCGCACCAGCGCATCTTTGTTGGGCCGCGGCAGTGGGATTACGTGGAGTATCGTGCATGGCAAGGAGTCAATCATGGAAGTGTTTTTGAGTGGTCTTTCCATGCTCTCGAATAGACCCCAGAGCTTCATTCACCCATATCTGGCGCACTGTTTTTTTGTGACGAGGGCTGTAAGTGACCGGGAATCTGTTGTTCTGGTAGCTAGGATGCAACTTTACTGGTGTTTAACACTTGGCTTTCCCACCGCCAGCGCTGCTATCTGCTCCTCCAGGGCACGAGCTTCCCCCTTGTCTTTGTCCTTGCCTTTGCCCTCCTTGCTCTTCTTTTCCTTCTTTTCCCTCTTCTCTCGCTCCTTTTCTTCATCTCTAAAACGGTAGTCTTCTTGGATCGTGGAAACGTCCTCACGTCTCAGGGCTTCTCCATATGCTGGATCAAGATGCAGCAAGTGCTCCAGCCATAATCCTTCATCAGTAATACCATGCCTCCAAACCTTAAACGCTTCTCCCACGATCCCATGGAATGAAGCAGCTGACAATTCTTCAAATAATCGGTTGTTGTGTTCTAGGATTTCGGCCATAACCTCCAGGAACCTCAACGCCTCCGCACTCAACTGGTCTCCAACAAACATGTCTAATAGGGAAAATTCTCCAAGCCTAGCCGTATTATACACCCAGCCGGAGGATGGGGCATCGGGGGCACCAACTGCTTGCTGGTCCCATGATGGGAACATAATGTCTACTATGATCATTGCTGCAGAATAGCGCAATCCAAAGACAAAACCATGTCTGGGGAGAGGAGGGGGGTTGCTAGGACTGAATTGCGTTCCATTAGTCGCAGCCAACGCAATAAGCGACAGAATAGGAAGCGACGCGAGGAACGTTTGGTTCAGAGCTTGGGTGAAATCAGGCTTTGCAGCGGATTGCGTCTTTGGCACTGACAAGCTAGACGACGCGGGTGTTGGTTGGGGCTTTGTATGTGTGGGGCCCTCCGTCCCCGGACGTTTGGCTTCCCCAATAAAGATTCCGACTCGGATGTCCATCAGCTCGTTGAAGCCCACGGATGTCAGTAAGTCGGGGTGAGGAGTTGTACTCCCGAACCCCATGATAGGGGGAGTAATAAGAGGCTGGTTTCTAATGATCAACATTCAGTGCTCAGGTGATAGCGTGGGCCCACTAACACGCTTACGAGTGGCAGAAGAATGATGGATTCGAAGCAATATCAAAGAACGGCATTACGGTTGCACCAACGTTTCTCTCGGTGTCCATCTCGGTGGGCACCGCCCCTCTATGATGTGGGAGTAACAATCGAATGATGAATTCAAATATTATTTTGTTTCCCCTCAGCATCGTGACACATTCTTGGAAGTTCGAGGCTCGATGACCCACGGTTTTGTCCTTCAGGGTGTGAAGGCACAGTGCTGCCGCAACCACTTCTAGCATTTCAAACCCGTCGTTTAAGTCGGCCAATTCTCCCAACGTAATTTGCCTCCAATTGGAGGGAAGTACCTGTGATCAATATTCATAGCGTAAGACGCACCCGCAAATACGGAACATATGACCGACACTTGCTCACATTAAGGGAATCGGGCAACTTTGCAACCACCGGCTCAACTTCCCTGAAGAGACTCGCAAACATCTCCATACCCTTCTGATGTTCGCTCCGGGCGTCGGGGTCTGCAAGAGAACCTCTTGTAGCATATTCGTCCCAACTCGAAAAGGCTCGGAGACTTCGTGATGTGACATCCCCAACACTCACGCCGCTACCCCAATCATGATCAATCACCTAAAATTGCGATGGAATGCGAATCTGTGCATACCTAGCTGTTTTGAAGCCAGCAGACATCGGCTTTTCAATGGGTTTTGATCGATCGATGAAACCAAGCCCCCTCAGATGGTCCCAAAGAAGTAGGTTGCTGATCACCTTTGGGAACGAGGGGAGTGTCCGGTTTGGGTCTCTGATAGTAGGGTACTGATAGTTTTTGATCTTTCTGTGGAGATCTTGAAGGTGATCCGGCATGACATTTGGCATTGTAAAATGGGGAGATGCGAAAGACACAGTCTGGGGGGAAAATTGGGAGGCGATTCACTCCAGGTGAACACAGAGTCATGCGCCGATTGACAAGGACACGCTAACAGCCGGATCACCCCATGGAGCGTTCCATCAAACCAGGCACTGTTGTTTCACCGTGTGGATAACAATAAACCAGGGAAACACAGATGCAACACGACAAGAGTCTCATTTGTAACCGTCAGTTGTCTGTTGAGGACGAAGTCAATGTTTGATGTCGTGCCGAATGCGTCGCTTTGTGACTAGTACTAGTTGACAGGAGATGGCTTAGAGAACACTGCCAATACATGCTCATCCCACTCATGTCTGGCCAGTGTACGCACCACATTTTGATGGTGTACATGGATCCCAGATATCAAGTTGAGAAATTTTACAAAAAGGAAATGTGGTCGCGGGCGAGCCAACGTCACGTCGCCGAAGGGAATAGAATGACAAGAAGAGCAATATATCTTCCATTTCTTGGACCTCTCGTCAAAGTACGGGGTAAGCAGTTCGACCAATACTTCTTCGGTTAAGACAGCTATGCCGAACACGAAGGCCTCTGGAAACGGCTGTTGTGTCAAGTTTCCACCAGCGTCAATATGAGAACTCGCCATTGCCATCAGGGTTAAGACTGGCAGGCTTGCTTTTATCAGTTCCTGTCGGGCAATGACATCCGTCTTCTGATATGGTTTCTGTTGGCGGATCTCTGGTCTGCGTGATGCGATATCAACCGCAACACCTACAGGGATCTGCGTGTCGCCGATACAACATATGGAGCTGACGTGTGAGATCGAGTGGACGAGAGCGAATCCAGGAGCTGAAAACGTTTCACTGCAAGAGAGAATTCGAGATGGGAGACAGTTCAAGCCAGGGTAGTGTTTGCGGCGTACCCAAAATCCGTGAAATCTTCACGCCGATGCCAACCACGGAAAATTTGGTTTAACAGCACATTGTTATTTGAGTCGAACGTCCACATTGTCCCCAGGCTATTTGCATCAGGCGAAGGCCATCCAGGGCTATTCGGATTGTTGAGCCCTTCGCTTCCATCACCACGAATTGTCTCGATCTTTTCGGTTTTATGGTAGGATGTTGCAAAGGCAAGGTTCAGGTTGAGAGCCAAAAGACTCCCGTAAGAGACGGCACGTGGGAGACCCTCAAGGTTCTCTTGCTCGAACCCTCTCCTTAGTGTCTGTAAAATGTTGAGGGGTTTGCTTGAGTGGTTCTAAATTGAGCCTACATTGAGTTCCGGGGGGAGATTGTCATACACCACGGGTGAGCGAATGCGGGATGCTATACGAGCCCTAGGCCTGGAAAACGAGATCCGGAACAAAAGCTGGTTAAACTCGATGTAGTCAACAGGTGGGCGTTCACTAAATGTGGTGTCAGAATTGTCGACACAGTGTGATGATTTGACACACAGCCAGTCACTCATATTTCGTGCCCGCAATATCGAATCAAGTCCAGCGTCTGTCGCCTTCCGACAGCATGCAGTATCTGCGCTCGCCATACTTGGTTTCGCATCCAGCATAACCCCTTTCACGTTGAAGGCCTCAGTGCTGAAGCGCACTGCCACATGCGGCACCCACGTGCAAAGTAAAATCTCATTTGACTACTTGTTCTTATGAACCTGTTTCAGGGATGCGGCGAGCCTCCCCCAATAGGGCATCCAAACGCTCTCCGCTGGTTCATGGAATCGTTCAACTTTCGACTCAGTCCGTCAGTTGCCAATCCTGCCTGCCTTGAGGTCGTACTCATTGCTTCTAAAGTAACTTGGTTTGCACCGGCTGCGTGGACAGTGCGGATATTTGCGCAGGCCCACTCAAATATCTGAGGGACCTTCGAAATCAGTGGAACACTGGAAAATTGGAACTGCCCTCCAACTGGATGGTGAATACATTCCAAGACTAGATCCACGCTTATGCCACTGAAACCATGTTAGTTCTCCGAGACACAGCTCAAGGAGCCAATAGTCTCCCTTCTTAAGGTTCAAAAACCATTTTTGTCCCAGTTAATGATTGGCGCTACATTGGCGCCCGTGCAGCACATGATATCACCACTCACCACTGAAGAAGTTGATTCTCGGTATGACTCGCCTATGGATTTACGACCCGACTTTTTGCTGTCTACCGCCCGTGTATTTCTCGAATCTTACTGGTCCGTTGACAAGCGAGAGTTCCAAATAGCCGGATACTTAAAACGCGACACGAGATATGCTTCAAGCCAGCTTCATTCACTCCTCATCCACAACGGTGGCGGTGCGTCCGCCGAGGACATGCTTATATATGCACTATCTGGTCCGCCGAGCTCTTGGGTACTGAGGTCACACGTTCTTAAACATTTCATCACATGCTCCCTGCTGAATCCTGTCGTCCGAGCAGAAAGCCCCGATTGTGTTTCCCAGAAGAATTTCAGCCTTCTCAGTCGATGGACCGTGTCCGTTTTTGCATTGTTAGGCACCTTGTTACACCGCTCATGGCCGAGTCCAAGCGGGTTGATCAATCTCTCCCCGTATCCTTTTCCAACCCTGCATTGATTACCGGTGCCTTTGATCCCAGCGACGAGTCAGTGTCGCCCGAGACTCTTGAAAATGTCTTTCATGTAGTTCGCGGTAGTTTGGCGAGCTTAATGTTGGCACTGTTCTGCCGACAACGAATGGAGCTTGGATCCTGGCCGAAAGAATCAGAAGATCGTTCATTGCCCGAGTCTCTGATGGTATTTGGCGTCATCTGGCAGCCGAATCATCTTACACTTTTGGCATTCATTCCATTCTGGGACGAAGCTTCCGGGGAGTACCTAATAGCAGCTTCAGAAGTGGACACCTTCCTCTTTGGGGAGTATCCACCAGAGGAGGATCAAACCGAAGAACTCATGACTGGCCCCAATTCACCTTATCTTGAACGCGTCCGATTATTTCTTGCGCTGAAAGTCTTATCAAAACATTCATTTAGACTATGCGATATCTTCGATGCCTCGATGTTGTGGCCACCCTTTGACGTTTGTGAAATGGAACACACGTGGCACCTCCTTTATCTTCCCGAGGATGGGCGCACAGAGGCCCTGGATGATATCTCGTACATTGATGTCGAAGAGGCGGAGGCTTACGCTGAGGAGGCTGGAGAACTCGATGACGATGGTATCTATGGACGCAGCAGCGATTCTGATTCCGACGAAACTTCCGTCTCTACAATGACCAGCCCCAGCCTTACTTACCCACCTGTTGACGTTGTCCGCATTGAAACTTGGCTAGACGTCGTGTCGACTGAAGAGAGATAGACCTCCCGGTCCTCGGAGGGGCCTTGAGGACTTGAAGTGGTCACCTTGTTTCTTCATCTCAGGACGCAGCAGTTACTTTCTCCATACTTTTTATCTTCACCACTCGGATCCACAAAGACGTGAAGAGGCTAGACCTTATACCTTGTTGCAAAATTTTCCATGCTTTCCATTATTACTCCAGGCCCTTACGCCTTATCGCTGAACAAGGCGCTCTATGAATCAACGACAACTGGTTATTATTTCTTACGGCCTAGTTTATCAAGTTGACATCTTGGGGCTTATTCCATTGTGCCAGTCAATCTAACTTGCCATTGTGCCTGTCCTTTGACAATGTAACTCTTCTGCACGGCGTTCTCGCATATTCTACACGCCCGAAGCATGAAGAGAACAATGTCGAGTCTCAAAGATGCCAAGAGAATCACACAAAACTGGATTGTAAGGCACCGAAAGGAACAGGCTGATGTTATGTACGTGAATAACCTTGTCTGAAGCTCAATTCAACAGGAGCCCTTCCAGAAATCTGTCCGCCACTCGTTCATAAAGGCGGACGTAAATACTCACCTTATGATTGGATTGGGCTAATGCTATCTATTCCAGGACAGTTGCTCCAGGAGGGTCACCTCACGAGCGACACTCCGCCCAGGGCTAGCTTTGCCTACGGCCGGCCACTCGTCGTAATACTTGCTCCAGAAACTGACCGCTCAGAGCAGCACGTCTCACCTGTGATCCACCGTTTCGAAAAGGAAGAAATTGACTCGGGACGACTCTCACAGCATAGATTATTCTTCTACCCAACTCCATGCAACATTTGCCACTTCCCATCACTCGCGGACATTGGTCGACGCTGGCTTTCTATGTATATATGAGTGGCGTCAACTTCTATTGTGATCGAGTCTAGGCGAACCTTGGAGTGCCACTAGCATGCATAGATAGCATCTCCCCGATGACCTTCTCTTAAGGGCCAGCTGTTTTCGGCCATTAGCGAGAGTCGTTAAAATCCAAGGAGACGCTGAGCCACGCGCTGAGAACCATACGGGCCTTCCAAAGCCGCGAGTTGCACCCAAAAATGCTCAGGGAGTTCCACCCAATGACTGACGTATTGATCCGGATGAAATAACGGGATTTAGTAGTCAAGGACAAAACGGATAATCTGAACCACGATTCGGTTCGGTGCACTTTTCTAAATTTGGGGTATCGGATATGAGGATGTTCTTAGATCACCACCATGCATTGGAAACGCCGCACATGCCAGCCTGGAGGTCTGACCGCAGTCCCAGGGGGTTGCAGCTGGGCCACTGGAGGACAACAAACTGCAACATCTATATTTCAATCCAACTCAATTCAGTTCGATGCTGAACGAGTGACGAAGTCAAACCAGACCCCTCAGAGTACCAAACAGACTCAAAGCCACATGGCATACTTGAAAGATGTTCGCGGGAACATTTGGGGATAGCAAGACTAATGCCTGAGCGCGTAAAAGAACTCAAATGACAAAGCGGATCGACTTTCAGCCCATCTCGTTTGAAACGGCGGTTTTTTTACCCACGCATCGTTCGAACCGATAGATCACTGATGCGAAGCCGTTCAGACATCGATGTAGGCCGTTTGAACCCTGGATGCTGCTCAGACTGATTTTGAAAAAGCAGATATTGAGAGATGCGGTGAAATGAGAGTGAAGGTCCAGCAAAATTGTCTTTCGGCAACTAGCGTGCATTGCCGGAAATGGCGGGGATTACACGGAGATAATGCGATTTCCGCGACATTTCCCATATCAGATATTTGCTCTGTCCGCCAGCGAATTGAGGTCCAGTTTCCCGTGGATTTGGCTGGGAAATGATGGGGATATTTTGGGAGGGGATCTATCATATTCATATTGATTTCCTGCAACGTCTGGAAAGTGCACTTTCTAACAGCTTTCTTGTTGACAGCATATCACGATGTACATACACAAAAATAAACTCGAAAACTTTCCACCCTGGGCCTTTCCTTTCATTCCTGCACACACAGCTGTAGCACATACTGTCACCAAGCACCAGTTTATAGTAGATCATGAGTTGGGAATGAATATCTACCATATCGCTGCAGGGCAGCGAGGGGAAGAAGCAAAGAACAATATATAAGGTGGCGGAAGTACAATTTGCTTGACAGTTTGGGAACAGGCGAACAAAAATATCTAAATCAATTTCGTCCTGCTACAGATGACAACGGATGACCCGCTAATGGACCCGTAGAGCATAATGAAGTTCACATACAAGCCACCTCTGTGAGAAGTGGGAGGCGACCATGGGCAGCTTAATTAGGTCCACAGAATGCCATATGTTTGTATATTTACATAGGCACAAATGTCCTGGGCGGTCAAACATAATCTGAAATGGGGAAGGAGTGTAAACTTGAAAAATTACCAGCGTGGTCTGGTGAAAAAACGAGTGGTTGTACACGTTCAAGGAGGTGTCTATTTGTATGGGGCACAAACATTGGGATCGAAAACAGCAGAAGGATCCAGCGTGAGTAACCCATTTTTAAGGGCAGTTTGATAGGACCTAGTAGGACAATGAACGATCAATGGCCCTGAACGAAGAAAGCATCATTCCATTCGATCAGATCAACTACATACCACATATCCTGCCTGGGAACCGTTGCATCCGGATCGACTTTCCACGTCCAGAACGTCCAACCTGACCCTACGCCATATGCCAATTTTTGCGCATCTCCCCATTTCTTCAAGAACTCATCCGTCGCATCCCAACTTGTGCTGATGGCCCACTCGCCTGTGTAGAGGGGTGCATTCCTGATGGATGCCTCTTGAGCGATATGAGTGTAGTTGCAAATAGTGACCATGTAGGAATATTCAGTTTGGTTCTTTGAGACGCCACCAAAGTTGAAGTAGATATGGTTGTCGTAACTAGATTGGTCAGAAACCAAAAAAAAAAGTTGGTTCGAACCCTAGCAGTCGAAAGGGAACTTACAGCTGAGGACCGCGAGCAGCATCAGCAGGATTAGGAACAGGAGTCCCATCAGTGCTGTACTGCCAGTCACGATTCATGAATCTAGAAAGCGCAAGTATTTGGTGGGCCCTTATCTCAACATAAGTTAACTGATCAAGGCCTCACTGTGTGGCAATACACCTTCTCCCGATCAACCCATTGTTCAGCCAATTTTTCAAATCCCTCAGCTTCACCTTGCCTCTCGTACCCACAAGCGCGTTCAAGAAGTCAAAATTGACGTCCTCGATGTTATACTTCCAGGCCAGCTTGGCAATGATCGGAATAGCCTTGATGAATGCGGTGAGAACAATGTCATTTGTGAGAGCACCTGCGGCAAGGGTACGATCGCAAATGATGCCGAGGGAGAGTTCAGTGAGTCGAACTCCAAGAACGAAGGCCTTGTAATCTGAGCACATCGACAACAAGCCACTCAGTAAGAATAGATCAACGAAAATCTGTGTTGGCAAGACTTACATTGGCTGAGGCCGGGAGTCTGCGCGTAATTCATGATGGGCTCATTGATAGCCTCGATGGAGAAAACGGTCTTGAAGGCAGGATGACGATGAGTGAGGAACGTCATGACAATAGCCCACGTCACGGCACGCTTGTAGTTGTAGTCGTCTTGAGAGGAGTAGAATTGAACGTTCTTGGTGCAATTACCTGCGAACATCTGGTTGGCTGGGAAGTATGTGTGCAATGGGAAGAGGAGGTGAGAACGAGGGTAGCGAGACGGGTGGGGGTTACTTACAAGCGGAAACTCCAGGAAGGGCGTGGTGGTCAAGGACGACCCAGATTCCAGCCTTCCGGAACATCTCCAAACCTCGGATCTGTCAAGTGTCGCAATGCATGAAGGATCAGTGGAACAGTTCCCAAAGAAAGAAAAAAAAGGTGAGAAACTCACTAGCTCATCTAATCCCCCTTGCGCGTATGGTTCAGTGGTAGTATCCACGATATCCTCCACCACCCAAAATGGGATTGGGATCCTAACCGTATTCAACTTTGCATTCACGATCGCATCCACGTCGTCTTGGGTCAACCAACTGGCCCAGTGTTCTTGGAACACTTGATTGGTTTTGTTGCGACCGAGATAGTTTGAAAGTGACCACTCTGACATGCGGCATTTTGAACAGTCGTTGCATATTTCTCCGCCCATGGCTATCCACTTTCCCGGGAAGATCCATGGCTCAGAGAGCAACCTGCGCGACAAAGAAGGTATGTTGATCCCGCTTTATAGCCCAAAGGCGAGAGGGGCGTACCAATTACCAATCTATAGGGAGAGAATGACGCGGTAAATAATGTCAGACGTGCTCGAAAGTACCTGTCACCCTGTAGACCCAATGGGACTCACATTAACACCATAAATCTTGTCGACCGGTAGAACATGGTCGATTGTGCGATTGGGTCCGTTGAAAAGGGTGTTGGTGATTGCCTCTATGGTGCTGACGAACTGCCCGAAACTAAACTGGACATTTCCATCGACGAGGGGTGTTGAATCCAGGCCATGTTCATCCCGGCCCATGCCTGACACATAGGAAACTTCCTGCGCAGAGGCTAGAGAGTGCCATGTCGAAAGGAGAGTGCTAATAATAATGAAGAGAGTGGAAGTCCACATTGTGGAGTAGGCGGGTCGATAAAACGCAACGAGTGGAAAAGGTTGGAAGATGGCCTGAGGCGAAAGAGGATATGTATATATATACGAGATGGTGGAAAAGGCTAATGGAAGGCCCACGGGGATCATCTGTCAAACCAATTCATATATTCCAAACTAGTCAAATGCAAGCTTCTCCGAATCAATAGTTCCAGGTTTTCGGGTTCGGTGTGCATTTACAATTACATACATACTTCATTGAGCCCGTGAGAATTACATACCCGTGGGACAACTGAGAGGCATTTTCGGACAATGTGGCCCCGCCCACAACGATGATACATACATAACAACACTCCTTACTTGTGTATCTATAAATTTCACTCCCTATACGCTAAAAGCACCGGCCAGGGGGGTGCCCTCATACATAACAAAAGTATTGGCGCTTACCTTAGAAACTAAAAAAACTTTCATGTCAATTATGCACATGAATGGCTGCAGAATGGGTGACCATCATGCAACAGGGCATGTAACACGGTACATGGTTATAACCTGGAGGGCGAGACTCTATCCCGGAGATCAGAAAGGGCAGGGTGCGGCAGGAATATCCTGGGTGGTCAAACATAATATGAGATGGGAAAGGAGTATAGACTTGAAAATTACCAGCGCGCCCGGCGAAAAACTAAAATCAACGAGCGGTTGTACACGTTCAACAAAGCATTTATTTGTATGGGCCGCAGACATTGGGATCAAAAACAGCAGAAGGATCCGGCTTGAGCAACCCATTTTTAAGGGCAGTTTGATAGGACCTAGACATGAACGATCAATGGCCCTGGACGAAGAAGCATCATTTCTATCAGATCAACTACATACCACATATCCTGCCTGGGAACCGTTGCATCCGGATCGACTTTCCATGTCCAGAACATCCAACCTGACCCTACACCATATGCCAATTTTTGCGCATCTCCCCACTTCTTCAAGAACTCATCCGTCGCGTCCCAACTTGCGCTGATGGCCCACTCGCCTGTGTAAAAGGGCGCATTCCCGATGGATGCTTCTTGAGCGATATAAGTGTAGTTGCAAATAGTGACCATGTAGGAATATTCGGTTTCGTTCTTTGAGACACCACCAAAGTAGAAGTAGAGATGGTTGTCGTAACTGGATTAGTCAGAAACAAAAAAGTTGGTTCGAACCCGAGCAGTCGAAAGGGAACTTACAGCTGAGGACCGCGAGCAGCATCGGCTGGATTAGGAACAGGAGTCCCATTGGTACTGTACTGCCAGTCACGACTCATGAATCTAGAAAGCGAAGTATTCAGTGGGCCCTTATCTCAACCAAGTCAACAGATTAAGGACCCACTGTGTAGCAATGCACCTTCCCCCGATAAACCTATTGTTCAGCCAATTTTTCAAGTCCCTCAGCTTCACCTTGCCTCTCGTACCCACAAGCGCATTCAAGAAGTCAAAATTGACGTCCTCGATGTTATACTTCCGGGCTAGCTTGGTGATGATCGGAATAGCCTTGGTGGATGCAGCGAGAACAATGTCATTTGTGAGAGCGCCCGTGGCGAGGGTACGATCGCAGATGATGCCAAGGGAGAGTTCAGTGAGTCGGACCCCAAGAACGAAGGCCTTGTAATCTGAGCACATCGACAACAAGCTATTCAGTAAGAATAGGTCAGCAGAAATCTATGTTAGCAAGATTTACATTGGCTAAGGCCAGGAGTCTGTGAGTAATTCAGGGTGGGCTCATTGATAGCCTCGATGGAGAAAACGGTCTTGAAGGCAGGATGACGATGAGTGAGGAACGTCATGACAATAGCCCACGTCACCGCACGCTTGTAGTTGTAGTCGTCTTGAGAGGAGTAAAACTGAACGTTCTCGGTACAGTTACCTGCGAACATCTGGTTGGCTGGGAAGTATGTGTGTAATGAGAAGAGGTGAGAACAAGGGTAGCGAGACGGGTGGGGCACTTACAAGCGGAAACTCCAGGAAGGGCGTGGTGGACAAGGATGACCCATATTCCAGCCTTCCGGAACATCTCCAAGCCTCGGATCTGTCCAGTGTCGCAATGCATGAAGCATCAGCGGAACGGTTGCCAAAAAAAAAGGCGACAAATTTACTAGCTCATCTAATCCCCCCTGCGCGTATGGTTCAGTGGTGTTATCCACAATATCCTCCACCACCCAAAATGGGATTGGGATCCTAACCGTATTCAACTTTGCATTCACGATGGCATTGACATCGTCTTGGGTCAACCAGTTAGCCCAGTGTTCTTGGAACACTTGATTGGTTTTGTTGCGACCGAGATAGTTTGAAAGAGACCATTCTGACATGCGGCATTTTGAACAGTCGTTGCATATTTCTCCGCCCATGGCTATCCACTTTCCCGGGAAGATCCATGGCTCAGAGAGCAACCTGTGCGACAAAGAAAGCGTGTTGATCCCGCTTTGTAGTCCAAAGGCGAGAGGGGCGTACCAATTACCAATCTATAAGAAGAGAATGACGCGGCAAATAATGTCAGACGTGCTCGAAAGTACCTGTCATCTTGTAGATTCATTGGGACTCACATTGACACCATAAATCTTGTCGACCGGTAGAACACGTTTGATTGTGCAATAGTGCCATATCAAAAGGAGTGTGCTAATAATGAAGAGAGTGGAGGTCCACATTGCGGAGTAGGCGGGTCGATAACACGCAACGAGTGGAAAGGGTTGGAAGGTCACCTATATACGGGATGGTGGAAAAAGTTACATGACGGAAGGCCCACGGGCATCGTTCGGGGACCTCATCAACTATCAAACCAATCCATATATTCCAAATTGGTCGGTGTCCAAATGTGAGCTTCTCGAAATCAATATTACAGCCGCCGTCAAAAAAACAGCGCATCCAATTTTACTGCCGTCCCAGGTTTTCAGGCTCATTGACCGAGCATTTACATTCCCAAAATTTTGCGTGGGGCGAGCCTGTGAGAATTAATGGCCACCGCGAGATCACTGATGCAGAGAGGCATTTTGAGATAATGTGGCCCACAACAATTATGCAGATGATAACACCCCTTGTTTGTATCTATAATTAACTGGTGGACGCCGCTGGTGCGGCAGAACCCGCTACTCTTCTCGCCTTGCCAGTTCGATTACTTTCGTTTGGCAAGCCGTTTGCGAATCCGAATTTTCGCGAGGGGGGGCCTATTGCAGAAAGTATCGGCGTACGCAGGTATGGGCAGGCTCTCATGGAAAAGTTACAGAACACACGGAGATAGGTGCATCATGTACACAACCAAGGAGCATCGTAACAGTCGGCATTCAAAACGTGGCATATTAAACGCAATCGTTTATCCTTTGTTGTTAAAGGAAGACAGATCCAACGCACAACCCAGAAAAGAGTGCGGCCACAAATCTACGCGGATAATTTAGAGGATAAGACAATAAGCAGAACAAACTTGCTGGTGTTAGGAGACGCCATGGCAAGTGATGTTTGGGCCAGCTTACATAGCAAGTGACACAACGGTGGCACGCTTCCAGAGGAAGATGGATGAAGAATTTTTGGTGGTGTGGGCACTGCCCCATTCGAGTCGTTGGAATTCACCTCGTCACTCACCCACGAGGACTAGTGGAAAGAGACGAGAGAGGCAAGGATGTCACACCCACCCGGTTGTATTTCGATAGGGTTGAACGGTTGCTGTGGACCATGCTGGAAGACCCCAGGGGAGCAACGGTCTCCGTAAACCACTCAGAGGAAATCTCAGCCCATTTGAATGATGCGTCCACTGCCGGGAGCACCGGGGAAAACAGGCGTCGAAATGCTTCAAGAGTCGCCGATGTTTCGATAGTTGGAGAATCGAGCTGCTGAGGAATGGAGGTGATTACCAGGTGAAGTCGACCTGAGCGCTGAACGACGCTCGATTCCGATGTAGGTACGGCCCGGGTTGGGGAAGAGTACAATCATTTCCCACCACTACGATGGGTACTGGGTGTGCCATCATATATGCGGGAATCGTCCACGAAAGCATTGTGGAACTAGCGAAGGGTAACGATAGTACAAAGAGGACAGAAGGGGGGGGGGAAGGCGGAGGAAGCTGGATGCGAGTGGTTATGCAGAATTGGCAATAATAGAGGACCTTGTCATCAAACGAATTCCGAAAAATTTGCAGGACCCGCTACGGAGTAGCGGGAATTTTACTGCCCATACACTACAGGCACCGGAATATCGGCCAGGGGTGCCTTCATAACAAAAGTATTGGCACTTTTGGAGAGTATGTCCACTAGGTCGAGGAGTTCGTAAATAAGCCAGACCCAATGATGAAGGGACGAAGCGTCTATGTGGCGCTTCAGTTTGAACATACATATTCGATTGTTCATACTGCCCCAAGGTTCGACAAGAAACTCCCTGACGTGTTTGAACGGCTTTCTTCTTTCTTATGTAGTGGGACACGACAAGAGTATCAGGTTCTGCGCTTGTCATTGGTATTTGCGTCTCCTTAGGGACTAACGAATCAGATCCGGAAATCCTGCGCCCTGACAGACTGCTACCTTGTCAACCGCTGTCTGTATGTGTGGATATTTAGCCTGCAGACTTCATGCTCCTGACAGCGCCAAGGGCAGCATACGCTGGGTTAACGGTGTTCTTGTCAGCCGCTGCACCGTCGTCGGTGCATTTTTCGTCGACGAAAGAATCCATCTGCCGAAGGGCCCTGGCCTGATCATGCAGGAGATACAGTAAAAGCGTTCGGCGATGGATTCATCTTCGAGGGATGCAAGACAAACGACATTAGGAAGATCTGATGCCAACTCGAGATGCAGTGCTCATTCAGTTTGCCAATACCTTAGGCCTGTGAGTACGTGGGAACGTCCAGGCGGGTCCATTCCATTATTTGTGAGCGCAAACATCAGGCAGATGCCTGCGTAACCGACGCGTTCTCATGGGAATCCATCACCTAGATCAGGCACACAATATTCCAATCCAACCACCCTAATACAGCGTCTGGGAACCATCAAGTCCGGATTGAGGATGACAGGATGTGTCAGAAAGATCACTGATACCATGCGAGGCTTGGGAGAGCATGATAGTGGAGTGTCATGCATACACCAGCTGCACGAGCGTTTCAAGCGCCTTGGATCCACATAAGAGAAATCCATCACAACGGCAGAATCATTAATGTGCAGGTACGATCTCGTCTGAACTTGCGCATGTGGCTCCTCGGTAGTGTCCACATGGAATATCCCGAGCGGCCCAAAATGGAACTCTAACATTCTTCAACCATTCACTCATTACTGTCCAACGCTCTTTGGAAATTCGATGTATTTTTGATTGCAAGTTACATACTACTCAGTCTTTGAAATACTCTTTCCTCTCTTCCCCGAACGGCCATCTATCCTTCTGAAAGGAATCCAAGGCTCAAGAAACAACCTGCTCCCGAACGAAGATGCGAGTTGGTCCCGCCTAAGGTGAGCGGTAATCAACTTCAATCCAGGCGGTACAGCAGATCACTTGTCGTGTAATCCGAGTCTGCTACGTTGTAGCGAGGATAGCCGTACTGCCATTTGTTAGCCTACGTTTTCATAGGTACCTACCAAGTCCGCTTCCTCACTGTGCCCACTGGCACTCCATGAGGTTAACTCGCGCCCAGCTTCCGCAACTCCAACGTTCAAGGCTTCAGCTTGAGAGCCAGTTGCCGCAAACGGCGTTGGTAACACACTTTACAGGTCAGACGAGGGTATTCCAAGCTGTGGATAGTCTAGATAGAAACCAAGGCCATCGCAACCAGCAATAGCCGGGAGTGTCTGACCATTCACCACTCAGTATTAAGTGCTGCACACGATGCGGAAGCTCAACGTCCCACCGTCCACACCTTTCCTGAGCACATCCATCAGAGGCCTAGGCCCAACCGCTCTCGCCGGAGATACGGTCAGCTTCCCAGTTGCATCATGTTTTTGTTTTTTGTTTTTGTCGAGTTGGAGCGTCTGCTCACACCTTAAGGATGCGCGCTTCCGACAGTGGCGCAGCCCTCTTACCCATTACTAGGGCAGGACCTTCCTAGCTCCTTCCCCGTACCCCGTCCGGGTAACCTCATGCTGATTTTTTCTGGGGTCTTGATTTTCCAATCTGACGAACATCGGGGCCCAGCCTGCACTTTACTTAATCAACTAAATGGAATTACCGGGCTTTCGTAAACCCCACATGCTGCAACCCGTGCCATTACATATACTGCCGTCACGCTTATTTGCAATCCCCCCCTTGTAGTTCACCTACCCTAAAACCGCGGCGCTTCAAAATGGCTCGTTCCATTGATGATTCACCGACTACCCTGTGCAACGGCATGAAGATCAGGGTAATCACCGCAGATAGCCCAAGAGATCGTAATACAGTTGGTCTTCGCAGCTGGGTGTCCTTATGGGGACATGCAGACGATGATCGCTAATTAATAAGTTAGATAACGGAGCCGTTTTGGACCCTTCTCGAATTCATGGCGTTCCCGCATGATACCCTGGGCAACCGAAACGCTAATTAATGAAGGTGCCTGTCATTCAGTTTATTCTGTCGTCTGGCAAATCCATTCCATTTTTCAATTATAGTGTTTGCTCGGACCTGCCACATGCGGTGCCCGCGCACACGGATGCAGGAACCTCGCGGTAACGATAGTGTTGTTAATTGTAGAGCTACCCAAGACCCCAGGGTTCGAAAAAAATGAGAGTCAGGCCTCCCGTGCCCGCGCCGGGGGGGGGGGGGGTATGTACTTCGAAAGCCGGCCGCCACCGAAAGGGGAGCAGCTACGTGCACGCTCCACTGGCAGACTGGCGCGCGTTCGCGTCAAACCGAGCAACTAGAAAAGGACTTTGGTGGGCAGCCGAGCCACAATACTAGATTAATGTATCAACACGCCAAGCTTTACCACGCTCCGAGAAACTGGGAAACTCGAACATAAGGCTCCTGATAACCCGGATTCGGATCGGATTGGGGTTGGATTTTCTTCAGATTGGCAGATCTTGGGCAAGGACTGGGGGTATTGGCATGGATTTAAGTGTTCATAGTCAAGTCCACATCCTTTCAGGACCAACCCCAATCCGATCCGAATCCGACTTAGCAGGAGCACTACTCGAACATATATATTCCGATCCCAAACCCGGATGTTCATTAGACGCTGGGCTGAGTTGAGGGGAAAATCACGACATGGTCATGGGTAGGGACCTACGTGGTGCTTTTTCTTGACTGTCGAGTTGCAGGATATAGTAGTTGCGTATATACACGAAAAATTTGCAGTGGCAAGGAAATGGACGGTAGCGCGTTGTCGCAAACGTGAAGGACATTTCCCAAAACCGGAGGTGCGGCAATGAGAAAGAAGAGCGTGAAGAATTATACTAAAAAAGGATGCCGCGGAAAAGCGGACGAACACGCATAACGAGGGGGGGGGCTCACAGAACGTAACGGAAAGACAAGTTCTCTCGATCCTGAGTATGGGTGAGTTAAATTCTGAGATCCAGTAACGAAGTTGCAAGCATGAACGTACGGTCAAATCGAGCAAAGCCTTTTCAACTTTCTGCCTAACGACCTGACCCTTCTCGTCCGCCCGCTCGACATATCCAAACATGTCGTCCTCATTGGCCAACCCAGCTTGAAGTTGATCCCTCCGCTTGTTCTCCCTCTGAAGGTACCACCTGAGCGTAAGCAAAAGGACCCAATTTCCGGCGTAAGAACCCATCGTGATTCCCCACGGGACATAGTTCCGTGGTTTATAACTATCCTTCCAGAACTGGGTGGAAAGAATTTGACCTATTTTTTTTTTTCGCTCAGGAGGGGCTTATGTGAGAATAGAAATGATTTCGTACCAAGAGCATAACCAATCATGAAAATACCATTCGTTGTGAGCTTCTTTGTATGGCCAGCAGATGTGGAAGTAACCCAGGATAAGACCATAACGAAGCCAGAAGCACCACTCAAATCTACGTATTAGGTAAGTATGTCGTCCATTGTCAATGGAAACAATGCGAAAATATACTTAGGACATAGTAAGCGGCCAGAAGTCCGTGCTGAGTGAATACGCAATTTTTTTAGTCAGTTCAACGACACGCATTGACCACGAATCTGGTCACCTTATTATGCAACGGCAGGGTGACAAGCAGAATAGCGCCGACCATGGGTGCCACGAAGGCACCCATGCCGATCCATGCTCGTGAATTGGGAAAGCGACGGAGGAACAACCCTCCCACTGTTATACCAACGATTTGCTGATTGACGCCGAAATAAGGATTATCACCAGATCGAACATGATTCACACAAACTCCAAGTACCCACCACAGCGCCGAGTGGAATGGAAAGCAAGGTCACTTTCCAAACCTTGAAGCCGAAGGATAGTATGATGATACCATACTGAATACCAATTCCATTCTGAAGGTTGGAAATGGCCGCAAACAGGAAGAAGAGCCACGTCTTGGGATCGCGTAGAGCTTCGATGAACCTATTGGAAAGTCCCATGTTCATCGAGGAGCAGCTCCAACAGAACGAATGAAATCAAAAGCTCACTGATGCTTCTTGAATTTCTTGGTTTCAATACCGTTCCGGTTTTCCTGGATACGTTTCACTGCAATGACACGCTCCTCTGGAGTAAGAAACCATGCCGATGAGGGATTATTGGGGAAGAAGCGCAAAAAGAGGAGAAAAACAATAAAGGAGATAATGGAATTCACGATCATAAGCCACTGCCACTGATTAGGCGAAGCCTTCGGGTTGGCATGGTAAACAGCGAAGGAGAACACGGAGGAAAAGATCAAAGCGAGGCCGTTGCATTGAAACGTCCTTTAAGTTGCTGAGTTAGGGAATGAACGAATCTAAGATCGAGGAATGACTGACCAGCCTATGCGTTCTCCGATCTCGGTGCGGTTATAAAACATGTTGCAAACAATCATGACAGCTGGGGCACATTAAATAAATAAGATTGATAAAATACAACCATGAAAGAGGATTAGACACGTACAAAGGGTAACGGCGCCTTCGGTGGCACCAAGGAGGAATCGAAGCGCAACTGGAATCGCAAGGTTAACGTAGCGAATGGAGCAGGAATGCGCAAACTCACAAAGGGAACCATAGCTCTTAGCCGCAGCATGACATCCAATGAAGAGTGCCCTGGGGAAACACACATGTCAGTCGCACACTCCTAAATCCCTGATGACATCCACATCTCACCATAAGAATATGTTGAAAGTGAGCCATTTTGCGACGGGAAACCTCTGAAGGGCCAAAGAATGGCCATACTCGAAGACGATGAAGCCAATGTAGAACGCTGAACCCAAGTTGTTGAACTGTGCGCCACTCAAATGGGCACTCTTCTTAATGCCCAGGATGGCCGTTGCACCTAGAGCACCCCTGTGTAATGTAAAATTGGATTTAGCAACCGCCGCAAACAGAGGTCCCCAAACGACATGAAAAGTTCACTTACTTATCCATACCCTGGCCTATATGGTACCAAAAGTGAACAAAAACGTTATTAAGCGTGTCAAGTAAAGAATCCGACCAGCGAGATTAATTACAAGTGTAGAGCAGGAAGAGCAAGGGTAGAAGATGCCAGTCAAGCTTCCTCCGAATGCGACTTGCTACATCTGGTGGAACTGGAGCGTCATTCGCATGTTCACCAGCTACCAAGTCCACAGCGACATCTACACCCTGCCCATAGCTGACGACGTCGGCATTTGCGATAGAGGAAGAAGAGTGGTCCAATGACTTGTTATCATCGGAAATGGGGTCCAGCTTGGTCTCTATGTCTGCCATTTGTGATCGAACAGGAAAAGTCACCAATGCCGACTTGGAGGGGGAGTAGAGAGAGGCAAGGTGTGAACAGTGGTGAGCCAGAAGATGCTCATATGTATAGATAGGGTCGTTGAAGAAATGGAAATAGTTTCCCCAGGTATTTTCCTCAATTCACTACTTCATTGATCGTGACTGCTTTCTTCAGCCAAATGAATACAAATTTTGACAATACCTATTCGGGCAATTCGTTCATTTCGAGATCCTGGTTACGGAAACGGTGTAATGTACGAAAAAATCCTGACTTACTTGGAAGGACCCTTGGTAACTCCTCAGGGAAGTTTCCTACGGGAGTTTCTCACGATGCATTTATAATTCAGGCACTTTCATTATGTAAGGGCAACTGAGACCCAGAAGTGACTTCAATACAATCCAGTTTGTCGGAAAGCGCACGTAAGCGACCCATCACATATCTTCCTGCTATGAGTTAGAAATCCCCCATCCCTCCTCCATCCTCCTCGTCATCAAGCTCACCGTCCGCGATCTCTTTCACTAATTCCTTTTCTCTCTCACGTGCAGCTTCTGCGCTGGCCAATTCCTTGCGATGCGCATTCAATGGGTAACGCATGGCCTAAACAAGTAGGGAGAAGATCACCATTCCGTCCAGTACAGACGGCAATGTAGATAGGAGCGTACCTTGACAGATTCATTATGCAGCTCTAGACAAAAACCAACTCGCTTCGTGTAGACTTCTCGTGGTTCAGCTGTTGCGTACACGCCTTCCGCGCCCTCCGCTCGGCGAGCATGGCTGATCATCCATCCATTGGCATGGTCGACGCGGGCCTCAATCACACCATCACGAACAGCTTTACCGACGATATACTCAGCGTCTTCTTCGGAATCCAAGTGAAGCTTGACGCAAATATCTCGCAACGAAATCAATGAATAAGCTAACGATAGTGAACGGACTCCGGTTTTGATCACATTGTGTCGCAAACGCAGAATCAGTTTGTACGTTTGATCTTGGGTGAATTGGGCGGCGTGGGTTGAGAGGGCAGCCTGGAATTGGGAAAGGTCTCCTGTGCGAACCGCTGAGAAGGGCGTGACAAGTGATCGTCAGATACAACGGCCAATTTCAGCGACAAATTAAACTATGCAAATACCTTGAACAATTCGCAAATATGGTATCAGGGGCTTCCTAAGAACAGGGTCCCTGAATAAATTTCTGTCTGGAATGTCCCCCATAAGTAGCTCGACAACGATGAAGAGTTTATGGACAGTCTGGTAGAACCCAGGGGCGATTTTGGAGTTGGGCGCACGCCGTATGGCTTGTTGCAATTGGGTGTGAGCTTCCGAGTAGGACAATTGGACAGCACGGATACGGCCTAGATAATATAAGTAACGAGCAAGCTGGGGATTGCCAGCAGAAGTTGGGAACGTTGTTTTCGAGACAAGCTTGTCTGCTTGCGAATATAGTTGGAATGAAAGGTAATTGGAAAGCAGAAGAGTAATGAGGACTGCTTGACAGTCGGCATCCTGACGGAGAGACGCCGTGCGTTGAGCCGCGAGAAGTAAACTGCCACCATTCAGCAATGAACACCAATGTTACGACGATGCAGTGACAGAGGGATATGCACTTACGGACGGATCACGGAAACGTCTCCATGTATTTCATGAGCTCGTGAGAGGTAGAAGTACACTTTGCTTGCGACTGGATCCAGAGTCCGTCTATTGAAAGTATGGATCCGTTCAGCCGTCTGATGAGCCAAGTCTACTGCCCCTTTGACGTTCTTGGAATCTATGAGAAACAAAATGACGAGCAGTCGCAGGTAAGTGTCAACTTCGGGGTTGGGTTCGACCGTGGACGCTTTAATTGGTGTTGTCGCAGTGGCCGGAGAATCATCCACATCCATAGGGGCTTCCGAAGACTTGGTTGCTGGTGGTATGTACGCAAGGAGCACTGCCAACCCAGGTGAGGCTTGAAGCAAATATACAGTTCAGAAACACTCGGGCTGACGGTGTGATCACTTTGGCACACCTTTGGAATAAACAGCTTCTAAAGCATCCCTAAGTACATTGGTATTGAGTTTTCTCCTTAGTGTAGTTAGAGAGCGGAGGACACGATGAGTAAACCGTGGCTCAAGTGTCGATACAGCACGCTCAATGAGTTGAACATTGGCTTTTATTTCTGCCACAGGTGTTAAGGGCACTGGCGTTACAGGCTTAGCGTCCCCTTTTGGGTCAGATTTCTCGTCTTTAGAAGGTGTTGGCACTGAGGAATTAGGTTTTGGCTCTGGCATCGTCTTCAAGCAACGCGTAACGCGATTTGGAACCCGGCTATTCCCATTCCCACGGGAGGGTTGCTGTTCCCTCCTGCAGTATTTGGACAAGTCGCCGAACCGTGCCAACTGAGGACCCTAAATTATACATGCAGCATCCCTTTGGTGCGCTATTTCCAAGTGAGGCCAATAGATATCTCCAACCTCGGCCTTTTGCACTTTCAGAAGCTGCCTTTGATCTGCCTCCAGATCCGCTAGCTCCTTTCACGGTACGACCATTGTGTATCGGCGCGACATCCTGTTGTTGGGTCGCGAGTGGGCAACGCTGCTCCCAACGCCACCCCTGTCGGCCCTGGACCGAGACCTATACCGTGCTCGTTTTTTTTACTGGCTAGTGTTCAAGTGCGCAAAAGGTTATGCACGAGTAATTCGCTATGTACTGTACCCTCCCATGATCACCCGCTCAGGTTTTCGGCAGCCCATTTTCATAAACCAAATCGTGCCTGGCGCGTGAGGGTCGCATGACATGAACCAAATCTACAGATCGCCATCTTGCCGACGATTGCACAAATCCGACTTAACGAGATGATCTAACCAAGATATCATTCCATCCGCGGCTTTTCTGAGAGGCGATCGTGACCAGAAATGAGATCATTCAAACAGACAAGGAAAGAACCCACGCGGCGTACACGCAGGCTTACGGGAGATTGTGAAATATGCTTCTGTGCATCTTGGAGTGAATGTAGGGCCGCTACAAATGGCAGAACAGAACAAGCCAACAATATTAGCATGGCAATGAAACTCTATTCCCTTGCCGAAAACTGAACAATTCTTGCCACCACCAATCGCATTTTCTTTCTTGATGCAAGTATCTGGGCATGATCCAAAGATGGATAGCAAACCACTTTGAGTGAATGGTCGTCATTTTCCCAAATTCGGGCGGCCTTGTCATCGTCTTCCCTAAGACCCGTGGAGCACTGTATATCACTTGCTCCATTCGTCAGATACCTCCAGACTTTCCCTGCAGGCACGATCTGGTCCTTCCCACTCAGAACGACTAGTGTGGAGAGCAAACGGGGCGATCCACCAATCGGTTCTTCCTGCATCACTCCAACAATGTTCTCCCGCCAAGCTACACCTTCATGCCAAAAGAACTCCCGACCCAGCACCCCTGCCACCGCTATATCTCGACTGCTGAAATACCACAGCATCCATTCGTTAGCTCGCCAACTGCCAGGAACACGATATAGGAACGAATGCACGAGGTCAGGCTCGAATATGAGGAACGGAATAGGGTCAATCAAAACCGTTGCGCAGATGCGCGGATGCTGGTAAAGACCCCCACTTTCGGCATCCGAGACTGAACGACGTGAGGCCGCTAGAAGTTGCGAGACTAAAAAGGTGCCAAAGGAAACACCAATGATTACGTGGGACATGTGTTCCTGATGATGATTCTCTAAGATCGAGTAGACGTCGCGGGCGAATGTCTTGGGAGGCGTCATTTGGCGCAAAGGATAAACCAAGCGGGAATTGATGGCCGAAATTTCTAGCACGATGATACCTACATCGCGATCTGCGCGAACGAGGTCCCACAAAAATGCGATATAAGGTAATAGTCCAATCTAGAGCAAGGATTTGTCGCGTCAGCGCTTGCAGTAACTGACAACTGGCAGTACAAATTATTGCTCACCCCTATGCCGTGAATGAAGAACAATGGACTTTTCTGTTTCGATACATGCTCCCTGTGCCAATATGAAAACCGGGGTACGACGGACTTACGAGAGAACACGGTGTATGGGCGGAAGGGAAACGATGAGAACCAGAGAGGGGTGTCGTAGTGTCGAAAGCCGATGTAGTGAAGAGCCAAGTGTGTTGCAAAATCTAAGCCAGAAACAACCTTCATTGCCTCCTTGTCAGCGGCGCAACGTAAAACATGTCATCAGCAACTCACCAGATAATAGATCAAGGGCCGATGCACAACCTTGACTTTATCTATGATTGGCCGCATACATTTGATGTCCTCATTTCTCCCCTCTTCGAACGACCGTCCCAGCTTCGCTTCCACCAAGTTCACATAATAATCCATCTCTTCGCTTGTTGCTACATCAGAAGCCGAAACTGCGTATGTGGCCCATTCCACGATGTTGTCCCTCTTTAAAGAATCGATCGGTGCGCCATGAAACCAACCACGAAGAAACGACTCGGTATCAGTTATTGTGGCTAAGCATTGTTCAAAGAGTAGGCGACGCTCCTGAGGACTTGATTCCGCCGGAAGTACCGCCGGCTAGGGAGAAACGAAGCAGAGGCTATTCAGGACGCATGCTATAAGGTAGCGGCGGCTCACGCACCTTCTGAATTTGCTTCTTCCTTGGCAGGTACACAAATATGAAAAAAGCGCTTTCCAACGCCGCATAGCACCAGAGTCCAAAATATCCGGGATGCCTCCTAATAATTGCGCCCAGTGTTGCAGGTATGCTAGCCTCGCTCCGCAGAAGATGCTGAAAGAAAACGGCACATCCCCCAATGAAGCCGGCGAAGCAGACAGGTGTGATTGACCTGAGAAGAAATATTCCTGATCGGACCAGGATATATTCGGGGCGACTGTCCCCAATCATGTCGGGGAACGTTCCAGTAAGTCAAAAGGGAAGAGAAGGCAGGAAACCGCACTATCACGTTGCCCCTTGGATCTGAATGCGGCGCAGTTGGCCCATGTCGTCAACATCAAGACTTTGCCACTTTGGGGAGCTGGTGCACAGCCTCGGCGGATCAGACTCAGGGGAAATGGGCACTGCTCGTCAACGTTGCCACTTTCCGCTGGGTACCCCAGCCTCCATGTTACATAGAAGATTCTCCATTTCATGTGTCAGGAATATTTATCGGTGGCTTATTCCACACCATGAAAGAGTCATCCGCGTTTCGCCCACCACGTCTTTACACCTGTTTCAAGTTGTGACTTTGCGTTGGTGATTCCCGACGTCTGCCATGCGCTCGCACTGCTGAGCCGGTTTCTGACAACTAATCGGCATATCTTTATGGATTGAAGGGCACATTTTCACAAGCCCTCCCGGACCGTCATGTCTTGGGCCCAATTTGGGCAGGATACCAGTGGAATGGTCCTATGTATTTTTAGTGTTATTTTCCATGTGTTATGGCTTTTGCTCTGCGGATTTGGTCGTCCCATCGCATAAAATGAGTATGGCACCTAATGCCAGAAGTGCACGAGGATCACATTTAAGTCCCGCTAACTATTTCGCTGTGCTGCTGTGTACCTTATGCGCGACACGATTAATAAATACAGCCAACCGTGCAGAAATGCTCCCTGATGCAATGCGCTTGTCCGCGAAAGATTTCCCTTGGTGGCTGCGTTTTCTCTCCATTGATTGATCTCTCCGCCGTCTGTTTGTTGACGAGGCTCTCCCGCTTTTTGATTCAACGACCAACCCCTCTTCTAGAATGCCTATCAAACCCTTATGGGCTACGTCACCTATCAGAGGCCAGGAATCCGCTTATCCATTCCCCCAATAATATGGGTAGAATTATGCGGGGTTGGGACCGACACCTTCGATGCGAGTGTACACAATGCTCACCCTCGGTGATTCCTGATGAAATGCTCCACCAAACCTCTTGATCAGGGCTGTGTAATGTCACAGGTTATGGAAAGGGAGGAACACGCTCACCCTGACAGCCTCGTGTGCATAGTCAACTGCGGGAAGATGAAATTGGACCTTGCGTTGGAAAGTTCTCCAAGCATCTGGTCAATTATTTTGGCGAGTCAGGTCTTCATTCAAAGGAACCGATCCGCGTGAGCTTACATCCACCCTTCTCCATGCCCTCCGAGGTTATACGCGTAGTTTTGCTCTTGAATAACTTAAGACTCGAAAGTAATAAATGAAGCAACCCCATCATCCTATGCCTTCAGTCAATCAGACTACGTTGATCCCCTCCCGATCCCCGAGCATCCGTTTCCAGTCAGAAGGGTAAGAGGCGGTGAAGGAGCATGGTTCTTCATGCTAGCGCGAGTGAAGGCATGAAGGAATTGTCCCAATTCTAACTAGCCCCCTAACTCCTTATTCCCCACTTTTCCAACGTCGAGGTGCCAAGGCGTGGCTTGTCTACCAACATCGGAGGGCAGCCCTAGGAGACATTCCTTGCTTTTCATCCAGGCACTAGTCCGACTAAGAAGCAGATCTTGCAACACTTCAAAATAATTTTGTTCAAACATATTGCAGAAGGAGCCTACAGCATGGTTGCACGTTCACTTTTTCTTTCCCTTCTTCCCTGCTCCTGCTCTTGCGCCTCCGCCACTCCCTCCTGCAGATGGCCCCTCGCTCTTAGACTCCGGAACAATACTACCCTGAGTGGCGCCAATCCCCATCCCACCTTTCTTTGCTTTCTTCCAACGTCCATCCACTTTCGTTCTTTCTCTTTTCTTCAACCACCTCTCAGGATCAGGCATAGGTGTAACGCCCAACACCACATTCTTCGGTATCCGTGATTTCCGTGGAGGTTTAAGCGCGACAGGGGCCGTGGGTTGGTTGTCTCCAGGAGAAGGTTGAAGGGGAAGGTGAGTGTGAGTTGCAGTCGATGGTGGCGGGAGCGATTCTAGCGAGGATAAGTTGGGAAGGGAGTGGACAGCCTTTAGGTAATCTTTGGTGAAGAAATCAATGTGGGCTTGGGCAGCCGCGATATTGGTGAGGATGTCAGAGTACTCGTCTGTGTCCTATGCAGGTTGGAATTATTGTAGAAAACAATGCATACTGAATGGCGTGCGCGTGCGAACTCACTGGTGGACAAGTATCGAGTAATTGTTCGTAGATCGCTCGAGCGCCTTCATAGTCACCAGCGCGATATTTCTAATGGAAATTGACGTTGGTGATGGCGGTTTCGATACACGGTCGAGGCGACGTAACCTACCACCTGAGCATCAAGATGAAGAGCCCCGCTGTCCCCCGAACCAGCGTTCTGAAGAAGGTTCGACAAAATCGCAGCAGCCTCGTCTTCACGCCGAAGGCGATATAGTACGTATGCTTTACTGAAATCTCTAAGTGATCCCTGGCTTTCCTCCAGAAGGCTCAATGCTTCCTTATACTGATCTGTTTGCAGTAACAGGAAGAGTTTGGTACGAGACGTATCCTCGTCGTTCGGCAACAGTCGAAGGACTGGACCATAAGTACACAGAAAGGATACGAGGTCAGCTATGAAACACACTTCGATTGCACGTTTTTATGGCATTCTTTGGGAACCCAGCATCAATCTGAGCACACAGCGAAGTAAAGTATCTCCGGAGCTGATCTTCCCGTGATCGTGGAGGCTTTGTCAATCTTGGTTTATTTCTACGTTTGGATGATGCTTTATGTTCTTTCTTTCTGAGAGGGGCTGATGGGGCAGGGGGCTTGCCGCCAGGCTTGGACGCCATGTCGTTGATGCCTTTCGCACGATTAGATGACAGCGAAGTCAGGTGATGGTAGAATTCAATCATGTTTTAGCGCGCGTCTCTCATCTGGCTTCAGGGGGTCATCTGTTGCAAGGCAGCAACAATTGACTCGCTGCCTCCGCGCTATGGTACCCGACCCTGCGTTATGTCGGTGAGACGTCCGATAATTGATGTTGTGTCTTATTTCTAGTCTGTCGCTATTGTCTTATCTTGTCAGTTTATTCAGCACACGCCTCCGTTGTTCATTGCTTTATTCATTGCTGCGCTCGTTTCATGTTACACTCGAACAGATGACGCTTAAAAGCTTGAGCTTCGCTTCATGGATGCCCTCAGTTCTTACTTGAGACTGAGGTTCATCTCCTATTTTTGCCATACTTGTCGCTCATTCACTTCTTTCATACTCCTACCTGGTATGGTACCGTTTGACTCTAGTCCGCTACAAGTGTACTTTATCATCCTCCAAAATGGGATGTTCATCGTACCCTGTTCAGGTGCAGGGAAGGATGTTTGGGTTCCTATGTGAAATTAGCTGATGATCCAGCTGTGCTAGGCGCGTACCGTCGCACGCTGTTGTTGCGCAACGCTGAGAAATTTTATGTATGCCTGATTAGGCGAGCTTACACGGCAACACTGGAGCTGGGAAATCTGTGTCAAGCGACCAGGCATCTTGTAAGTTAGAGGGATTCCCCTGTTTTTCCAAGGTGTCCCGAAGTATCCGGGGAACTACGAGTCAACTTCACTCAAAACGCCTTTCAAGTCACCGCAGCTCTGGTCTCAACGGCGTGCGTACGTCATTTAGGACACCGAGGCTCTGTAAGACATGATCGCTGTAACGCAAAGACACAGACCATTGAGTAAACGACGCCCTGATAGGGGCCAACTGTCTAAATGAGCTACTCCTCCGAGCGGTGACTAATTGTTGGAGGCAAAAGTGATCGCTAGGGGGTCAATTCGAGTGAGGGAATTTTCTGAGATTTGTGTTGAAATCTTGGTTTTCTTGTACGCTGTGGCCAACTCACAATGTGATGTTGAGCTAGCGGCGCTTTATTTCCTTTCTTGGTATTCCTGCTACCAAAGTCAGTGCGCCATTGAGGCGACTGCTTATAAAAGCAGTGAACAAGTTTTCACTTTCGTCTCCCTCAGTTCAACAACGATTGACTGAGGTGAGACTACGCTTTTACCACATGTTGTGTTGTCACTCATGTATCTTCATATGCCCTAGCGTAAAACGCTAGGTAATTAGTTCAAATCTATCAGTTCAACAACGATTGACTGAGCGTAAAACGCTAGCGTAAATCGCTAACATCCTAATAGGTTACGAGCCTAGTTCACTCAGAACTCACCCATGTCGCAGACTACCCCCTCCACTTCTCAGCCAGCCCCTGCCCCCACCACTACAGACAATACCCGTTTCCCCATAACTATTCTAGACGCCGATGGTAAAACTTACTCCAACTGGGCATCAAGGATGCGCGGTGTCTTGAAGATAAACCGGATCTGGGATGTCGTAGAAGATGTGTCAAAAGGCGGCACTGAAAGGCCCCCGGACACTGATCCGACCTTAGCTGACTGGCTCGACAAAGATGAGAGAGCGTTCACCTACTTGAGGTGCTATGTTAGCGACTCCTGCTTGTCCATGATGAGGAACAAACCTACTGCGCGTGCTGCCTGGAAAGCCCTCTCTGACCGATTTGTCGGAAAGGACGAACAAGACATGCACATGCTTCACTCTTCCCTCTTCCAATTTCACTTTGACGACTCTAAACCACTGGGTCCCCAATTCCAAGAAGTGGAAGACACGCGCCTCAAGGTCACCTCCTTAGGTCTCGAAATTGGAGACAAAAGCTACCTCTCTGCCCTCATCTCCGCCACCCCCGAATCCTACCACACCATCAAAAGCGTTGCCCTCATGCAAATGAAGAGGAACAACATCGATTCCGAAGGGTATATCGATTACGTCCTTTCGGAAGAGAAACTCCGTAATTCTGACCCAAAGACTATTGCCATGTTTGCTAACTCTGGCAAATCCAAACGCCGCAATGCAGGGAAGTCCAGTGGCTCCAAGTCTGACGCCGCCACCCCTAAATCGGTAGTCCACTGCACTAACCCTAAATGCGGCAACTTGGGACATACGTTCGAACAATGTTGGTCGGAAGGTGGTGGGTCCGAGGGAAAGAAACCGAGGAGGCAGGGGAAACAAGGTCAGAGCTCAGGCGCTCTGAAAGAATCCGCGAAGACGGCAATAACATTTGTGGATGAGGAGAAAGCCTTGGTAACTGAAACGACGGAGGAAGTAGCAAACACACTCAACTCGCTAAACGCGGGGATTACTCCTGATCATCATGCTCGAACTGAGTGGGTGATTGACTCTGGTGCCACTTCTCACTTGTGTCGCAATCGCGACTGGTTTATATCCTATCGCCCTCTTGATGTCCCTAAAAAGGTCGTTTTGGGAGATAAGGATGTGATTTTAGCGCCGGGGATTGGACAGATAAGAGTAGAGTATGACGTCGGGAACTCACAGGAAACCCTCATAATCCGTAACGTCCTCTACTGCCCCAAAATTGCACACAACCTCCTTTCCGTTCTCCAACTAAACCAATCGGGTGCAGGTGCAGACTTCTGGGACCAAAAATGTCGAATTTTCGACTCCTCCAAGAAACTTGTCACCGTCGTGCCTGTGGAAAAGGGCCTCTACCGATGGCCAGTGAGAATCCCCTCCTTATCCACAGCCTTCATCACTTACCCCTATACCAACAACGCTAACGTCGCACGCACCATCACCGCTACTGCATCCCTCGACATCTGGCATGCCCGATTGGGGCACATCGCAAAAGATTCGATCTTGAGGATGATGCGGAGTGGAATGGTTAAGGGAATGGATGTTATAGGAGCAAACGACGCTGATCGATCAACTTACTGTCCCGAATGCGAAGCCGCATCTCATCACCGAAACCCCATTCCTTCCGAAACACAAACCCGCTCCGACCAAGTACTTGGTCGTGTATTCTCTGATGTTTGCGAACTGCAAACAGTATCGAGTGAAGGCTACAAATACTTCATTACTTTCGTCGATGACTTCAGTCGGTACCTCACCGTATATCCAATGAAGAACAAATCCGACGCACTCGATAAGTTCAAAGAATTCCTTGCGGAAGCTGAACGTCAAACTGGGAATAAGTTAAAGATTCTCAGGACAGATGGCGGCGGCGAGTACTTCTCTTCCGATTTCTCCAACTATCTCAAATCCCTCGGCATCCTTCACGAAAAGACCAACCCTCGAACGCCTCAGGAAAACGGTGTAGCGGAAAGAGTCAACAGAACCCTTGTGTCAATGAGTGTCGCGATGCTGAAAAGCGTCGAATCCAAAATTGGACGTACCTCTTGGCCATACGCTATCCAACACGCCACATTCGTAAAGAACGTTTCTCCTCATGCGGCGCTCCCCAACGACATCTCCCCCCACGAAAGGTACACAGGCAACAAGCCAAATGTATCGATGCTACGTACCTTCGGGTGCAATGCAACCCTCCATATCCATCGCGACCTCCGACGCAAACTTGACGATCGCTCTAAACCCGGCATCCACCTTGGATTAGCTCGGGGCAAGAAGGCATTTCTTATTTGGGATCCAAAGGCTCGAAAGTTGCACGAGTCGAGAGATGTCCATTTCTTCGAGAGCGACGAGGAGAACTCGGAACGTGTAACGATCGAGGTCGAGTCTCACAACTCCCCGACACACGTAATCGTTCCAGCGGATGAAGATGGAGAGTCGGGAGAAAGAGATGATGATGATGGAGGAGATCTAGAAGAAGGAGAGGAAGATAATGGAGGGACGTCGGAAGTAGGAGAAGCAGAGAATGAAAACTCACCCCCGCTCCAACTTGAACCTGTAGTCCAGGACTCCCTACCCCGCCGCTCAACCAGAATCCGCCACGCACCCATTCCAGACGACGACCCCCGATATGAGAGATCTTCTTATAATCGGACTCAACCTTCCACTGATTCAGTGAATGTCGCTTGGGCGATGACGGCGAGCATCAAAATACCACGAACGTACAACGAAGCGATGGATCGTCCTGACGCGGACTCATGGTTAGGGGCGTGTACCGACGAATTAAACGCACTAAAGGAAACAGGTACTTACCTTCCTGTGCGCAGAGACGAAGTCGATCCCCACAACGTCGTCGGGAGTAAGTGGGTGTTTGCTTTGAAGAAAGGGGCCGATGGTGAAATAGAGCGGTATAAGGCAAGAATAGTGGCGAAGGGATTTAGCCAAATCTACGCGGTAGACTATGAGGAGACGTTTGCACCTGTGGTCAAATGGTCGTCGATCCGAATCCTCCTCGCGTTAGGTGCCCGTCTCGATCTTGAAATACATCAAATGGATGTGAAGACCGCGTTCCTCAACGGGGAATTGGAGCACGAGATTTTTATGCAGCCACCTCCTGGCTCAGCAGACTATGGGAGGAGAGACATCGTATGGAAATTGGAGAAGAGTCTGTATGGCCTTAAACAGGCCTCTCGAGCGTGGTACAAGAAAGCCAAAGTCGAACTGAACAAACTCGGCTTCTCCCGCTCGAATTCAGATCACGCCGTTTTCATTCTTTCCCAACGCGCTCATTTTTGCATCGTCGCTCTTTATGTCGATGACTTAATGATCCTTTCCAACCACCTTCCCCTTCTTCGAAAAAAGAAAAAGCAGCTAATGTCCACATTTAAGATGAAGGACTTGGGGGAAATTCATTGGTTCCTTGGACTGGAAATCACGCGCGAGCGCCAAAGGCGCTTAATTTTTGTCTCTCAATCTCGCTACATATCCGAGGTTGTCGATCGCTTTGGATTTAGCACCTCTCGTACAGTCTCGACTCCTATGATGCCGAATCTCAAACTCACTCGCCACGAAAGCTCTGACCCTGACATCAACACTCGCGAATACCAATCCCGAATTGGTTCGGTAATGTACGCGATGCTAGGAACTCGACCAGACATCAGCTTCGCCATCACCATACTCAGCCAATATTCTTCCAATCCAGGAGAAGGGCATTGGGCCGCTATCAATCGTCTACTACGCTACCTCAATGCTACGAAACATTTCAAACTGGTCTACGACGGTAATTCGAAGTCTAACGACAAGACTGGCTATTCCGATTCGGATTGGGCTGGAGATCCGAGAGATTCTCGATCTATTTCTGGATTCGTTTTTACCATGGCCGGAGCAGCGGTAAGCTGGAGTTCAAAGAAACAGACGTCGGTGGCGCTCTCGAGTACCGAAGGCGAGTATATGGCTGTTACCCACGCAACTAAAGAAGCGCTCTGGATTCAACAGTTTCTACGCGACCTTAACTTCCCTCCTTCCGACCCAACCACCCTCCTTGTCGACAATCAAGGCGCTATCGCGCTTGCCACCAATCCCGCATTTCACGCACGAACGAAACATATTGGCGTCCGACATCACTTTATTCGCAATCAAGTAGAGGATCACACGATTTGTTTACAATACATCCCTACCGATGATCAAGTAGCCGACGTATTGACGAAGGCTCTCGCGTATGCCAAACATTCGAAGTTCAGAACAGCGATGGGACTGTGTGAGTAGCCACATCGAGTGGGTGTGTTGAAATCTTGGTTTTCTTGTACGCTGTGGCCAACTCACAATGTGATGTTGAGCTAGCGGCGCTTTATTTCCTTTCTTGGTATTCCTGCTACCAAAGTCAGTGCGCCATTGAGGCGACTGCTTATAAAAGCAGTGAACAAGTTTTCACTTTCGTCTCCCTCAGTTCAACAACGATTGACTGAGGTGAGACTACGCTTTTACCACATGTTGTGTTGTCACTCATGTATCTTCATATGCCCTAGCGTAAAACGCTAGGTAATTAGTTCAAATCTATCAGTTCAACAACGATTGACTGAGCGTAAAACGCTAGCGTAAATCGCTAACATCCTAATAATTTGGGCAGGTAGAGTGAATTTTTCGAGGGGTGATGGTGGTGAAAGGTTTTGTGCGGAATAAAAATTTGCTGCAGCATTATATCAAGCCGAAAGCGGGGCACATTTCTAGCACTACGGAAGCATGAATCTAGTAATTTCTTGTGGATTAGTGATTATTAGTTGTGATAATCAAGAGTGCAACCAAGGAGGCCATTTCCATATTGGGTGATGGTTGGTGAAGTGCCAACACACTCCTCAACACACAACTCGATACTTTTCTCATTTTTCCCTTTTTTCCTCTTCTCTTCATCGGTTACGTACACCGATCCCCCACAGCCTGCACGCGTACAAAAAGTGCATCGCGGCCTTCTAGCTGCGGTCTCTAAGGAAGGGGGAAAAAGGCTACAAAAGTTTCGTGGGTGAGTGATGACCCAAAGTAGACACATCGGGAGCGGGGACAGCATAACGTGCGATTGCATATTTGCTGTGCTTGTGTTCCGCTGAGCAGATCAGCCCCTAGCCCCGCCTTCCCTTTTCTCGTGACGTAGAGTTCGACGTTGACTAGCCGCGTGTTACAGTCTCGGAGCCAGTTACTTTTTAAACCCTTTTCTCTCTCCTGAACGTTCTGTTCTACCCCTTGGTTCCCTCTTCCTGCATCGTTGGTCCGGCTCACCGTGAAACGCGTTCAGCCTCGCATCATTATACCGCGCAATCTTACTTCCTCTGGTGACAAAGCTCTTACCACTTCTGGGAACGGACTCTTCACTCCCAGAGACTCATAACAAACTCCGGATCCGGAAGTATGGCGTCTACACCTATTGGCAACGGGTCTGCTCAACAGGATGCTATTGAGGAGAACAGCAGGTGTGTGTTTCCGCTGCAGCTCCTTATTGCACATGATTTCCATCCGCTGTATCAACTAGCGTTGTGATCAAAGTGGGGATGGTTGGTGACTCTCAGATCGGGAAGACCAGTCTGATGGTGAAGTACGTGGAAGGGAGTTTTGACGAGGATTACATCCAGACGCTCGGTAAGCCATTTCCGCTTCCATCGTTAACGTATCCGTAACTCCGTAACGAAACACGCGGTCTTGGATGATGGCGACAGGCGTCAACTTCATGGAGAAAACGATTTCGGTCAGACGAACGACGATCACATTCTCGATTTGGGATCTTGGAGGGCAGCGCGAATTCGTCAACATGCTGCCGTTGGTCTGCAATGATGCAGTCGCCATATTATTCATGTTCGATTTGTCGCGAAAGTCAACGCTGAACTCGGTCAAGGAATGGTACCGCCAGGCGCGCGGTTTCAATAAGGTAACGTGTGGAGATCGTGACTCGACTCCGGTACCGTTTCACTGACTCCGTGCAAGACTGCTATCCCATTTCTGATCGGCACCAAGTTTGACACATTTGCTACCTTCCCGCGGGACGAACAGGAGGAGATCACTAAGCAAGTGCGTAACATGCTCACATATCGACTTTTGCTCAAACTGACAGCACACTTCAGGCCAAGCGCTTTGCGAAGGCGATGCACGCATCGTTGATTTTCTGCTCCACATCGGCATCTATCAACGTACAGAAGATATTCAAGATCGTCCTAGCGAAAGCGTTCGACTTGAAGTGCGTCATCCCTGAGATAGACAGCACGGGGGAGCCAATACTGTTATATGTAAGCTTGTCTTATTATCATTGCTTCTGTCGCCTAACCCATTTTCTAGGTCGATGTGTGATAGATCACCACGAGATTATCCCTCCCCTTTGCCACCGCGCATTGCGTCTCTTTTAATCCCCGTCCTTCATCTCCCGCTCCTGCATAGTCCAGATCCAGATCCAGTTCTCAGCATCGATCTCCGTTCCAATGTTCATCTACTCGCATGTTTTCCTTTGGTTTTCACTTCACCATTATTTTAAGTTTAATCGCCGGTCCGCTTGAGCTCTCCTCCGAGCCCACCTATCAAATCCTCAGATCACCCTACCTCTATTTTTGCATGCTCGCCAGAATCTTTCTTTCTTATGATTAGTTTGTCACTCTCTTGTCCCAGCCCTAGTCCTCCATACAGCCACCAACGATACGCACCTCACCTTTCACTTGTCTTCCACACCCGGGCGTTACTTTGGGTTAATTCCACTCGCCGTTTTGCCTTGCCTAAACCGCTTAATCCCCTAGTTTGACCTGGGTTGTATATTTGCATGTTCTAGCTTCCCCTTTGGAGCACAAGCAACCTTGACTGGACGCTCAAATAGTGCTTGGACGTTATCGTCGTCTCGTCATTCAAGGAAATATGTCTCAATGTTTGTTTTGCTGCAACAACCATAACAAGGTCAAACCAACAAACATGTGTTAATTTCGCCAATGTTTATTGCTTGTAACAACCCTCGAAAAACGCGGCACCCTCAATTCAAAGATCATCAATTCATTCCTGGGAATATTGTTGACTAAACGCCGCAAAGTTTAATCCATCAACTACAACCCGTTCGCAGGCTCATTCCAGGCAGCCTTTCCTAGAGGAATTGCCTCACAACGCTATGCAAGGCTTCTCGGAGCCTTTCTACTTGAGGCTTTATAGCGGGGGAGAGGAGAACGATTCAGAATCTTTAATTGGGGCCACTTCCGGTTCTGGTTCTGTTTCTGAAAGCGGCACGTCATCCCGATTTGGCGATTTTCAGGATCGTGTAGGCATGAGGAGCGTGTATGATGGCCCGAGGAAGAGGAGACGACTCGAAAATGGGTTCAGATGGGGCGATGGGGATAGGTAGGTTCGCTTGACGCGCATTGTTTCTGGTCCTTGTTCCTTCATTGACGAATGGGGCGGCGTCTGTTTGTTTGGCGCGAATGCGATGTGCGGGTGGTTGCTATGTTCTCAGGTTTATTGCGCAGCCCGCTAGCTTTGATAATCGGATTGCGTTTAGGGGTCGGAGTGAGTGGTCTCTGCCCGCGGGGTTGTCCAAGAGGGGAGCAGGCTTAGGACCGGAGAAAGAGCTGCCCAATGTACAGGGAAATGCTCGTTGGAGTGAGCTGCTTTCTCCTTTCTCGTTCGGGGCTATATGCTGATGCTGATGGTGCCATTTAGCTAACGAGCGCTATAGGGATGTGCTGCGCACGATATACAGTCATAATGCGTCTGAGGATACTGTAGACCCGGATATGATTGACACGAATAGTGTTCTCTCGTTCTCCACATCCATGCCTGACCCCCCAAATGCGAAAGCTTCAGCCGATGTTCTAGACGACGTCAGAAGTCCGGCCTATGCTCAGGCTTCGCTACCATTACGAACGCGGAGGAAGTTGTCTGCACCTGCCAGAAGGCTGCGTGACGTGTGCACTTCATCATATAAGACTCTTGATGCCCCTGATCTTGAGGTGGGCCCAATATTTTGTGGCCTATATCCAGGCTCACATTGCTTTTTTTTTCGAATATGATAGGATAACTTTTACTTGAATCTCATTGATTGGTCGTGCCAGGATCAGCTCGCTTGTGTTCTCGGAGGGAGCATATATATATGCAATCTCAAGAACATGAAAGTGAATTGTGCGTCAAATGAACTTATGTCCCAGCGGCTATGGGCCTCCAGTGTACATTGGTTAGGTGACGTGAGTCATCTCATATGCAGTTATGTTGGGCCTCGAATTTACAAATACAACCGCCTGACTTATTTCAGGGTTCCGAATTAGCTATCGGATCCCGAGGGGGTTTCTTGTCAATGATAGACTCACGTACATTTCAAGAAAAGCGTGGATTTGCCTCTGGTCACCTAAAAAGGATCGGGATTATGACATCCCAGGGATCGCTCATTGCCACGGGCTCTGCGGATTCCGACATCATTCTTCATGACCAACGGATGTTTCATTGTGTGAAGACAATAAATGCCCACAGGCACGTTGGGTTGGATTATTTGTTCAGACTTCATTCTAATGTATGGCATTTCCTGTAGACTTGAGATATGTGGCTTGAAATTCAACCCACTCGATCCGAATGTGCTTGCTTCGGGTGGCGACGACTGCAAGCTCTTCATATGGGATCTTCGTAACTTAGCTTCTTCCTCATCCTCATCGTCTTCGTCTTCTGATCCATCTGACCCTTCAATATTACAATCAAACCAAATCTTCCGTGGCCGTCTGTCCACCTCTTCCTTGGCGAGCTTGGATTCTCAATCTTCCCCCACCCCGCTCTCTCCCCCCTTCTCCTTCGGCCTGGATGAATTAAAACCATCCGATGGTTTATCTGCGCCCCTTTTGCAGCTAAACGAACATCGTGCTGCAGTGAGAGGTCTTGCGTGGTCACCTCATGTCAAGGGTCTGCTTGCAAGCGGAGGAGGGAAAAGCGATCCGGTTATTCGGTTCTGGGATACGAAGACGGGGAGAAAAGTCGATCAGGTTAGATGTCAGGCTCAAGTGACGAATTTGATGTGGTCAAGAACGAGTGATGAGCTTATGAGCACGCATGGATATGGCGATTCGGTCGCGCCTGGCGCCATCGCTGTTTGGGTGAGTATGTCCATATTGCTTTACGTGGTTCGTCCAAAAAAAAGACTGACGATTTGGAAAAATCCAATACAGCATTGTCCGACTCGATTGCCGATTGTTTCGTTCAGGGGACACGCAGACCGCGTCCTTTATGCTGCTGCATGCCCTAGCGGAGGCTCTGTTGTAACGGGTTCTTCAGATCAGACCCTACGATTCTGGAATATCTTTCCGGAGAAACGAGTCTTTAGGACACGGAGCTTTAATGATTTAGAGGGGAAGCTGAGGTAAATGCAAAAAGAAACAAAACAACATCAACCACAAGGAGAGTGCTGTGACCATATGACAGGAATGCAATACGCATGTACCCATTGGATCGTTTGTGTGTTGTAAATGTAGGTTGCCGCACATTGTCAATGCACAATAATAGGAATTGGTCCCACGGTCCTGTGACTTGTGGCCCACTAAATTAAGATAACTCGAGGACTGGGAAGAAAAATCCATGGACGACCTCTTCAATTTCGCTGGAGGACATGAGACTCTTGCTGCTACTTCGAAGAAGCGAAAAGGACGCAAAGATACCAAAAAGGGGGACAAGACTTCTGAACCTATATCCGAATCGAAACCCGCACCTGAATTAGAGCCAGAGCCAGAAAGCAATGCCGATGCCGCCCGTGCCAGTTCAGAGCATGGGAGTAGTGACGAAGAGGAGGACAATAGTGGGGAAGATGGCTTAAGACGATCCAGAAAGAAACGGAAGAAAGGGGAACCATATCCATTAGTGTTGGATGATATTCAGATTGAAGCCAACCGGGAAGTTCGCGCTCATCCGGGACTCGTCCAGTCCCAAGCCGATGTTGGCGAAAACCTTTTACTTACTCATCAAGTGAGCCTTTGATCAACCATCGCTCCATTGGCCGCAGCGTAATGCTCATGCTCACTACTGGTGACAAATCGCATAGGTACGACATCAAGTAGCCGTTCCACCGGGTTATCCCTACGTCCCTTTATCCCAACATGTACCGCCTGCTGAGCCGGCACGCATCTATCCCTTCAAACTCGACCCTTTCCAGCAAGTTTCCATCCACGCTATTGAACGGAATGAAAGCGTACTTGTGTCTGCTCACACCAGCGCTGGTAAAACTGTCGTTGCAGAGTATGCGATTGCCCATGCATTACGGAATAAGCAGAGAGTGATATATACTAGCCCTATCAAGGTAAGGATGGAAGCATATATATGTTCAAAATCATGGTGACGTCGTTGGCATATTAGGCACTTAGTAATCAAAAATATCGAGAAATGTTGGCAGAGTTTGGTGATGTTGGACTCGTAACTGGAGATGTTACGATATCGCCGAGTGCCTCCTGTCTAGTAATGACGACGGAGGTGAGTTCGCTGTTCGAAAGCCCAAATTGATGGCAAGCCCATGACTAAATTAATCCTATTGATCTGAACTGGTTGTAGATTTTGCGTTCCATGTTGTATCGTGGATCGGAAATTGTCCGAGAAGTTGCGTGGGTAGTATTTGACGAGATTCATTACATGCGCGACAGGGGTGAGCATTTCAATCTAGGCATCATCTCCAGTTGCCGAATGGGAAACTGAATGCAGTTCAGAACGAGGTGTCGTATGGGAAGAGACCCTCATCTTACTTCCACACACCGTCCGCCATGTGTTCCTCTCCGCCACCATTCCTAATGCCATGCAATTTGCGGAATGGGTTTGCGATGTCCACGAACAGCCATGCCACGTCGTTTATACAGATTTCCGGCCGACTCCACTACAACACTATCTTTTCCCCATGGGCGGTGATGGTATATACTTGGTTGTGAACGAAAGAAGTGAGTTCAAGGAAGGGAACTTCAACAAGGCAATGGCTCGTGTCTCGGAAGGAAAAGGGGAGGACCCATCAAACCCTTTTGCTGGCAGGGGCAACAAAGGGCGAGTTAAAACTGGCTCTTCTGATAAAGGTATCTTAGAGGATGCTGCTTGCTGGCCTCAGAGTCTCCTAACCCATGTTCCATAGGCTCCGTGGATATCGTGAAGCTCGTCAAGATGATCATGTTGAAGAACTACCATCCGGTCATCGTCTTCGCTTTTAACAAGTCAATTTGCGAGTCGTTGGCAATGACGATGACCAAGATTGACTTCAACACCTCTGATGAGCAAGAAATGGTCAATAAAATTTACACGAATGCCATCAGCGCTCTCTCTGAAGAAGATCAGAAGCTTCCTCAAATCGAACACTTGCTGCCACTATTAAAACGTGGCATCGGTATCCATCATTCAGGTCTTTTACCAATCTTAAAGGAGGTCATCGAGATTCTCTTCCAGGAGGGTCTGGTTAAGCTTCTTTTTGCCACTGAGACGTTTTCCATCGGCCTGAATATGCCTGCTAGGACGGTCGTCTTCTATTCTGTCATGAAGTTTGATGGAAAAGCACAACGGCCACTCAGTGGAGGCGAATACATCCAAATGTCTGGCCGCGCTGGTCGTCGTGGTATAGACGATCGCGGTATCGTCATCATGATGTGCGATGGGACAGTCACATCGGAAGCCACATTGAACATGGTGAAAGGCGGGGCAGATCCCTTGAATTCCGCCTTCCACATTGGGTATAACATGATTCTCAACTTGATGCGAGTGGAAGGCATCAGTCCCGAGTACATGTTAGAACGTTGTTTTTACCAATTCCAGAGTCAAGCAGATCTTCCGAACATTCAAAAAAGTGAGTCGCTCTTTCTCACTGTGCAGACATATTTGTCTCAAATCCTTTAGAGCTTGAACTCATGCAGGAGAAGAAGGATGCGATAGTGGTACCAGAAGAAGAGAAAGTTGCTGACTACTGGGAAGTGCGGCATCGGTTGGAGGAGCTCAACTTGGATCTCCGGGATATTATCACACATCCAAATTATATAGAGCCATTCCTTAACGTTGGTCGTCTGATTCGTATTCAACATGGGGATTTGGACTTTGGCTGGGGCGTGATCCTGAAGTATGCAAAAAGAACTCCAGCTGATAAGGCACGTTCATCCTTACATACTTAGTTTCCATTGGCATTGATGCGTGGCGTGTAGAGCCGGGGGTATGCCCTTCCTGACGAGTTCGAAAGCAAACCTCAAAACCAATACATCCTCGACGTCTTATTAAACTGCTCCCGTGGCTCGTCTCTTCCCCTGGAGAAAGTCGCACCCGAACAGGTTCCTCGCGGCGTTCAGCCTTGTCCACAGGGCGAAAAGGGCGAACCACTCGTAGTCCCCGTCATGCTTTCTACTCTTCAAGAAATCAGTGCTTTACGGCTTCACGTCCCGAAAGATTTGCGGCCATTAGAGGCTAGACAAACCTTATGGAGGAGTGTACTGGAAGTCAAAAAACGTTTCCCGCAAGCAATTCCCCTCCTCGATCCGATCACGAATATGAAGATCAGCGATGACTTGTTCGTTGACCTGACTAAGGTGTTTATTCATCTTTATTTTCATTACCTACTCAATTTGATCAGGCTTAATAGAAAATAGCATCCCTGGAATCCCGCCTAAAATCCAATCCTATCTCCGAAGACCCCCGACTTCCTCTGATGTATGACCTGTACTCCACCAAACAGCGCGCCACTGAAGAGATTAAGGGACTGAAGCGGAAGATAAGATCCGTCAACAGTGTCCTGCAAATGGATGAGCTTAAATGCAGGAAACGTGTCCTGAGACGGTTACAGTTCATCACCGCGGATGATATTGTGGAGACGAAAGGACGGGTGGCATGCGAGATCAATTCCGGGGACGAATTACTGCTCACCGAAATGATCTTCAATGGAGTTTTCAACTCGCTTGCACCTGAGCATTGTGCTGCGCTCCTCAGTTGTTTCGTTTTCGATGACACAGTGAGTATAGATTTTTTTTTTTGGTTGTTGTGGCAAACAAGTATTCCCCCCGCGCGCGCGCGCATAATCCATACCTAGATTGATCAGGCTGTCAAGTTGCGGGAGGAGTATCAAGCGCCATTAAGACAGATGCAAGAGCTGGCCAAACGGATCGTCCAAGTCTCCAAAGAGTCGAAAATCGACATCGACGAAAACACTTACCTGAAATCTTTCAAGGTGGACATCATGGACTGCGTTACGCAGTGGTGTCGCGGAGCGAGTTTCGTTGACACATGCGCGGTAAGCGCTTTTCTTTCTCTAGGAGTTTCTGAACTGAAAAAAAAACCATAATGATTCACACTGCTCGTTACAGATAGCAGACGTATTTGAGGGGAGTATGATTAGGATCTTCCGCCGGTTAGCAGAGCTGGTACGAGAGATGGCGGCTGCCTCGCGTGCTATCGGCAACGCTGAACTAGAAAAGAAGTTCACCCAAGCAACGGAGATGTTAGAACGGCGTAACTCTGTCATTTTCTGTGCCTCACTATATTTGTAGTGTTATTATTTTGTCATTTTTTTTGCTTTCTTCAACACAACTCTAGTCATGATGGTCCATTGTACGTGCATCGTTGCTTTAATCAGAGTTTCAGATCAATAGTGCCGTGTGGGCAGGCATTTAATATACAATCGACTATGTTTGATATCTGAAACGAGATGGCTCTATGCGCGCTCGATTGCTAGTGTGTTGCGACGCCGAGATCACAACAGAAAACAAAAAGTTCCCAGAGCCAGGAAAGCGATTCACGATGACTAGGGCACCAGTCAGTCTGCCTCTTGAGATGTTGCTGCGGCATTTCCTCATGTTTGGAAATAAAATACCGCTAGAACATAGAAAATCGAAATGTAATGGTAGGAGAGAATCACAAACGCCACTAATGCTAAGCCTAGTGAACCATGAATATCGTCACTTACATCTTGTCAACCCGAGCGTCACAAAAGAACGAGCTGAAGACGCTGCAAATCAAATGAGCAAGAACTGTTCCGGGTCACTGCAATGCCACTCACGTAGAGGGTGAGCGGAGCAGGGTAGCGGCTATTGAACTGAGTTGAGTCTCCACCTGCGTACAAAGCCGTTGACTGGGCGAACAGTTGAATCGTCGCCGAAGCTGGAAAGAACGAGAAGCTCTTAGTGGTTCTGAGGGAGGTATTAAACCCGAAATCCACTTACTTCCACTGGGATTGGTCCAGACAGGAGCAAGGGAAAGAGCAACAACATCGACGGACCACTAAAATGACTATTAGACTATCATACAAGGGGATATAAGATGCAATTACGTACGACGGCGGATTCAGAGGTACGCGAAAGGCCAGTGGCCAGAGTGTACGAGTTGCCAACAGTCTGAGGAGGTGAGCTGGCAGGGGCTGGAACACAGGAACAATGGTCAAAATTATCCTGGAGGTAAAATCAGTCTAGACCTACTGGGGTTCGTGTTCGCGATATAGACATATCTAGAGAAGAAGTCACATTTCATGAGGGAGGGGGATGAAGCGGCGGAAACGCACTGATAGCTGCCAGATTGAAGAACCGAGTCGGTGTCATCGCGACCTTGAACAAGACCGAGATAGACATAGTTGGGCATATCCGAGTTCTGATTAACCGACGCTCGTCATGAGACCTATGCAAATAATATGAAACAAGCGAGCACACCTCGGTGGTAAGGTCTATCCCAGTAGCACTCGTAGCGCCACCGGTCAATGTAAAATCGACAATAAGGGCGTTGGCAACATCATTGTCATACGCATACTGCGCCTGATTGAGCGAGTTCTTCGAGATGTACCCAAGAACAGCACTGTTATCTTGCTGAATGACTTGGATGGCAGCGCGGTAGTTGACTGAACTAGGAACCGGGTCCCTGCGAGTGGGGGCTACAGAGGCAAGGAACGAAAGGAATCAGTGGCTATCCATCGCGTTTGTTCAGTAGTTAGCGTCACAACATACAAACCCCGAGCCTCTTGGGGGGGAGAGGCGGCAATCCACGCGCGAAACGCTGGGCATTGGTGAGCTTGGCGGAAGCCACTCGATCCGAGAGCGACAGGCCAGCCGCAAGGATACCGGAGTTGGACGAGGCACCGCACGTCTCGGAGCCAGGCCGCACGCAAACACTGTTGTCCGTAGGTGCGGCTCTGGCGAGGAGACCAAGAGCGAGAGTGAGGAGGGGAAGAACAGCAAAGGAGCGCATGATTAGGAGTGTAATATGTGCTGTGTGTGCTAAACGAATGTAGGGAGCGTACTCGACAGCGGCGATGAGAAATAAGATGGGGGGGAGAAGAAGTTGGGGGGAGGGGGCAGTGGGCACGCCAGGCTATTTATCCATAACATAGCCATTCAATATTTTTACGAGGCAAAAGATGAAAAATGCTTATCAGATCTCAATTGAAGTGTTCGGGTCAACGGTTCCCATTCTTTTTGGCTTCTGAGTGGGATTGTCGCTCTGCTGAGACAGCTTATGTAAGGATACTTATCGTCACGACTTGACATGTACGATTGGATTGGATGAGGGATTATTTTATTCTGGGTGTCAATTCAAATCTCCAAGCACTAAAGCGCGACACTCACGCCACACAAGCAGACATTTATAATGTACGTCATTCCGCATGTCATATCATTGATGACGTTCGGCATGAAATCTGCGCTGATCAGGCTGAGAAGCGTGGGCGAAGTGGGCTCATAAACCGGCGGCGAACGATATGGCAGCGGAGGTGGGGGCGGCTGAATCAATCAAGGCCGGCGAATACCAACTTTTACGGAGGACCCTCGCAAACGAACACTATTGCCGTATGTTACCAAAAGTCAGGGTGGATGAATTGAGCTAATAAACAATTAGCCCCGAGGATTTTCGCGATTTCCGAGACTCGGTTACGAAGTTAGGCTGGATACTTAACCACGATTGGTTAAGTAGTGAGCGACGTGCTGTCATTCATACCGGCCCGAGTGGCAGTCGGGCCAAATCGAGCGAACCTCCGAAAGGAAACCTAGATCCCAACAACCTTGAGGAGTTCGGCCCTCAAACAAGAACCCAAGCACCCGCTAAAAGCAAAGGTAGTCTGTGTACGGTATCGAATCGGTGCCAGGGTATGTGATTTCTTGTCGATAGCAGTGACAATGAAGGGAAGAACCACAGATTCCCCATCCAAGGTGGAGGTGTGTACAACTGTTCTCCACCGCGGAAGCCCGGCTACCCGAGGACCCATGGGAAATTGTTCCCGATTGAGCGGCAGTAAAATGGACTGATATTCGAGATTGGGAATAATTTATACTAAAAATCATGCGTAGGATCCCAGCCTCTGCTATATGCACTCGAGCCCATTAAGGTCATGAATGAATTCCATTTACACAGATGGAACTGACATCATCGAGTAACATCTTCTTGGCGTCTGTCATAGTTTTTGTTGCAACATTCATAGTTTGTACGTCATTACCGTTTCAATGACGGAAGGCGCGTAATAAGCACTAAAGCGGGTGCATAATCGGAAGGAAGGTGCGAGTGGCGGAAGACGTCAGACTAAGTACAGAACAAAGCCAAGAGAGCGTAATGCTCTGAACCATAGAATATAAAGCATTGACTGCTTAGAGCCGGGATCGAAAATGGCTGGGGAAAGGCAACGCCGGCGGGCCTAGCTTGGCAACTCATGTCGGTGGTCGATGCAGGTATTCAGGGGGGGCAGCAAGGATTGCTGAGGGGGTTGCACGGCCCTCACACTAGTGTCTATAGAGGCAGGGACGTAACGTAAACACCATTGGATCGTTCGAACCAATCATCGTTTGAAAGGGTCGCACTCCTTCCAGACGTGGACGGCTTCGATCTAGAACGCACAATGCAGGTTCCGGAGCCATGCGAGCTGCTACGTAGGTCCTGGTGACATTGATACGAGTGGCTGTCAGCAGCCTCCACGGGCGAGATCATTAACTATGACTATCGGTTGGTCAGTCGCGTTCTAATTGTTCGATTTTTGCGCGTCTGGCAAAGTCCGTGATTCAAAATATCGATCGCCTTCACACTCACTGCGTTTATTGTCATTTTCAAACTATACTAATTGGTGGGGCGCCGCTGCCACCCTTCGAGCCGGGCCCGTTTTAGTCTCGCTACAAATACAACGTGTACAGGCAGTACTAGGAACACTCTTCGCATAACCCACAATCACACTCAAAAAACCCCACCCTCTTCGATGCTTCAATCATCACCACGCTCACTTTGTTGTGGGCGATCCTTTATTTGCTATGGATTAAGGGCCCCCAGAACCAGGAAAGCGATTCACGATGGCTAGGGCACCTCTTTTGAAGACCAGTCAGCCTGCCTCTTGAGATGTACTTCCGTGCTCACTATCTGTCACATTAAACTCAGGGGCGAGCGTAGAGAGTTTGTTTCTGTCAGAAACTGAATCCCATCCATCGTACTCGGATTAAGTCCGTTAGAGTGCCGTCTGCGAGCGGTGCTGCGGCATTTCCTCAAGTTCACGCGACTTGGAAATAAAATATCGTTAGAACATAGAAAATCGAATTGACCGAATATGTAACGACAGGAGAGAATAACAAACGCTACCGTTGCTGAGCCTCGTGAACCAGGAATATCGCCACTTACATCTTGTCTCCACCCAAGCGTTACATAAGAAGGAGCTGAAGACGCTATAAATTCAATGAGCAAGGACTGTTCCGGGTCACTGCAATGCCACTCACGCAGAGGGTGAGCGGAGCAGGGTAGCGGCTATTGTACTGAGCTGAGTCACCACCCGCGTACAAATTCTTTGACTGGGCGAACAGTTCAGTCGTCGCCGAAACTGGAAGCTTTTAGTGGTTTTGAGGGAGGGGTTAAATCCGAAATCCACTTACTTCCATCGGGATTTGTCCAAATAGGAACAAGGGAAAGAGCAACAACATTGACGGACCACTAAAATGACCATTAGGCTACCATGCAAGGGGATATGAGATGCAAATTACGTACAACGGCAGATTCGGAGGTGCGCGAAACGCCAGTGGCCTGGGTGTACGAGTTGCCAACAGTTTGAGGAGGCGAGTTGGCAGGGGCTGGAACACAGGAACAATGGTCAGAATTATCCTAAAGGAGTTGAAATCAGTCTAGACCTACTTGGGTTCGTGTTCGCAAGATAGACATATCTAGAGAAAATGCTATATTTCAGGTGGGAGGGATGAAACGGCGGCGACGCACTGATAGCTGCCAGATTGAAGAACCGAGTCGGTGTCATCGCTACCTTGAACAAGACCGAGATAGACATAGTTGGGGATATCCGAGTTCTGATCAACCAACGCTCGTCATGAGGCCTACCCAAATAGTATGAAACAAGCGAGCACACCTCGGTGATAAGGTCTATCCCAGTAGCACTCGTAGCGCCAGCGGTCAATGTAAAACCGACAATAAGGGCGTCGGTAACATCTTCGACATATTTATGCCGCTCCCGGCCCTGTGAGGTCCGCGAGATGTACCCAAGAAGAGCACCGTCATCCTGCCGAATGACTTGGATGGCAGCGCGGTAATTGACTGAACTAGGAACCGGGTCCCTACGAGTGGGGGCTACAGAGGCAAGGAACGAAAACGGGTAGAAGGAATCAGTGGCTATCCATCACGTTTGTTCAGCAGTTAGCGTCACAACATACTGTTGGAATTTGCACGTGGTCTTTTTAGGGAAACCTAAAAGTTGGACATACTGGGAATCGAACTCCAGTCTTCTGGATCGCGAACTCAGTGTGCACAGCCATTACACCATACGCCCCGTTAGGCTGAGGTGGTTATTTCAACACATACAAACCCAGAGCCTCTTGGGGGGGAGAGGCGGCAATCCACACGCGAAACGCTGAGCATTGGTGAGCTTGGGGGGAGTCACTCGATCCGAGAGCGACAGGCCAGCCGCAAGGATCCCGGAGTCGGACGGGGAACTGCACGCCGAGCCAGGCTTGCAATCATTGTCTGCAGGTGCAGCCCGGGCGAGGAGACCAAGAGCGAGAGTGAGGAGAGGAAGTACAGCAAAGGAGCGCATGATTAGGAGTGTAATATGTGCTGTGTGTGCTAAACGAATGTAGGGAGCGTACTCGACGGCGGCAATGAGAAATAAGAGGGGGGGGGGGGGGAGAAAAGAAGTTGAGAGGAGGGCCGGGGCGGCACGCCAGGGTATTTATCGATAACGTAGCCATTCAACATTTTTACGAGGCAAAAGATAATATGACTTTAAAATGCCCATCAGATCCCAATCGAAGCGTCCGGGTCAACGGTTCCCATTCTTTTTGGCTTCTGAGTAGGATTGTCACTCTGCTGAGCCAGCTTATGTAAGGATACTTATCGTCACGGCTTGACATGTATGGATGATGGATTGTCTTGGCTTGCGTAATTGCTCTATTCTGGGCGTCAATTCAAATGTCCAAGCACTACAGCGCGATACTCACGCCACACAAGCAGGCATAACTGGTGGACGCCGGCAAAACCCGCTACTCATCTCCCATCCGTACTTTCAGTTGGGCAGAGCGTTCTTCACTCCCAACAATCTGTACTCCCTCATAGAATACCAGGAAGTGATATAGAATTTATCAATCGCTTGGGAACAACGGCGTCTTGATGATCTGTAGTATGTACAAGAACCCTCCACTTTCGCGTCCCACCTCCGTACGCTCCAAATTGGGAGCTGGTCGCCAGACATGGCAACGTGATTCAAATGGGTTAGATGCTCAAAGGGGCGAAGGATGCTTAATCGGTCAGGATAACGATTTTGAATGTTCCAAGAGATCACGTTGAATATGATGGTACATATTACGATCAACGACCCAGAGCCATACAAGCTGTACATCAAAGGAGGCGGAAGGGAAAACGAGGAAATTATGAAGGGACCACAAATAATGGGAGATTGCCTATTTGGCGTCTTTACAAGCGACGCGCTTAATTCAGCAGCAGTCGCCATTTACAATATGATGTTCAAGCTTTAATCGTATATCGTCGATCGTTAAAAGAAGCTCAATTATTGCATGGCTGACAGCTTCATTGGCAACAGAAACACCTGATAGGGTGTTCAACAAGGGGCACGGCCACGAAGAAAGATGGCAGGGATTGAAGAGTGAGGTCGCCATTGTAGGGTAGAGAGGTCTAGGATCACGGAGTTCAGGACCGTGGATTGGGTTGGATGACAAATGCAGGAAATGGCGGGTGGGGCGGAAGAAAAAAAAAGACCCTGGATAGCAAGGGAATTTGCAATAATAATAAAGGACCTCTTGCAGGGGCATTCAGTTTACGCTTTCAAGACTCGCTACAAAGTAGCGGGAATTTATGATGTACGTCATTCCGCACGTCATATCACTAAGTTCGGCCCTCAAGCAGAACCCAAGCAGTCCGTGTACGGTATCGAATCGGCGCCAGGGTATGGGATTTCTTGTCGATAGCAGCGGCAGTGAAGCTAGGGAAGAACCACAGGTACCAGTAAAGAGGAACCGAAGCCTCAAGAACGGAGTTTTACGTCAGCTAGGAGCCAGCCAAAAGATATCTACAGGATTCCTCATCCAAGGTGGAGGTGTGTACAACTGTTCTCCACCGCGGAAGGCGAGGACCCCATGGGAAATTGTTCCCGATTGAGCGGCCATAGTGAAATGGACTGATATTCCAGATTGTGAATATGAATGATTTATACTAAAATCAGGCGCTCCAATGACGAGTGCTTTCGCGTGCACAATATCTTTCCCACGCTACTGAGAAATTTAGAATGCAGTCGAGCCCATTCAGACCATTGGGTTCTCCAAATGAATTCCATTAGATGGAACTGACATCATCGAGTAACATCTTCTTGGCGTCTGTCATAGTAATATTGCTTTTGTTGTGGCTTGTACGTAATTACCGTTCCAATAGCGGAAAGCGCGTAATAAGCACTGAAGCGGGTGCATAATCAGAAGGAAGGTGCGAGTGGCGGAAGACGTCAGACTAAGTACAGAACAAAGCCAAGGGAGCGTAATGTTGTGAACCATAGAATAGAGAGCATTGACTGCTTAAAGCCGGACTCGAAAATGGCTGGGGAAAGGCGACGCCGGCGGGCCTCAACTCATGTCAGTGGTCGATACAGGTATTCAGGAGACAGCAAGAGATTGCTGAGCGGCCTTCACACTAGTGTCCATAAGAGGCAGGTTAACGTAAACACCATTGGATCATCCGAACCAATCATCGACGATTGAAAGGGATGCACTCCTTCCACACGTGGAGCTTAGTTGCGGCTGAATTCGATTTAGATCGCACAATATTGCAGGTTCCGGAGCCATGAGAGCTGCTGCGTAAGTCCTAGTGACATTAATATGAGTGACTGTCACCAGCCTCCGCGGGCGAGACCATTAACTATGGCGATCGGACGTTCTAATTGTCGTTTTTTTGCGCGTCTGGCAAAGTCCGTGATTCAAAATGTCGTCTACTCGATTTCAACCCCCGACGCAACACGCTCGCGGCTCTTGTGCATATCACTCAGTGTCTGATCTCATATTTAAAAGATGCCTTAAAATTCAATAGTTGTAAAAAACGTAGCCCAGTAGAACGAAGGGACAGCTCGTTCACTGCAGCAGAACTTGCGCCTAGCGCTGCTAATAGGAGGGCTAAAGCGGGAGCTCAGTCTCCGTAAATGAAGAACTGAATTACTACGGTAAATACTAACCTAAAGCGGGAGCTATAGTACAGAAGAGTACAGAGTAAGTAATGTAACAACTAACTAAAAACAATGATACTAACCTCAGTCTCCGTAAATGAAGAACTGAGGAGAAAAGGAAAGTAGAGCGAAAACAGTATATACAATTATATACATTGTGTCACGAGGCAAATACGGATGTAAGAGGGATCATGTGGTGTTGGTTGGTAAGTCACGGGTCGTTGTTACTCCAACAGCTGCTAGGTTTAAAGGTCTCCCGAGTACGGGTTTAGGTTTGGTTATTTCATTCACAAAGGCGGTGGTGTGATGCGTGGGCATATGGAACACGGAGGAGACATTGGGTGCGCCTAACATGCTTCCAAGTTCCCAGCACGTCAAATTAATCTTGATGGAAAATGGGGCCCGCCGTTCCTGTCCGGAACTTGTTGCTCACACCTCATGCTCAGCTCCATGCCTGAGAGTTTCTGAAGGAGTCTCAGCGCGGAGTTATCTGCACCATCATGACGAAGGCTCAGTTCTCAAGTGGCTCATGTGAATATAATAGGTTCACTGAATGGAACGATGATCGAGCAGGCGACCAAAGACGCTTGATTCACCCTGGCTCTTCCGGCTTATCTTCTCTGGCCCTCGTTTACCTAGTTACCAATATCGAAGCAGAATTGACGGAGCGAGTCGCTTAGTTGAGTTTGTCCGAACTCTGTCTTCATTGTCTTCAGCTATAGGATCTCTTCCGTAAATTAAGCACACTGAGGGCGGTGCTGGTGATGTACTTGCACTCTGTCGTTCTGTCATAGCAACTTCACGTACCAAAAGTGACGGATCCCTCCTTGGTGGGAAGCCCCATCTGGCCTCCCGGAAGTTTACGATCTAGGCCACGTTGTTCCATTTGATGAATGAAGGATGGCGAAAATATGCCAGATCGGTCTCACCGTTCCAGCGGCTCTATCTAAGAGAGGCGTTGCCAGTTGGGAAGTCCAACTGCCACTGAGTTCAGAGACATCGGCGAGTCCAAGCGACAGACTACACATGGACTGCTGCCCTGTTCAACAAGTACCTTAATTAAGAGCACTCTTTTACCACCTGACCAGCTACTTCAACCTCTCGGCCAGCTGACCCTTGTCTCACCATTGGTTCGGTCCCTTAACTCATATTGATAAGGTTTGTGGACAGTAACGTCAACATCTTCGGAGGCTGGAACATTCGGAATCGAAAAATCCCGAAAAACTTCCCCGGAACTAGCTACGCGCAGAGATCGGTTCAGCTTCAGTACACCCAAGACAGTGGGGGAGCGTTCAGATGTAACAAATGTTGGTAAAGGTCTCAAGTACCCCCAGCGGGAACGATGATGGTCACGCAGTTGGATCCATGCAAAGACTTGAAAGCTGCAGCACCGGATGTACTCTACTTTTGTTACGAACTGAATGACCTTCAGCTTGTTGAACTTTGGGGGACATCTCAGGGGAGGGCTGAGTACGGTAGCCAGCTCCTCGAACCCCCCGCACTCCCAGAGGTCCACGTGAAGAGCGCTCAGGGGCATGTTGTGCTGGTGCATGTTCTTGTTGCCATCTGGTCACCGAACACACCACACAATTTGCTGCAATTAATACAACAAAAAAGCAGTCCACTTATGCCATTTACTCTTCACAATCATGCATCTCTCCTGCACTTTGGGTTATTCACCACAGGGAAGCAGAGGAGTTCTTTTAAACAAATGCCCGTAACCCATTCAATTAATCTCGCCTGGTCAAATGACAAGAACTTCCATAGAGCCCCAAGTAGTATCCTAAATGCCAAAATATAGTCAAGCATACTAAGACCAAAGGTTCTTCGAACAAATCCAATAGTTAGACTCACGTCAACGAGCAATATCCTCTCAGCGTCCATCATAGGTAACAGGTCTCCTTGGAATGTTTCATCGCTCGTCACCTGGCGGTATGGAAGGCCACTGATGACCTTATAAGCAAAGTCACCGCTGTGCAATACCGTGGGTTCGAGGTCTGTCTCCATACGACCTGAGATCCTGTAATCCTTGGACATCCTTGGATGCTCCGCGTCGCCTGAGCCGCTTTCCCGTGGATACAGTGTTTCATCCCTCCCGGAAAGAGACCCGGCACGAACTGAATAAGGGTTGAAATCCAGCACATGAAGACGGGAACGAACATGATCTTGGGGATCCGAATGGGAGATCCCCCATTGGGCCGTTTCGAGTGTCCGTTCAAACTCGAGCGTACGAAAAATGTATCGGTTCATGAAAACAGCTGGGTCTACCCAAACGTTTCCGCCCAGAGGACCCAATAACCGTGCAGAACGACATCCCCAATCATCCCACCGAACCTGGACAGGAAGGGTGTTTGTGGGATCAGCATGGGGACCTAGCCCACCTGGCATCACCCCGCCCGTCCGGGAGTTGCTCTCAATACATTTGGCCATGCAATAGATATCGGATACGGCGACAAACATCTTGTAATTATTTCTTTCGGAACGAAGGGAGGACACGGTGAATGATAAGAGAGCAATCCTGAAATCATCCTGCCGAGGGCGAACGAACGGTCCGTTGGTAGGCCCTGGTTCCGATGGATTGTTTGGTGTTATAGAGGGACCGTCAACTGAACGTGGTAGAAAGAATGGTGGCAAGGGCAACTTTTCATACTCTGGTGTTTCAAACACTGGGCTGGGCTCACAGACCAACTCGATGTGAGAGAAATACACCGAACCTGTCGACAATCGGGGTAATCGAAACGTCGCGAGATGCCGAGTTGGAAGGCAAGATTTGACAGGTGGGCCATCGTAATGGCAAGGTTTAAATGCATAGACCTCTAGCGAGGCAAGAGGCCCTTTGCGTCGAGAAATAACAAAATGCCGTGGAGATAAAAACAAAAACGAATCCATCCCGGAATCCAACAGTTCCTGGATTTGACCTTAGCATACTTGCACATCTCATGCGCAGCTAATGAATATACTCACGCATTGGCATATACCTGTCTTCCAATTCCAAATCCAAAAGCGAGCCTTCGTAGCGAACATGACGCCAACAAAATCACCAAATATCTGGACCAAATAGCTACCCAATTCATCCGGCATCGAGCGAGTATCGAGGGTCTCGTATCGAGCAAATGGGTGAAAAGCATTATCAGACATTTGCCTTATTCTGACAATCATCCTGCCGGAAGTCTCATCGGGGTCAGAACTTTGACAAAGATAGACGGCCAAATTCTGTTCAGGATCGATACTAAACTCTTGAGCTTTAAAGCCGAGGTAATTGAAGATCGGCATTTGAGACGAGTCTACTCCGACATCACCGTCATATTGACCTCCCAGGTTGGCCTGAACCACAGGACTAATCGGCCCAGCTGCAGGCGGTGACCCATGACTTCTTGCACTGGATGGGACCCCCATGACTCTTGGAAGTGGTTGGAGCCGTAAATGACCGGAATCTTCCAACACGGATTCCTTGTAACACACAGACGCGTAGAATCCGTGTTGCAATTCGTATAACTTCATTGTAAAATCAGGCGGCGCAGTAGGGATGGAATGCGTTTGCGGCTGCCATTTCAGACTTGCCCATCCGATCTCACGCCTGTGAAGATCGGTAAGCGTCTCTGCAACAGAGGGCCTATCTAGGTCTGGGATTTCATCCAGCCAAAATTCAGTATGTAACAGTCACGAGCTTCCCCGAATACGTCACCGTACAGGCAGCAACTGGAGCAGTACCGGCAAGAAGACAAGTTTCGCGTTCAATGTTATACTGAAGAGTCAATGATTCCTCGATGACCCGTAGAAAATGCTTAGCCGTCTATAAAAACCGTTTACATTAGCACTATCGCCACAACCATCCAATATTCACGCATAGAAACGTGATTGAAATGGAAGAATCAATCCAAATACCTCGAACCAAAACTTACCTGTTTGCACCTCATGAGATCGCTCAATGCAAGGTATTTAAAGATTCCGACTAAAATCTGCACTGGAAGAAAGGTAATAGCGGGCCGCGGTTTATTATGATCGCTAGTGGAATGTGCGATTTGAGCCAAGAATAGGTCTTTAGATTCCTGCAGCATTATTGAGTAAGATTTATGAAGGACAGGAAGCCACCGCAAAGATACCTTTTGTGGGGACCCCACTGAAGGGCCATCTACAGTTGTAGACGTAGAGGCAAATGGAGGATGGACAGGAGGATGAACAATGTGAATTTCCTTGAGAACGACATCCATTGAAGGTCGGACCTCTTGCTGCTTGTGGCAACACAGTGAAAGAAGACGTTCCAATGGGACTCCTGTATCCCAACTCCAGGGCGATTTCCCGGATCCAATAGCAGTGAGTACCTGCAAGTCATTTTTCAGTGTAGGATAAGGGGGCTGGCTGAACAGTACCTGGAAATGCGTTCAGTTCTCTACTACCATGACCTTGACAGGGAAAAGGCGTACATGTATGCATGTACATCCGAATGCGTAGACATCGCTCTCCGTTGTCTTGACCTCCTCAACGATGACCTCGGGAGCGGAATATCTTGCCGTGTATCCAATCCCCGTCGATGTCGTTTGCCCCGTTATTGTCAGTTCACTAATCACTCGAGACAAACCGAAGTCACACAACTGCGCGTTTCCGTTGTCGCTGATAAGAACATTATGCTACAGGAAACACTGCATAAGAGCTTGTCACCCCGATAAATTTGCACCACCCACTGACAGGCTTGACATCGCCATGAATCATCGGAGGGACTCGTTCGTGAAGATACCGTAGTCCATCAGCCATATCCCGAATCTAGCCCAGGATGTAAATTAATACGAGTGGATTCCTATTGTTTTGCGAACCGATCTTACCAACATGACGCGATCTGACTCCGGGTGTCGCTGTAAATAATTAACGACATCTCCATTTGAGCACCACTTTGAAACCAACACGGCCTTCACGTCGCATCTTTCCCCTTCGATGGCGTACCCAATAAGTTCGATTATGTTAGGATGGCAGAGCGATTTCCATATCTTCACCTCCCGGGTTAAATGCTACAAACGTTCTTAGTTCGAAACGGTGAACCGAGGGCAGTGTCCCACTCTTATCGTTTTTTTGGTCAAATCAACCTGCGATGGAGCGCTGCTTGCCGGTGGGCGAAGTTCTTTATAGCATACCTAGCCAAATATCGTTACTTTTTTCAATACAGCCTACCTACGCTAGGAAGGTCGGGAACTCACCTGGACGGGGTCGCCATCCGAAGGCTTCCATTGGATGGCATATACACAAGAATATCCCCCCGATGCCTTGAGCGCCTTGGCATTGTGATTAAATTCACCACTGAGATCTCTCACAGATGTCAAACCGCGCCGGAACTCGTCAATGAACGTCGCCGATGCAGCATCCAGATGCGACGTTGAGCTCATATTTGTCACGCGGGAACGTTGACCGTAGGCGCGGAAGCATTTTTAGACAGCTTGATGCTGAACGACAGGGCATCAACAACGCCTCCATGAAATATCTGACCGGAACTCAGGGAAACGAATAAAGCTATTGAATCGGGACAACCAACAAATTGGGCTTCGGATCACACTAGAGTGAACTTAACTAATTGGAGACGCAAAGATTAAGTACATTATGTTGACTCGAAGGAAGGTGTTAAATATCTGGACCAGGAGCCATGGAATATGATTATACCAAGGACGGTCCTACAAATAACGGTGATGTACAATGACACAAAAAGGGTGCATTCTACGTCCTAAACACACGTAACAAGCGTTGAGGCGTAACGATGCGCGTTCTACACAGGGGACATTCACGACTCGAGTTCATGACTAGTTCTGAGCATGAGCGACACATCGCCAGATGACCGCAATCTACAACGACGATGTTTGCCTGAGGAATAACAATGATTGAGCAATCTATCCGACGAATGCCGGGGAGGGGCTAGCGATGAATCGTACCTCTTCATCTTGACAAATCGCACAAAGACCGCTTCGTTCAGGAACAGACATGGCTGGCTTCGGTGGAGAAGATGATAAGGTCGGAGGGGCTGAAGCTGACGATGGTACAGGGGATGGAGGACGTATTGGTGCTTCATGGGCGACAGCATGCTCCTGATGCTCAGAATGCTGCCCTTCCTCTACTGGCGGGTCGATAACCACTTCAGGCACGAATTCCGTAGGCGTAACATGAACCCCAGAGTCAGATTGGGACTCGTGCCCTGCTGGCGAGTGTTCCGTCGGCACATCAACTATGAGAAGTTCAGACCATGTCAGTTATGCTGTGCGTATCGATGTCACAAGACGAACCACTCATTCTCCGATCCTCTTGACTTCTCCTGGAAGCCTCCCGCTCCGCCTCTCTCCTTCTCCATTCCTCTCTCATCCTTGCTTGCTGCTCTAAATAAGCCTGTTCTTCCTCCGCTCTTATCCTCGCCTCCCGTTCTCTGTCAGATCGTTCGTTTGTCAATAAGACTTCAACCTTGTTCACAAGATCATCTTTCTCGAGTATTTGACCAATAGTCACATGGTTGTCCCACAGGATTGTTTTCAGTGTACCGATGGAAAGTTTATGAAGCTGATCGTGTGTCATCTCTAGAAGGTCGTCAAGAGAAGGAGGGGGTGGTGTGGGTGTACGGGCAGGACGGATTGGTTGCGGTTGTGGCGGCTGGGGATTGGGATTGGACGGTTGAGAACGAGTCGCACGGGGTGGCGGATTAGCAAGTGATGAGGGTTGATGGGCATACGAAGTATTTGCATTCGGTGGGGAAGCATTGTATTGAGTTTGGGACTGCGAGGGGCGAGATTGCGAAGGCCGAGGTTGCGAAGGCCGAGGTTGAGGCCGAGGTTGTTGATTCGGGCGAGAGGGCTGTGGATTGGGTCGAGGAGTTCCTCCCCCTGTGGCAGCCTGAGCTACATTTGCAGCATTTGAGACTACATCAGCCATTCGAGAGAACAACGACCGTGATCGGCGCCCCGAAGTCCTGTTGGGCACCGAATGCCGTCGATAATAGTCTTCATTGTCCGTAGACAAGCAACCGTTAGGCCCCTGAGCGGACAGAAATCCTAATTACTGAGGATACTGATGCAGCAGGGACAGATAACGTACCCTGGCCGAAAAAATGGCTTCGATGATTTCATTCTTCTCGAGGGCATTCTGCGGAAGTGATAGTCCATACGCCTTGGCATATGCTCTCAAGTGGGGTACGTGCATAGATCGTAGTTGCCCTCGACCGCTGGCAGTGACTGGATACGACCGAAGTAAGCACTGCGCCTTTAATGATGCCTCACTACCCACCAATGAGATTTGGGATGCAATATGCGCATACTGGGACAGCCTCATATCCGGGTTGTCCGGACTGAGGTTCGCTGCGGGGCATCAGAGCCTGATGGTCGCTGCAGGTGGAGCAGTATGAGAAGCCTAGAAGCGCGAGTTCCGACCGCATAAACCAACGTCAGTCAATATCCCGACGACACTCAGAATAGCAGTTGTGGCTCACCACAATGATTACACGTTCTGGATCTAGTGAGAAGTCCGAACTCTTTCCCGCATTTTCTGCAGCCAGATCGGCTGGGCTCTGTTGCGAATGGTGAAGAGTTAGGGGTGGAAACTCATTAGAATTCGCAGCATTCATGTGTACCTTCAACAATGGGTGGCGGTCCACTTAGGAGAGGCAAGCCACGAGTCGCATCCGTCATGCTGATTGTGCTTGGATCTACTTAGAAAGTGATAAACAGACAGAGGGCGGATAGGGGTATGTCTAAGAGAACTGGTTGCAGGCCGATTTCACCGCTACGTGTTGGAAGCTCGCCGTTATAATGCAGTGGGGAAGCGGCCTTAGTAAGAGTGGCTGTGCAAGCGATTTCGGACCATCACTCCTAGATGGAATGTTCTAGTATGTACATTTATTTTGTTTATCATACACGATACCCAACACGCGATGGATGCACCCAGAACTCATTTCCGCCTTCGAGAGACCATCCTACGGGGCCCAGATCGCATTCGGCACACGCCAGAAGCCTGATACGCGGACTAGTTGTTTGGACAGGGCGTGAGAATCCGATGTTTTCAAACGCCATAGGGTTTGGTGTTATTAGCCACCAAGATGTCGTTTCACCCGACGGTGGCAGCTTGGGAAGTTCCTGAGGCAAAGAGAGAGGCACTGGATCCAACTTCATTTGGACAGTCTCGTTCAAAGTTCCTGCATTCAATAAAAGAAGTCGTACCTCAATGGAAGAGGATTCACGCAACTCGGCCACATTCGCTCTCAGGATTAGGCTGGAACAATCCTTTTTGACGCAAACAAGTGCATGCTTATTTGTCTTCTTTCCGTCTATCTCGGTCGTCATTTCCTCTATGCTATGGACGCTCGAGAGTTTGGCAGCAGATCCCGATCTTGTTGGCTTTCTGAGCGTCTGAACTAGATCTTCGTGGATAATAGAGCCTAGCCCTCCATCAAATGTTGTGCCATTGCGAAGTGTCTTCCGCATTTCGAACCAGTCCCGAGAACCATGAACAACTGGGCTTTTCCCGACAAGTTGAAATCCCACGCGAGCATACAATCTTTGCAATTCTTCATGACAGATGACGATGACATGTTCGATGGTCTTATCCTTCTCCAGGCGATCGATGTAGTTCAACAATAGTTGTGTGGCAATCCCTTGTCGGGTTATAGAGGATTTTACACAGACAGAGTGGATGCAGACGGTCGATCCTCCGGGGGAGTGTGTGAACATAGAGTCGTGGCTGAGCGTGGTCTCAGAAGAGAGTGTCGCATTGATGTACCCTAGTAGAGTGCGAGGCTGCGGAGACGGTCGAAATGCACCTATGAAAAGGGCCGGCGCGTTCAACTGGCGATACCTAGCATCCTCTCGTTTGGCCGTTTAGAATCTCTGCTATCGAGTGAGTAAACCGCACCGAAAAGTTTCAAGAGATCCCGCTTCATCAGGAGGAAACCCTTCGTGATCGATAAGAAAATATGTAAACGTTATTAGTGCGATGCCAACCTTGTACTTCGATTTCATGTGCCGCCTCCACCTCACCCTCACGCACAAGGTCGAAAAAAATATCGTTGGACGTCGCCATGGATCGTTCTGCGGCTGGGACTACAATATTGATTGTGGGAGGTGCCGACTGAATAGGAGAGGATCGTTTCCTTGAACTCGTTGATGGCGCAGCTGGCTGAGGCTGCAGTCGCTTCGACGGCACAGACGACTCTTCAGAAGGCCATCCAGACTGACGAAGCTCTGGATGACACGCTTTCCATCTTCATCAACCGCGTCGACGCCCACGTCAATGCACGCCTTAGCGCTCTTTCCAACACCTTGGCCACGGAACTGAAAAGCGTGCAATCCGAATTCGTGAAAGCTATCCAGAACGTCCAGGATGATGTCACTAAGACCCGTCGTTCTGGGATAGATCTCGCTCGCCAAATGACTGAAGTCGTGGCAGATTCGCACAACAAGCAAATCAGCGCGATGAATGATATCCTCCAGCAATTGACGGTTGGGGAGCAAACAGCAAACATTCATTATAAGGATTTGAGGAGAGATATACCAGGCGTAAATTTCTGGAATTTCGTGGCCGAGAAATTATTGGCCCTTGAGTCTAAGTGGGGTCCAGGGGATGTCGATGCGGAAGGAGAACCCGATGTGACAGAACTGCAGGATCAATCTAAGACCCCAGGCGCTACTCTAGAGACACATGCTCCTCATGGTGGTACGAATGCAACCGACTGCTAGTCATTATTTCCCTAATTGACCATGTCTCATCCTGCCATAGCCTCACTTACTGATGCTCCCGGTTTTTCACGACGCAAAATCAAAGCTGTGCCGCCTTGTGCGCCTGATGCACTATCATCCCCTATGCGCCGTTTGCGTACGGTGAGCTCACTCCGCAAGGACGTAAACGGTATGTTTAATGAAGACGCCTCCCAAACCCTTGAGAATCTAACATGCCTTAGGCAAGCCTATTTGTAGCGCCCGTGACCCATACCCTAGCCCAGTTTCACACAAGTCCCAAACCCCAACGGGACACCTCCCGGGCAACGGTTCGAAATCCTCGATCTCGCAAAGTAATGCTGCCAGAAAATGGATTTCCAAGAAAAAGGGAAATAAAGGTCGAGATTCACTGAAGAGACGTCGCAGCAGTACTACCGCTTCGGACAGTCGACCACCCAGTATCACGGGCATAAAGAGAAAGAAATACGATGTTGACTGGCTCCCGCACATTGCAGTCGAAGAGGGGTGTAAACCCTCGGTTTGTCATTCTCTTTTCCTGTTCCGTTTCTGGGACCTGAACCGTCTTCTCATCCAGCTCATTAAATGTGATCAGTGTGTGCTTCCAATGATGAGATTTTATTCATGCCTCACGAATTTTTCCAGATGCGATTCATGGTATCACACCGTCTGCGCGGGAATGGGTGCGCAAACGATACGGTCTTGGGGGCATTTTTGCATCTAACTTTTCCTTTCCTAGATGAAAAGTCATGCGATATCGAATCAATGGTGTTTGTGTGTCAAAGATGTGTAACTAATGGGTAGGCGTTTACACGGTTCGAAACTGCACACTCTCATCACTTCTCTATTCGAAAGCCGATCTTGTGAGAACTGCAATAATCCCTGAGATCAGTGCCTACGAACAACTGATCGCTTATCCAGCTACTTTCAGAAGATCAAGTGGTCGTCGTTTGAATCATTCAGGAAACGCGTGCTCGAGGCCAGACTGTAGAGTACCGAGCACCAAGAGTAAGTTGATGATACAATCCGAAGAGGAATTTGTTATAGAAGCAATCATCGGGCGGAGAAGGTGTCCGTATCCTTTTCCTGAAGTCACTTGGCAATATCTTTTGAAGTGGGAAGGTACAAGATTCCTTCGAGGGTCACACAACGCTTTCTGATAACCTTCTTTGCCCCTATCTAAATAATAGGTTACCACGTCGACGAGGCGACTTGGACTTTGGATTGCGATATTGCTGGAATTGCCGTGCTTGTTCCACAATTTGAGAAAGCGGCGTAAGTCTCCAGCTGAATTTGTGGGAAGAAGTCTGAGGTCTCGGTTTTCTTGAATCATTCGATCCTTAGTGCTGAAGAAGGGCTACTTTCTTCCGAGTCCAAAACCATCCTTTTGAGCGTCGCCAACGAATCAACGAAAGATTGGGAAGCAATGCCGTAACACGATTTTTTGGATGGATCCCCAAAACGGACGTTTGGTATCTACGCGTGCTATCCCACACTGATATCCTGCTGTTGGGCTTGGTTGGGTCACCTCGGCTCTTTTCGTTTAACTCCTGTGATATGATATCAATGTATAGTGTTGTAATGGTTGATATACTGTGTTTGTTCCGAGAGTGGTAAACATCGCGACGCTTCTTGCGTGGTGTTAGCATCCCGTGTCTGGTGTATTACAGCTTAGACCCAGTCAATCGCCGCTTGCGGCAGCCTCTGAACGACCATGGCCTCGAAAGCACAACCTTACCCGTCGCCATCGAACGTCTCTTTTGTGCTACTGGCGGAATTCGATATCCACAAAGGCTCAATAATTCGGCATCAATATCCGTACCCTACTGGTACTAATGAAACGTGAGGAGATTCTCTATGGTTTCACTTCTCGCTGTAGCAAGCATGTTCACGAATGCTTTTCTCGTGTGATGGCAGATATTTGGCGGAGCTGATGATCCCTGATGGCGCTCATGCGTACGTTCAGGATTGGACTGTGTTTTTTCTTAATCAGACGCCTGGAAACACAATCGATCCACCCATCTCAGACGACCACACACTGTCCGCTCATGAAAGTGGAAATAATGCGCCAACCGATGTCCAGAATAATCTATTATACGTTCTCAATCTCGTTCAAACAGTAAAAGACCCGGCCGCGCCGCGGTGTGTATTTCTCGTGTTGCATGGTTCGAGATGCGCTAATATTGGTGCTGCCAGAGGAGGCTGGGTGAAAGCTCTTGCTATTGTAACTCGACACTACACCATCCAAATCTTTCAGGTCCATTCCGTTCACTTTTGATGCACCTGTCTACTGAACGTGTGATTTGCAGCATGTGTTAGTGCTAGCCCTACAGAAGTACTTTCAAAACCCTTCCATCGAAGTCTTGGCAGATTTATATGATGCTATCGAAGCAATGGACCTTGGCATGATGCCCGCACTTTCGCGGAATGAGAAACTTATCTTACGCGCATCTGACCGGCAAGACACCTTCCTGGAGAAGTTTCATTCCCCGCGGAAATATTCCCAGGAGTCAGACGGCAAAATAGCACCTGACACTTTTTACATTCCAGAGGATGACGATATGCCATCTGCAAAGGGGGCATCTGGTGTCAATGAGGCCCCGGGCCTTTATTCAGACTCAGCTGTCCGTGTACCTAGCCCTGCGCCGAGTGCTAGCTCTTCCTCTTCTGGTTCTAGTTCGCTGCTGGACAACGAGCCTTGGACTCGTAGGGATGAAGGAGATGATACGGAGGTGCCTCTCTCCCAGAAACCATCAGAACTTGAAGAAGAGGATGCAACAGTCTCGCAGCCGCCAGCGGAAGATCAAAGAACGTTCTTGAACGAAGATCCATCCACGAGTCTACCATTTGACCAGAGGTCTCGATCCTCTAAGGCTACAAGGAGTACTCGCCATCGGAGAAATGGTTCATGGGGTGCAGCGGCCACCACTGCGTCGTCCGAATCGGACCATCGCTCTCCGCCCAAGAATCTCGATACCCACTTCTATCCAGCCCTTTTATCCCTTGACGGCATAGATCTCCCTCTGAAGATACCTATTTTTACATTCCCTGGCGAAGTTGGCACGGTATGTTTTCACTTCCACTCAGGGGTGTGGTAGGAAGGACCCTGACCCCTTAGTAAGTTTTCCATCAAGACGTTATGTAAAATATTATCTTCACCCACAGCCTCAATTTCTGGACCGTTGCACCCTCACCTTCATTCTAATGGCGCGCTCACGCATCCCATAATACTTCTTTTTAATGCATTGATAACTCACAAACGAGTTATCTTTCTCGGTCATGGAAAACCTGCGTCGGATGTTGCAGCACACGTCCTTTCTGCCTGCGCGCTAGCTTCAGGATCAGGATGTGTACTTAGGGGGTTTATTCAGCGTGCATTTCCATATATCAACCTGACAAATGAGCAAGTGATGACTTCAGTGTGCGTCGCCATTCCTTGATAGCCACCCATTACCCTTCCCGCTCATTTATCTTTTACCGAAAGACCGGGTTTTATCGCGGGCGTGACAAACCCCGTATTCGAGTCAATGAACTGCTGGGATGTATTTTGTAATCTTGAAACTGGGAAAATTACAGTCTATAAGGACATCAAGCTCCCCGTAACAGCAGCTAATTTAGCCCCACAACCACCCTCGACCGTCCCCAGGTCTGGCAGTGCGTCGGGAGACGAATTAATCAATGGCATAGCAAAAGGCGACTTTACTGCCAGACCCGACAGCTTTGATAACCAGTTCATTGAAGAGGTAAAGAAACTCATCCGTGTAGTGAAGCCTCGCTCTGAGCGTGACCCCTTTATGCGTAGATTTTAGCATCAATATTAGAGCACTATGGGGAACAAATGATTCGCCTCAAATTTGCCGACTATGTCGGCCGGTTCGTACGCCTCGCTGCCCGTTACGAGGAAGAAATTCACGGATCTACCAAAATTGGATTTCCGACAATATCTTGCTCGGAGGGTCAGCTGGGCAGCGGATTTTCACTGGACGACATGAAGGAACTCACTGCTAACGCCGGCCGAATTGAGGGTTGGAGAAGAACTCCCTGCTACGAATATTATAAAACAGTAAGCCTTGCACTTGTTCGCGGTGGGGGCCTTGACAACTTGGTTATGAAAGGATTTTAAGCAATCCCTGGACACAAGGGCGATAAAAGCATTTGACGTTGGACACCAGATTTCCAGGCTAAGAACTGCGAAGACGTTATCGGACACCGAGGGTCAACTAATCTTGCGTGCTCTTGCTACACATGTACGGACGTACGAGCAAGCTACGGAGGTTGGTGTCCACAGCTCGATTCGGCCCCTTTCTCACCTGTGAATTTAGCTGTTATCTTGGACTCCTGCACAGAATGGCGGCTTAATGCCGCTTGCCTTGGGCTTATTCCATCCTCAGGAGACAATTCGAGACCTGACGGTTGACCTGTTGAATAATTTGAGCGCTTACCCGGTAATTAGATGTCACCGATGTTCTTCGCCCAGGATGCTGACCTTAGACAAGATTGGAATCCACTTTCTTCAAAGCTTGAATCATTTTCATCGTATGGCATACGCCCGCTTGGCCGCTGCGCGGGAACCGTTACTACAACCAAGCGCTTACCCGTCCCCTCCGACCTCCATTAATGGTTCGAATTTACTCGTTCCCCAGGGCTCCATCAGTCGCTCGTCTTCTAATTTGAGCTCGGCATCGCTTGGAGCGGCCGCCATCTGATTCCGTGACACTAATAACGCTGGTCGAGCAGCTTTTAGTATAACTTATCCGCTCTTTGCATTTCATCACACTCCAATGCTTCACCGTTGTACCGATTATAATACTTTACTACTAGACAAACATTACGCGAAAGCTACCTGCTATCAAATCTATCAAAAACCTTCATCGCGGCGTAGGCAATCCCGTGGCTTGTATCCCAATCTCAGTCACCCCCGTTAATGGCGAGACGCGGCCCTTATATTCTGGTTGGAAAATAGCACCAGTGAAAGGATCTTTTGCGGATGGTGAGCCCTTTAGGATTGGAGTGAAGGATGCTGCACAAATTTTAAACTCTGTAAAAGTGTCATATGAAGTTTCCACGACATCAATGGGATTTCGGTCTCCCTCGTTGATCATTTGTCGAGCCTATGAGGACTGATGAACTCGGTTCTCCAGACACTAACTAGAGTGACAGTACCTGCGCAACAATCTTGGCATCCGGCTTGAGATCAAGCAGTCGGCGGGCGAACTTTGCGGCTGTTGCATGATTCTTCGCTTTCGTGTGTACATTGGCGGCGTTTCGAAGTGCTAGTTTCAGGTGAGGCGGCTGAAGCTCGCAATGCGTGAAGTATGCCGCAAGCTCCAGATTGCGACGGACATTAGTGGGCTCCTGTTCTAGTAATCTTCGGCGTTCCAGCTCAATAGAAACTCCGAGTAAGTATTCACGGGCAATGGCGACCGTCTCATTGAGCTTGAGAACGGGCCCGTCAGAATACTTATGCGAGCGAGAGGCAATAGGGCATACCTGGGTCACCTCGCTCGGCGAAGTTGGCACTACAATCAATAATGAAAGAAGAATAGAACGGAACGCAGCAGCAGCGTCTTGTAATTTGTTCGCAGCCACAAACTTGTAAGCTTCCAATAGATCTGATGACCTAATCGTCTGGAGAGATTGTAACATAATTGGAAGTGCTTTGCTGGGTGATGACTCCTCAGGATTGCGGCGGATGTGAAGTGGAAGTGGAGGGAGAACAGGATTCAAAGAGATATACGCATGGGCAGAACGATACCCAGCGAGGAACAGAGGCTTGAGCGGGCCAAACTCAACGACACCATACTGACGGTTGAGCAGCTGTGCAAAAGAATTAGGGTAAGTGGGAAAGTGGCAGTTAGACTTATACTCACTTTCATTGCTGATTCGAATGATCCAGCTGCGATGTGATCACCAGCGTACGGAGAATTACGGACCCAAAGCTCAGTCTCACTGACACCTGGCTGAGCAGAAGCGGCTTCGCCTTTGAGCTCATCCTCAAGATGGCCGTTAGTCTGATCATCTGGAGTGGCAACCTCGTCCAGGGCCCATCCATCATCAACACCATCCTCACCAGTCAATGCGCCTCCTCCCTCCCATTCACCAAGACCTGCGCTAGATCCATCAACATGGCCATTTATGTATGGCTCGGGATTCGTGGGGGCCTCCAATGCTCCGCTGACGAGTGCCTTTTCAAAGACACTCTCACTAAGTGATATAGCCGGCCAGTTGCGTTGAGCAGTAGAAGTGATGACCTTTGGAGGACCTAGCGAAGACCGGCCGAAGGATGGGAGATCTTCAATGTCCGTCTCAGTAAGGCCAGTGATTTGTAAGACCTCCGCTGCAACTTCATCAAGTCCATTCGTACGCGCAGTCAAATATGCAAGAGGATCTGCAAAATTGCATGACCGGTAAGAACAAAGAGCATGCCCAGAAGCTGTGATAGGCCGACATACATAACCCGACGTCTCGAAGCACTTTCACGCGTCCCAATACGTCTCCAGCGTACAAGGCAGTATGGAATTTGGACATAGGATGTCCGCGCATATCTGCAATTTTCTGCATCTTCGCAAGCTTATCCAAGCTTCCGATGGCCAAATAAAGGAACGATAATTTATCGAAGTTCTTTGTCCGCTGGTAAGCCTTTTCGACGATCTAAGAAATAAATGAGTGGTGCATCCTGCAGATGTTATTTACGAGGATAAACCTTGTGATTCCCTTGTCTCAATGCTTGCTGAGCTAGTCTGTTCCAGATCTCGGGGCGATCAATGGAATCAGCGGTTTCAAGCGCGACTTCAAGATTACCACACTCTATGGCAAGATCAAAGCGGGTGTTCTTGTCCTGCACAAAATGCAGCGCGATCTGGGATCACGAAATCAGGACAACAAATTTGGCAGGCGGCTGAAGCAGCTCATACCTCCGGATAACCCTTCTTCTGAAGGTATGCTATGATGCCTTGGCCAACCAGGTTCGACGTACGTATAATATTGAGGACTTCTTCGTAATTCCTCCTGATTAAGGCAAGCTTGAACCGATACTCCGTGGGATCAATAGTAAGTTGCTGCGGTCGAGCACTGCGGTCCAAACAATGAACAATCCTGCCTTTGACGCGAACTAAGTAAAGCGGTTGCTCTAAGGTCCGAATTATACCGTTATCTCTAGCATTCTGCTGCATCAGCAGTTAGCTTCATTTATCGCATATTAGACGCACCCGTTAGGCAAGCAGAACTTGATGTGATTGAGAGTGGAGTAGATGAATGCTCCCGTATCATCCCAAGCACCAGACTTGATTCTGATGGTTTCGTGAATCAAACAGCTTTGCGAGAGCGTCTTATTGGCAATGGTGATTGCTACAAGCACTAAGTGTCAGGACTTGACTCGTGAGAGCGCCACTCACTATGCTTGCTCAGAAGCGCGACCATGTTGCCATCGTTATTCCATACGACATACTTAACCGGTGGGGAAGACACTTCTGCCAAAGTCTTTTGCTGCTGAAGCTCGTACAGGACGACGGCGGTAGGAGAACTGAGGAAGAGACAACCAGTACCACCATAGAAGATCTCATTGGTCTGTACGGGAGGCTTGACGGTTTTTGTGGTTGAATTCGATAAGTCCCGGACAGCGATGGACTGGACACGCATAAATTGATGCACAGGCTTCCCAACGTTGTGATGACACACCTGGGCGGCTTTCTCCAGAACAGCAAACCTGTTCCTAGCGACGAATACGACGCTCGAGCCATTCCCTCGTTTTCCATCTGAAGTTGAATCTTTCACCTCAGACCCAACCTCTTTTGGTAACCCGACAAGCTCATAGATGGCACTATCCGTAGACTAGGCCAAGTTGTGACTTACGTATTAATCAATGATGAAATTTAGAGTTTTCACTCACCGATGTCACCAGCACGGCACGCTCAGCCGGATTGTAGCTTAAAGTCCTAGGCTGGAGCCACTGATTCCCAAGCTTGCGCACGCTAAGGACTCCATAGTCTGCCTTGGTATTGAGATCGTACTGCCGAACATATTTATCGCGCACGTAGAAGAGTGTGTCATTGTAAAGAGCAAAAGCGGGTCGTTCTCGTTCAAGTTTGAATACAATGAGACCACTGTCGTGACCAGCAGCGAAGAGATTGAGTTCGGGATGAGCGGTCAGGACCCAAAATCGGTCGTGCTCCCTGCGGAACGTTTGAACGGACGTCCGTTTGCCCATCTCCCAAACGCGGATGGTCTTGTCTTCGCCAACAGAAAGTATTAGCTCTTGGCGAGGGTGAAACAAGGACATGGAGACGTTATTGAAGTGGCCTCGGCAAGCATCGACCTCCCAAGCTTTGGTTTCACTCATCCGCCACAGTTTGACTTGACGATCATCGCCAGCGGAGACGATGAGCGGAAGTGTGGGATGGAATGTGGCATAATTGACTCCCCGATCATGCCCCTCGAGGACGTACTTGACGGTACCAATTGTGTCGAAGGTGTCAAAGTTGTTTTGATGCGAACTGGGCCCTCCAGCTTTGCGAAGACCTGAGATGTCCCAGACACGGATGGTCTGGTCTTGCGATGCAGAAACGACGAGATCCTCTTTCGGGTGGAACTGTGCAGACATGATATAGTGCGAGTGTCCAGTTAACATAGTTATGCAGGTGCGTGAAGTGCTGTTCCATATTCGAATAGTCTGATCGTCGGAAGCCGACAGCTAAATCCCGGACAATAAGCACACCAGGGAAACAAATAAATCCCATTGAAACGTACTATCCATGGCATTTCATGGTGAAATTGCACTGTTCGGACGTAATCCATATGGCCATGCAGGGTAAACAGGCATCTTCGATTTTGGGGCCGAATGTCTATTATTCATGTCCACGCTAAACGCTGGGAGAATTTTCGTGCTGCCATCACACTTACCCCAAACTTTTATTTTGTAATCATCGCCTCCCGTAACGAGTAGGGGCCTTGTGGGGTGAAATGCGACCCCGCGAACGGGACCTATCAGAATAAAAAATAATCCCGGTTGATCATCGCGTCCTCAGTAAATCCAGCCCTGAAATAACGGGTCAGTCTTACCGTCGTGCTCCTCAAACCGATCTACCAGTGTACCCATCTGGTAATTCCACAACTGTACGCTTCCATTGTGAAGGGAAGCCGCAAGCAGTGGACGTGCCGGATGGAATGCGAGACCTGGATAACGATTTCTCAGCATATACATTTATACTCCTCACGACATGGCCACCTTTTACGCGATTGCTTTTCGACTCGAATTTTGTTAACATTTGAAGAGTCGCCATGTTGAGCGGTGCTGAATGGACCAAATTGACAAGAAGCAATGAGGGAGAAGCCAAAGTGCCAGATCGTTTCTGTTGTGGTCAGGCTCGCCAACAAAAAGCAGCCCAGGGTGTCAAAAAGATTACGACGGAATTCCTAGCGACGTGGAGAGCAACAAACGTGATCTTTGATACGAGAGAGGTCACGCTTTTGCTTCCGGCCCAAGAAAGTTCCCAGCGCTAAAAAGAACCCAGAATTCATGGCGGGAGCTCTGAGATCATTGAGGCCTCTTGCGCGTACTCTATGTACTGTAACAAGACCTACCTCCTCTCTCGCTTTCCGTTCTACAGCCCCAAGGGCAATTTCTACGCCGCTGGCACGCAGCTTCATGACTACGAAACCTGCATTTGGCAGTGGCGAAAGTGAGTTTGTTTTCTGCGAGTCATCAGAGAGTCGTGGTTTTGAATGCCTTACTCGCCGTTTTTTTGTGCAGGTGATCTTGCTCTCTCGCAGAAATTGGCTGAAGAACTGCAGTATGAGAAGGAAACTGCGCCCTCAGAGTTGGTCCCGGCTTTCCTTGAGACTTTCAAAAAGGACCGTATATGGACGGTAAGTTTCCTGGCTAAGCTTCTAATAAGCCCCACCACTTACTGGATCTACGACCAGATCGAAGACAAGGATGGACTTGATGAGGTGTCCTTGACGCGTCAATTCGGCAACGAGACGTGTGTACACGTCCTTCCGTGGTATGACCACTGAATATGGATTTTCGTTCCATTTTTTTAGAATTCGTGTACTCTTCTCTATCGCAGATATCGACTCTACTCCGGATGATCCTGAATTCGTCGACGGAGCTGAGGGCGAGGAATCTGAATCAGGGCATACCTTTCCCGTCCGTGTCAGCATCACTATCACAAAAGTTTGTCGTATTTGTTCTTCCATAAATAGAAACATTGACTGTCATTGACGCTTGAAAGCCAAACAGCGGCGCCCTTTCAGTTGATGCGGTCGCAGGTGATGGAGCATTTGTTGTCGACAACATCGCATTCTACCAAGATGCCAAACTTGCAACAGAATTAACTGCTGAAGCTGATTGGAAACGTCGTGGTCTGTATATTGGACCACAGGTCAGTATTCGATCCCTATTCTGATTGTGTCTGCATTCATCAACGATATCGGTCCTCGACATCAGTTTGGCCACTTAGATGTTGCTGTCCAAGAACTTTTCGAGCAATACCTTGAGGAGCGTGGAATTAACTCTTCCTTTGCTGTGTTCATACCAGAGTACGCCGAGATGAAGGAACAGAAGGTACGCGACATCTGTCCAGCTGGTCACTCGACTGCTCAGACGTTGCTTTTACAGGAGTATGTCAAATGGCTCTCAACTGTCAAGCAGTTCATCGACGTGTAGGGCATTTGAGAGAGAAAAATGTCGGAATTTCTCATTTTTCATAAAAAAATCTTATTGCCAAGTACTGCTTCACCAATATGATTATTCTCATATCCCTGTTCTGAATTTCATTGACTCCCCCTGAATTTGCTGGACCATCACCGTCGTGGAAGGTGCTCGAAATCCCGCGAACACTGGCCCCTCCGCAGTCTGGAATCCGGACTGGTCATGATCTCCTTTCTTATAAGAACCATACCATACAAACGGGTACCGGAGGAATCTCTTGATGCTCACCGAACCCGCTGCTCACATGCCAGTATATAAGACGGAAACTGATCGCGACGTGTTCACGACTTCATCCTCTTACCACCTTACCTCATACAACCACGCCCACTGCTCGTATCCCCAACCCCCAAATCCGCCGTTCACGATGATCCACCCATCGAGCACAACAGCAGCGCATCAAGCCCATCAGGTGTGTTGCATTCTGTCCCGTTCACTGCACATCTACTGGGGTGCTGATCGTATCAACTCGGAGGGCGTCGCACAATCCCGACATACTCACGCGAGGATCTATTGGCACTTGCCCCAGAATGCGTCACAAGTCGTCTACCATCGGCATATTTCCCATTATCATCGTATGAGGAGCTAATCTCGTCTCTGAGATCAATCCCTGAGATCTGGAGGCGGTAGGACTATAATATCGATCATGAAACCGCCACTAATAACGACTTGCCCACTCCTTTCAAGGAGGGCGAAGCACCGCTGTTGTATCGTTGCACTCGAAACTGTGTCACTCGATATGTTGTACCATGTGATCGAGGCCCTAAATTGTTGCCTGGTGGTTACCGCCAAGATGGGCCTGTGCAATCAGAGTCGACACCTGTTGTACTTCAGCAGCGAGTCCCGGCATTGGCCGAGGACTCTGTCATAGTGGTCAGCAACTGAACCCCAGATCCAAAACACACACACCCACATGAACAAACGAATAAATGAACCTGCTACACTAGTGCATAAAAGAAAATTACATAAGTAAAGGCGTAGAAAATGAAGTTTTGCTGTTTACGGACCAACAAGGTCGGCTTTTAAGTCATACTTTCATTTTCTATGTCTTTATTTGATTTTCTTCTGTGTTCCATAATGATATAAACATCATATATCGCCGCGTGATGATTTTAATTTTAGCCAAAACAGATGTTCAGTTGGGTTAGAGAGAAGAAGCGAACCCTCGCCTGGTCCACCACAAAAAACTCGCAGGAGATGAATGACACTACGAGGCTATCCATTACCTCGGCGGAACCAACCTAGCTTTTGCCGTTCTTGCCTTGCTCCGGGACGTCTGGAAGCTTCGTTCCGCCGGATCCCCCAAGTCTATTTACCGCAAATGCCTCACAATTCTTCATAAATTTCGCTGTTGCCCGTCCAAGTGGATGGTGGATCATGAGACATAGTCTTGATCGAATCGGCAAACGCTTGTTTTGAGAGACTCAGAGAAGACAAAGCAGCACTCTCTTACGTACGTTCGGCGTCGTGTGGGCACGCTTCTTACGTTCTTGGACGCACTTGCGCTCAACCTAAGCACTGAGTGACGCCGACACGATGAGGACAAGTGCCGGACTTCTATTGAGTCTGCGCGAACTGACTATTGACTCGCACATTTTCGAACGATGTCGAAACAACCTTTGATGAGTGTCATGAGCTAGCATGGGTGAGGCTGGTTGTTCTCCATGGTTCCAGCCCTAGTGATATGGCCTATCAAATGAATTGGGACCTCTTATCAAGGTCCAAGGATCGTGTCCACTCGGACGAAAGCCAGAATGCTGGGACGAACTGATCAGCGTTCCAACGAACTCGCCCTTGAGTCTCCTTGGCTCACGAATATATATGCCATCACCTCACGCCACATCATGGAGGATCAACCATGCAATCATCATAAAGTGATTGACTAGACCGTGACTGGCACCACCCGCACAGACACTTCAATTCGCGTCCTGTCAGACGATTAATTTATTCCTTGCGTCCCTGGCGTTGGCTATAAGAAAGGGCGTTATTTGGCCGAGAACCTCACCCTGTAGGTATATTCATGGCCCTTTGTTTTCTTCTCGTTCTGGTCCTGGCAGTGCAGCAGCCATTACGGGACATCAATCACGGGATTGACTTGCTTGTCTAGCTTCATTCACACAGTATACCTACAGCAAATATTCATACAGCTTCGTGATTGACAGGATCCGAAATATTCAATGGGAACGCTTTCCATCAGTCCCTCGAAGGGAGCGACATTCATCTTTTAACTTGGTAGTGGAAACCACGATCTACGATTGGCCCATGAAGAAGGGATTGTCTTCGTATGGGGATGGGTTATATGGCAAGTGGTAATCAATGACCGAGGTCCTGACACGGATTCAGCTGCCTTGATGGCTCCCTGACATCATCATTTAGGAGCGCGAAACACTGTAGCTCTGACTGTGTGACTTCCCCGGCAGAGCAATGGCGCAGCGACTCCCGCGACCTCAATGGCTTCTGGCGTGTTAATTGTATTAAATCGAGAGTCTGTAGGGGAATTGTTAGACTTCACAGCCATTATTTAAAGTAGTTTCACCATCGCATCATCTTGCTTGCTATCGGAAATTTTCCTCATTCTCGGAGCGATTCGGGGACTGTGAAGTGCTCGTATCATCGGTCTTCTAGAGTTCCACCCGGATTGGCGGTCCCAAAATATGTCATTCATAGCAGTATTTTACAGCAACGGTTATTCCACCGGCCAGCATCTTGCCCTGCGTTAGACGCCATCTCAGTTCCCAAGTAGGTGGCCCCGCTTAGGCCTTTCCCTTCTGCAGGATTACAGGTAAACCAGGCACCTGTGCATGTGCTCCCAGACGAGTGGAGCACATGATTGCTGCGTATCCACCAGTACTCCCATCGAGATGTTGTTTGGGGATTTCACTCACGAGCGCCCGAAAATATTATTTTTCCATCCAGCGGTGAGCACCAGTATGTGCCATTGTCTCTGTGCGGTAAGGGCGAACCCTCAACACAGCCCGGGCCGCATGCTGTCGGTTTGGAGTTGAAGGACTTAGAGATATTACCACAGTGAATTTCACAACCCTCGACCATACCCATTGACCATAAATTATGCGTGGGCTGGTTAGACCTGCTTATGTCAGCACTTCGGAATCACATTCATCGTCTGAACACTCAACGCTACTCCACCAGAAGTAGGGGACACGCGGCCAGACTCTTGCATCCTACATTGGGTAAGGCGCTCATTATGCAATGGAAATATGTAGTCAACATGGCCATCATCCATCAATCTCTGCCGACCCCTTTGCGCTCTCCTGAAGCCTTGTGATTAGATTATTATACCTTTTCCGTTCGTTGCAAAGCTTGAGATGGATTACTTTATTAATACTCGAATTCAGATGCCCTTGGAATCCTGTTCGAACCATTATTAATACGAACAGGGAACAGGTCTATCCACCGATCCGTCCGAAAACAGAATGGCTGATACATCGCTCTCCGGTTTGGCATATTATCTGGCATCAAAGGTACTCGAGGAAGCATCCGATCAAAAGGGTGTTCTATATGGCATTCTGAGCAAGCAAGCCGAGACGCGTGATGATGCTGTGCTCATCTTATCTACATCGCAAAAAATAACCCATATTTGCGGAGACGATCCGACCATCTTCGTCGCTGCTTCATGGAACAATAGCTCTCCCCAGGATGCCGATCTTTATATCTTGGGATCCTTTGGAAGTCGATATGAATCCTCCATTGTGAGCTCCCTGAAAGAAAGGTTCAGTGAACGTATCGAGACGTCGGGTAGTGCTCCCAATGGCGATAGGAATTCCGCAGCCCCATTTGCGAAAATATCGCCTTGGTCGGGTGTGGATGATGAGTTAAAACTGAAAAATGCACTGGAAGCAATCGTTTCCCTTCACGTTGCTCCTCCTTCTCCCCCCACTGATAGCACGAGTACTGTCGGAATTACCACAGCAAGCACTTCGCCACCGATCAACTACGCCAGCCCTCCGTCTCAATCAACTCCACTACCACCTCCGCCAGGGTCACGTTCGATCGATCAAATACTGTCCCAGGCCCGATCTCGCTTCAAACGCCTGACACCCACCGAAGCAATGACATCCCTCATCCGAAGCCCAGAATCCACCTACCTTGTTGATATCCGTCCCGAAAAGCAACGTGAAGGGGAGGGATCCATATCTGGAGCGATCGTCATCGAGAGGAATGTCCTCGAATGGAGACTCGATCCCCAATCTTCAACACGGATTCCTGAGGCGAACAACTATGATATTGCCTGGATTGTGTTTTGCTCTGAGGGGTATGCATCGAGTCTTGCCGTGGCATCGTTGTTAGATATGGGGCTGCGCAATGCGACTGATGTCATTGGTGGGTTCAAGGCTTGGGAGGCAGAGGGAAGACCTGTAGTACACCAAGTCTCGTAACAGTACTGTCGTCCTTCGAAGTGTGTATGGGGTTTTGTATTCTAGCTAGGAGCAGACGAAGAAAAATTACCACAGATTAAAGCGAAAGTGTTTTGTCTTGAATCTTGCAGTATGGAGTAGCATAACAGTGTCACAGAAAAAGTTGGGAGAATAGGGAAAATGACGTCTGTCTGAGGCTGTGGCTATGCGCTCTCTTATTCTCAACGGTCTTGCCAGCTTCGAGCGTTATCTCGCCACGATGGCATGGAGGAGTCATGGGAAGGACAATGAGGATCTTGTCAATAATCTGCTCAGCAATGGCCTCATCACTTCCAATCAAGTTGCTGATGTGAGCCTTCCCTACAAGTTTCACCTTTTTAGTCATTCCCCCCAAGCAAACATAACGTCATTAACGCACATTTCGCTTCTTGCATGCACGAAACGGCATTACTGCTGATTTGGCGACAAACCCGGGTGATGCTATCTGGGGGCGTGTGTTGGGTAACAACTTCGATCTAGGCAATGAAAAAGGTTGATCGCAGAAACTACGTTCTAAGCAAGTTTCAAGCATATTACGATTCACCTTCTTCGATCGATTATGGAGGTACGTGAAGTGCATGTTCTCGCCGTGCCTACGAAGAGAAAAATTACGCAAGCTGTATCGCACGTTCGAGGGCTGTCTGAAGTTTGACTCGACAAGCATCAAAATTGGGGCTGACATCGAATTCATCATTTTCGATTAGCTACAATCAGTGCACCTCATATGGTAATGTAGCTTTATAGGTTGGATTTCCCCATAAGTCCTCAAGGGTCCACGCGCACGCGCGGCCGACCAAACAAACGTTTGATTCGTTCTGGTTCCGCGCGCATTTTGTGCTTTGTTCTTAGCATGCACACGCTGCGCAATGCCTTCTTCCGTTCTGTAAACCTGGCGCTAATATCCTTGACGTTGGCTCTGTAAGTCCTCGTCTACATCCTCGTCCCTATGTTGTCATGGCACTACATATAAGTATGGTTTTCTTGGATTAGGGCTCGGGCTACCTAAGCGCAGTGCTATATCACCTTGCAGAAGACTCAACAGTGGTCGGAATTGAACATGTCCCCGAACTGGTTGATTGGTCAATCAAGAACCTGAAAGCAGATGGTCTCAGCAATGCCATTGAGAATGGGCGTATCAAGATGGTGGCTGGTGACGGTCGAAAAGGTGCGTGATAGGATTCTTTGATGTAGAGATTTGTGGCGGGAAGGACCGCCATCGATTGTGATGTGAAACGATCCGAAGTGACGTTTTTGGCACTACACACGCGACGAGGCGACGATTATTGTTCCGAATTCTAAATTTTTAGAAGTCGGGGGAGTTTGCTCTAAATCGCGCGCGGGATCTGACCAAACGATTCGAGCAATCTGACCCTTTTTTCTCTCTCATTCCTCTGATTTAGGTTTTGCGGACAATGGTTAGCCCTGCATCCGCTGCACTGCCCAGAGACCAACACTCATTTCTCTCATTTCATCGTCGGCCTCAATGATCCAACACGCACTTCGTTTGCGCATTTCCTTCCTCAAATCAACGACCCGGCGGACGTCTCATATTTGACGACCGTGGGAACCAAAATAAAGCTCCATACGATGTCATTCACGTAGGAGCCGCAGCACCTACGCTCCCACAACCCCTTGTGGATCAATTAGCAAGTCCGGGGCGAATGTTTATCCCTGTGGGGACGTCAGATCAACATGTATGGCAGATTGACAAAGATGAGGATGGGAATGTTAGCAAGAAGGTTTTGTTTGGTGTCCTGGTGAGTAGGACATTGGAGTCTCGGTTTTGGCTGCTGGCGACCTCCATCGGCATGTTTCTGTCTCTCTCCATCTTGCCTTCCCTGTCCTCAAAGGGAATAGAAGGGAGAAGGAGAGATGATATTTTTTGGTTTTGCATTGGCTATCTATCTGTCCTTGCATGGTGCAGTGTGAGCATCTGACTAACTCTTCTCCCCGGTATTGTGCTCATGGTCACCAAGTATGTCCCCCTGACGGACTACAAACGTTAAAGCATGGTACGATATTCGTATCGTTTCCCCTGAGCGGATTCGCGTGTTCGACGCTGTATCAACCTCAGAATGATGGGGTCAATAAAATTTCCATTGTCGCTGCTGTAACCTGTAGTTGTACTGCTGATGGTCCATATAGGAATTGAATCAGATATGCTTCTCTATTTAACGTCATTGTAATTGCCTCTGCTTCTATACCAGGGATCACCGTATCTCGTGGGAGGTGTGCTGTGTTACTGTTAGCCATCGACTGTCCGTTCGATATTGTGCTTTGCGCGGGGTACACAGCAACACTGCCAACCAGCATGGTATTGGACGCATATGTTGATCCAAGCTAGCTAATCACAGTTCACCCTGTAATGATATAAATTAGGAGACCGCGGAGGCGTTCGGAGATAGCATCACCGCAACATGGAGATCTATGGGATGAACTAGCGTGGGCACCTGACTAGTTGGATGTGAGGACGCATGGAATTTGGGAAGGACTCGGAGTAGTTCCTAATCTGATGAAGTTCATTCACTTCGATTGCGGAAATCATTGCTCTTGAGTCTGGTCAGTCATATTGGATTGAAGATTGACGTGACGCTCACTCTCCATCGTTTATCTGTTAGATTTTTCTTTACCTTTTCCTGACGTGCTGCTCGTCATCGCTTATGGGCGAAGCTAAGCGCGAACACGGCGGTGGTCACCGCCCGCCCCCTCCCCTCCCTTATGGCTAGTTCTATAGGAGGTGATTCTATATCTAGACATGGAGGATGTTTTCTAAAAGACCTTGACCACGCACACGCACGTTCGATAGAGGGTGGGGAGCCACAGGATGAAGGATCCGTGCGAACTACCCTAGTGTGGATGGTGGGCATGGGTGCGGATAGGTATATGTATGTATGGTATATCTCACCGTCTAATCTGGAGCGAAGCAGCCTTGATGTGACAGATGTCCAATCGATCAATCGTCGAGTCCTATTTTGGAAGGTGCTCACCAATACAGTCAATCCCACCCGAACATGTGTGCCCATACATTTTTCCAGTCCATACATAAGCACAAGTGTGCCTTGGTCTGGATTTATGTGAGCAAATATGGATATGGTGAGAGATTTCCCCTTCAAAATCCAATTCCGGTGCTTGCTCATGAAAAGTGGGGATGATTTCTGATAATGTTGCTACATAACCTTCTTCCTTTCCCTGACTAGAGTTGCAATTGCTAAGACGGGCATAGCTAGCAGGAAATCGACTGAGCATCGCGAGCTGATATCTAATCGATCAATATATGGAGTGAGTTGCAAGTGAACACGTTAGTTCTGCAGAAAGTAGAGGGGGGGGGGGAATCCGCACCCTTAAGCCAGGGCTGCTTGAGAGAATATTTTTGAGCAGTGATACGGGGCGTTCCGTCGCCGGGCGGATGTCGATAGTCGGGGTATCTTTACAAACGCGTTTGACAGCGATCACAAACCATGCGTGCATTGCCGTGTTTGTTTCGGGGGGTGAGATTGAAAATAATTCTACACTGCCGTCATGTAAGCCGAAGGGCTGTGACGAGGGCGGGCGTCAAGCAAGTCCCGCTGGAAATGAAACGCAAGTCAATTACAAATTGAATTGATCTAATTCATTTTTGCACCCGGAGGCGAGATCCATTCCATTTATGGCATAAAAGAGTTATTTTCATGAGTTAAAAGTCCATCGGATTTGGCTTGTTCATAGCTCTTGCTCCATTGCTCCAAAGCGCCTCCAGAAGATCAAGACCTACAGCCAGAAACGCAGAAACTAGAACTGCTGTAGATATATATATATACCCTCTTTCTACCTCATCGTCTCTGTTCCTTCTGCTGTTGCATCAAGCAAGCGCATCTGTGGTATGTCCCCTCCCCCCTCGCCTTGCAGCGCCCTCACTGACTCAGGCGTAAATGCTTCTAGTGCAACCCTTATAACGTAGTCATGGCAGCGACAACACATCCCGATCCACCCATTCCTCTCATCGACTCACTCGACAACCTTCGCGTATCCATCAGCAAGTTGCAAGAGGATCACCTCTCAAAAGGTGTCCCTGTTTCGGGACGTATCATTCATGTAACTCACTACATACCCATCGTCGCAACGTTGGAGTCCAACGCACCCCCGACCGCCAGCACCATTAGTGAACATGGCGTACCTACCCCTCCTCGCACGCCGGATCGCGAGCGCTCGTTAACTTTGACTCCTTCTACCGTATTGGATATTCCTCGTCCTACGTCATCATTGGATGAACGCTCTGTGGAGCTGGATGGTCCTAAGTGGTCCTTGCGTCCACGAAGAGGTCATTCAGCCATGAACAGTGGAATACAATCTCTATGCGCCACCCATGAACAAGTCATCGTAGGCTGGACCGGTGATTTGAAAAAGGGCCCTGGTAGTGATGTCGAGCTTTCTGAGGAGAATACTTCTTCTGCCACGATTACAACGACATCGATTGCGACAGGTGCTTTGACCGAAACGGATAAAGCGGCCTTGGAGGAGAAAATTGCTAGTTATCAGGATCCTATCGAACCCTCCTCTTCTTCCGCCTCTTCGAAACCTCTCTCATATGCTCCCGTATGGCTGAACGACGCAACCGCCCACGGTCACTACGATGGTTATTGTAAAACCACATTATGGCCCCTATTTCATTATTTACTTTGGCAAGATGTCACGACTGAATTGCAGCCCGTCGATGACGTTCACTGGAAGGCGTATGTCAAAGCTAACGAAGCGTACGCTAAGAAAGTTGCAGAGGTGTATCAAGCTGGGGATCTAGTTTGGATTCACGACTATCATTGTCTACTTGTGCCGAAAATGTTGAGGGCATTGGTGCCCGATGCATACATCGGGTTGTTCGTTCATACACCTTTCCCCAGTTCTGAAGTGTTTAGGTGCCTACCAAGTGAGCCTCTTTTTTTGCACTGACGACATTATGACTCAATTCTCCACTCTGCTCCTCGGCCCCACCTGCGTCCACGTCACCATGTGACACGCGTAATCTTTTTCCTAAAACAGAACGAAAGGAGCTTTTAGATGGGATGCTTGGTGCCAACCTCGTCTGTTTCAACACATACTCTTACGCCCGTCATTTCTCCTCTTCCTGTGTCCGCGTCTGTGGATACGAATCGACGTCAAATGGGATAGATGTCCAAGGCCAAGTGACAACCGTCTTGTATTGCCCAGTTGGAATCGATGCCGATAGAGTTGAGAAAGACCTCGAGAGACCTGGGATCCCTCCTAAGATGGAAGCTGTGAGGGCGCTCTATCAGGGGAAGAAAATCATTGTTGGAAGGGATAAACTCGATGTTGTGAAGGGTGTTGTGCAGAAGCTCAAGGCGTTTGAGAAATTGTTGATCGATTATCCAGAGTGGAGGGGAAAGGTGGACAGTGATTTCTCTCTTCCTCACTCATTCATTGCTGAACTTTGCCTTGCACGATTATAGGTTGTACTCATCCAGGTGACTTCTCCATCCTTGACGGATTCACCCAAGCTCGAACGACATGTCACGGAACTCGTCTCGCATATCAACGGCGAGTACGGGTCGTTGGACTTTGTTCCTGTTCATCATTAGTGCGTCGACTTTCCTATTTGATTTTTTCGAATCACTCAACCGCTGATGCAATCACCACCCCAAACTTCCATTTTGTTATCTTCTCGCTCGTCGTGCCTGAAAAGTCATCAAACCATCAAGAAGGACGAGTTTTATGCCCTGTTAAGCGTGGCAGATTTGGCCCTCATCACGCCTCTTCGAGATGGGATGAATACAACCAGTATGGAGTATATCATCTCTCAAGAAAGGACGAATAAGAGCCCGTTGGTTTTGAGCGAGTTTATGGGTACTTCGCCAAACTTGTCGCAGGCTTTGTAAGTGGGGTTTACGGCTCATGCTTTTTTGAAATTTCTCGCTGCTATTCCTCATCGTGCTTTGAAAATTTCTCTAGGCAAGTGAATCCTTGGGATCTAGGGGTACGTATTGCCGAGTTTCATCTTTGCTTCTGGCTAACAATGTGATATCATTGCCTTAGGACGTTACCCGTCAAATCAACTATGGACTTAGAATGAACGATGTTGAGAAGTCTCACCGGCAGGCTGCTCTCTACAAATCGGTTCGAATGCACACGTCTCATACATGGGCTGCGGTTCTCGTCAAGATGCTACTTTCTGTTGTTGGAAATGAGAAAAGTGCGAAGCAGACACCTTATTTGGATAGGGTTAAATTGCGGGCCAAGTACGCTGCTGCAAACAAGAGGTTGCTCATGTTTGATTATGATGTACGGACTAGATTTCTTTCTTTCTTTCTTTTTTTTTGACTGATCAACTTCCCTTCTTTTCAATTCGCAACAGGGAACGCTCACCCCTATTGTCAAAACACCCAGTATGGCCGTCCCATCGAAACAAACCCTCGAAGCACTGCAGAAACTCTCGTCAGACCCGAAGAACGTCGTGTACATCATCTCAGGGCGAGATGGTGCCTTTTTGGACCAACATTTAGGTCACCTCAGTGACGTTGGCTTCTCGGCAGAGCATGGAAGTTTCCTCAAGGAGCCAGGTGGACCCGGATTGGCAGGGATTCAACGGGAGTGGGCGAACTTGACCCTCTCGCTGGATATGTCTTGGATGAACGAGGTCAGGGAGATTTTCGAGTATTACACTGAGAGGACGACGGGAAGTTTCGTTGAGTTGAAGAAGAGCTCGGTTACGTGGCATTACAGGGCCTCTGATCCTGATTGGGGGTGGGTTCGCTCGTTTGATGTTTTGGATCATCCGCTGACCCATTTCTTGTTTCCCATCTCTTGAATAGTTCGTTCCAGTGCAAGCAGTGCCTTGATTTGCTGGAAACCAACGTCGCTCCGAAGCGGCCTATCGAAGGTGGGTGCTGAGCATGATTTTTGGGGATTCGCCTGTTTGCTGATCTATTGGAACGTCTACTTATAGTCCTTGTTGGGAAGATGTGTCTTGAAGTCAGACCTATAGCGATCAACAAGGGAGAGATCGTCAAGCGGTTGCTGTATAATCACTCTGATGCTGAGTTCATCTTCTGTGCCGGAGACGACAAGGTATGTAACGATCTCGCTTTCCGTTGTCCGTGAATCTTAGTGTTCCTTCTGTTCCCTTGTATTATCGTTAGACCGATGAAGATATGTTCCGCGCGCTTCAGATTGTCATCCCTCAATTCTCCCCCAACGGTGCCTCGACCCCCAATAGAATGGAACCACCTATCTCGGCCTCCCTCTCTGCTTCCCCAGCTCACTCAGCCAATACGTCCCCCAAGCCGGAGCTCCAACCCGTTGATCTTTTGGCCGACCCAACGTGTGTATTTTCCACGTCTGTGGGGCCTAGTACGAAGAAAACATTGGCGAAGTGGCATGTTACCACTCCTCAGGAGATCGTGGAGAGCATTCTTGAGGCGCTTGATGAAGACGCACCAGAAAAGAGTCATCTCTGAACAAGAGAGTGGCGTCTCGTGTCGTGTCGTACAAACCACAGCTCTTCGTTGTCCGTTTCTCGAAATGGCCATTTTCAATGCTCGTCATACCCAGAGAAAGGAAAAAAACTTAGATGTCCTTTCTCGTTTACAACACCACAACTTGCTCGTTCCGGAATGCATTGTTTACAGTAGTTTTTTTTTGTACAAATGTATAGTTTGGAGAGGTAAATCAATCATATCACTTTATAGATTATATATGGACGCGCCGAGTTCGCTGGGGAAGAGACCCCTTTGATTTTGTTACCTAAATCGATACTGAAGCAAGGATCGAAAAACTTATGAATTATTGTAAAAATCTCGACAAGCCCTCCGCTTCGAAAGAGTTGAGTCCAGCTTCTATTGGGCACTCGGAAACGCTGGACGGGCGTTCATATCATGGATAGTCCGCATAGATCGGCGTGCCGCTTCTTTGTTGGGCAATATGCACAATCAACAGCATCCCAGCTATCGTTTTCCACCAGTCGTTATGTAAGCGTGCGGTCGGTAGGAGAAGGCAAAGTCCCACAATACGTCTGCAAAGCAATGGATTTCCAGAGTAACCCTACCATGTAGAGATGATCCCCTCCTGTACGCCACTGTGTATCAGATGGGGAAGCCGCACTGCCATGACACAACGAGGCCACGGGGGTAATAAAAGGGATCCACCACCACCACCACCTATAGCTTCGCAGCTTGACATCCGCTTTAAGCTGTTCGTCGCTTGTATTATCTCTTTTCGGCTGGGTTGAGATGCCCTTCGGCTTGTTTGAGAGCAACAAAAGTAATAGGTCACGGCATGTCTCGAAGGGTAGCAGATGGCAAAGCCGTACCAGCTCACCCATGAGCGGATAGGGATTGGAGTCTGCTGCTTTGCTCTTCCTCTTGAAAATTTCCTCAGGAAACCGTCAGGACCCCCTCTGAGCAAACGATAGTTCGCAATCCATGCAATAGTGGGCTATAGATTCTTGTACCTAAAGATGTTGTGGCGCGGAGGGTTGAGCTGAGGCGGGAAGATCTCCCATGACAATTCGTTCAAGTCTTTCTTTCGCAGGGGAGTCGGAACGCGATAGGTGGTGGTCTGGACAGCAACCCACCACATAGACTTTAGATCATGAAGGGGAATGAACCGATGGGGCTGTCATGGATATGGAGCGGAGTTGGGGGACCCATGAGCCCTAAGGGTCTTGAGGCCCTCGAAGGCCTTCTTGGCCTTAGGGTGCTTTTTCGGGCCTCTTAGATGGGTATGACTGTGGTTGGGATGCCGGCGAGCCCGACGATGCTTTCAAAGATCTTATTCAATGGTCGATAGGCCTCTTTTTTTTTCCTCTCTTCATCCAGTTGCTCCAAGAGGTGAGAGGGGCCAAAAGAGTTGGTCTTTCTCAGAGTGCGAAGCTCCTTCTCCAAGTGATCAGCTCTGGACTTACCATACAAATTCAAGGACAAGAGAGTTTTGATTGGAACTTCCTGCGCAGAGGATAGATCATTGAGAACGGGGCCTCGTCTAGTTCCCCGGGGGGCAGTGTGGTGTGTAGCAGTGTGGTATGAAGAGGCGTAGACAGGTCTTCGCATGGGGGTGGTAAGATGCACCAGGATGGGCTTGTAGGGGCCTATCGCTTTCCAGAGCGCGGGGCCGCTCGGGGCTCGGGCTAGGGTTGGGAACCAAGAGACAAATGTTAGATTTCATACCAGTGCAAAGAACACATCACGTAAGAGCGATTATGTCATTTTCCTTATAGATTGAGTGTCAGCAAGTATTTGTCAATTCAATCTCAAGCCAAGTCCAAATGGTGATGTGAAAGACTTTAGGTAAGAACTGAATTCCATTACTGTTTGGCCACCAAATCATCCAGGCAATGCACGTCGTAGATTGTAAGCTTCTAAGGGAATCGCATAGGAATCGATGGCATATATAAGGTGAGTAGATTCGAGGTCTCTCCGGTCAGCCAAGCCAGTGACCCCTCTCAAGCTTTTAAGTTCATATCCTTAGCCTCACATCATCCTCGACAAGTCGTAGCTGAAAATGCCTAATTGGAAGCGATGTTCTGGGGGCCCCTCGACCAAATCTGTCAAAGACCAAACCGCTGCGACGACACGAGTCAAACCAGTCGGGGGACCAGCTGATAGGTTCCTCGATGCTATTGCTGAACGTCGGAGTGTATACGCCCTGACGAGGAAGTCCTCAATACCGAATGAACGTGTTGTAGAGATAGTTCAGCATGCTGGTATGTCAACATCTCTTCGTCGCATCAGGATGACCCGATTTATTCACTTGCGTCGTCGATGCAGTCTTACACACCCCCACTTCGTTTAATTCTCAATCGAACCGCGCCGTTGTCCTCTTTGGAGAGAACCACATGAGGCTTTGGGGCATCGTCGCCAAGTCTTTAAAGAAAATACTTCCTCCAGAGCAATTCGAAGGAACGGTGGGGAAAGTGCGTTCCTTCCAGGTTAGTTGTCCCTTCCTTTTCCCGTTCCCACACAACCACAGGACTTACTCTCCCATTCCCTTACTATAGGCGGGTTATCTCACGATCCTGTATTTCATCGACACAAAAGTTGTCAAGGAACTCGAAGAACAGTACAAAACATACGCAGAAAACTTCGTGCCATGGGCCCAGCAATCCAGCGGGATGCTCCAATCCAATGTTTGGGTTGCCTTAGAGAAGGAAGGACTTGGTGCTAGCTTGCAACATTACTCTAACCTGATCGAGGTAGAAGTCAAGAAAGTGTATAACATACCCCAAGAGTGGAGTAAGTACAATTTTTTTTTTCGGAGTTCTCATTGGAAGATGTTCGGGATTGCTAACGAGTGGTTTATATAGGTTTGATTTCTCAGCAGCCGGTTGGAGTTCCTGCTGAAGGCTGGAAGGCACCTGAAAAGGACTTTAAGCCTCTCGAGGAGACCGTGAAAGTCTTCCATTAAACTATATGGATGATCGTTCATATTCCCATTTACACTACTTGTCTAATTGTCTTCATGGACGTATATATATATATATGCCTAATAATGTTTGCGATTGGATCGACAACAGTGAAATGTACTGCTGGAAACGTGTGCAAACCCTAGGATGGAAATCTAACAGCAGTGGCCTTCCATACTGTCGGTGACTGGGGGGCTCAGAAAATTTATGTAGATAGAAGATTAAGATAAAAGAAAGAAAGCTACACAACTAGCTCGGTACAATGGAGATGGGGTTTACCCCTTTGCAAGAAGGCAACCTCAGGCACTACTAGGCGGTATGAGTCATTGCTGCAGGGTAGAACATATTAATAACGCCCGTGGACGGCCGACATCCAATCCGGAGACCAACTTGCTCCGGCCTCCCGTTCCCAAATGTGTCGTAATAGACTAGATTAAATCACCGGGCGGGAAGGTGTGATCAAGGCGTGGGGCGTGCGTGGTCTGCGTGCGTGCGTGAGCATGCGCGTACTACTTGGTGATGCGAGGTTGAAATAACAGTGTTAGAGTCAAAAGTGGGTGATAATAATGGAGCAGCGCCGGAGGAGCGGCACCGAGATTCCCAATAGTTCAGCAAGTAAGTGAGCTGCGAGGTGGGGCTTTTTTGCGAGGTGAATTATCGCTGCTTATATAATAACGCAGCACCCGCCACTCTTCCGCCCTCGCTTGTTCAAGAAATTTATTTTTGTTGGTGACCCAACCCAAAGCGCTTTGCCCATGTGTCATTCTACGCGTTACAACCATTTCCTGAGGCCTCAGGACTGCCTTGGTGGTAGTTCGGCAATATTTAAACGTCGGAAGGCGAGGCCACCTGTCATTCCATCTGCTTCGGCTTGATTCCCCCTTGCAGCACACACTTCTTTCCACTGTCACCTCCTGCTTAGTTCATCTCGGGGATCCACTCGTTCAGTCTACGGTTCAAGGAGGATGATGCTTGTTCTCGCGTCCGGTGGGCCGCACTTGAAGTCGAGCGCAAGGTAATGGCTCTTGATATTACCAAGCAGCTCATCGTATTCTCAGTACTGGGTGCGTCTACCGCGGGATCCCGTCTATCTTTCCATTGTGATGATAGTTGGGCATGCGGAGGACCTCGACCTCCCGGAAGATTTCGATTTGGTGTAGACACGTGGCCCCTTCCGGGGCGGAAGGTCTGGAAGACATCTTTGTTGGCAGTTCTCTCGAGCAAGCTGCCAACTGCAAATAGTCACCCTCTGGCAGGTTGAGTAGAAAGGAGTCATGCACTTGGACGTTGGCCAAACGACACCTTTGCCCGACCATCCTCCATCTGGACGTTCTTTTCCTTCACTAGAGCTCTCGGTAGACAAGGTTCGGTTCGAAATCTACAGATTTAGAGAGTTTAACCGCGGACTGCAGATAAGTATGAAAATTCTCCCTTTCACCCACCTCAGCCCCGACGAGATGCTGGTCTGAGATGGGGTGGTACATAAATAATTTAGTATGTTTGCTTGACACTAACGAAATGCAAGTCGTGCACGAACATGTTGTAAACCACGGTCAAAACCGCGTCTGATCCTCTCGGCGCTAACCCTGAACCCCGGAAGATTCTGTTGCGAATCCACTTGCAACGAGGGCCCAATGCTTTCGACGTGTCGTGCTTGCCATGGGAGGCAATGGCACAGATGGCACTTTGGGTGTACCGCCTTGGCTATGATGAGGGATTGAACTCGCGCACGTATCTCTCGTCACTCTAACATCCCTATTTTGACGACATGAACGCGTTCAGTGCACGAGCACCGGTTGGCGGGAGGAGGCCAGCGATATCGCAGTGGGAATCTCGTCGAAGGCAATATGAGAGAAGAGGAAGTGTGCAGTACGTGGTGTTCGGCTATAAAGTAAACAGTTCACTATTTGTGATCCAGTAATTGCCGGGCGCTACAACTGGTGTCGAGCCACAATGATAAAGTCGAATCGGCCGCGGTCTTCGACACTATGTAACCGGTTCCGGGCACAGAATGCCGATCGCGTGAATCCGTTTCAAAGTGTGTAGACACTATAGATACAAACCGCTTGAAGTGTGAGGCAACAACATCCTGTGGACATGTTGAACTGGGCATGCTCCGGGCTGATTAGATTAGAGCAGGCTGAGAACTTTCTGCTGCCAAACATGAGAGCCCAATGCCGAGCACATAGTGTACGAAGGCGTCAGTAGAAGTTGTCGGTTGAATATAAGGAGCGGGTCAAAAGTTTCCACCTTCATCTGTACTGAGAACATATACTTGTCGGCGTCGCGACACGGAGAATCAATCTAGACTTCCTGTAAAGGATATAAAGCCGGTAGGTTTCACCAGTGCAAAAACTAACTCTCACAATTCAAATAAGTCACATAATGTTTCGTTCCAGCTTTATAGGGCAAGTGTTCTTCGCGAATCGAAATGAAAAGCTCGTTATATGTTCAAGAGCTCCAATTACTCAAATCATGCCAACCCAATGCCCCGAACAGCCCGCACACGGGTTTGCGGTGGCCCGCACCATGCGTGCGCTTACGGAGACGCATGCCTCGTGGTGATGGCGTGGATACTTTGCCTCTAAGAGGTACATGTGTCCGAGCTTCCCATTCATCTTCCCATGAAAGGGTGAGCTGCTGGCAGCCTCGTGGCTGGGTGCTGTTAGTGCTGACACGTGAGGGTCCCAACACATGGCTGATTGTATCACACATTCAATTAGGTTATGGAATCCTCGGCCAAGCTACCCTAGCTTATCATGAATTGCGCGTGCGCTCACGCATCAAGCTGGAGGGGTATTTCAATTGTAGCCTCGTTGCCCAAAAACTCAGGCATATGTCAGTGATTGGCCACGTTGAAGAATGTAAATTCAAAAAGCTTCCGCCCGGCACATCCCGGATGACACGATCTGATTGAAATCAATCGGTGTCAATTCAATATTCTCATCTCGATTTCTCAATTGACGGCTGCCTTGATACGCTTACGCCCATTCATTTTGTCCGCGTCCAATTGACTGAGATGCAGAATGAATGGCGCAAGCGTGTCAAGACAGCAATAAGTATAAAACACCGTTGTTGCATACCTTCTAACCTTCTCCCCTCTTTCAAGTTGTTGAGGACATCCTTTCAACATATGCTTGCCGTTCTCGCCCCCAACTTTTCCGTCTAAGAGCCACAGGCCTCAAAGCAGCCCTGGTATGTTGCATGTTCATAAAAGATCTTGGAGATTCCAGACACGCAACTAATTTCTATTTCCATTCCCATTGTCCTGCGTGCTCCAGATCTGCATACAGACGCTCATCTATGTTGGATTGCCCGTCCTCCTTCGCCTAGGCCTTTTTTTGGATGGGACTTACCCCGCTTGGCGGCTTGTTGGGGGGGTTCGCGGTGGGGGGATGGGGGGATGGGTAGACTTTTCAAGGGCGCTTTGGTCGGGACTGCGCCAAACAGGGAAATTCCTTGCGTACTCACGGCCACTTGCCGCTGGTGGGACTCACGACCACCGGCATACCCACCAAAACCCCCGCGATCCTTAGCCAGTACCGCGGGAGGACGTCCTCGCTTACCAAGGTGCTGCTCCAGGCTCTTAGTACTATTTTTTCAGAGACTGCCCCTTTGCGTGTGGTTAGGGCACTGTCTTAGCTTATGATGGCTTTGATCATCATATTTATGGCTTCGCTGGCGGTAGGGGAGGCCAGGGTGAGGTCAACTCTACGTTTCCATCTCGAATTCCTGCTCCTGCGACCATGAGCATCGGGTATTGCCTAGCTTCCCCCTTTCTTACCCTCCCCTTGGTGACTTTCGGGGTCGTGAGCGGGGCAGCCCAGGACGTCGATTATGCTAGGTTTCTTGGCAAGCGTATTTCCTTGCGTTCGCCGATACATCGGTCTTCCGGATCGTTAAGGTCATGTTCATCTCACATTCGAAGGGTATTTCCAGCTTGTTGCAGTCGGGGGTTCTTCTAGGCATTGTATCTTCCTCGGCATTTGTGGGCCCCCAGTACTGTTTTCCGGGGGGGGTTCCTCATATTTGGAGGGTAGTCCTTAATGCAGCCCAGATTCTTCTGTTGTTGGGATATCCATCGGGCCCTCTCCAGCGAGGTGGTTGGCTTTCTTGGCTTTCGCCCTCCTTATCAGCTTGTAGGCTAAGGACTGGGTTAATTTTCTCCATCCATGCTTTTAGAAGGGAGGGGTTTTCTATGTTTGGGTTGTGGATCTGGGTATTGTCGCAGCTTCGGATGTGAGTCCTTTGCCCCCCCTTGTTATGCTAGAGTGGCCCTTGACCTATTCTGGAGCTATGAAACTCCCTCGCTGTCTCATAGCGCCCACAGTTCCTTTAATAATGGAGAGCTAGTTTGTTTCAATGTCATCGCTGTCTCCAACGTAGGGCCTCGTCGCCGAACGACCCACGGACGGGCTGAGACGTCAATGCTCCCACGCAATCCCAAGTTGTCACGTCGTGAGCGCCGCTGCGTCTCGTCACACCAAGGTTGGATCACCTTGCATGTTGAGTCCTCCCTTCGGCCGTCTCCGAACATAAGTCATGTCAGTGACGCAAGTTCACGTGAACCTCAGTGCCCAAATAGGGACTAATGAGGCGGCGAGAACGCTTCAGCTTTTCCTGGACGATCTTTGCAGCAACAACCTACCACAAGGAGGGACTTAGCTGCTTGTAGTTGCTTGACCCAAATCTGTGCGCCGCTGGCTGCCATCCCTCCCTCCTCTCCGCCAACGAGAAGCTATGCGTGCGCGGTGTGCGTGACCATCACGTCTGCATAGTGATTGTACACTGTGGTTCCAGACCGACTAGCCCATTGGCTGCCTCCATTTTCTCATGCGCGCTCTGTTCACTTGGGATGTCGAATTTAGCGCATATCTGCATGGCGACCGCATGGTTTTGTCATAAGATGGTGGGCGCCCCGTTTTCACGCTCGTATATCAAGCTAACGCTAGCTAGTCTACACCTATCTTTGAAATCTCCCTTCTTTCTACCGGACCAAACGGAACGCGACAATCATCAAGGGGACGCCTACATCATCTGATTCTTGCGTTCAAATGCCACGCCTTGGCATTCCTGGTTGTTGGCCATGTAGAGTCTCGAAGCAAGGTAGGATCTTCCAACCTACTGCCTCTCAATGCTTGGACTTAATGTGACCCATGAAGGATGCTCAATGAATCTGGATGGGAAAGGGCCGTGTGACCGATGTAGTGAGAGACTCTGGAGCTGTAAAGGATACGGAGAGGAGCGACGAAGGTGGCATAGGGTACGCTGCCGTAGTCCACATCCCTAGTACTCGACTGCTAACTCTTTCGGCTGGACGCCAGGATAAAGAATTCATCTCTTATATCAAGGCGACGCTGATGAAGCCCGCGATGATAGTCACTAGGCGTGAGCCTTTGTTCTAGCTGTCAAATGTTGCACGCCTTTAGCTCTCGTTGACTTACAGGAGCCAGCATTACTAATCCCGCACGAGGCTCACCCCGTAACCGTCAACGTGCATCTGCACAATCGACATGCGGTGATGTGCACCAGCTACATCCACCTCTTTATACCCATCAATACAATTCTTCTCTACACAGTAGCCTTCTCCTTAATCACCCTGGTCACTTGGGTTATGGCACACGTCCGGCCTCTACGCAAGCATCTATCCACACTTGGTCAGACAGCTCACCTCCGGCCAGTTTTCCTTCTCTTGTTCCTGGTGTCGCAGGTCCAAGCTCTCGCTTTGTGCGCTCAAATCCCGACTCTTTTCGAGGCAACGCTTGTCCTCGCGAAGGGAATCACAGCACTGAACACCAGCGGTCGGTAACACGTGTTCATGAACCCTCCACTCCTGCTTCTATGCCACGTCCACCGGTTTCTGGTCATCCGCGTGCGCTTCCCAAACAATCGCAGCGCAATTTCCTTCCGCTACGTGACCCTAGCCAACCAGGATATGCGACCTTCAAACAAGTCCCGGACGCGCTTCGCTCAGGGTCGGATAGTGGTTCAGAACCCAGCCGTAACGTTGTAGCTTCAAATCCCTTTCACGAAGGGCGCCAGGGTGTGCAACAGCCTATAAACAAACCCTCCGCCCCTGTTGCCGCACCACACCCTCCTTTTCACACTCATCCGCGTGCGTCAGTCCGACGGTCAATAGGCAACCTCCTTCCGCTGCAATACTCCAGCCAATCGAGGTATGACTTGTCACCCATCCCCGCGCAAACCCCTTTTGTGTCCTATGAGGGGTCAGTCGGGCCCCCGGGCCCTCCAGCTGCCCCATCAGATGGGTTCTCAGAAGTCAGTTCGAACTCAACTCTCTCAAATTTCAATGCTGTCCCAAGCAACCCTTACCTCCAAAAGGGGAGCCAACAACCACAAGCAATGCCTGTCAATTTTACGCCTGTAGCACTGCCCCGGTTAGACTACCACTCGCATCTAAGCTTGGCGCCGGCGTCCGTCCCGTCTCATGGACACTTGGTCAGACCACCCCCCGTCGTTTCTCAGTGTAGTATCTCACGGCAAAGTTCTGGCCTTATTCATTCGCAACCCCACGTTTTCCTCATACCGAATGACTACCATCTTCACGAAGGGCAGGCAATACTTCCCGGTGTTCCCTCCACTTCTAATTCTGCCCTACAACCATCTTTTCATGATTACCAGCGTGCTTTTTCTCAGGATGCGCTTCGGGGTGACCATCCACCAGAGCGCTCTGTTCAATTAGAGAACGAATCACAATCAACCATGGCACAAGCGTCTGTCCCTATCCCTTCCAATTTCGACGCATTCCTGATCTCAGGCGATCCTCCTCGCGAAGGCTGTGACAGTGACAACCCACCATGGGCAAGGCTCATGAACCATCCTTCGTCTTACTCCACAGAAGCGGGCCCTCATGGGACTCCAGGGAGCGTCCACTTTGGCGGTGCCTAAGACTCCGCGTACTTTACAGTTCTTACTCGCTAGCCGGCAGTCACTTTCGGTTACACCTGGCCTGCAATACCTCAGCATCGTTCGTCCTCCGTAATGACCGCAACGACAATGATCAGAGCGGCAATCTCTTCGTCGAGAAGTGTAGACCGACAATGATTCTACGCTACTTTGAAGACGAACCAACCTTGGGCCACACCAGTGCTATTCTCTGCGCTGAAGCAGGATTTGCATGCCATGAATGACCACGTATTAGGAACCCGTATTAGGGGACTGTGATGGTAGCTTGATGAATAACGTGTCGATTTACCAGGGCGGTCGATCACTGAATGCATAGACTTAGATGACAAACGGCCAACAATCCCAGTCGGCCCCCTGACATGTATTGTTGCAAACGCAACCTCGTAAAAAGGAATGCGATCGGGAGGAAATAACTATTCGGACACGGAGGAGCGTGCGGTTTGGCACCCTGATTCGACTATCCTGATGGTCTCAATGGGCCAGATCCAGGAGAGGAAGTAGCAGCGCCATTAAGTCTTTGACAATAGTGGTCTTGGACTCTAGCATGCAGCATCCACGATGTGTATGTGTTCTTGTGCCATCAGAAGGCTAGATGGCGGAAATGCTGGTACCTGGTTACTCTGCACTTCATATTTCACTCATTCATTTTCTTTGGTTTCCAATCTAACCTCACATTGTTGCTGTCGGGCGCTCCCCGTATCGTCGTGCTGTACATGTAGTCGTCAATTCTAGATATTACTCCGAAAGGACACCGCGACAAATTATGAGTGATTGCGTGTTTAAACCCTTAAAAATGGGATGGCGTTGCACCTTTGCGATGTAATTTGCTGGACCCTTGCTACATCGACTGATCCGACAAGCAAGTCAGAAACAACAGGCATGAGTATAGTACGATTTATTCGTAGATCATATCATATAAAGACATGGCACGAATTTTGGACAATTAATGGCAGTACTGAAGCGCAAGCGAGTGTTGGGTGTATGTGAAAGCGAATGTAACTCTGGAACAACGAAATAATTTGCATGTAACTCATTGAACGGATACCCAAGTGCAAAGTTGAATAAAGATACAGAGTGAGAATGGTATGGTTTCATGCTGATGTCATACGAAAAATGCGAACGGTGATGAGAATGTGGACAATTTCGTGCATATGGCGATACTTGAATGATATGAGTTAGGACGATCCCTCATGGAGTGCCTCAAGGATGGTCGAATGTAAGTGATGTAGGGCGATGCGAGCCAATGCGTTCCCACAGCGAAGACCGGAACCGACATTGAAAATGACAGGCAATCGATCGGTTCCATTGTTAGACAAGCGCATTCGAGTAGCATAGTCCTTAGAGAGAGTACTAATGACGTCATCTACTAGACGACCGAGTTTAGGGATAGGCCGGAGAGCGGAAGAGGACTTTGAGGAGAGGTCGGCATTATAGGCGGTTGGAGAGTAGAAGGAAAACGAGGCATCGAGGAGAGCAACGTGACCACCTGCCAGCATTCGGATGTCAAGGGCGTGACTACGGACGTACAAAGGAGCAAGTTGTCAACGTCACATCACAACACATGGCGGGAGCTTACATCATGTTATACATGATTCTAAACCATGCAGCACCTTTCAGAACGACAGTGACGAGGGGGGAAGACGGATGTGCGAGGCGAGAAACGTTGCATTCATCCTTGATGCTTTCCAGCTCTAGTAGCAGGGGCAACGTAGAACGCAGAAGCTAGGAAACCATTCGTTATGTCAATAATTACCTGCATTCTTTGAGCAGCGGGAACTTACGATTACGAACTCCTGAACCGCGCTCCTTGTCAGCTCTTGATCGCCTTCAATAATACGCGGAGCTAGATATGGTTCGAGTTGTTGATGCGGATTATCAGTTGGTGCAAGGCGAACTGCGTCCCCGCGTGACCCGTGCGAGCGAGAAGGGAGAGGGGATAAGCGAGAAAAGGATACTTTGAAGGTGCACGGCGCAGCCCCGGGTTCGGGTAAGAGTGAGGGAGGGTTGTATTCGATGAGGCCAACGTAATCCTAGTGGGGGAGCAAAGGAATATTGAGTGAATAGAGTAGAGAAAAAGGCCCCCCAAAAGACCTACGGAATGGTACGTGAACTCGATAGCCAGGAGGTTGAATGATAGCAATTGGACATCTTCGTACTCCTTCTGTCGGCTCATCTCGGCGACATGTCGAGCAATGGCAAGGGTCTTTTCCACGCGATCCCATTCCGACAAAAATTCATCTATAGCATTGTCTGCTTCGCCAGAGACAAAAGACAGGACGGAACTCCGTGGATCGTACGACACCAGTGAACCAGGACTTAAGCCTGGCCCAGACACTGTCGACGGTCTGTGTCTAGACGTGTTGAAGGCCAGTGGAGGGGGTGATCGCAGCTTAACTTCGGTGATAACCTATCGTAGAATATGAATTGGAACGTTGGAGGGACAAAGAATGACGCAGTGAATGCGTGCGCACCTTCGCCTTGTTTGATGTCCACCAGTTCATCACAGAAATCTTGATATTAGCCATTGACACCTCAGGCCCTCTCGAACCAGGCGTCGGCCACATATCCCGTGCTGTAACTCGGATGACAGGCACAGCTCGATGACGATGCACCTCCATCGATTCAGGATCAGGTGGTAAAATCTTCGGAAATATCGGCATATAAGGTATCCCCCGGGATTTCAGCTGCTGCTCGATCCGTGTATGCGAAACCCTCGCACTGAACCAGAAAGAAAAAAAACACCGGCATCAGTGACGCTGCAATGTACGACCACGACAGCACCCTACGTACCACCCGAACGCATAGAGTTCCTGAAGCACATCAGCGCGAACAGTAAAACTGAACAATTTAAGTATAAGTGGTTGGAGATGCGGCGTGGGTCACTTGGGAAAGGGAAAGTCACTAACTCATTTGGAACCGGTCCGAGTCCAAGTTTCTCCGGGTCCAGCCATCCAAGGTCGGCGATAACAAGCCGTTCTCTGTTCTCTACTATCTCCAATCTCGTGTCGATCAGAGCATATTTGCAACCTTCTTCCGACACGACGATGACGATATAATGAGAGGGGAAGTTCGTCAATTTGATGAAAACATGGAAAGCAGCGCCCGAAGACAGCTTCAGCATCTCTGGGAAAAGAATTGTTGAAATTCAGAGCAGAGGATACAGGGGGAGCATAGCTACACTCACCATTACGTGCAAAGCCTGGCTGGCGACTTGACTGAAGCCCGAGGTACTTAACCTGCTGCTCAATCGTCTCCGTAATGGCCTATATAGTAATCAGTTTTTAATAGAACTTGAACTAGGCCGCACAAAAAACTAAACTCACATTGAAACGTAAACGTGTTATGACTTCAAGCATCGCGGACGGATTTGCATTCACTACTTCAGCGAACTGTCCGAACTTGTAGCCCCGTTCCCAGGCCGCCAAATCACCCGAATCTCGAAAAACGAAACGCCCTGTCCGGAGGTCAATCGAGATGTGCAGGACTCGCCCCTTGAATAGCGTCAATTTCAAAGTTGGAGTCTCGTCTGCGAAATCGACAGCACAGAAGTCATTGGGCAGGGTACAATCAACGCTTCCGATAGACGGATATAATAGGAAGACAGGTAACTCACCGTCGTCCACTAAGACAGCTTCCTCTCGGTCAATCACGAATCTCCTCCATGGACCATTCTGAATCTGGAACTGGAAAAACCGCAAAATCGCTCTGGCATGCTTCCGCGCAGCAGATTTGATGATAGATTCACAATCCAAGTTGGTTGCATCCTGGTGAGAATGTTTGTTAATCAATGAGAAACGGCAGCAGCTTATGGAGAAAGACCACTTGCGACTGTGATATGTTCCGATTCAGACTCGAGAAAGAAAGGTGGAATCCTTATCGCCAATGCACCAATCGCGGACTCCCACCGTACTGTAAGCGCAACCCGTTCTACCCGGTCGCTTGGTATAAAGGCCTTGGTGCCATGGTCACTTGCTGTCGTGCCGGACGACCCTCCCAGCCATGTCGACGACGACGACGATGATCGCAATGCCTCCAGCATGCATCGTTCTTCCAAGGTTCTCGCAAGTTCGAGGACATGGGGATTCGAATATTGAAGGAGAGTGTTCGGGATAGATGAGGAAGGGGTATTGGAAATGGAGATCGTGACCACTCCACCATACATCGGCGGCGAAGAGGGTGGTGTCTGCTGTTGTTGTTGAGGGGGGGCCTTTGGGTGCCGGTATTGGGGGAAGGGGGTTGTACGTCTAGTTCGTGTACGTGAAATGGTACAGAAAGGATCTAAACATTTCTGGACTTACAACCAGTATCGAAGGACAAATTTTCTTCGATCCTGACTTAGATCAATATTGAGATAATCTCTCCATCCAAGGTTTCGCAATTGCTCAGCCTTCAAGCGATCGGGGTCATTCAATCAATATAACTTGAATGGTAAACATCGAATGATGACCATTGTTCCTTACCTGGTGTAGTAAAATCTCTAACTCATACGTTAGCGAAAGCATCTCTGCGGACGCAAGTCACCTCTGAATAAATGACGGAACTGGCGAAAAGGGAAAACTCACGAAGCAAGTTAAATGCTCGGACAAGGGGGGCATCCACCACCACTTCTTCACTACCCCTACTCCTTTCATTCGGGGGTTTCTCGGTGGCAGTAACAGCGGCAGGCCGCGATTCTTCCTCTTTAGCTGCTACTGATTCACTCTCTGACGGTACTGCTCCAGGTGCTGACGGAGGCTGAGCATTTAGCATAAGTTGCGCATTGATGCCTGGTAATATCTGAGCCCATAAATGCGGTGGTGGCTCTTGTGGAAACGCTACACATTACGACAACATTAATTCAAGAGTGAGCGATGATGATGGGGCTAGGGAAGAGGGCTTACTCGAGGCTATCTTCTCAGTCAGAGCATTTCCAGCGCCAATGAGAAACTTCATGTCGATGATGAACCATGTATCGACGGCTTCGCTTCCTGTCAGACCAAAAGACGCTGTGAACAGATTCTCTGCAACGAAATATACACGTCCATTATCTAGCGTTGTTTGGTAAAACCCATCACAACGTCATGTGGACGCACACACCTATTCGATAATTCGACCACTCGAGAGGTATTATCTCCCACATTCGTAACCGCTCGCGCAGCGCATGGTTCATGTCAAGTAATGCACTCCGCACTTGTGTCACGGTAAGGGGTTTCTCAACGGTGAATGTGTCTTTAATGATTGTCGGCAGGAGAGACTTCTGTTGATCAGGTGGGAGGGTGAGGACAGTAAGCGCTGTTGAAATATCGGGATTACGAAGTCTACAGTGTGTATATGAACGTGATGGGTTTTCGAGGCCACAAGTGAGCCAGTAATCAGGCAAAGCTTACCGGGCTTGGGACAGAGATTTTCGGGTATCTACGAGAGCTTGCACGACTGTATCCAGCTGATGATTATGCGCCATTATATACGCCGTGATTGCCTATACAAGGGAGAGATGCACTGAACTTATCAACTCGTCCTTGGCATTTAAACAGAAGCGCATAGTTTCAAAGTCCCAAGTTGACTAACCATAGCAGTCTCGACATCGTCCGCCACTTTTGCCCATTGCGATAGAACATACGCTTTCATGAACTGTTTCCTTGTCTCCACGGCATAATGATCAACTTCTCGTGCACGATTTTGCGGAGGCGTCCCGGGCAGCCTAAACGCGATTTCACGTGAACCAGTAGAGCAAGGAAACAGTAGTCCAACCGAGGAGAACAAGGCATATAAGGATAGTAAGAAATAAGCTGTCTATCAAGGGCAACTTCTCCAAGGAAGAGTATATCGCCGCTGTAAAACAGCAGCATGAAGAAAATGACAACGTACGTATCGCTGAGCTCGATTAGCCTGGCATAGGCATCTTGAACGAGACGATCAATGATAGAACCCAATGGGATTTGATCTGCAAATGCCCGCGGAGGGAGTTCTTGTTCTAACACTTCCAAAGGCGTTCCCACAGGCTGAGCACTCGACGGACCTCCGGCTCCTCCTGTCGAGGCTTTCACTGTTGTACCAGGGGCTTTAGGCCGAATGACAAGCTTTACGGACTTCTGTTGTTGTGGTTGGTGAGTATGATGATGCCCTCCTCCTTGTGGCCCTGCTGAGGCAACATGGCCACTTGCGCCGCCAGTGCCGGGCGTCATAGCTGTCATGGCAGCAGTTGAAGCAGACCTGAGGTTTTTTGAAGAAATGTTGGTATTATTGCTGATAGCAGCAGCAGTGGCGGCGGAGTGACCATTTGAAGATGCGTGTTTGGCGAAGTTCATAGGATAGGTCACGAAGGACCCAGATTTTCAAGTGAAATAGTATGAACAAGGAGAGCGCCTTTGACTGAGGCTGCGAGCGAGGAAGGGAGGGAGCCAAAGATACCCTCAACGTGGCCAGCGCTTCCTCCAAGACTCAAGCGTGTGAGTGAATGAGGGACGAACGAGCACGAGCAAAGGTTGAAGCAACGAAGCCCGTCAATAAAGATGAGCAATCTTCGGCAACTTGCGGTCGGAATGATTCGCCTTTTCTGGGCAATCCAATAGATTCGTGATTACCGATCCCATTTTTCTCGATTTTACATTTCCCGATGACCGGTTGGCGTATGGGCGATTGGATAGATAAAAAAAGAGAGGCAATTATGCGGAAGTGATGGAGACAAATGGTCATTGAGAAGTGCATACATACAATACAAACATTAGCATTCAAAGTACGCCCACGGAATCCGTCTTCCGTTGATGCTGATTATGCCGGAAATGGAAAAACGGATGAGATTCTCTTGCAAACCATTTCAAGCATTTTTCCCCCTTCTGAGGGTTTTGGGTTTCCATGGTTGAGCCTCATCGGCAGTGTGCGGCCCTTCCTGGTAATACTGCCCAGAAGATTCTGCGATCTTCGGATTCGATCCTGACGCGACCTGATGTGCCAAACTAGGAGCGTCAGGTGAAGGTTTCATCCGGTGGGAGCTGTAACCGATTGGGGTCATGTCATTTGGATGTTCCTCGCTTTGTAGAGCTTCCTGAGTGGACATATCGAGAAGGGATGGCGACGGTGTGTGCTGTAAGAAACGTGCGGCTTCGATCTGACGAACACGTTCTTCCTTGTCACGGGCTTCGATCCTGGCTGAAAAGTCGGCTATTCGTTGTCTCCGGGAGAGATCAACTTGCAGTTCCTAATGGAGATTGGTCCTGAATAAGTTGTGAGTGTATGGGAAAAATGTTGGAATATCGTACCTCAACAGTTGGTGGGTGCATTCGGGTATGAGCCATCCACGCCGTCCACTGAACTGCCGAATGCAGTAAGGCACAAGGCAAGACACCCCTGGATACTTAATTTAAATAACGCGATAGCACACTGACCTGGCAATCTTGCTATTCCAGAAGCGTACTCAAACATGTCAGGCCGACGTGCATATTTGACTACTCTCCTCGTACGCGGCGACCCTTCCTGTAAAGGGGGGTACTCAAAGAACCTGTTCCCTACGATTGAATGCGGGTCGTCGGTAACATTCGGAGATGCTGCATAATGAAGCAAAAAGTGTGGCCAATAACGGACCCTGAAGGTCACACCCAACGTAGTGCCTCTATTTGTAAACAATTTCCGTTATGTATGCAAAGGTCAAAGCAATCCAACATTTCGCTCACCCCGGACCACACGCGCATCAGCCACCTCCTTGGTGCACTCATTTGCGACAACGAGTTGCGGTACTGTCAAGCGCCCTCCCTTGAAGAATAAACGTACTCAGTTCTCACGGCACGACGACTCCGGAACCAAAACCAGCCCGTCAATCTATTTCTGAAAATAAAACTCTCCGACAGATCTAAGTACCACGCTCGTCAGTTCCCCTCTTTCACCCCCTACTTTACTCTAAGAGAAACTCATTTCATTGCCCCAGGTTAAGCTTTTCTAGCCTCAACTATCTCCCTGCACGACATGTCTTTGAAAGTTGATTCGAAGAAGGAAGAGGTCATCCCACTCTCCGAGGGACATTATGGAGGAAGTAGGGGACGAGTTGATGAGCTTCCTCCGCCCGTTGCCACTCGGACTTCCCAACAGTCCAAGCCAAGCTTGTCAGCAGTGGTGGTCATCCCAATATGGATGATTTGCAGCTCCTCCGTGATTCTGTATAATAATTACCTCTACAACAACCTCAACTTCAAGTTCCCTGTTTTCCTCGTTACATGGCATCTCGTCTTTGCTGTAAGCGCCATTATCTTCTCTCTCATTCACCAATAGTGTGACTCCGTGTGTCTCCTTCACCCAACTAGACTATCGGAACACGTGTATTACAACGTACGACAAACTTGCTCGATGGCGTTAAGGATGTAAATATCACCCAGGATGTCTTCATACGCTCCATCCTCCCTATCGGTTTATTCTTCAGTGGGAGTCTAATCTTCGGGAACCAAGCATACCTCTATCTTTCCGTCCCCTTCATCCAAATGCTTAAGGTGGGTCTGCACTTCTCGCCACCCTCCACTAGTCCCAAATGCTCACCCTGTATCTCTCCCACAACTCCGCCCGACAATTCTCCTTCATTACCTCTGGACGTAAAAACCAAAATCGAATAGGCATTTCACCCTGTGGCGATTCTATTGATATCTTTCGCCGCCCGTATTCAAGAACCCAACCGCCGTCTTGCTTTGATCGTTCTCCTCATCTCATCCGGCGTCTGCATGGCCTCTTTTGGGGAACTCGCTTTTAACATGACTGGCTTTATCATCCAAACAGGAGCTGTCATCGTACGTAAATTTAATTGTATTCGCCCAGCCGGATGGCTTGCTTTTTTTCCTTCCGGGCTCCGAACTTATTCAGGGTCCTTGTCGCTGATGTGATCATCTATTCTTGGGATTCCCGGGCGCTCGGCGCTTGAGTAGTTTGAGTCGTCCAGGCTGGTCATGATTCAGGTTCTGCTCCAAGGAATGAAGATGGATCCGTTGGTCTCTCTGCATTATTACGCTCCAGTGGGTCTTTTTAACCCTTCCCTAGCATCCCTCTCCCTTTCCGGCATCTCACTTATATCTGCCTAGGTCTGCGCAGCAATAAACCTTTTAATCCTCCCCTTGACCGAAGGCTTCGAGCCCTTCCGCCAAGCAATGAATATGAGCTTCTGGATCCTCTTCTCCAACGCTGCAGTAGCTTTCCTTCTGAACGTCGCAGCTGTATTTTTGATCGGTGTTGGATCCGGGCTCATTTTGACGCTGGCGGGTGTGTTAAAAGATATTCTACTCATTACGGGCGCAGTTCTTCTATTCGCGAAGCCCGTTTCATTACTGCAGGTGGTTGGTAAGTTGATTCTTATCTCTCTTTGCGTGTGAGTTGCTTGGGCGGTGCTAAAGCTAGCTTCCTTTCCACAGGGTATGGAATTGCCCTTGTTGGTCTCGTTGTGTTCAAAACGATGGGTGGGAAGTGATTTCTCATCCCTTTCTGTCGCTTTCCTTCAATTTAGACTTCACATATACCATAATAGAGGATGAAGCCTCCATGACACCTTTTTTTCCCTCAGTTGTCCCAGCGCACTCCCAACTTTCTCACTTCCTCTCTCTTATTTCATTTGTCGCATTGAGTGTGGTAACATATAAAGCTACTTTCCCCTTGGGCCAAACAGTATCCTATAAATGCGTTGATGGCGTCCGTAAATGGAATTGTCGCAGTCACCGACGGGGTGTCAACACGATTGCTGGCGATTGGAATCTGTATAAGCGACGTCGTCAGCAGTTTCAGCGGACGACTAGGTCATGATTACTATTTCAGACGCTGAGCTTCACTGAGGGAGGCTCTGGACCAGCGAAAGGCATATCCCATAGAGCAACAAAGAGGTCATAACACCCAAGGTGCAGCAACTGAAGGAAAGAGAACAAAAGAAACTATGATTCAGGCCACGTTGGATTCCAACAACTGGTACGTATGAGGCTCCTCACGTCCTGGGACCAGAGAACTTGCAGTCTGAACCTGGGTTCAATTCGACATTGATACTAAGTTCGAAGCAGCAACAGGACATTGTGCTGATATTGACGCTGGTGTCGCTAGGGGCTCTTTTATTCACATCCACACGTTCAAGAGGATCCGGGACGGGGGGACCAGACAAAAGAAAAAGAACTTGGTGAAGCGCGAGCAAAACTCCTGGAATGCGCGCGGCCCGTTCATTTGCCAAACACTATCACATTGCTCCAATTGGAATGGTTCGATAATGGCGTCCGAGTCATTGACGAAGGGTTGTCGCCGTCCAGAGTGTAAACACCCTGGACCTGCCTGTCCACCGAGTAGGAACAGAGTCCCGTTACTTCAACATCCCCACTCTCATTTGCTCGTGCAGCGACAAGACTATAATGCGGCGCTTTCATCCCTGGAACAATAAGGAAGGGATGGCCGGAAGAAGAGAAGGCACTCGGGACAAATTGACTGAAGGAGTGTTTAGCTATCAGTGCAAAAGCGAAACCAGCAAGAGAGGCGAATCAATATCGGTTGGTCGGAACTATCCGCCCGCTACGAGGATCCAGATCGTTAACCATGATAAGGATGTATTCATACCCATCAAGAATCATTGCGCAATTCAAGTACTCGAAACAGAGATCCAATACCCCCAGTCCGAGCTTCTTTTCCAACAAATGCTAGTCCCCTGCCCTGTAGCTCTCGTTCCGCGCTGGGAGCAGGGACCTTTCGGTAAAGGTCTCTATAACCACGTCAAATTCGGACTCAGACACGGGCAATCAGTAGAAGCACGAGCCCACGCCAAGTTCAACGTGCAAACCAGAAACAGAACGGCTAGGCACGAGCCTACCCGTCCAGAAACCGAGCCGGAGGGGGTAGTCAAAGGCGATGGGGACAGCCCCACTCTAATTCCCGTTAATGACTATCTCCGATCTGTTAAGAAGTGTAGCTCGAGTCGGGGTTCGGCCTGCCTGAAACATCGATGCAATAGACACGATAGTTGGTCCATCCAAAGTAATACATACCCATGTAAATGGAGAAAACAAGGGCCGGGAAGTAAGGGGTTTATGCTGGGGACCCATTGACAGGAATCCAAGGCAAGGCGACAGCCTCGATAAACTTCACACGCAAACTCGGCCAACTCCGCTACAATTTTGTGCACAGCTGATCACATGGTTGATGACGCCAATGCCGTGCGATGCTGAAGCATTTGTACACGAATATTAGACACATTATTTACAGCTCCCCCAGTCTCATGGATTTTGATAGCTAACTCACTCGTCAACACTTTTTGCCTTCGCCTCGAGGGACCTCGATGTTCTCGTTATCGCTGCTCAATGTCAGCGTTCCTGGACGGAAACTGAGCTCGACACTCGTTATCCTTGCACTAATCATCGCTGGTTGGCTCCTTCAACATCATCTCTACATTACCTTTTGTCTTGCGTACACGTACTACGCCTTTGCGTTCCTTCCGACCGCGATTCTAGGCCACGGCGATGGTTTCGATCTTCTAAATATGAAATCACCCCCGGACGCTCTGGAGATCGTACCTCGCATCTTACATCGAGTCCATCTGGGACGCACACCAATGCGTCCGAGGTGGATAGCGGCCCATCAGTCATGCCTTAAGCTGCACGGGAACTGGACAATAAATCTCTGGGACGAACAGTCTGCGAATATTTTCATGCTTCAACATTATCCTCACCTGTACGACCCGTACCGAGCCTTCCCTCGAGGTGAGAATTTCCGAAACTCCCTGCCAAACCTAGTCGAAAACCCCCATGTTGCCTTCCCAGATATGCATCGCTCTGTCATCATCAGGTACTTAGTGTTAAACAAACAAGGTTTGTGGGAGAGATAGATCACTGGGAGTGGCGTCCTCACTTTCTCCCTTAATGCTCCTCAGGTGGAATATTTCTCGACCTCGGCATAAAGTGCAATGCGCCTCTGCACTCCTTCCTCACACAAGAATGGCTTTCGCTCCCTGGTAAACCAATCGGGATCGATACCGCTTTTGTGACATCGGTACCTGACCATCCATTCCTCCACTTCATTATCGACAAAGCCTTCGAATATCACCTTTCTTACATCTCGGCATACGGTTCGAAATCGTACGTCCCCTCAACAGCATTGATTCCCTCTTTACCTCAGTCGTCCGTGTGGAGACTCAATGACCTCTTTGTTTATAAAAGGTCTACGGCAGGAAGCCGTTTGGTATCGGCCCTGCATGCTCAATACCCTGAACGGCTGAAACTCAAAGTCCTACCACAGGAATACAAGCTTGGCAGATATTCCATCATGTCCATTCTTGAGTACCTCCGTACGTCGACACGGCATTGGGGTGACACCGCTGCCGCCACAGGTACAGCCGTTTCGGAGGCAGTGGAATGGTTTATTTCACCATGGCTAATTTTTGGGATCATCCTTGGGGTCTTTTTCGTTTTGGGTTTGTTTTTGGTGTTGATGTACGTGTACGTGTACCGGCGGAGAAGAAATAAGGCGGGACTGAACTCCATCCACTTCGGCCGGTCCTGCCGCGATAACCGCTATTGATTTTTTTCGATGTTGCGTCGGTGGACTGTTCCCCACCAGACCGCTTATTTGGTGTATGACTTCTGAGCTTCGGAGCGTGAGAGGATAAATTAGGGTACGTCCGGGAGGCCCATAGGTTCTCAAACTTACCCGCAAGTCCCGTAATTGGGAAAATCGCATTCTAGGGTTTGCACGCGTCTGTAACTTTGACGCCAGTTACAAGCCAGATGAGCCTCCAGTCATGCAAAAAAATGGTTTTGTTTTTCTTTCTCGAGATACCAATTCCCCACAGCTTGAACACTTCGAAACCGTGAAATTTCAACGGTGCTGCATGGCCAGAGGGACGTGGCTGTGTTTTGGAGCTATGTCGATTTATACCCCTGTAACATGCATAAATAGATAAATAGACCCCTCTACTTCCATCGCGAGTTGTCAGTTGAACCGTAGAGATTTGGATCAAGACGCGGAGCCACGGAGCTTACCGGGGAAATTTGAAAACAGTAACAATTGACTCCGAGAGCAAACCCAAATGGGCACCAAACGAACCCATTACGATGACCATGAAGAGGAAGAAGAACAGTCAGGAAGTGACGTTCAGTTTATGAGTGAAAGTGAAGGGGGCGTTGCTCAATGGATGGATGATGACGAACTAAGCGAGGTCGACGAGTTCAAGCAGGAGGGCCACCGACCCGAATCGGACGACGAAGTACGTTTTAATCCCTGTAAGTATGCTAAGTATGCACTTACAACGTCTCTCCATTTCAGGGAAGGTTCAAAAAGCGTTAGTTTCTTCCTTTTTTTTGACTGCCTGGCGCTCCACTCAGATAGGATTCACAGAACTCGCATCAATGTCTTTTGGAGCACTAGTGGAGGCGAACCGTGCCATCAAGGGGGAATCCTCCTCTTCATCCTCGGAGAGCGACAAATATGAAGAGTTCGATGCTCTCAGTCAGTCTGGGTCGTCGGGGAATGACGACGACGACGACGACGATGAGGAGGACCAGGCGAGCTCGTCGAGAGTTCCGAAGACCAAAGAAGAATTGAAGCGTAAGAACAAGTATGCGTGAGTATGGTTAAAGCCTTGATGCCATAATCCAAGCTGCTGACGGCAATCTTTGCAAAGGCCGGTGGAGATGAGTTCAGTGAGACCCGTTTCAAGCAGGCGTCAGGTAGTTCAACCCATCAAAATTGTCTGTGACCCAGTACCATTCATTGTCATCGATGACCTTACTCATCTTATGAACCTGCTAATTTAGGAACGACGGGATCCTCGATTCTCATCACTCTCAGGAAATTATTCTGCTGGCCTCTTCCGCACTAGCTACGGTTTCCTGGCGTCGCTTCAAGAAGATGAACTTTCTCAACTCAAGACAACCTTGTCCGATGCGAAGAAACAACTTGTAACCTGCCCACCAGAAGAGCGCACGGAGAGAGAAGAAGGGGTGAATAAATTATGGAAGGCGACGAGGCGATTGGTGACTGCCGTAGATCGGACAAAGAGGGAGAAGCGTGACCATGATGTGCTAAGAAAGGTGAAGAAGGAGGCGCAGGCAAAACAACGCGAAGGAAAGAAAGCATGGTTCTTGAAGAAGGGTACGTGCACTTTCTCATTTGGGTATAACTATTTGATCCTGATTTGCGTCTGACCTTCAGCCACACAACGTGAATTGCTCACCAAGGCACGGTTCGAGGAGTTGGAGGCTCAAGGAGGCAAGCAAGCGGTCAAGAAAGCCATCGAAAAACGGAAGCTGAAGGTCAGTCAGAAGGAAAAGAGAAGCAGACCAGATTTTCTGCCAAAACAAAGCTCGTCTGCGCGTGGCAAGCCAGCTGGTGGTAGCGGTAGCACAAGGTTTGAGAAACGGCGCAAAATAACTTAAATCAGTGACCAACGTAGTCGATGCATGCGTTTGATCAATTTCGTTGCGGAGTTCAAGATCCCTTGCTTCAGATGGTAAATACACATGTTCGTGATTACGAGCATAGAGGGGTGGTCAATCGTGGGAGGTCATGATGGGGGCCCTAAAGGAGTGACAGATTGCTTCGTTATCGATGCAACAACGGGAACTGGAGGAAATAACGCAGTAGATCTTGCGTGAGCGACGAAGTGTAGTGGGGGAGGTTGACATACCTGGATGGACGTCGAAAGTGCGAATGGACCGCAGCATTTCAGTTCAGATCCTCCAAGGTGTCAACGCCTTTACCCTTCGACTCTGCAGCCAGTGCTGGAGCGTCGAAGTTCTCGATTAAGTCTGGAACGTCGTCGTCATCATCATCCTCAGCCCGTGCAGGCGCCTTGCCGTTAGCATTTTGTCCTTGTAATGCCTGGTACGATTCAGCAAGTTTCCGGAGAGATGCAAGAGAGTCAGGTCCAAGTTGGTTTAAGATGCCAGGGACAAGCTCAGTCAGCTCCTTAGGCTGGGCATGTCCGTAGACGGCGAGGGTGTTTGATGATAAAGCGCCATGGACTGATTGACAGAATGCGAGAAGAGGGAGGCGAAATGAGAGGGGGCGACAGGAGGGTGTCGAACGTGCGCTTACCGCGAGGGGCGGTGAAATGTAAAACGTTGCCATCCTCTTGGAACATGTTTACTTCTTCAATACCATTAATTGGTTGTACATTGAGTTTTTTCAAAGCAGCTTGAAGCTTCTTGTCATCTTGCGCGCTTATTGGCACCTTTTTTACGACCTTCCGTCGCGGTGTCCCCTTACCACCTATGGGTATCGGGATATAACATTAGATTTCGTGCCAAGCTGAAAATGCCGCGCAAGTGTAAGGGGCGAGCCAGGATCGGATGGGCGCGAAACAAGGTCGCTGGTGCCCGCATAGAAGCCAGTGCAACGGTACAAAAGATGCAATCCCTCACCAAGACGGTTCTTGTTTGAGAGGGCCTGAAGTTTTGAAAGTTTGTCTTGATTCATGATTGGAGGGGGAAGGTTGAGAACGACGACGGGGAGAGGATTCGCAATAAGCCGAGGATCACGTGTAGTCCCCGAACTGTACAGCTCACTAGGTTTGCGCACCTGAACGACATCCATCCTCCCTTCTCCTTCACCTAAAATGCCGAAGAGTACGTTCGGGAATATCCCTGACTGTGGTGTTCATTGCTAATTGCTCGCCTCTTTGACAGTCTATAAGCCAGGCAAAGTGCGACTCGATTTTATCCACCGCATCCAACTAGGAACTGACCAAATACGCGACGATTCGGCGCGTTCCAGGTAGCTATTGTCCTTCAAGGGCGACAGGCAGGCAAGAAGGCCGTCATTCTTAAGCATTTTGATGATGGCTCAAAGCGACGGCCATACCCTTATGCTGTTATTGCTGGTATCCAAAAGTACCCCCGCAAAGTGACCAGGAACATGGGTCGGAAACGATTGGAAAAGCGAAGCAAGGTTAAGCCATTCATCAAGGTGCGGGAATATCATTCTCTTGTCCAGAGAGTCGAGGAACGAATTCTATTTTTATTTACCAGATCATCAATGCCGCACATCTCTTTCCTACACGATATGCTCTCGAATTGGACGGAATAAAATCCCTTGTGGCGCAAGACACATTTGATGAGCCAACGCAGCGTAAGGAGGCAAAGAAAGCTCTGGCTAAGGTGCTTGGAGAACGGTACACCGCGGGAAAGAACCGCTGGTTCTTCACTGCTCTTCGTGTATGTCAACCCACTCATTATTTGACTAATGACTTTGATTTGACCTCTGCTGGCAGTTCTGATCGGTTCACTGCCATATCACCATGGATTATGCAATGTATGAGACATGCCATGAATTAATCAGACTCTCATCCACCCATATGGTCCTTTGGTTTCTACGAAATGGTATTCTCTCGTACATTTCCAAATATCCACCTAATTGTACACTGCGAGTAAATGGGCTGGGATGTGACTATTGGCGATCAACACTATGAAAGGCAGAGCAAACATTAACGTTGTACAGCGGATGATAAAATACGTAAAGAGTTCAGTCGATGGTATCTCCCAGCCGCAGTTCGAACGCGCGAAACTTTGTGCAAGGGTGGCATGCGTGTGTTGACACATTTTGTGAGTCCATACATTAACAGACCCTGATGACAGGCATGAAAATCAGTGTGGTTCAAATGAATATCGAGGAGTGCTTACAAAATGATACTTTTGGCAAGCGCAAAGCGTAAAGATCATCAGGCATCATCCATCTCAAACAACGTGTCGTCGTGGCCAGTGTGCACAGTCCTCGATAAGGGACTCGGAACATTGTGCGTGCCCCACGGATGTTGCATGCCATGGGCAGCTGCTGCCGGAACTCCGGAATAACCGAACGTGGCTTCGATACCTCCGTTTAGTTGTCCAATCCCAGCGGACCCACCTGCACCTTGACCCCCGAAGGCATTATGGAGAGCAGAAAGGCGAGGAGGCGAGAGAACCCCGGTAGAACCGACACTTCCACCCGTTCCTCCAGGTGGCGATCTCAGTTCTGTGCTGATACTCTTGAGCCAATCATCTTGCTGAGCAAGCCCTTCACGCGGGCTTCCAGTCATGGACCCCGACATCAGGGGGGGACTGACCAGGTTAGCAGCTGGGACGAGATGTAGACGGCTGAGTCCCGCAGCTAGACCTTGAGGAAGACTCTGTCCTGGTTCGTGGGAACGTAGCGCCCTTGAGGACGGAGAGAGTGCCATCTGACCATGGGACAAACCACTGTCCAGAGGGCGGGCGGCCTGTTGTGAAGAAAGGTAGCCGTCGTTTGGGTAGTATAATCCGCTTGATTTGGTGTTAGATAGCATGCTAGCTCGTGGTGGCGACATCGCAAAGTCAACCGCTGTGTGAGGAAGGGCATCGCGATTTTCGGATTGATTGACATTTAGGCCGTAAGGATATATATCCTGCGTACCACCATTTGAGCGATGTAGATGGGCGGAAAGGAATGCTGCTGAGGCATTCGAAGTGCCAAGCAGGGATGGAGAGGGGGCATTTCCACCACCAACTGCAACAAAGTCATTGTTACGGGACGCGGGTGGATTTCGACCACCATTCAGATATTGAGGCGTAGCGTCCTCTGGTCTCTCCGTCTTCTCATTCCATAACCCACCAGCGTGCAGTTGACCCAACAATCCAGTTGCGGGCACAGAACTGACAAAGCGTGGTTGCGAATCACCGAAATGAGGTCGCGATCCCGCGCGGCCCCTAACTTCGCGATGAACCTTCTCCTCGTCGCTAAGCAAGTCATGTGGCAGGAATTCCTCTGCGTCGTCATCCACCATGACCTGATTACTGACAGCAACATCGTTGGCGGACATGGTCGCGAGCAGTGCAGATGCAGGCAGCGATCCTCTGTGCGTCGCCTCCCCCCACAAACCACGACTGCCGCTGGACTCAGGCTCTATTGAAGTCAGAGGTGCGATGGGTCTCGATGGCACAGAGCCTCCAAAAGGAACGTACAGGGAAGCCGAGCCCGGTGAGAAGGGTGAGGTGCTGAAGCCACCAGGCGCCGAAGGATCGAAATTGAATGCGTTCGTCTTCGGGGGTGTAGCTGGAGATAGCCCATTGAGATGCCGTCCACGCGTTAATGAGATACCCCCAGGAGGGGAATGTGCCTGGGCCTGTGGCGATCCAGGATAATTAAGACGAGCAGATAGACTGGAGGACTGCGGCGGTGAACCAATTGGACCGAAGCCAAGGTCAGACGCGACTGCGCGGGCATTAGGACGAGTTTGGGATTCGGGGATGGGCGAACGCCTCCGTTCGGGCGAAACATTGGCATTGTTCTCCAAGGACGCGACCGTGGCGGATGGATACCTCACGGGAACGGGAGAATGAGGCTCTTCGAGGGTGTTGTTGGAAGGCGAGTTGGATGCGGCGGGGCCAAGGCCCGAGTTCTCCAGTTGCTGAGTCAGGTTGGACGTTCGCGTCAGTCCAGCACTAGCAACAGCCGCGAAAGATGTTGAGGCAAGTGACGAACGTCGCGTTTCCTCACCAGGGCGAGAGAGGTGGGTGTCATGTAACGGAGACTCCATCTGAGAAGTCGACACGGTTGCGGTCGCCTTCCCGATCATCATGGGGGGTCTCGAAGATGCGCTTCCTCTCAAACCCAAAGTTGAGCCTGAATGTATTGAGCTCAAGGAGTCTCCCGTCGCCTTCGATGCGTAACGTTTCTCGTTCGTATCTGCGCGTTTAACCTCTTGTGCACTGGTCTCTGGGTCGGTGGACGAGGCTGCCGCCACTGCCGCTGCCGCTGCCTCTGCTGCTCTGGCTTGTTGCTCGGCACGCTTATTCTTGCGGTCCATTGACAGTGGTTGACCAGGCAGCACATGAGCGAGTGCGCACTTGTGGGCAAACTTGCAGTTGCCTTTGATATACCACTGGCAGATACCCTTCTGTTGGCCGGGCTCAGCTGCGATGTGGGAGAATGGGCACGAGGCTCCTGCAGTGCACGCCCCTTGTCTATGGAACTGATTTGCGCATTGAACAACACGTTTGTAAGCAATCAGCATGATACGAATCAGAGAGCGGTATAATACCTTGCAAGGAACATGGCTTAGATCTTTCGCTATAGCGATGCACACGACTTCAATACAAACGAAACACGCCGAGACTGGTTTGACTGACCGCACCTTTGAGAGGTTTCGACCCCTTTGCATTCTCCCGATACTCTGCATCATGATCAGTGATTGTGTCGCCAGGCCTGGAGCGATCGGCGTCGCTGGGTTGCCTCGCCATTTTGAGGATTCAAGGACGGTTAATGAATGACGGGCGACTTTGCAAAATCTCTCGTTTTGGACTTATGCCCGCTTCCAACTATAAACAAGAAACGTTTCCGCCTGTTTCCGTCGATTGAATTGACCGCAACGCTACTTATTGTCTCAAGCATCAGACTCAAAGTGGGAGAAGGAACATTTGCCTTTACCCCGAGGACTCTAACGAGTGAGAAGAACCATGAAGCTACTGTATTCTGGGAACTATGTTGATAGCTTAGATTGATGCGCGCGAAACACAAACACCTTCCTCGCCTCCTGAAAGAACTAGATCCCCCGACTTTCCCCCCCAATCCAAACATATCACTTTCTTCGATGGCTTTGCCGGCGGCTTTTCATTAGGGCTTTCTCCTTCTCCTTTTTGTGGGAAGCCGGAAAAACTGGCTACAGGAGATTTCGTACTCCGCACATCCCATAACCGGATTAGACCATCCTGGGCAGCCACAATCAGGTGATGCGGGGAACTAGTGTGTGTTGTGAGAGCAATAGGTGAAGATGTTTGAGGCATCGCAATTGGGCGTGTATCCTTGGAGCCAAAATCTAAATGCACACGGTCAGCCGTATCGCCAGAATGCAGGTTGCGTCAGAAAAAAAAGGTCTATGCACCTGATGTAGAATACATCAAAATGTTCCGATCTGCCGAAGCTGCAAGAATCTTCTGAGCGTCTGCACTAATCCCCAAGTCCATCATTACTCTCTCCGACGATGTCTGTGGGAACACAAGCCAAGATAAGAGGCAAATGCCGAGAAGCAGACCTGAGTACTTACCACAGTTTGGAGACATATCCCAGTCTCTACATCCCACTTCCGTACGGTACAATCCCATCCAGCACTCCACGCCTCTTTCCGCCCGAGCGGATCGAACAGAGCCTTGGACACACGTCCAGTATGAGATTTGAGCACCATTTCTGGCGCCTTCCTCATCACATTCGAATCAGCATCAGACGAATCAAATCCATTTCCCTTGCCTAACTTCCGTCGCTTTCTAGATGTCGTCTGAATCACCTGTTCTGGAGCGTGAACCTCATGCGCTTCCGGAATCTTAAGGGTCCATAATCCAATAAGTTGGTCCCAACTGGCCGTGAGCGCGAATTCGCCGTTAGAATCTGCTCGTGCAGATGAAATTGGCTGAGTGTGAAGGTGCATGGATGCAAGGGATTTTGGAGTATCATTCTCAATGGCATCATATGAGATAATTCTTGCAGTTGTATCGTATGAGCTGCTCAGAAATAGCGACGGTGGGGAGGAAGATGATGGGACCCAAGAAGCATCACTTATTGGGCCGGAGTGACCACCCACAGTGTGCAGGACCTCTTGAGATTCGTTGTAGATTCGAATCATGTTATCATAGAACCCGGCAAGAAACAGGCTGATTTCGACAACACAGAGGAAATGTGAGCTGGAATGCGAGAATCAGGCTCAATAGACACACCCTGGAGCTTGTGACGATACAGAAGATACCCATTCCTTAGTAGGAATGGTAGAAATGTTCTCCGGGGGAAGGACGGAGGGTATATATTCAATCTTAATGGTTTCTTCCTGCAAAGAGTTTAATGGATTATAACTGTGGGCCACAAGAAAACACCTATACGAACCGCATTCAAACCTTTCTCATTACAAGCGTCTCCCACAGTGCCTATAACCATGTCCCCTTCGATCAGAAAATCGAATGGAACGACATTTGGCAAAGCTAAAACTTGGTTAATGAGCTGCGAGAGGTGGTATCGCCGGAAAGTGGCCGGTATCATGTAAGGTTGAAGAGGGATTTTGTACTGCGTTTGGGTACTGAGAAAAACTTTCACATTCTGTACTGAAACGGTCGCGTTCTCGGTGTTGTCCTCCATTGCTGCGCGAGGTAAAATTCTGAACGCCAACGCGCCTGGGTCCCAATTGAAAAAGTCTGAGGGCAAACACCGCGGCTCGCACAGCCACTAAACACAGGCGTTCTCGCTCTCGATGGACAATGACATCGCGTTCTGATAGCATTAATGGTCGAGTAAATGTGAGAGGATGAATATATCATTTGCGCCGTGCCCAGCTTACACTTTCAACACAGGCTAATCAAAATTCTATGGACACAGTAGAGTTTGCCCAGGAGAGCGGCGGCAATGTACGCGAGATCTACGGCTTCGTTGCTCTCGTATCAACAAGCATTCTCTACGTGGTGTATCTAATATGGGCTTTCATTCCGGACCGTTATCTCGTTTCTGCAGGCATAAAGTGGTATCCAAGTAGGTACGCAACAATCTAACCCGACTACTTTGTAAAAGAAGTTAGGAAGTTCATAATTTTCTGAAGAGAATGGTCAATTCTAGTACCATCCTACACTATGGTCGTCGTCCTACTCGCCTATTGGTCATATTTTGCTCTCGCCTGGTCTTCGACACCTTCATTCGACTCACTGAGCACGATCGTTGGTACGACCTCCCTATTATGGTTACCTAACGTCATTCAGACCGACTCGCTGCCATTGCCATTGAAATTAGACGAGTACTCAGCCGCTCCTCCAAGTGAGTCAGGAATAAACCCATACTTGAGGCATGCATTGCCGGATGCTGTTCCCGAAATTTACGACATCCCTATCGGGATGGTGAACCGTGTTCTATACGGTCCCCATCCCCCTTCAAGAGCGGAGGAAAAATCTCCGTCGTGACTTCGTGAAGTAGAATGCGGTATACTTTCTATTTCAGTAGAGGCTGGGATCTTGCCTAAGCATACCAAGCTTGTATCAAGCTCTCGCGAACCTGCCCATTCGTCGTTAAAGTGTCCTCTGGCCTCCGCCGCTGTCCCGCAACATAAACACCCGGGACTGCCCACCAGATCACGGTTGGCTAGTTGGCGGGCCGCTGACATGATGTCAATACAATTGTCCGCGTCGTTTATTGAATCCAGAACGATACCACTATTCTCACGCCTCAAGGGTGAACTTATGAAGTCCCAGTCACTTCAAAAATGTTGGCGTGAAGTACTTATGTACATAAGTACAAAGTTCAAGTTAGGGCTGGTGGAAGCTTCAAGTGCTTAGAATAGATACAACAGCAGGTCTCAGTAAGAGGGCCCAAGAGAGTTCAATTTGCAATACAACAATACAATAGGACCCCAGTATCGCGGGTATGCCGGGCCGCTACGGAGCAGCAGGAATCCCCCATCCCACAATAACGCGTGTCTTAAAACATGTCTTTTGGGAAAGTCATCACTTTGAACACTGGCGCTACTATCCCCCAGCTTGGGTTTGGGACTTGGCAGAGCCAGCCAAAGGAGGTCGAGACTGCTGTAGGTGGTTGGATCGCAGCCGCCATATACTATGAATTCATTTAACAAACCGCGCATCTGTTTCAGGTGGAGATCGCAGTGAAAGCTGGGTACAGGCATCTCGATTTGGCGATAGTCTACGGAAATCAAGTGGAAGTACGTGCGATGGTTCCGATCTTTGTATCTGCCCTTATCACCCTACGATCAATCGAATAAGGTTGGAGCAGCTCTGAAGAAAGTCATCCCATCCGTTGTGAAGCGCGAGGAATTGTTTATCACTAGCAAAGTGAGTTCACGACACTACCTCGACTTACTCAGCCTTTGAGCAACTTCCGTCACAGTTGTGGAATGCATCTCATCAGCCTGCTGAAGTCGAGAAAGAACTGGACCTCACACTCAGTCAATTGGGCATTGACTATCTTGATCTTTATTGTTGGTTTCCGTACTAGCGGCGTATAAACGTGAACTAACCCTCGCTTTGTGCTAAATAGTGGTGCATTGGCCGGTTGCATTCGCACCTGGAGATAATCTGTTCCCTCAAAGCCCCGATAAACCAGGCTGGGCTGTGTTGGATGCAGAGACGACCCTTGTCGACACTTGGAAAGCGGTGATTGCACTACCGAAATCAAAAGTACGTCGTCATGCCTTCCTTCAGCTCATCATGCCCACCCCACACCGCTAATAACTGAATTAGGTCCGTTCCGTCGGTGTATCAAACTTCAACGCAACTGCTATTCAAGCTCTGATCGATGCTACGGGTGTCACCCCTGCCGTGAATCAGATCGAGGCGCACCCGCTGCTTCCTCAGGATGAATTGGTGAAATACCACAAGCAAAAGAATATCCACATCACTGCTTATTCACCACTGGGGAACAACTCCGCCGGCAAGCCCCTCTTGACTGAACATAAAGTGGTAAAGGAGGTCGCAGAAAAACTGAGCAGTACTCCTGCACAAGTCCTCCTTGCATGGGCCGTGAAGCGAGGTATAGTGTCATTCCGAAGAGCGTCCATGAAGGTGGGTAGTTACGGTCCGTTTCCTTGAAGAGCTGAGTGCTTACAAGAGTCGTTTTCATTTAGCTCGCATCGTCTCCAATTTCCAACAAGTGGAGCTGTCAGCTGAAGATTACGGGAAAGTCAGCGCTATTGGCATTGGGAACTACGCCCGGTGTGTATACGTCGATGCGATTGCTCAACGCTGACTCATTATTGACGACTGATTAATTGTGGTAGATTCAACATCCCACACTTGTATGATATTCGCTGGGATATTAATATCTTCGACGAGCCCGCGGAGAAGGAAGCGACCCACAAGATCAAAGTTCAATAAGAGACTTGGTCACATATATACTGGCTCGGCCGGCTACTATCTTGATCATTGTTGTTCTAAATGCGTGTATAGAAGCTCTCGGGAATTGACAACTTGTAGTATTCCCGTGAATCACTTAAGCCGATCATGATCCCTTGCGAGTTCCTTTTCCCACGTACCATTATGTGGATACATTCGAATGAGTCGGGACTTCTGCAGCCAAGGAACATGACCGAACCGCCAGCAACTCGAAGGCTCGATCTGATGCGGGTCTGGTCGGATTTGAACAGGGGCGAGGGAAAGGAACAAATATTCGCATTAGTGCATCAAATATACATCCGTTTGGACCCGGGTTTCCCAGATCGGAGGATCGGAGGTTGCGTGACCTTGGTTATAAGCTCAAACCGGAGAGTGTGGAAGTTGTTCCTTCTCACCACTAACACTCACAATCGCGACGAAAACAGCCTAGAACGATGGTACGTAGACCCTATCGCTTGGTGCGAAGAAGCGAGCTAACAGGTAGCCAATATTCTCTGGGGTGCTCAGGGTGGCCTACTCGATATTGTGCCGGTAAGCCATTGGTGTACAGCTGCTTTCGATATCGTCCTCGATCTGGCGTAGAACAGCTAATTCGGTCCCCTAACATTTAGGCTGGTGTCCTTAGTGGGGACCAGACTCGCAAACTATTCGAATATGCCAGGGCGCACAACGTCGGTGTGATCATCATTATTCCCGATTACGCTGATTCTCACGTTTTTCGCCGTGACGACCTTTCTGCCGTCGCACAACTTGGAACGTACATAGTTCGCCATACCAGTACGTAGTATTGCTGTCCCTTTCCCGATCGAGTGATTTCCGACGATGTTTTCCTTCGCCTGTATCTCCGATGACGTCCGAACGCCCCTAAGGCCATCGTGAGTCTGATATGATATTTTGTTCCGAAGGCTCTATCTTACCATAATTTCGTAGAACGTTACATCCTCCTCGACGGTCGTAGCGGCCCTGGAAGGTGCTCGTGAAGTTAAAGCCCCCATCATTCTCCAAACCTCCCAGGGCGGAGCGGCCTACTTCGCCGGTAAAGGTTTATCCAATACCAACCAGGAAGCATCCATAACTGGCGCTGTCGCTGCTGCCCACTACATTCGGGCTGTCGCCCCTGCGTACGGTGTCCCTGTCGTCCTTCACTCCGACCACTGTGCCAAGAAGCTCCTGCCCTGGTTCGATGGCATGCTCGAAGCGGACGAGGCTTACTTCAAAGAACACGGCGTTCCACTCTTCTCTTCTCACATGCTTGACCTCTCTGAAGAACCCAAGGAGGAAAACATCGGGATTTGCAAGAAGTATTTCACCCGTATGGCCAAGATGAATCAATGGCTTGAAATGGAAATCGGTATCACTGGTGGTGAAGAAGATGGTGTTGACAACACCGGAGTGGATAACGCTTCGCTTTATACTCAGCCAGAAGATATTTGGGATGTGTATGATGGCTTAAGCAAGATCTCGCCCAACTTCAGCATAGCGGCTGCGTTTGGAAATGTCCATGGCGTCTATAAACCCGGGAACGTTAAGTTGAGACCGGAGATTCTCGCTAGGCATCAGGTCCACGTTAACCAGAAGCTTGGCGGTAATGATCCCAAGCCTCTGTATGTTTGCTTTTCGTGCCCACTTCCGTTTACTAGATCTGATGTTTCCACAAGTTTCCTGGTATTTCATGGGGGTTCCGGATCCAGCAAAGGGGAGATTAAGACAGCTGTAACAAGCGGTGTGGTCAAGATGAACGTCGACACTGGTACACTTTGCTTTTTCCACCTGATATTCAACCCCCATCAATTCCTTGTTCTTAATATAGACGCGCAATTTGCATACCTCGCCGGCATTCGTGACTTTGTTCTCAAGAAGAAGGATTACCTCTTGACTCAGGTTGGGAACCCCGAAGGCCCTGATAAGCCAAACAAGAAGGCGCATACTCCTCTTCAAAGTTCGGATTCCAAACTAACTTTCCTCTGTTTCAGTTCTACGATCCTCGTGTTTGGGTTCGCGAAGGTGAAAAGACTATGGCTGCTCGCGTTAAGGAAGCATGTGCCGATCTTGGAAATATCAACACCTTGGTGGATGATGCTGACAGGAAAGGTGCGTGACACGCTCCAAGTAAGTCCGCAAACTCCCAAATAAAAGGACAGCTTCTCTTTAGATGCTTTATGATCGTCCCTGGTGTTCCGCCTTGCATCGAGCTTTGATTTAGTGGTCATTTTTGAACATGAAGTGTAGCTACAATTTACGAAAAACGAAAGTCCGATAAAAAACGCGTCATTGATATAATGTGGCGAACCATCAATACATATCCGCACGCTTAAAAGAATCACGAGGGAACCGTACTGTCTGATTTAAGACTCAGATGTCCCCCCACCAGAGAAATAACATCGGTCGGGGCACTGAGATGCCTCGCGGGTTGGGACATGGTCTCAACTACGTGACCTTTCGGAGGTAGCTTGGAAATCACATCGTCATAGAAATCCCGAAGGGCCTGAACGTCCGAACAAAACGCCAGGAGCTCTAATCGGTGTACATTCGCTCGTTCATGAGGTGTTTTGTCCGCTTGCGAATACGACGCGTTCTTTCCAGCATGCGCAGCGGAAGATGTGACCAGGAGACGGTTCGTTATCCATTGAAATCCAGCTTCCCCACCCATCACTTGTACGAATGCTAATCCTGTTCTGTGGATGAACTGAGATTGCTTGAATGAAGCTCTACGATAGGAATACCACACATCGACCGTATCTGAGTAGGAAGATCCTGCTTCGACATCAAGGATATACCCGAATTTACGAAGGATGGCGTATTCAAAAAACCACCTCAGAGAAGACCCCTCAACGAAGCGGAGATGTAGATCGAGAGAAGTGGCAGAGGGCGGGGTGAGGGCAAGTGGTATAGGAAAACATGATTGGAAGATGTTCTTCGTACCAATATCCACAATGGGATCTACATAGCCTTCCACCAGTCTCAAGCCATGGCGGGCTATCACCCAGGACCAATGCTGCAACAAATCTTCGATGCATCGCGCCGATGTAGTGACCCAGTGGAGCTCGAAGTGGAAGGCGGTTCCAGGATTCTGGATTACATCATGATGAAGAACAACACTCTCAGCGAACGGACTTCGCTTCGACTGGTCCGCATCAATGACCATAGTCTGGCTGAGAGTGTGTCGCTTGCGAGAAGGTTTCTGAGACCCTGCCGCGGGGACGGACGATGGATCGTTTTCCTCATTAGAAGGCCTCTTTAACTTGAACAACCAGCGCGAAGGCGGTGGAGCAGTAGCAGCAGCATATGCATGTCCGAAGACGTAGAAGTAATGGCTATCATGCAGCTCTAGTAAGCGTTGAGACAAATAAAGGACACATTGAATAGGTCATACCCGTCCATCAAGGGATGTTTATCTCGAACGTGGTGGAAGAGACCCTTCCCCACCAAAGACCCTCCCCATTCTGTGGCCTGTTCCCTTGTCGAAAAGTCACAAAATGTTGTTAGGACCCAACTAACGAACTCGTGGCCGGTGAAACTATCTGGGTAGAATTTCCGGTTCCAATGCCGATCTCTGATTAAACCTTTCTCCTCACGCATTGCTTTTGCAATCGCACTTAGTGACATACCCTCTAAAGACCTGTCCACATGGCGTGGCCTGCCGATGGCTGCGGTGGCATTGAGGTCGTCCAAGGTTTCCATCAATGATGTATCTAAGACTGATGAAGGCGGATCCAACCAAGTGTACAAGAAACGTGGAGGTGTGAATTGATCCAAGGTTTCTCCATGCGCTAGCCATCTGGCCTTGCCAAAAAGCTCCGCGAGTCTATCCGAGCCCAAAAGCCGGCATTCTTCATCGCTGAGTCTTTCTCCCGATTCTCCATACATGTCTGAAGGGGGGTGTTCCGATGGAATAACTAGATATCGAGTTTGACAGTGTCTTACGACATCGCTGAACTCCCGCTGATAACCAGTGATAGTTAGGTCGAGTCTAGCGACCAGTATTGAGTACCCATGACCGCAGCATCGATATCGTGGAGGCATTACCTGTTCCAACCATAGGTGTCAAGTTCTGAAGTGGCGAAGACCGCTCTCGCCTCTGTATACCCTTCACCAAGTTTTGGCCATACAAGACAGTCATAATTAATGAGCCTGATAGCGGGTTCGATGGCTTTCCTCATGATGCGGCGCACCCGAATGAGGTCCTCCTCCGCCTCATAGGTAATTCTGTGTACATGATCGCCCATGCTGACGTATACGGCCTCATTGAGGTTAATCATCGAATCAGCAACTCCCAGGGGCAGTGAGGCTGGCATGAGCATAATCTCTTCAACCTCAGGAATGTATTTCTGTCGAATATTCGGCTCGCCTACTATGAGCTGAAAGCCCTGAATCATCCGCGCATGTACCATCGTTCTCATCACTAGTAAAGGCCATTCCGAGCTAGGCTGTGAAGGATCTTTTCGCAAAAGGATTGAACCTGACGCTTCCCGCGCTAAGAAAACATCATATGTGTGTTGAATGAAATTCTGATTTACATCCGCTTTGGAAGGATGGTACTCCGTGGTGATAGGAAGGCAGGCAGGTGCGCACATGGACTTCCATTTGACGTCACGCGTAAACGTCGGACTTGGGAAAACATGCTGCCACTGCCGTGCCATCATTTTCTGGGACGGCAGGAGGGTAACGCCGAGTCGAGACGCATTCACCACATTTTGGGTCGAATTTGGTCTAGGCATGCGGCGGAAAAAGCCGCTACTTTGGACATGCTGCTCATTTTCGCGGACAATTGAGGAGAGTGTCCTCGTGTGGCTATAGGCACGACGGTTGGACATTGAAGGGCGACGTGCGGCTGTCTCGGGCGTGACTGAGCCCGGGAGTGTGGATAGACCGAGGCCAGACGGTTGTGGTTCCGTATGATCTGGCCCTCGGTTCGTGCGTGAAACTGCGGGATCATTACCGTGCTCATTTTGAACGTTTGAAGCCGGGCCAACGAAACGTAATCCATCTTGAATTAAAGGTGGGACGCTAGACGAAGGCCAAGCACCTTCCTTGCGCACTTCGCTGAGCGATGCGGTGCCTGTGGACTCGGTCTCAAGCGAAATGGCATGACCAATATCGCAGGTCTCGGTGACCGTGGGGAGATCCGCCTCTTGCGCCGCACTCTGATTCGGAGATGAAGCCGGCACGGGCATGGTCCTGTCTTTATTAGCCGAAACGGTGCTCGCTTGTGGTGCGCTGATGTCTGAACGGAAGTGCGTGAGCAACCATGAGCCAGGGGCTGATGAGAAGCGAGATGGCGTCATCTTGACCATTGTGGCCCGCCGTTTGGACGGTGTCGAGGATATGTGTGACACCGATGATAGCGCAGATCGGACAGATTCCCTAGAGGGAGAGCGACTTTTGTGCTTTGAACCCCTGTTCGTCGAGTTCACTGCAGGGCGGATCGAGCTATTGTGGGCCTCCGACAAGCCTTCGGCATGTATCCGACCGCCGGTAGTTTCAAGTGCAGGCGAGATTGGATCGAAGGGCACATGGGGAGAGTTATTCTTATTTTCATTAATAGGAAGAGCCATTTTATCCTTGAGGGACTTTGGGGAGATAGCGGAAGGAGCCAATGACAGCGACTCTGCCCGAAGGACGTTCTGCTCACTTGGCAAGGTATCCGAAGTTTCCCCAGCTTGGGGGACGGAGCTAGAATTGGGTCGAATTTGAGTTGCGTCAGGATCATTTGCAACTTTCACCGAATGAGGACGTGTGCCGTCACTTGGGGTCCCTATCTGCTTGTCCATCCAATCAGGCACCACAGTTGATGAAGACTGGCGAGCCAGAGTTAAGGATGATCTGGTTGGTACATCCACTGGAGCTCTCTTCACGAAAACATCCCTGTCGAACTGGTCCCTAGCCGCTTTTCTTTCACATAGCCCAGTGACGAGCGAGGAAACGTCAGGATGTGAAGGGGCTTTATAACCTGCACAATGTAGATAGGCGGGATTACCTTCGGTAGGGTTAGATGTGTATGGAATAGAAATTTTGATCGTGTTGGAAACTCCATGATCAAGCAATCCCAAGCTTTGTATTTCAGGCATTCGGGCAAGTGGTATGAATCTGAATTGCAGTAAATGCCCAGTTGAACTCGGCGATAACACGAACATAGTACACTCGCCTGTCTGTGCGAAAAGGTTGATCTGCCTGTATGTCCCAAAACGAAACCGTCATCCAGAAGGGCTCCCAGAAGTACATTCTCATGTCAGCATCGTTGTCTTCTAATGCCTTCCACCAAGGTTTGGAGGGGAGGAGCTTGGCACTTGGTCACTGCTTAAAACGCCCAACCCCGCATGCAAACCGGGGCCTATGCCGCCAATTAAGCCACCAACAGCGTCTATGCCCTTTCCGAATCCGAGGCTCCCCTCACCTTCTTTTGCCTTCCAGCCGAGAATGGGAGCCCTCCCCGGCGGCTTCTTTCCCAGGGTGACTAAATCCACGGCGAGGCCAGCGTCTACGAGCCGCTCCGTTGTAAATTTAAGCATATTTCGATTCACTCGGAACGAACAAGAGGACGGGGCTGAGGACGATGAAGGTGGGGTTATTATTATTGTTGAAAGGCCGGTAAGCGACAACGAGCGATCTGCCTGAGAGGTCGTTTGCGGCGTTAAGGACAAATTGATGGCCTCAAGTAGAGGTGATGTGTATGCATACGAGAGGGAACCCACCAAACGGCAATGGTCCGGGAATTCTGCGTTGCCAGTGACTGAAAAATTCTCAGAGAGAGAACATGAAAGCGCGGGCGGCTTTGACATTGGAGATGCGTTAGAGTGTCCCGACGGAGGTAACGACGCACGGAGAATCTTGCGCTGGTGCTGGTGGTAATGGTGGTTGAAAAGAATGTCACGCTGAAAGGTGAAGAAGCTTTCTTTAAGGTCGACTAGCACTGGCTTCCAGTCACGAACGACTTCTAAGTCTAAGACCACTTTGTAAAAATCCTTGTACCACCGCCCCTCGTCATCTTGTTTCAGTGGCCCTGCTGCATATTGCAGCTCCCCTTCTTCGTAGAAGGCTCGTGAGAACAGAACAATAGAGGTGAGGTGTTTTGACGAATACTCGCGCCATTTGGCAATAAGCGCAGGGAAAAATGAATGGACGATCTTTTCATAATAGCGCTCTCCATCAGAGGAAAACTCCCATAATTCCCTGCAAACGGATATGAAAATACTGCAGCGCGCAGTCAGTGATCGAAAAATTGTCCTTGTTTTCGGAGTGACCACTGCAGCCGTGCACTAGATACAACCAAGTTGGGTAGGGGAAGGAAGATCCCAAATGAGTGATTACATACTGATCTGCCATTGACATGGATGTCTTTGATTATTGCTCCAGAAGCAAGATAAGCGGCTACTTTTTGTCCAACGTAGACCGTTTTGCTGTCAAGAAGCCTGGTGATCCTGTACATTTCTCTCCGACACATGTAAGTGTCCCGGAAGTGGATCTCTAATGCATTGGCATGGACAGTTGCTGGATCTATCTGCATGCTGAGGGTACATGGAAGAATGGCAGAAGAACTATTGCCGTCATACCTTCGTCAATTTCACGCTCTTATTTTGGGCGAATCCAAACTTCTGAGAGACTTCTCGGGATATGGAGACATGCGATACCTACAGATTCGAAGATGAAGGCAACATGACAAATCAGTGCTTGTTCGAATATTGTCATACCTGTGTTTTGGAATTATTGGTCGTACCCTCATCAACGAAGAACAGAAAGCGAGCCCCAGAGTGAGAAACTCCACCAGCTGGAACCACCTGGATTAAATCGCCTCTGCCAAGTCCTGGCCAGATGCTTGTATTGATGATTATGTCACCAAGATGGAAGTTTTGGTCGTGAATCCAGTATGGAGTAACTTTAGACTGGCCAAAAGCAACTGGTGCAGAAGAGACTGTTGAAGATCGCTTCCGCATATCTTCATTTATGTCTCGCGTAAGGAGGTTTCAAACTTTGAAATCGCTGCTCTTCCACCCGTGATGTGGACTGTGTGGCTGTGTAAGTTGACCTCGGACTAAAAACTTATAATGCCGCGGCTCGCAGGACTGAAGAGGAAAATAGGGAATAATCTATCCAACTCCACTGGGCATAAGAAGGTGTGATAAATTCCTGGCCTGGCCTGGGTTACTGATCCATATCTTGAGAACTACTACAGCAACGCCATGTGGCCCCAAGCAAGCGAGTGGCCAGCAAGGCGAACGACCGAACGGTGCCTTTAGGTGGTGGGGACATTGCTGAGAGCAATACGGACGATAGCGGAAACGAGGAGTTGGAGGGTTCTCATAAAGTCAACGATAGCGGGCTGGACCTCCAGGGTGAAGCAGCACCCTCACATGCTGCCACGAACGAACCAGCGCATACATCCACGTATAAAGTGCCCACTACCGCCGAACTCACGCAACTCAAGGAAGCAACGCAACTCTATAAGTCTGCGTCGTTCAAATTGAAGGTACGCTTACTTTTTTATTTCCGTTTCGTAACCCGCTGACCGTCTTGCAGATTGAGGCATTTCTCCCCATGGTATCTCCTAAGAAGAACACAACAGATTATGTTAACTCTGTGCTACGAAGGATTCATGCTCATCTTACTAGCTTGCCCGCAATTGAGCCCCGTCAGCCGGTGGAGGCTGCCCAAGAGCTGGCTGGATCGACCTCAAGCAAGTCCAGTGTCGCAGGAAAAATCAGGGTCCTTTACTCCGACCCGGGACCTACGAGAGAGACCAAGTGGAAGGTAGCATTCCATAAACCAGAAAAGGTGACCGTTGTTGGCAGCTGGGCCAATGGTCTTTCCATGGTCAAGAGATACCCACACAACAAAAAGAAATTTATTACTGTTGATCTGGCCGTCGAGATGCCCAAAGTAAGCTCATAGGCATCTTATTGGCGTTTCGTGCATTCATTTATGCGGCTGGTCGGTACAGGATCTGATTCGCGAAAAAGATTATTTAGATAATAAAATTTTTCACAAGAAAGCTTACTACCTTGCTGTGCTTGCGTCCTCATTTTTATCTCCGGGGTGCCCTCTCGGTAATGGGCTTTCCATTCACTATTCTTGCCCAGAGAATAATCTTCGTCGAACAAGCCTGGTCGTTTGCTTTCGCCCCGATAACGCTGAACCCACGCAAAACCCTCCCCCGGAAGTTTTAGTTCGCATCCTGGTTACGTTGGCTGCTGATCATCCTTTCCCCATAAAGCGGATGGTTCCGTCGATATGCAATATACGGCCACGAGTTTTGCAATTAGGCATAGACGCCAGCCCACCATCCCCAGAAACGAACCAGTCCCCAACGCCAAGCTATAACAATGATATAATGCTTATGACTACACCTGTCCCTTTCCTTCTGTCATCCTACGCTGCATCAAAGGAAGTCCCTTCATTCAGGGATTGTGCAAAGCTGCTTGGAATTTGGGCCTCAAGAAGGGGGTATGGAGGCGCGAGCCAATCGTATGCAGAAACCGACGCTGCCTTCTTCATATCGGGCTTTGAGGATGCTTGTGTGACGGGAGGAGGCAGTTGGTGGTCCACTTTGCTTATACTTCTCATATGGGGCAAGGTCGATTCGCAGGCCGAGAAGAGTAAGAAAGGGGGGACACTAGGTACAATTGGGCGAGGCCTCAGTTCTTATCAGATGTTTCGGGCTGTGATGGATTTTCTTGGTGCGTCACTGTCTCGGTTGCCCAAATCCGAGCTCTTACGCACATTCATCTTCTGCAGCAAACTACAGCTTCATTGATAACGATCCTATCGTCTCCAGAGGGAATTTGAATGATGCCAGCATCGACGTCAGTGTTGTCATCACAAGCCCTGATGATAAAGCTAAATCTCCGTCCCCCCAAGTCAACAACCTATCTCGCAGGTGCAAGATCGCCTTGCGTGCTTGGTCCTTCCACATTGTTTAACTTCTTAGAAAATGTGCCATCTGGTTCCCTCAAGATGGTGAGTTGGGTTTCGATGGAGAGCAATGCTTGTGTTCTTGCTCGTGGCTCTCATCTGCAATAACAGCTTCAACATGATGCTCGGTTAACGCTTCAAACTCTGGACGCACCAATTGGGCATTCTGACACAGAAAGTGTAACATTTAAAGACACTTTTGATGCTACCTTCGTAACTCGCTTGAACGAAAATGTCGCCACGAGATTCGACTTTGCGGTCAGGTATGCCACTCATCCTTGGTCTCTTCCCACCATTAACCTATAATACGCCTGTGTTAGCATCGATCTGCGCAGGTCTACGCTGCCCCCACCAAGTCATCCTGATTGCCCAAGCCGGAGATCACTGCTATTGAACCGTTTGAACGACGTTGCTATGCGTGCCCTAGGCTCGCGGGCCCAAATTTGCGTCGTCTGCGTCCCAGCGGCTCCAGCCTCGGCGTGCTTCTCTGTTGAAACTGAGCAACAGTTGCATAAAAGGGACACACCGGTTGTAACTCTTGGGGTTATTTTGTCCTCCGAGTCCTTGGGACTAGTCGACCATGGCCCCCTGGCTTCGGATGTTGCTGCATGTGCTGAATTTCGCGAGTTTTGGGGAGAGAAGAGTGAAATGCGGCGCTTCAACGATGGACGCATCGTTGAAAGCGTCGTTTGGAGTTTGGACGGCGATTGCGGTCGAGGATTAGCTGTGAGTGATGAAAGAGCGAGAATCCTGGAGAGAATTATCCAGTATGCGCTGGAGCGTCACCTTGGTATCACACCTGACCGTGTTACCGTACTTGGGAATGATGCTGTGCCAACTGACAGCGTCCTCGCGTTCCCCTCTCACCGACTTGCGCCATACTACCAGCTTCCATTCCCGATCCCTCCAACCTCAACAACATTCAGTATGTCTCAGCGGTTGCTCCATGCTTGCTATGATCGCCTCCTCAAAAGATTAAAGACTTTGAAATCCGTCCCTCTATCACTAGACTCAGGACAACCGATCAGTGAGTATCTGCGCTACACGTCGCCATTTCCCCCGATCCCGATCAATGTTCAACGCTGGGATTCGGTGCCCGCTGTGGCCAAATTCGTCCCAGTGGTTGATGTTGTTCTACGATTCGAACGGTCTTCACGCTGGCCGGGTGATCTGGAGGCAATACAGAAAGTAAAGATGGCTTTGCTGGAAGCCATCGGGCATGAGTTGTCAAGTGCCTCAGGGGAAGAAGGGATATTACTGACGTCAATTTCCCTCGCTCCCAATGCCCTTCCCATTGAGGACAATGTAGCTCTGGATGTACTGACGCAGTCTGGTTTCGCATTCCGCTTTCATGCTCAGAGTTCTCTCGAAGAGAGTTTGCTTCACCAGAAAGTGCAAAACACCCCGGATGATAAAAAGCACGCCATGCGGGATGTTTTGGAGAATCACTTGCTCCGCTTTGTGCGAAAGTCGCAGCACCACAATGCCATTCATTCACTTCAGCATCGATACCTTACTTTTGGCCATACTGCGCGATTGCTTAAACGATGGTTTGCAGCTCATTGGCTCCTGCCCCATTTCAGCGTGGAACTCATAGAGCTTATTTGCGCGTTCATATATATTAACAACGGTGCGGAATTTGGACTTCACACACCGCACTCCGGTGTTTGTGCTTTCGCTCGAGCTCTTGAGTTCCTGGCGGAGTGGGATTGGGAGGCCGTACCGCTAATGGTCCCTTTACATGGCGCAGCAGCAAGTAGTGATTTTTCCGAAGGGACGCGTTTTCTGTCGCCTGAAACCACCAAATCAATGCAAGACGAGTTTTTCCGATATCGTTCTACCAATCCCGACCTGTCAAAAGCTGCATGGTGCATACCAACAGAAGAAGATCTCTCTGGACATGTATGGACCCGAGGTATCAATGCCATGCTTGCATCTCGAGTCCAGGTAATTGCCACTGCCGCCGTCAAATTAATGAAAGAGTCTCTTGCTCTGGGTCAACTACTGCTGAAGGTCAGCAAAGCCGATGTTATTTTGGCTTTTGCTGATGAAATGCGATGTAGCCTCTTTTTCTTCACCCAATATCCGATTATGATTTCCTCATACACATCGACCCACTTATGGTCCCACGAAATGCACAACATATCAACTTAGATTGGGGCCTCATGCCACATAAGAGATCTGATCAAGGCATTCATAGGGGCGTATTGTTAAATTTTGACCCTTTGCGTTCTTTCTGCGACGACATCCAGGTTCGTGTCCAACAATTATGCTCAGATGAAGATGGTTTCATGACATAGTATGGTAGCACATATATGGGGATAGTGTGGCATTATTCTATGATCCCTATGGTGGTGTCAAGATAGGAGGTGTTTGGAATCCTTCGCTTCGAGAGCCCAAACCCCATCAAGTACTTCTTGGATTCTCTCCTGAACCAACCAAATCCAACAGTAGTGGCCCGAAGGCAAGTTGGTTCACTGATTGCATTTGGCGAACACTTATTCATATCTGCAGCAGGGGAAATTGACGGTCGTGCTCAATGTTGAGGCTATTTTAGCGGAGGTCCAAAGGTTAGGAGGGGATTTGGTCGAGCGAATTGAGGTGTTAAAGCCATAGCGCAAATATCGCTGAATCTTTCAGCGACGAATGCTCTATATTTCCCGTAATTCCGCGGCCGTGTCAGAACTTCGTATCGGAGTCTACATTAGTAGAGGCTTGGGATCCTGCCTAGTATCGGAGTCGGCGTCAAGCAGGAGTTACATTAATACTGCACTACAATGCTGGGTTATGGATGGATGGATGAATTCATTTTAGAGTATGTATCTGTGCCTTTCGATATGAAATGCTATGATGCGATGTCCCAGCGAATGGATTCCCAGTGACAGGACTGAACACGCAGACCAATCTAGCCTAAGATCTGTGCTACGCGCCCCTTGCTCCTCCGGGCCCTGCAGAATGCAACCAATGTTCAAGGTCGCTGCACTGACGTTTGATTGTATGATCATTACGTCTTTTTCCCTTGGTGCCCATCATTTCGATCCCAACTTCAGTGTTTCAAGGTGGTTCCTGCATACATGGATATTGAACACTAGTTTTAATTTGACACCCGACTATTGCGAGCGCCCACGGGGCAATAGCATTTGAGTGTGGGTCTGGTACAGGTGATACTTGAATCAAAAAAATCGGCTTTTAAAGGGCCTTCGCACGACTTGTTTGTCTGTTCTCCTGTTTTAGTACAAAGGCCGCGCTCGGCGACAGAGGTGTTTGCAAGTGAGATTGTGCACCCAATGGTGTGCTGTACATATATTGGGAGTACTTGGCTCAGTCCTGTGCCAAAATACATAACATGAGACGGGTTCCTATTGCGAATGCATGGCACTCACCCATAGCTTAATCAATCCATCCCATGACGCGGTGAGAACCTTGGACTATGAGTGATTGAAGATCAGTGGGATAACGGTGTCGAAACCCGCCGATGCTCACAGTCTCATGTGGCAACCATTCGTGCGCAATCACGACTTTTGAATGTGCTCGAAGGCGGCTCTTGATTCGTCCAGTTTTCCAATCCCAGAATACTACATTCCCTTCTCCATCCCCAGAACTGATGAACCGCCCATCAGGTGAAAAGTTCACCTGGCAAGCAAACCCAGCGATCGAATGGCCTGCATAACGCTTCTTGCGATTTTGCCGAAAATTTTCGGCAGAGTAGACAAGAATCTGGTTATCTAACGATTGTGCTGCAAACCACTTTTCTGCATTACCAGTATATTGATTAGGTTATCTGTGACTGGCCGCGAAGTATACTCACTGCTGGGATGAAGCGTCACCGCAGGCATCGAATGCATGTGAGGCTCCGCGATGTACTTGATGACAACGGGGATGTCAAAGTCCCATGCTCGTATAGTCTTGTCGTCGGATGTCGTCACAAAACGCCGATTCTCGTCTACAAAAGTAATTGTGTTGACTGGTCCCAGGTGCTGATCATATTCCTGAGTGATTTCCCCCGTGTTTATATCATACTGTGATCATGGTCAACCAAATGCCACAAACTCACAAACTGGGGTTGAGTCCCACCTGAATGATTTTTTTGTCAGACATCCCAGCAAGGAAGACATGCTGCTTGTCTTCATCTGGATGAAATCGTACTACATAAGGGATTTTCCCGTTGGAAAATGCTTTAAGACATTGACCTACAAATTGTGAAGTGAGTACAAATCACCGCAGAAGAATGCCAGGGCGGTACCGGTCTCTGTATCCCAAAGTTTCATTTGTCGGTCGTATCCGCAGCTCAGGAATTTTCTGCCATCGTTTGAGAAGGTCAAATCCTTCACAAGTTTGGAATGCCCCATGAAGGTACGCAAACAATTCCCATCTTGGTACACATCCCACAGCTAATATTCAGGGTGGGTTAGATGAGCACAACTCCGAACGGGCGCACATGCCTTTATCTTTGTGTCCATGCTGCCGCTCAACATCAGATGACCAGTCCCAGGAAGTGTACGGATGACTGAAACGCCCTGAGTATGGCCTGTAAAAGTATGCACACAAGCCTTCGGTATAAAACACTCCTGAGAGCCAGCTTCTCCAGTAAGATGGGGGGCGACAGACAATGGGGGGTGCATGTAGGTTCGGCCCTGGTAATCGACCAGGGACTTCCCGTGAAGCAAAGATGTCTCCTGTCCAAAAACCGACCTTTTTGCCTTCATCTGCTTCTTGGACCCTTCTGGTGGCTTGAGGTGATCTTCCAAATCTTCACCCTCCGCATCATCAGGAAGGTCGAACTCTGGCACTTCGTTTTCCTCCTCCCATGCCGCCCAGGGACCCGCATATGCACCCTCCCCGTCGACTAGTTCGGGGTCGCCTTTCGGATTCCTTTTTCTTTTGAGTTCACGCCTAGCCGCATTCGTTGACTTTGTTCCTTCCAAGGTCTGAAAATTGTTTGCTGACGCTGCATCCAATGAACCAACAAACTGAGGAGCATTTTCATCGTTCGAGGGGTTGTGGGAATAGCCAAGTATGGAATGGGTAAGATGTTGGACTTTGAAGGCATGGTCGGTCATCGCCTGTTCCTCGACATGTCCTGGGGGAATGCTAAAATAAACCTATTTGATGTGTACATTGCAACGTGAACTTACCAGAAATTGTATTTTGATTTATGAATTTCCGATCAGCGAATGGATTCTCAGGACCTTGCATGGGTTTCATCATGTCCTCGTAACCAATGTTCACATTCATGAGGGTGTCAGTGGGTCGGGTGATAAGGGATGCTAGAAAGTCATAAGCAAAGGGCCAAAGCGGATCTCAGAGGCATACTTTGTTTGAGGGGGTCCTTAGAAAATGTCAGTGAGGCGTGATTCGGTGCCCAACTAACTTACCTGCCTCGGAGAGAACATCTGGCGCAGCAATGACGCCAATTGTCACAGGCTCATCAGCCTTAAAGCGCTTAGAAGGGGCTATCTTATTGACTCTAAACGCATCCGAAGGCTCCCCGTTGCTGCTCTCAGAGTCATAGTCGAGCATAGGTAGACTCAAGTCACAAGTTTGGCGCAATAGCGCGGACGTTGCCGTTTGAATTCGATGTGCTTCCAAGAATCGCAATTGATTAAGGACGGATGTCAGTGACGGCGGGGGATACGATCGTATTGCACGACGGTCTAGAATCTGTCCAGCACCCAAGAGCGCGCGCTCCTGCACAACCCTGGACGCTCAAGGAAGATGGTTTACTTCGCGCCGCAGTTGCTAAGTGTAATTTATATACACATCTTCCGGAATGGTATCTAAGCCCTTTATTAGACGGCGAAGACACCGATAGTTGGAAGCGCATTGCGGAGGAGGTTCCAGGAAGGACGAACAAATCATGCCGCAAGGTGATCGATTCTTTGATTGTGTTTGGACACAAGATTAAATTTCATACCAACCAAGCGTTGGAAGCATTCACTCAGTCCCACTCTTAAGAAGACTGCTTGGACTAAAGAGGAGGATGAGCTTCTACTTACACTTCATGCAAAATACCCTTGCCGATGGTTAGTCCGTCTCTTGCTTGTGCTGGCATGCTGTTTACCTATTGGACACAGGTCAATGATCGCAAAGCACATCAGCGGGCGAACCGATGACGCTTGTGCGAAGCGATACAGAGAGGCTCTTGATCCGTCCATCAAACAAGGCGAATGGACTCCCGAAGAGGACGAGAAGCTACTTCGGGAATATCGCCGCTGGGGTGGGCGATGGGCGAGTGTGGCGGTTCAGCTTGGCCGAAGCGGCCTCGGCTGTAGGAATCGGTGGAGACTTCTCGAAAGAAAGAAGGTTCAAGCGTCCTCAAGAGTCATGAGATCGTCAGCAACCCACACCGAGGATTCCGACACCAATTGTCAACAAACACCTGAGCAAGCACAGAAGGATTCCAATGCCTTCCATGCAATTACCACATCTCAAGTCACTTGCGCTACTGACAATTCTTTATGGATCGATGACCTTCTGGCCCAGATACGACAAGATCCTTTCGCATTTGAGAACTTGTTTCTTGATCTTGATTCCACTATCGAATCTGACAACTCAGTACCTCTCGATCCAGCATTGCCCGGAGTCAATGCATCACTTACCTATCCACAAACACAGTTCGATCCACGCCTTTTGGACCTCATGCAAGGAGGATGCGGATGCGGGTGCAGCTCGCGAACTGGGTGTGAATGCACTGACGAGGGTCCACCACCGTTCCTGAGCATGTCATCGCAAGAATTTCTCGGCCCTTTCCATCATATGTCGCAGCTATTGCTACAGTTTGACGATTCTCCCGTTCTCCCCTCTTCTGCTGGAAATCCGAACACTCACACCCCTGCAGCACCATTAGACATTTCCCTAGTCCCGCTCGATAGTGCGGATGATCAACGGACGACTTCCTCAACTCATTCCCCCGTGAACCGTGCCTTTTCCGCATCTTCATTCCAACTGTCAAGCGAGCCTCCAAGCCTACTACCTGATTCTCACCCACAGTCAACTGTGGAACGCTCACCTCCGACTTCGAAACCGATTGAAGATGCTCCCGGGAGACCTTCGAGCATTGGCCACTCTCCAACCCCTGGGGACGCCACTCCTCCAACGCACAGACATGTTGACAACAATATGTCTACTTGTTTGGCATCCAAATTACCCGACAGGAGTAGGTGGAATGCACAACAGGCCTTGTTGGCTCTATCGCGTGCCAAGGAGAAGCCATCGTGCAAATGTTCAGGACCGTGTTGCAGCGTCCCCTCTGGCACTGCAGGTAGTCTCTGTTCCGGGAAGGCGCTCAAGCGATCCCGATCCTCTACGCCAAGGGATGACGATGATCCAAACCTTCAGCGCCAAATGAAGATTAGAAAGTTATCGATGGTGCCTTCTGTGCCGCGACTTTCATCGCAACTTCCGCTCATGTCACAGACTGACGAGCAACTTTTGGCATACGCCTGTGGACACTCTTCATGTTGGGTGTCTGACAATGAAATAAAATCACGATTCGATACAAGTGGCGAACTTTTGGATCATTATCGTAAAACGCATGGTGATTTGTGTGTTAATTCTGAGAATGGTGGTAGAGCGTTTAGATGCGCTTTACAGGGCTGTGGGAAGGGATGGAAGGTAAGAGAATACGAACCGGTCGTCATCATCATGCGTTAAAGTCCATCGTGCACGTTCGAACCAGAGTATCAATGGCATTCAATATCATCTTCAACTGTCAAAGGCTCACTTCTCGATGGCACTCAACAAGCACATCCTTTTGTCTGACCCAGAGGCAGAGCCGACGACTTGCTGCCAAGGTACGACAGATCAAGGCCCTGCTGGAGACGACAGCGCCTTGGACATTTCCGGACAGAACAAGTCCTCCCTTACTCGCCGGAAGACTCACGCGTGCCCTCATTTCGGATGCCCAAATGTTTATAAACAAGCAGCTGGTCTGAAATATCATCTTGCCCACGTGAGTCTTCCGCTCAGGATCGCTCTTGCTTTAGAGCTCAGTATTCTCTCTTTGAAAGGGGCACCCGGACAAGCCACCACTGCAGCTCGGGAGTGTACCGCCAGCTCTAGTGCAGAAACTAAGCCAAAAAGTACAGAGGGCGTGATGCTTCGCGTTCGGATTTGATATTTATGTTATTTACAGTTGTCAGCTTGTCCGGTGATGCGCCATCTTCATGTATATCCAAATTTCGTCGCCTTTCATTGAGCATCGTGTTCACAGTCTTCTGGACCTGCATGTAGCCCCTGAATGGATAAGCAACAGACTTACGCGGAACCACGCGCATCGCCAAGGCCCAGAATGGACAATGTGAGGCATGACCGATCCAGCCGTGAAGAGTTGGAGAAAGCTAACACAGAGCAGCACCATCCAGGATCGGGATCCTCCTACAAGAACCTTCTATGGAAATGCGAAATCCGGGAAGCAATCCTTGGGTGTCTTCCCGGTGTGCTTGTTTTCGGTGTGCTGGATAAGCCTGTTTATAAGTGAGCTAAAGGTGTGATTGTGTCAAGTGAAGGGAACCACACGCACGCGGGCGCACGAGTAGTGACCAGCTGCTCAAGGAGACTGAGACAAACCTCCCTGACTAAAGGATAACGCCCACTCACGAATGATTGGCGACACACCATGCAGATGATCGACTGGAAACCAAATAGGGTGCTCAGACCTCAAACCCTCCCGAGGCTCTAGTGCGCACCTTAGCAGCTTCGTTGACTTTCAGTGAACTCTTGCCACCTGCGTTCTGCGTTTCAAGGCGAGGGGACATCGTTAGCATTGGATGAAAACAATAGTTGTTGCTGATTGCCAGCATACTTTGCTTGCTTGTGCGGCATTGCGCTCTCGCTTTTCTGCATCAGATTGTCCATCAGTTCCTCAGAGTTGCGAGTTGGGCGATTACTAACGCGCAGCTTTAGCCCCCTAGGAGATGATTCAGAACCAAATGTCCCAAATCAGCGGAAAAAGAGACAATTCCGACTCACGTTACCCATCGGTGTGATCAAGCAAATATTATAGTTGCAAACAAGGACGTTAAAATTTTGTCCTTACGCGGAAGCAAAATGAAGATAACGTTGCGGGAGCTCAGATTGTTTTACCATGATATTCTACTTCTATGGATATCTTTATGGTGTACCCAGCAGACAGGATGGACGTATTACAGGAAGCGGGGCATGAACTAGGTCCTCAAGGCAAAAACTAGATTAATTCAGATGTGAGGGTGGGCTACTGTCCAAATGTGCCAGAGGCTTGTGCATTCGCGCCCATGGCTTGCATGCGCTCGCCGACTTTCTTGTTCACTTCTACAACATATTTCGATTTGTAGAGATTGACGGCGAACCTGAACGGAGACGTACCAAAGAATTTAGCAACACAGCGATCGATGCAGACACTCTCGCCTTTACTCAAGTCCGGCTCTGTATATCGTGTGCTCAAGCATTTGGAGTGGCAAGATCTATGGATATCCGAGTTAGCACCTGAGAGCTTGAAACACTATCTTAAACCTACGACACAAGACGATTGAAGACATCAGTAATCATATCCAATTCGGCAACTGCTATGTCCATTTGTTGCGCATTGACGTTACCCTGAGGAGCGGCGGCACTGGGGGCACCACCAATGCCGAACATAGACATCTTGGGGACGGTCTAAACGGAAAACGTGTGACCACGTGATAGTGACCGTGAGATTCACTGACGACTGAATTGCCTTCATTGGTTTTTGCTTTCGACTCGATGAGCAAGAAAAAAAAAGATGTCACGGACGACGTCGAGCGGATGCGGCCCATTTTTATGCATAGCTGCAAGTTTGTTGACTACACTCCGGCTGCCGTGACATGCATCGCAGTGTGTCCTCTGGCCCCGCCAAACCCAAGATCTCGTAAATCCGATTCGAAGACAAGCTCATCATCGCCGGGGCCTCTTGCTATAGGAAAAGGGAATGGGACGATAAGCATTTGCGAATGGGCTCCATCTGCGAATAATTCGGAAATTTCACGAAACTGGATGGCTCGGAGGGTGAGCGTGTTGTGGCCCCACATGAGTTTGATTTTAAACGACTTCGTGCAGATTTTGCGTGGTCTAGCTACCATGAAAGTTGGCTCGGTGGCTTTTGCTATTCGTGACCCCTATTCACACACACCGGGTGTCACTCCTTCCCTTCAAGACTTACGTTTATTCTCCACCACACAGGGGAAAGACCTGTTGGAATGGGATATATCCACGGGATTGGTAAAAGTGAGTCTTATTGCCAATGATTGGATCTTGATGTTCTAAGGCTTTTTTTCTAGAAACTAGTAGACTCTGATGCGGGTGCCATTTGGTCCATGGCTGTCAATCCCGACTCGACAACCATCGCGTTAGGATGCGTGGGCGGAATACGTCTACTGTCCCTTTCGGATGACGCTATCACTCCCTTTAAATCCCTTGACTATGCTAGGATTGAACCACTGAGTTTAGCGTGGGGTCCTATGGTCTACTTTGACGATAAAGCGTCCAACTCCGCCGGGACGAGCAGTGAACTCGACGATGATTCTAAGAGATGGACCAATTCCATTCTAGTAGCTGGGTGTTCTGATGCTAGTATATGCAAATGGGATACCAACACTGGCCGAGTTATTGAGGCTATGCGCCTACCGAAGACGGGTGAACAACTATTAGTGTGGGCAGTTGGTGTGACCCCGTGAGCCGCCTTGCCTTTTTCGTATGCATACACCGCTGACTCTGACACAAAGAGATGGAACCGTAGTTTCTGGGGACTCTGATGGTTATATCACATTTTGGGACCCAGTGACGAATACCCAATTACATCGTTTCCCCGCACATGATGCTGATCTTTTGTGTCTTGCAATCGGGCCCGTTAGTGTTCATACAGTTCACAGATTATTATCGGCTGATTGTCTGTGACAGGATGGGAAGACTGTCTACACTTCTGGCATCGATCAAAGAATCACAGAGTTCTGCATAGTCACTTATTCTGGTCCCGACGACTCGTCAAAGGAGAATAATGTTTGGACAAAGACATTCGCCAAACGCGTCCACTCTCATGATGTTTGTGCCTTGGCTACTTGGCCCCCTTTACAGCTCTACCGTACGAAACTGGCGTATCTTCAGCAACAAGGCTCCAAAGTTGCGGAGGCACCAGTCATTCTTTCTGGCGGCGTTGACGCAAGCATCTACATGATAAGATGCTCTCCGCCTGTTACATCCCAAACCACTTTCGTTGATCCACGTACACAGAATGAGGCGTTCTCATTCCAAAAAGCACTTCCATGCAAAATGAATGATGAACACATTGTGTCTCCAGGCGGTCGCGTTGTCCAGATAGCTCGTCAAGCGCGATATATTGTGTGTCGATCCGACACACGTGTGACTGTCTGGGGGTTTAATAAATTAAATACCTTCTTCACTTTGGGAGACAGTGTCGACGTTGGTGACGAAGATTCCGTCAAGCTCTTGGAGATGGACCTTAAGATTAGCAGCACTTTGGCTTCCTGCGCAGTCTCGGATGATGGAACGTGGCTCGGGGCAGCAGACTCGTTTGAAACAAAGCTCTTCAAACTTGTTGTCACGGTGAGCAACTTCCATGATTGCTTGGGGTGGGTCACTGAATGCCACACCAGCATAAGGGAGAGAAAGGACTCACAGGCGTTCGACTTAAAGCAGTCCGAGTAAAAAGGCTCTCGGAGACATTATTGCCGCACATCTTCCCTTCCTCGTCGCCTTCTTCCCCAATGTCAGCTTCTTCCATTTGTTTCAGCCCAGATTCCCGAAGGCTCGTCCTAGCTATTGCATCACTCATTATAGTACTGGATTTAACCAATATAGAGGCCTCTGATTCGCCCCATATCTTATGCTCATTCCCTCATCATCGATACAAGAGTGGGGCTGGATTCTCTATTGATCAGGGCCGTGTCATTAAGTCGTTGCCGGGCGATGCCTCTTCTGATGGTGATGATGGAGAAGATACAGAGGATGCAGAAACTTCAAAAGACCACGGCATTGAAGGGAAAATGCTCCCTGCATCACATTGGCCACCAATATCCCGACTTGTGGTTAGTCCAGATGGACAATGGCTGGCATCAGCGGATTTAGGGGGAAGAATACACGTTTTTCACCTTACTTCACGAAAAGTTCGTTCAAGTTACTTTCTAGTGCTGTTCGAGTGCTTACTTTTGTGTTAGTATCATTGCTCTCTCCCTACCTCCCTTACCATTCCCAGTGATCTTGCATTCGATCCATCGTCACCACATACCTTATATCTGGCCTTTCCCGACAACTCCTTACAAATTTTTGACGTGAAGGCTAGGGAATACCCAGGATGGGCACTGCCTCTGTGCCGCTCGATACTGCCCCAGCGGATTGTGCCCATACTGGACTCGACCCAAGGGATACTTTTCATTCCGAAAGCAACTTCGATAGATGCCCCCCGGGAAGATGGTGCAGAGCCAGATATTAGAAAGGTACTGCTGTGGGGGAAAAGCTGGATGTGCTCGATTGACATCGACATGCATATTCAGCGATCCCATCAGCGGGGAAATGCAGCGTCAGGAGAATCAAAGAAACAGAAACGAAAATCTCAGAAGGCGAACCCCAACTCGGAAACCTTTAATTCACATCGTGGAGTATCACTCCTCACGAGTTATCGAGATGTTCTGTGTATTGACGTCCTCAACGGCGATGAGATTGTGGTGATTCAGCGCCCTTGGGAGGACATTCTCCAGACATTGCCTCCAGCTTACTTCAGAATAGAATATGGGAGGGGCTAGGGCACGTGTGTGTGTGGCACGTGTGGCATCGGATATCTTGGTGGTGTTTGGGCTAGCTCGTACAAAATTACAATTGCAGCGTATATACCTAGTTACTAATAATGAGATATGCAGCTGGCTACATTCGGAGTTCACCTATAGCTAAGTTTTTCTAGACTTTATGGCTTGCAATTTACACTGCTATGAATGAATGAAGGATGAGTTCTAGTACCACAAATGGGCTTATCTCCTTCCGCGCCTGAGACGTTCTGGTCCATATGCACGGAATCGGACTTTGCATTGAAAGATAGTACCACTACCGACTTAGAGCGTCGAGGCCAGTTTTCCGCTTGCTCCCATGTTCAGACTGGTCGACATCGGAAAGCACAGCACGTTTCGGTTGTTATTTCTGATTTGAGGGGACTGAGTCTAAGTGGGCGGTGTCGTAGGCAGGTCACCACCCTCTATTGGAATAGCGGTGTCGGGATGGTTGCAATTACTTATATGGAATCTCCTCATCATTTGTTTTGCGACTGCCCTGTTTTTGAGGCCAACCGAGTGTCTACTTTGGCTGGCATCTCTTGCTTATCACAAGAAGTTTTGGAGGACGTCCCATTAGTTGTTCGTTGCAGGGTGTGTCAGGCTATTCCTTCAGATGATTCCGCTGTATCCTGGCCCCTTGGGTGGAATAGATGGTTTTTGGGCCACACACCATTATTAAAGCGGGATTTCCCATCACTTCCGGATAGGGTGATTGCTGGGCAGGACTCCAGCCTCTATGACAAGCAAACAATATACTTAGGTGATTGCCCTATCTCACATCTGACACATTGCAATTCATTCATTTATCCGGAGTTGTCCGAATTTATTGTCATATTGTCATATACAGTTGCTCCCATGTCTTGACATGTCTACGTCGCACAGTGACGTTCCATCCTCTGGGATAACGAGGCCACCGTCATCGCCTACGGGAAGCCGTTTCCTTCAGCTAGCGGATATATCCTCAAGCAGGACCCGATCTCGTTCTCGCAGCAGGCCGCAGTCACCATCTGACGAAGCTCAATATTTGACGCACCGTGTTCGACACCATGGTAAGTCGAGAAAACATTTAGCATACCTAACTCATAGTGCCATTGGAAAAGAGACCCTCATACCACCCGATTCGCAAGGCTGGGTGCGTCACCACAGCCCAGAACCTCGGCTCCCTGAGGTTAAGGGAAGTCGCAAGAAAAAAGCTGCTCAAGTGACACATTCCCCCTCACCAATGGAAAAGGTGGCTGCTCCTAGCTCTCCGGGGATGCGTACAGTGATCGACTACAGCATTCCTTCCCGACCACGTCTTAGACAAGTGCGGTCATCCAACGATGCGGATAATTCACGTCAGTCGAGCGGCCTTCTCATAAACTCCTTAGCTTCCCCATCACAACCTAATGAATATAATCGAGTGGATACCTCACCGGATGGCTCTTCAGTCATCTCACCCAGCGCAGCTCAAATCCCAATGAACCGTATGGCAAGTCCAGCCTCAAACGTGTCCCGTGGGGTCTCCGCTGGCATGGGCGCCGAAGAGAGATTACAGATATCCGATCCGCCGCCCCCATATTTTTCACGCGACTCCCGGCCGTCTATTGGCGTCCAGGTTGTTCCGGCCGATGAGAGCTCAGTCAGCATTACTACCGATCGGACTTTACTCGTGGAGAGGCCTTCCCTTCCCCTTGGTCCATCAGGGGCTGATGATGCTACCTGTAATCAAGAAACTATACGCCTTGACGAAAATTCCCCTCCTCCTGACCAATGCGATGGACGTCGCGTGATCTCAGAGTACGAATTAGAATGGGAGAAAGATCGGGAAGCTGGGTTCCCTCTTGCTGAGCGAGTCAGACGCGACTTCGAAAGACGTCAGGGCCGGGCCGCCCATTGGTCAGTTACTCCGTCTGAGGACCAAGGGCTTTCGTTTGTACGGACAGGGGCTATTTCTCTAAACGGCTCCACTTTATCCGACACTGGTGGGATGCGCTCCTCCCAGAATATTGATGAACAGCCTCATGTAGATGAAGCGATGGGACAGCATGTAATGTTCCAGTCAAACACTGCCGCGAAAGCACTCGACGAACTTACACACCTCGGCAGACGAGATTACGATGTATCTATTGCTTCTGGGGTCCCTGCGGCCGACGTTTCCACCTCGAACACCCCTACAGAGGTCTACTGTCCATTCCCAGTCCTTTCACCGTTATCGTCAACAAGCACACATCCTCCGGCTGCATCTGCGTCATTAATCTCTCCCCGTGCATCATCTGCCCCAACCCCAACCCCATCTTACCCTACCTCACCCGATCCCCTCCCCAGAAACACGTCCTACCACAACTCGCATACTTCCCAGTCTAACCAGGGTTCCCCTGAAGGAGGCATGGTCCAATTTGTCACAACACCCCTGGTTCCCGCGTCGGCAGAAAATAGCCCACTGACTATCCCTTGTACTTTGGAGACCTCCGCGGGCGAAGCAGATCGGGCGCCCTTGGCGCCCCCTGCTGGAAGTTCAAAATCTAGGTCTGACATCGCGGACGATAAGCACCATTCGTTGGCTTCATGTCCTGAAGTGAAAACGACGATCCAGGATGATGCTGATACACTAGGAAAACCGCTTGAAGTAGCTCGCGCGCCGGGTTCCTCTTCAAGTTCTCCAGGAGGACCGAAATCCAAGCGTCCAATTTCAATGCAAGGTTCACCCCCCTCCTCTTTCCCCTCAGCCTCCTCTGTCCCGCGTCCTCGCTCGCCAATCTTATCCCTGAACTACCATTCTCAGGTAAAGCCAGGAACTGTCCGTGATCGGGTACAGGCATTTGAGAGTGGCGCTCGTCAAACAGCTCAGAGGCGACCGCCGCCGCCGCCGCCGCCGCCGCCGCCGCCTCCCAGCCCAACCGTCAAACGCCGGCCACCTCCCCCTCTCCCCCCACGTCGAAATGCCCGAAGCCAGCCTGGTGCCTTCACTCAAACACCTCCTTTCGCTTGCGAAGCGAACTTCACTGCTAGGAGTTCACTAAGTGAAGGGCGAACAGAAAACTCCGCACTGAATGGATCTCCGCGGATCAGTGTGGAAGAGTTGTCGAATATCACAACAGAAAGCTACGTGCGTGCGGATATAGTGGATGTGGCCACGTCGTCCTCATGCTCGGAGCACGAAAATGGCTCTCACCTAGAATCTTCTGGTATGGGACTGAGCATTAATGCTGACTCACAGACCCTTGACCCTCCCGAACCCAGCGCCGAGAGCGTGGTTGTGAATCCATTTGATATCCACCAAACAAACGGCGAGATGGGTTCTTCTTCGGCGGATCTGTCCATTCAGCCCCCAAATGATGCTACAACGCATAATTTGTCTCCCGTTTTGACCCCTTCCTTACCCCAATCCATCAACTCATCGGCTCCCTCATTGGTTTCATCCCCCGCCTTTCGGCCGGTCAACCCGAGCGAAGCACTTCATGAGTATACGGATTTAGATCTTCTCCTCTCACGACTGCAATCGTCAACCGCTTCGGACGATCCGGGATCCAATTATGACGACTTCTTGATGCTTTCCTCACTAATCGGTCCCGCTGTAGACCCCTCTTCCAATGTCGAGAATCTTAAGGCGTTGGATAATCTCCCTGTTGCTTTTGTTGAAGTCGAGCGCCGTCGCGTGACGAAAGATGGACGCGTAAAACTCAAATTGTCGCTGATGGGCGTTTCAGTTGATCGATGTGGCGTGTGTCTTAGCCAGTTCAAAAAGAAGGATCAGGGGGTCTTGTTACCTTGTCAACATGCGTGAGTACAGTTCTTCTGTGGCACAACCGTGCATGATCCAATGAGAGTGCCTAGTTTTCATATTAAATGCGTGCATACCTGGCTGCTGCACAATATGACATGCCCATCGTGTCGAACTTCTATATCCCATAATTTGACATAAGTATTGCGGCCGTCCCGCAAGCGATTGAGGCTGAATACCTGTATCTGGAGGCGTTTTCGGTGATCTTATGCTAGTGTATCGTTCAACTCATGCTAACCACTGTATTTTTTACTGCGCACCAAATGAATAAAAAAGATGCTGAAGATCATGATCCAGTTCCAGTGTGAAGTCGCGAGTATCCATTGACATCTTGCCAATCATTGAAACGAGCTGTTGCCGCGCCGATGCGATCGCTTCCTGCCGAATAGGCGCGAAATAGAGAAAAGCTTTGCATGGCCGCTGGAAAGTTGATGCTCCAATTCAGCCCCTTTCCCCGACATTGCATCCCAATCCATGGAATCGAAGGTCATAACCCAATACCTGAATCCGTAAACTTATCACAAACTATCTATACTAACTGCTACGTTGATCTGCCTTAATCTGCCTCAATGTGAGTTGCTCCGCGGTTTTCTGTGGTGAATCTCTCTTATATTACCCCGCGGCCTCGTGTCGTGGCAGTGCGACTACCCTGCTTAATACACTATGAGGATCATCTATACTTACGTGGTAAGGAGTATCTGTATTGTGATGTCGGGTTTGGGATTCTCGGGGCTGGTGTCATCGGGGGGAGTGTCTTAATCATACATGATAATAAAAAGCTCATCTCCATCGGTGTTCGGAACGAGGTGGGGTTCAAGCTGGCATATGGTATACGGTGATCGATGCTCTCTTGGCTGCAGGAATGATATCCAAGCTGGCATATTGCCGCGATTGTCTTCGACTGGATGGCCGCGAGGCACCAACCCCCTGATTGAATCATTGGTATTACGTAACGATATGTCAGCACTGATATAGGAAGGTGTCATTTTCCCGCACCCTAATCAAGAGCTGTTGAATAAGGCCTATAATTGCAAAGTGTACAAGCAAATAATACATGTGTTTGGTTGCGTGCGATGAGGATGAATAGTGCAAGGAGTCTAGTGAATGCCATACGGGATATATAAAAACCGGGTCAGATTTCTCGAGCATCATGGAATAACGCTGTCCTCTGGCTTGATGCCTTTATCATCTTTAGCAGGAGCATGCGACAGGATGTGCTGAAGAACCTCGCGGCAGTAAGAGATTTTGCTGATGAGCTTACTGTGGATGCGGCGCTTATCATCTGTGATATCTTTGGCCGGAAATACGCATTGTTCCATGATGGACGAGAGGGAATATGCAGTAAGGGTGTTATGTTTGTCAATAAACTGGATATGGAGCCCGCCCAAGGAGAAAATAAGCTTCGTGTGGTCAAAGAAGTTAAACTGAATCTGAGATCAGCCATCGTAGATAATGTATTGGTGTGTGGCAACTCACTTGAAGGACGTCATGGCTAAGCTTGAAGACAATAACATGTTTCATGCGAAGATACCTGTGCACAAAGACTAGGTCAGACGTGCGGCTAACGTCTTCCCACGTATAGTTATGCTCCACGCAGAGCTTATCCAGCATATAGCGTTCAAAATGTTTCAGAAGATAGACTTTAGCCTTGAGTTCAGGCGGGTGCGTCTCAATATTAAAGTGTTTCTTGACGAACGCAACTCCGCCATGCCGGCTCGAAAGAAACTCGATGTGTCTGTTGGCATGATGAGCTTCAAACATCAGGAGTCAAGGGGAAAACGTACTGCTTGTCTGGAGCTAGAACCAGTGTAGTACTGTCATTAAAATGCACCCCAACGGTACCGTCTGTCAACGCATAGCCCATGCCGTATTTGTTGCAATAGTCAACCCAAGACTGGATGAATACCCTCGACCCATCGAGGTTTTCATTAAGGTCTATATATACTGGCATTGGACACGCCTTCAGGGAGAGCGAATTCTTACTGACCTGGTTCTCGAAATACCATTCCAATTTCCCTGGCGTTGAATGCCGTCGTCAAAGTTTGATGAACACTCTCAAAACCGTGAAGTTTAATGCCGCCGTTCAATGAAGCTTGTTTCGTCAACCAGGATTTTTCACCGTCAAGGGATCATCATGAACTTACTTGTGCTCGACTTCCCAATTTTCCGAATCTCGCGTATCGGCTTAATGCGTTGGGTCTCATCTTCGTCTAAACCCTTCCCAGGAGGTACTGCAGGCACAGGACGGGGTTCACGCTCACGCTCCTTTGCTATCCGTCTCTCCTCGCCGTTACCCGGTGCCATCTGAGAGACAATACGCGCTTTGTGCGATGCCAGATCATACTGCCTCCGGGCTTCATCCTGTTCTTCATGAAGAGTGGGAAGCGTCTTCAACGCATTGAGGGTTGGTGACCGCGTCTTCGACGGCTTACGGCTATGCTCAATTTTCTTCACCGGAACCTCTACGGGCTCTAGAGTCTCCGGGATGTCTGGTATCTTCGAAGACGGCATCGGCATGTTCGAGAATTTGCGCGTCATCTGAGAAACGGAAGGGCGGTTTTCGCTACTACTAGAGCGTTGTTGAGGGAGATCATGAAGGGTAGTGCGGGTCGAAGCTGCCAATAGTGACGATAATGGCCCTGGGATTGTACCGTTCCGTTGACTGGCGGACGAGCGCATTCGATTCTCAGTGGGTCGTAGCGGCGATTTAGATACCAACAGTGGTTCCCTCGCCGATTTAAGGAGTGCCGATATGGGACTGCCGGGCTGAACAGCTTTATTGAATTCACGTTCCTGCTTCTGCTGCTGCGCGATAGAAGCATCACCCGCTCGCGAATGCGCATCAACTTCAGGTGCCACGTCCACATTGAGCTCGGTCTCAATGTCCAACAACGTGTTGCGCCGCACCATAGCGTAATTGGCTTTACTCTGTGATCTTGACACAGTTGAAAAGGTTGGAGCATTCTTGTGGGCGGTGGTGGGGATAGATGAAGGGAATAAGCCTTTGGTGAAGAAAGGATGATCTGCAACTTGATGAAGTGTTGGTCGTGATTTCGGGTCGGGAGTAAGGATTTGGGTTATCAGATGTTCAGATTCTTTGCTGATCGGTTTCTCAGGTGGAAACTCATAGTTATTGTGCTTGATGCGATCATATATCGCTTTCACATCCCCACTGGTTTGGAATGGCGGCTTCCCTATGAGCAAGGTGTATCTATACCCTGATAATCAGACATGGTTCGTTCGACGAAGGGAAGGTCAAACATTATCACTCCAATGGACCATGTATCAACTTCAAAACTGTGCCCATTTGCGGTGTCAAATAGGACCTCTGGTGCGATATAATTGGGGGTGCCGCAGATTGTCCTACCGGGTATGAGATGAGCTGCCTCCAAGTAATATCATGAGAACGTACTTCTTCCTATCTCCGGGGGTTTCAATGAGAGCGGCTAAACCAAAGTCTCCAACCTTGACATTCATGTTGTAATCCAAAAAGAGATTCCCAAGTTTCAGATCCCGGTGTATGACTTGGTTTGTATGCATGTAATGGCAAGCACCAATCAACTGCAGAACAAAAAACCGTGCTTCGGGCTCCGTATACCGCCCTCTTCTACGCAGTAGATCGTTCATGCTCTATCGAGACACATTGAGCGAGAGATAAATTCTCTGAGGTCATCGACTGACCCCGTTGTGACACAATGCCAATGTCATGTACACGTGTTCTTCGTCCTCGAAACAGTCTTCAAATGCGACAATATTAGGATGCCGGAGGGCACGATGAAGCTTTATCTCTGCATACAGCTTTTTATGCCAAGGCCAGATTGGAGACTGCAGGCCATCGAAGCGGGTGCAATCCACTGACCTTTGTTTTGCTTTTCTTAGACTGCAGATTTGCTTTTGCGACTACCTTGATAGCATGCTCACGACCTTGGTTATCGATAACTTCATATACGCGTGCAAATCCTCCCTATTGAAGTAAATATAAGACCTCGGCCGAATCTCAGTGTCAAGGTACCACGAATCACCTCTCCCAAGAACCCTCTTCGCATAAATGACATATTTCGCGAGTTATCACGTATCACCTGAGGAGGACTTGGCAAGTGGGCCTTTTTCTTCTTCGGAGGGGGTGGAGATTTGGGTGGAAGAGGTGGTGCCGCCTGGCCTTGCGCCTGCTGGCGGTGTCGTGGTTCTGGCTCATGATGACGCAAATGATGAGGCGGCTGAGGTGGTTGAGCGTGTGTCGCCATTGCTTGTATGAAAGAGGGCAAGAAGGAGTGGAATAGGTCGCTGCGAGAATGTCCAAACACGAAAATGACAGACGATTTCGAACCTTGTTTGTGGTTGTTTACTGTTGTTTGTCAGGTCACCTGTTCCTGGGCCGGATGCGCATCTTGTCATCCTCCCAGATGCACGTTTTCACAGGGACTTCACTTGTGTCGTTCCCTTGGGCGTCACTACCTCCGATCAATAAGTCTGGTCATCACAAAGACCGAAGACTGCGGAAGATCTTGTCCAGTGCCTCGTCTGACCTGGGTTGCACCGACATTGACCACAAACACCAGGTTGTTGGACGCGAATGAAAACGCATGTGTAAATTACAAGTAAGCACAGTCCAGTGGTAGCTGAAAGGGACAGTGGGAAGAAAAGTATCAAATCACAAAAGGCGCTAAACGGCCATTTACGCCACCAAGGTGTTCCCCACTTACTAGTGCGCAAATTAGCTGTCAGAGATGAGATGAATTATCCACTGCGTAACACAAGTCTCATATCCGAGAAGAGGCAGGCGGATTATATCACTTGGGTCTGCTGAAGTAACAAAGTACGTGGGACGCTTACAAATACTCGAAGTCTATCTTAAGGGCTCAGTTGGTACTCGGCATGGCTCTGGATTGTTGTGCGCACAACAATAATCCCACCTTGCCTTCGAAACTCTTGCGTTCCCATTTGAGGGAAGCCCTGGAAATTCGGGGTCACCTTGTGACTCGTGGAATATGTTGGGTTTGGCGTGTTCGTCGCTGTGTAACTTGAAATGGCAGCAGAGCCCTTTAAACCCAACAAATCCAAGGGCAAAGGAGAGATGTCAGGACATATAACGAGTGGAGCATCGCGACCATCCCTCGACACGCCCTGAACCAAGCAATTCTCAGCAACCCAGAAAACAAGGCATGAGTATCGCTCACGCTTAGGGGTCACTGTGCTCCGCATCAATGGGATGATCATGAGGCTTTGAAGATGAACATTGCTCTTGCCCAGGACTTTGCTCACCAAGTGACGACTTTAGCATTTCATGATTCGCGACCGAATCTGAGCAAGAATTTAGGCCGGGGAACTATAGAGGAAATCATGGTGATACTTGGTGGGAAATTTTCCTGACGAGTAGGGATAGCACCACGTACTTGCGAATTGGGGGTTCCCGAGCCTGGACCTCGACCGGGATTACAAATGGCGCAACCATACCCGCCATAGCTGAGTTGGTAGTAAACTCATAATAAACAAAAGACCATATTGGACCTGTGTGTAGTGGAACACACTTCCTAGATACGTGCCTGAAAAGAAAGCGATGAAAGACAGAAGACGGGACAATCATAAACAAAAACGAAAAAAACTCACTTCTGTGCTCATGAAAAATCACAATCGTAATAAGTGTCCACAGAGTGGGGTTTCTAACTTTGCTGAAAATGGTAGCCGACGCGAGGGCCTCAACGTCTCCCTCCAACAACTGCTGAGCGCGGAACTGCCGTAATATTAGAGCCCAGTGACACGTTCGGATGAGATAATAACAGGAGGGCCCCAGTTGTGTCGCCGCAGTCCGGAACGCCCCCTCATCAAACGCTCGCGGTCATGGTTCTCGTCTTTTGCGATTCCTTTACATATCGGGACCAGACTGAGAGGTATTGGCGTCTTCGTGTTGATGTGGAATAGGATCTGTGCCATTGTGTTTAGCTTGTGAAGATGATTGTGATAATCACGTAGGGGTCTTACTCTGATTTGAGGTGATGTGAGGAGTCACGGAGATTGGACGTATTGGCGGTTTTCCCTAGTGGGAGAGTTGCTGCCTTCTCGATTTCTCTTTGACCTGGGGGCAGATTTACGTACTATAGATGGTAGGATATAAAGGTCTTCTGTCTTGATACGCAGAGATGCATTCCTGTATCAAAGCGTTAGCGTCCATGGACAGTCAATGACGTCTGCCACTGACGCCACCTTGCACAACTGCGCATACCCCTCTTTGATAGCGACGGCGAGATCGAGATGCAGCAGACATGTTCCGAGGGTTCTTCGGCCTCGTTACGGTGCTTCTTATATAGGCGTCGTGGAGGGGTGGGGAGGATGTGATTCGGAAACGGAAACGGAAACGGGAGGAATGATCAAAACCAAGGAATCCAGGCGTAGATCAATCCACCACTGATAAGAGCAATGACACGATCATGCGCACGCTTTTGCGAGTGCCCCTAGATGGTGATAAATGGACGTTTGCTTTCTGGTGCATGTGAGCCTTGCCAGGCGCCGTTAAGTGGGCACGTTCATAAGGTAAGCCATAGAGGCTGGGGTCCTGCCTAGACTCTAACCCAGTGAACGGTGCCGAGGTGCATATGCAATGGCACAACGGCGCAAGGAGAACAATTAACAGCAAAGCAGAATAGATTTGCCAGGAATTGGGAGATGCCATGTATGGCATGCCTAAGGAACATCTCCACAACACAACCCAAACACACCCAGACGGGGAAAACTCAGCCTGCCGCAATACAGAATCCACACCCCGAGCTTCTATTAGCGCTATATTGCATTCCAGCTCTCCGCAGCCCTACATATCCTTCTTTTTTAAAAAAAAAAACCAAAAAACCAAAAACAAAGCAGAACAAGAACTAACCAGCTTGAGTCCTTGTTCTGCCAGAAGAGTCATCTTCGACCCAAGAGTAATGAGTGTATCCTTTTTCGCGACCAGGTTCCCAAGTGCCACATATATATGGAAACATCCAGCGGCGCCACTGCTTCCATTCCCCAACGATTTAGCATAGCCCTTGAAAGCTCCACAGTTACTAACATGGTAACGGCGCGCGGTCGATGAAAGATGGATCGGCAATCTATACCCATTCAAAGGCTAGTTAAAACTCAAACGCGTAGTCTTCACGTTTCTTACGCTTGGGGCCGGCGGATGGGTGAGGATATATCCCGTAATTGACTCCAACGCTCACATCTCGTCAATGCTAAAATCTACTTTGACATCTTGACTCAGTTCCAGCCTCTGGATCCCAACCATGCGCTATACGGCCAAGTCTGACTGCAGGGTTGGTTGGTGGGGGGGGGGGACACCAAAGTACGGGCCGGCGGCATATGCCGTGCTATATGACTAGAAATGGAACTGCATGTTGCAGAGAGAACCAACTATTCGAAAATCGCCCCATTGAAACTAGACATTTACTTCTTATGGTTAACAGGCTCGCTTCGGACGCCTTCGATGATCCTGCGAAATTGGTACTTCGTCGCACGGTCGAATTTCCTTGCAAGACTCACTCCGGCTTGATCCAGTTGCGATTTTACAACAACACCCTGTTTTGTGTGATTCTGCCTTTTCCTTCTGGGTTTGGAACGACTTTTTTCTATCTCGTTCTTGGGTTTTGTCAAGGCTTCATTCGTTACTGCCCAAGAATATCCCCGATCACTCGTTCCGTTTGGGGTGCTGCTATACATCTACTAGCTTCGCTCGGTGTACCCGATTCTAGGATTCAGTCTTGGGCCGTTCCGTTCTTCTATCATGTCGCCGGACCGTACTCAAATTGTCGCCAGAGCCGTTATTCTGTGGCGTTGTCGCGTCGGGTGACGGTCCGGGCAGTGTCAGTTCTTTTCCGTATGGCCTTTCCCGCTCCGGCAACCACCCACCTGGTTCAAACCGCAAAAGACGAATATATCCCCATCCAGGGACATCCACCCATCTCATTCCATCATGCCTATATACGACTGGTCTGATCACGAGCATAGCAAATATAAAGTTGATACCGATGGAATAGGCTTTGGCGGGAGAGTACCTAGCCACGGTGGACATGTACCTAGTAACAGACGTGAGGAAGGGAATAAAAAAAAACCCAAGCTACTGGGGGAAGTGATAATCTAGGCAAGATGGGTCGCCGATAATTCAAAAAGTACGAACGTGCACATCGGGGAAGGAACAGCAAATGGTAACGCTTGTACATATATATATATAGAGAGAGAGGGGCTACCTGAAACCCCTAGACCAATCATGTTGAAGAATAACACGTTTGCTCCAAGGCCAAACGGCTCTAATCTAGCACAACGCTCGGTACGGATTGGTATATCCATACGTCAAAATGACTACTGTTAATGACTCCACACTGTGGTGTTCACCGTTGCTTGTCCCCGAGCGAGGGGATCTTGATTCATGAAAGGAGCGCGTCGAAATCCCCGAATGCGTTTGTAATGCCATTAGAGGGAGTGAATAAAGGGAGGCTCAATGGCGACAGGGAGTAGTTTGATGGGTCGAACCTTGGCATTTCCGAGGTCGAGCCAAGGTGTTCATCCGGACGTACAGCTGGAGGGTTATTGTGGTCATCGCCCCGGATCTTCCTAAGCCAAACTGTCAGCACCTCAAAGCCACAGAGCGAACCATCACTCACGGTTGGGCGTTCCGACAAACGTCGATGGGGTGGAGTGGCATGGGAGTGCGATCGGTGTCGTCGCAGTGGTTCTGGTCAGTGACTGGTAATTCCACTCTATCCTGGGTTGCCGTGAAACTCAGCCGGGAATCTGTGCTTGGGAACTGCCCACACACAAGAAAGAGAAAAAATCGGGGGTAGGTCATTGAACAATCACATTGAAATGAACTATCACAATTGACGTACCTGCGAGCGGAGGATGGACGAAAGCTTCTGAATCGTCGTGCCAGTGTCACCTTGGCCATCGGCGGAATCGGAGTGAGATAGGTGGTCTACCACTAAGATTCTACTTAAGTAAACACAATTAAAACTCGAAGAGTCCAACTCACTCCCGTAGGCCAACACTAGGTAAAGTGGAAAGCGAATATTAAAGGGTCAATTGGCGTGCGGATGCCTATGACACACTTTTCAAATAGGTACCTAGACGGTGACATCAAAACGATGGGCAGGCTGCGCAAGAGGGAAGAAATGCTTACTTCTAACGTCCCCTATCGTTTTAAAATGATCCAAAAGAATGATAATTGCCTTGAAGGTCCACACGGTCGGCTTTTTGATCTCGATAAACAATATTCCAAACGCAGTTGACATGAGCTCCTCTGCATCCTCCCCCAATAGCTGGTAAATACGAGGCTGTCGTAAAATGAGAGCCCAATGGGACAATCGAATGAGGTATGGATGGGAGGGTCCCAACCGTGCAGCCTCAATCAGATGATTCCGGAATGCTTTCGCATCAAATGCTCCATCGAAAAACACGACTGCCCATCCAATACTCTCGTCGAGCTCGGAGTCGTGCAATGCATCTTTTACAATGTCTCGAAGGATTGGGACTAGGGGAAGAGCGCTCGTATGGAGGCTGGTGCCCTTGCCGTGGCTTGGTGCAAGACCTGTCCCTGACATGTTGTGGCAGCCCATAAGCATAATTATGACGAACACGAAGCTGGGGGTTCTTACCTTTAGTTGAGGGCGTTCTAGGCGCGGGACGCGAGGCCGCATGGCTTGGCTTGGGCGTGCTCATTAACGAGGCGGCCACTCCAGTGCCGCTTTTGGAGTTCTTGGCTTGGCCCGCACCCCCAGTTACACACTGCAGATGGAATTATATCAGATTATTCTACCTTTGCATGCGAAAATTCTCAAACCTTTTTCCCCAGACGTTTACATTTATGGCACTTGCCCGTGCTTGGATCGCGGGGCGAGCACTTGGTCTTCCTGAATTAGAGTGTAAGCGTCGGTAGCCAATTGGAGAGGAAATTTCTGACCCTGTTCTGCACGCTGCGCATGCGCCTCGTTCATAAGGGCCGCGAGACCGAGAAGAACTTGCCACCGAAGACATGAGCGGGGGAACTTTCCGATGACCGACGACATCACGGCGAGCTGAGTATATATGTGAAATCCGGTTAAGCGAGAACGGGAATGGAAACGGAAGGAATCACGGAAATTGAGAGACGACGTGGGAACGATCCAGGCAGTGCAGCATTGATAGGCGCATACATAGGCGCATACATATTACAGGCCGAGGACCCTCATAACAAATGATTCAGAATAATAATAATAATAGCATCAGCACGTGTGTGCGCCTTTACCATTTACAGGTTTTTACGCGCATAAGTAAGCCGCATGCATGACCTGTTCGTCTAAAGCAGGTGAAAGACCTCGATATTCAATGTCCCCCACTTCGAGCAATAGAAGATGGCTCTTTGTGCAAAGAGCCGCGCGGATACCCGCTTTGCAGTGAAAAGGTGGTTTCATTTACAGGAAGAGCAGGTCAGGGGGTCCACATAGCCAAAGCGAGGGGCGCGCGAGTTTGATGTGTGTGAGCACGCAAAGTTCAATTTATATGATATACAAGGCCCGAGGTGGGGCAAATTTTCAAGCCCAAGTGCCCCGTACAGGCGCACCGTAGGGCCATAGTTTGTGCCTCGGAGTTAACGCTTCATTTGGCGTAAGTTGGGTTTACTGTTGGAGGGCAGCGCATATAGTGCCGGAAGGCCACCCCTTCCGGACGTTGCCGGCAGGTTTGGTCTGACCGAGTTTACTTGGTTAGACCATGTGACTTGTTCCCGCTTTCTTCCTTCTTTGGCTATTTCGGACTTATCCGCGAAAGCCACAAACTATATTCATTCATTTCCTTTTTCCCTCAGTTCTCGCGCATATAGTGAGACTGAGGTTAGTTGTTTTCCTTTCATTCCTTATATCTTATAACTCATTGTATATTACCTTATAGCTTTATCTTTAGAGCAAGCGGTTACTCCGTTATTTACTGGGGCGGGGAAGGGTCCCCTGTTGAGTCGGTGGCAGTGCACTTTCATGATTCGCCATTAATAGCCCACAATGCTGATTTGAGTTCATTCAACGTCTTATTGCTGCAAGAACCAAGAAGCCGATCGCCCGAGAGGATGTGGGCGTTACCATGCGCTAGTCGGCTCTGGAAGTTACATTATTGCGCCAGAAGAATGGGGTCGTATTTCAGAGCCTATCCGGTTAGAGAATCAAATGACCCCCTTCATGGCCCATCATGCTTCCGGACGCTTTCGGTCAACAAGTGGCAGAAAACACGACCTGAAATGTACTCAACGTAAAGCGCTGAAAATTTAATTAGCATGCATAACCATGAGCATAATTTCTTCCACAGAACGAAAATGTCATTCTCCAACAGCGGGTCGGAAGCCAATAATCTGCTCGCCGCGGCCACATTTCCGTATACGGTATAGGCAGCTGACGGCAATTCATTTCGCCGCTTCCCGACACTCAAACAACAGTCAACAAACAACCTGGGACAAGCGCGTATTGAGTCATTTATTCGCCATATTCTGGTCGTCTTCCAGAAGAGCTGGGCTGCATCCTACAAAATGCACTTGCTTAGTAACGGATACTCCCGAGGTCTAAGGTCGCATTGATCGTGCATGCTGGGTTGGCATGTTCATCGCTATGTAACGTGAAATGGCAATCATTCAAGTTGGAGGAACGACATTTGCCATTACTTGTACCGGCGCTTTTCTATCAAGAGTCTACCATCACCGCGCCGTCCAACCGCTCGTCTCCTGGCCCTTTCAACAGTGAAACCGCTCGTAATTAGGAGTCACGATGCTCCAGAGGAATGGGAATGGGATGATCATGGAGCTTAGGAGAAGACGAACATCGCTGTCGGTAATTACCTCATGCGTGGTGTCAATGTCACACACCCCACTATCTTGGACTTCGGCCAGAACGACAAAATGATAGCTAAGATGGTGGACGTACAGCAAACGGATAAACTTATTGAACCCGCGTGTAACCGGATACACCTCCCAGATAGGTGCCTGAAAGGATAATAAAGAGAGAGAAGAAAGGACAATTAAACTTGTTTCAACTATCATTTACGCTGAGGAAATGCAGATGAAGAATCATCGTCCCAATGTGTGTACACAGAGTGGGTCTCCTAGCTTCGTTGAGCCGCCTCGACGTGATTGACTCTTCTTCTTCTTCTTCCAGTAACCATTGAATCCTGAGGTCTAGCCGCAAGAACGCCTGGCTTCTTTATAAATGGCTAATTCATCCGGGCCCTTTCTTCAAGGTTCTTGCATATTAGTACCCTGGATGTTTGCGTCGGCATAGTAACTCGCAGGGTACGTCGCGTTCGTTGTCACGAGAGGGGCGAGGTCGTTTGAATATAGCATATTCACTGGCAGGGGCGATAAATCAGAGCACATAGCTTGTGAAGTGTCGCCCCCAAACCCTCTGAGACAAGCAACCCTCAGCAATCCGGAAGATAAGTTGAAATATCGCTCACATTTGGGAGCCAGCTGGGTAACCTGAAAGATGAAGAGAAGAACTAGTGTTGCCAGTGGGAGGCTAAGAACGTATTAGAGTCCATCGTGAGGTGATTGTTTTGGGCATATGTCCCCTACCTGCGGGAAACCAAAGCTTCGAGCCTCGCGATCCCCGCTTTCATTAGCGGATACGGTGGGGGCCACTGACACTACCAACACCATGAACTCCCTAAGCGAACATAATAGGACACAAAGAACGTACTGATGGCTGGAAAATCCAAGAAGGTAATGAACGATCGGTAAAGAAGAGATATTGACCTAGCGAATAATGGCGACACACCTCCCACAAGGCCACCTAGAGGAAGACCATTAGAGGCAGAAGAAAGATAAGAAAAAAGAACCACTTGCTTCTATTGTCTCCTACTGTGCTAAGGTGGTCCCAGAGTATCACACGCGCGTGATAAGCCCACGCTGCGTTGGATTGGAAGTCTTTGAACAAGGCCAACCAAACGAACAATGAGAGCTCTCCGGCCACTTCCACACTCAGATCCCCCTGAATGAGAAATCCCTTCAGAATTAGTGACCAGTGGAGTACCCTCACGGAGGGGTAGTCGACCTCGACCATCGCCGCAGCCCAAAATGCGTCTTCATTAAAACTCCGACCAAGTTCCCTGACCACCCATTCGAGGCCCCGGTCAAGGGCCTGGTCGTGCTCCTCGTCCGTTACTGCCATTCCAAAGTCCGGAATTTTTCTGAGGGCGTCCGGAATGCGGCGGGGTGGAGCAAGATCTGTGCCATTGTGTACAAGTTATGAGGATTATGGCGCGCACGAGGGTGGGTGTCTTACTTTGATTCGAGGGTTCCCCCGAGATGGTTCCATAGGGGCTGGCCGTGTACGCTAGGGAGGGAGATTCCTCAACGGGAGTGCTGCCACTTTCTCCACTTTCTCCGCCTTGAAATTGATCTTCACACTGTAGATAGTAGGATTAGAGTCTCCTACCGTAACACGCACGGAATCCGAACCTCGTACCCCAGACGCTCGCAGTGTTGACACTTTCCTGTGAGCTTCGAACGATCCGAACATTTAGTCCTCCTGTGCTGGGGTATCAGTGTTCATGCCCAATTCATGATGTATGCTACTAACTGTCTTTTGCACCTCATGCAAGCTTTTCCATGCCCAACGCGGTCCCTGGGCTTACTGGCCATGAGAGTGAGTAGGGATGAGGGTCTCTAGCCAACCCAACCCTATTACGTCGCCAGAAATATAAGCCTCGTGAACTCCGCCGGAGATGGAGGAAGGAGCGGAATCGGAATCGAAAAGCATGGACAGGCCGGTGGAATGATGAAAATCCAAAGATCACTGGCACAGTCATATTGCAGGGTCAAGGCAGAGCGGAATCCGACCCAGAAGTGAATTGTGGCAATTGGGCGAAGCTTTCCTGTGAGGATAATGTCGCCGTGCCAGTGTGCAACTAGGGATGCACATCAAGACTACACGGTCCTTCCCAGCTGGGCGAACACACAGCGGTGCAAAGACAGTAACACCACAAGGAAAAGTAGGGAAGGATACCACAGATAGCGGTGAGCGTGTTGGTCTTAACGAGCGTGGAATATCACTCGCTCACGAAGGCAGATGCAGTACAAAGCCTGTATGGTATACGTCCACAGGCCATTCAAGGCTGAAATGTTTTATCAATAAACTCAATTGTCAATTCAGAAGATCATGTGTACATAACGGGGCTGTATCACAAGCACGTCAAAAAATCGAACATTCGGTGCAATCAAGTCTCCGATGGAATAGATTCCGAGTGGGAATGTTACGGAACCTGAGCACCCAAAACTGTTCCGGGTTCACCGTCGGTGTTTTATTTTTCGTAATGACCAAACAAGAAGCGGAATGCCATCGGGAGCAGCTAGGGGTTCTTACTCTTATCATCGAGATGCAATGCAAAGGCACATGAAAACTGGACGCATGCACCTGGAGATGGAGTTTCCCCAGGAGGAGCATTGGTTTTTGTCTTAGTTCGCGGACGGGTTTATACGCTATCAATGATATGTGGCGTACCAAAGTCTTCTTCCTTGATATGCATGATGCGCACAGAAATTTTGTCCAAAGCTGCGCACGCCTTTCGCGCTTCGAGTTGCCTGTAAATTTAGAACGAGTTAGCCCAAGACATTTGCGTCCTAGGCAAGACTCTAGCCTTTGACTTCGTAACCATGGTTGATTGTCACTGTTACGTACCATGCATGCGCCTCTTTTGATTCGAACCGTGGAGTCAGAGTCGGTAAAGGATGAAACGGAAATGACAAGGATGACCAAATGATAGCGATAAAGAGCCAAAAATCATTCATTCAGGTCCCAAAAACGTCAATGTACTCATAGCGGAGTTGGCCGAATCTATTGCTGTTCATTACCAAATCTCAGCAGCAATAAAAATGCCAGATCACGGGCAAGTCTAAAAAGGTTGGCATTTAAACTTGCCGATTTTGGTCGCTTAGATTAGATCGACAATTTTTGCTGTGTGCTGATCCCGACGGAAGACCCTACGCCTCACAAGTAGCCAATCAGCGCCCGGTGAGTGGAGAGCTGTACGGGTATAGGCAGATGCTAATCCCGACGAAAGTCCCCATACCAAATCTACAAACTGCACTCCAGGTTTTTCAACCAGCTTCCCATCCTACATGTTTGTCATGTGGAAAACCAAGGACGAGATGTCCCCTCCAAACTCTCTGAGACGAGCAACTTTCAGCAACTCAAAAGGTATTAGGCTATAAATATTGCTCACCTTTCGGAGTCAAGGTGCTCTGTGGGATGACTAGGAAGACGAGCGGAAGACAGGGGGGCTAAAGAACGTATTAGAGTTGAGAATATGCTATCAGAATCGCCTACCTCGGGCCCCGCTATTCTGGCCTTCAATTGAGATGTGATTCGCTCCACTGGCCGCCACCAACACCACTAACATCAATGAAACCTTAAATGAACATAACAGAACACAATGGTAACTTACTCCACTCCTCCAAACCTAATACAGAGGATAAATAGTAAAGAAAAGGTCATACTGTGAGTAGTGGGCACACCTTCTACAACATGGCCTAGGAGAAGGCCGTCAGAAATAGAAGACAGACAGAAGAAAAAAAAAACACTTGCTTCTAATATCCCCCGTCTCGCGAAGATGCTTGAGGAGAATTGAAATCGCGTCGAGAGTCCAACGGGTGCCGAATCTCAAGTCGTCGAACCAGGCCCGCAGAACATCCGACACAAACATTTCAGCTTCTTCCTTGCTCAGCATCCGGTCTGAACAGAACTGCCTTAAAAGTAGGGCCCAATGGCATGCCCGGACAGGGTAATGACGGTCCGCATGTGTCACTGCAGAGCAGTCCATCCGGAATGCTCGCGCATCGAATCCCCCAAAATTCGCGGCTGCCCATTCAATGCCCCGGTCAAGCGCGCTGTCGTGGACCTCGCGTATTGTCATTCTTCCACGACTTGAGACCAGCTTGAGAAGGTTCAAAAATGGATTGGTGCCTTGACGTGGAGGCGGGGGAAGAGCTGTGCGGCTTATAAGGATTGTGACGGGCACGAGGTCGGGGGTCTCACATTGATTCGCCGGTACCACCGAGTTGCGTTCCGACGTCCCATGGCTGGACGTATGCGCTGGAGACGAAGCTTCCACAGCGAGGGCATTGGTGCTTTGTGGATTTTTTGAAGGCGAACGCGTACACTATGAATGGTGGCATCAAAATCTCCTTCCGTAGCACGCAGAGATCCGAACCTCCTTCCTCAAGCGCGCACACCTTTCGCACTTGCCCGTGATATCCTGGTGTGGTGAACATTTGTGCTTGCTGTATTAAAGCATTAGTGCCCATGGAGAATTAATATCAACTGTCACCCACCCTTTTTTGCACGTCGAACATGCCCAACGATTCGGACCGCGGGGTGTGGTGAGCATGGTTTCTTTGGCTCTCCCCCATTGTTGTGCCAGTAACATATACCCATAAAACCCGGCGGAGATGGGGGACGGAGCGGAATCGGAATCGGAAAGCGACAATAGAAACGGGGGGGTGGGATGCATCAAATCAGGAGATCCAGATGGCAGACTGGAAAGTCAGGGCAGCACGGTATCCCATACACGTAACAATACAATGCAGTAGCCCAGGTCTGAGTTACAGCAAGCTTTTCTGTGTATATAAATTACCCTATGCAACTACTCGTGCAGGCGGAAGAAGGTGCATGGTCCCCGCAATCCGAAAGAAGAACGATGGGCATGACTTGACCATATAATTCCCCTTGTTTCTGGTAACATATGATTCAGCAAACTGCATCATGGTCGCGTACAATAGCGCTAAAACAGTGACACCACAAGCAAAGCAGGGTTCAATTTACCACGGATAACAGGGAGCGTATCGATCTTGATGCCGCAGAACAAAATGTGGTATGCGCGAATATGCCGATGCCATTATCAAGTAGGTTTGGTAATATCGTAATGACCCATTGCTGTCGTGACATCGACAGTGTCGATTTGAGTAGCGTGTGTGCATGACGCGGATAACAGGACGACATGCAGCACGCTGGGGGAACTGGACATTCTTGCACAGATACAATCAGTCTCCGGCGGGAATGAAGTTGATCATGGCGATAGGTGTGGGAATGCTGTCACAAGATCACAGTTGTTTGCGAATTTGGCCAGTTTTATGTTTCCGACAAGAAGATCAGGAATTGAGCTATCGTGCCTTCAGCCAGAAACCTTAGAGGCTAAAAGCGCTTTAAATCTTGTAACTTTCTAGCATAACATCTGGTATGACTGTACTCGATGCTGGAATTCCGCTGTGAAGACCATGTTCAGGCCTAAGGATGGATACCAGCCCCTGTTTGCAACAGTTCGGGCGGGGGCCTCAACTTGTAAACCGGCCCCCACCCCATAAACGAGGGACGACCCCATTGAAGTGCCAGCAACGTGGGCCTAATCCACCCCAGATAGAGGGAGCGGAATCGGGATCGGAATCGGAATACGGTTTTCCTGCAGACTCGTAGGCAATACTTTGTATTGAGAGCAAAACGTGATTTTCCATTTGTAAATGTCGCACGAAGTTACGGATCAACTTCGGCAATTCGGACAAGACCGACTGTCTGCGGAATTTCATTTCGACGCGTTATGAGGCTCTCGACGTACGCGCTTCAACAACCCATTTAAACGCTCCCTCCCTTCATTCCAACGTCCGGAGGGAAGCAAATTGTTGCAATCCTGACTGACTCATCTCCAATCATTGCCATCCATGTTCCCAATGAACGCACTTTCCTTTCACGGTTAACAACAAGTAAAAGCGACCGAGTCCATTCGAGTCCAAGAGCGATGATAACGACAATATCCAAACCACAGAAACTCCGATTCTAGTCACCTCTGTCTCAAAAAATGAACTCACACGCTACCGCGTCAACTTGGCAGCTCTCATGGAAGATAGGCTTATTTCACTTGATGGGTTACTGAATTGAGTGAAAAGGGCCTAAATTGTATTGATTGTAAATTGATGGCATCTCAGAGACGCTACTGTTGACCGACAACTATTTATTTTTATATATGTAACATATACACATTACCCCGACAACTCCCCCCGACGACACAACTCCCGAGGATCCCACTCACCCGAAGACACCACCCAGACACCCATACCATGTAAGGATGATCCCCTCATGTACACACGCTGTAACGAGTTGGGATGGCCGCACTGCCACGTTGACACGAGGCCGCGGGGTAACAAAATAGAGTACAACAACAACAACAACGCTACTGTTAGAAGTTCAACCGCTACTTAGGACGCTTACAGTGGCTTTCGGCTACTATGAGTCTAAGGCGGTGTGGCCAGAAGTATTCCTTTCTTTCGTTCACGATCCTGTGCCCTATGTGCTTGGACTCGAACGTCCAAACATAAATATTGCGCACCGTTCATTTCTAATGAATGCCCTTTGATGTCAACGACAGAGTGGACATGAACCGGGTGGTGAATACGGTAGTGGAGGTACTGTGTCATCATCTTCGTCCCTCGTGGTACATTGGCAACGCACCGACCTCTATTCCGAGTATGGGTGTCCTACTTTCAGTGCGAGGCAACCTGATCGCTCGCATCGTGATCGACGGCATCGTGATGCCATCCACGCTATCTAATCACCGATCACCCTCCAGTGAATGTGATCTTCGGCATCCCATCGCAGGTATCCTTTTGAATGGTATCACAGTCCCGAACGCTGTCACCTAGTCACATTTGCGTGGCATCCACGAGCGACGATGACTGGGTACGAGTCTGGGCAGCATGATGAAAATCAAGAGATCACAATCAGACTGCGGAGTCAGGGCAGCACGGCATTTACAGTACAATCGGGTTGCGCGAAACCCGACCTGGCAGGAGTGAACTGTGGTGACTTTCCTGTGCAGATAAATTTTTCTTGTGCAACTAGGCCTGCATACACCTAAAGAGTGCACAGCCCGCAACGATCCTAACTTTACAGACAACTTACAGAAATATTACGAGGTCAGAGGCCGGAATCCTGCCTGGTATTGGTCAGGAGAAGAGAGTTGACACGGGATTTGGGCGAGTTTTCGAGATAAATTATTTAGACGTTGAGGGCGTTCCGAATGTCTCAAAGGGTGGTGCCTGCTCTGCGTTCATATGGGACCGTTCCCTTAGGTGGATTGGCCGTACTGTAGGTCTCGAGAGATGTCTAGGAGCATATTCATCAGCAACTGCCGCACGACAAGGATCGATAATCGCGCCTGTGAGCAGAGTAATTGTGCCAGTAGCACTTCCCTCTCGAGGTAAAGTTCCCAATGACATCCATTCTCCCACCGAAAATCCCCCTTTGTGCCAGACCACCTTCGGAACTGAACGTACGTGCGTAATTCCGCTACGGAGGAATTAGCTCAATCTCGTTCGCTCTAGCGCGTTTGTCCTTTAGCCAAGAATTATCATGTAGGCTGCTCAGCATGACGGACAGGAGACCATGCCGCGACGCAGCCGCCCAGATAATAGGATTAGCACCAACGGAGAGGCTCTTGGTTCGGTTTGCTCCTAGGGTATTTTTTCTCTTGGTGCTTTACAAGCCAAAAAGTAAACATATGTAGCTGAAGCAGAGAATCGAACTCGCGCTACCTGAGGTGGAAGCACAGTAAAACTTGCAATATGACCATTAAGCCATTTGAACATCGCCGCCGGAACCAAAATTCCCTCTCTTATAAGTTCTAACGTCAGAAATGTGTACTGCTTCCCCACACAGCTGCCCTAGCCCCCCTTACACTCCCCTCTGCGTGAGCCCAAACTTCGCCACTAACCCGAACGAGCAACAACACCACGTGAACCAGGAGTAACTTCCAATTCAGTCCCCCTTGTCGCACTTTTCCTTGGTGAACCGGTTTCGCTATAAGCGTAACACGCGGACACTAGACAATTTGACTCATGTCAACGATAATGGGGGCTTTCATCTGGCCCTGGAGCAGAAATCGAGTCCCATCATGGCTGGACCGAGGACGGTGGAAAATCCTCCTATCAGACACGATGCGATCACCATACCAGGATCCTACGCTATCAACGCTTTCTGCGGCGACAAAAACCGGGCAATACTCCAGGAGGACAGCGAGTCGAGGTCTTCCATTAGACCAGACTTCCAGCCAGAGTTTATGTGAGAAGACGAGTAGCGGAGTTCCTCCCATGCAAAACGAGTAGTTACTAAAGGGTTCAAACATGTCTCCGTCGGTTGGCAAGGGTGTGGAAAGATCGTAAAAAGGGCGGCGAATCCACGACTCATCGGATTCCTGCCCTGTGTCTGCCCTGGAATGATCCTCATAGGCAGTATTCCCTGAAAAGGGAAGAGTGGGTCGACTGGGTTGGGTGAGTACAGGAGCAGGGACGAGATATGGGCAAGTGGGGGGAACACCGGAGTTTATAACCCAAAAGTTGGGTTCCACGATCCGATATTGCGCAATGAACTCACCGGATTCGGTCGACCAAGTGAAAGCACTGTGGCCATCGAAAGCGCCAATATATCGTCCTCCTGGAGAAAATCCAAGCATGTGACGTTGAGGGATGGCCAGACCAAAATAAGGTTGAGTGGAAGGAGTAAAAGGGTCGGAAAGAGGAGAGGCAAGGGGCTGAATGGGCGAGTTCCCCAAAATGGAAATGAGCGTCATGTTATGATACCAAGGGTTCCGGGGATTCTGTGGAACTCGTGCGATATATAATCCATCATCTGATACTGCAGTTACAGCAGGATAGGCACTAGCAGAGAGTGTACCAAGGTTGACAGGGGGAATGCCATGGCTGAGTATGGTGACATTCCCCTCAGCGTCTTCGGTAGTGAGCCGGGGGCTGACATGGATAAATTCAATCCAGACTGGAGGATTAGACAGATCGCGCTGAAATCGAGTGATCATACGCTGATGATCGATATCGACAACTTCGATGGTGCCACTGCCAAACCCGAGCGCAACATAGCGACCATCAGGAGAGAGTGCTGCGCATGTCACAATGCCGTTACGAACATCAGGTTCGTGAAATTCAGCTTTGTAGTTGACTTCTTCATTGCCCATGCTGTCAAACCTCTTCGGCAAGGCAAATTGCTTTACCTCCATGAGCTTTTGGGCATTGAGTGAAGCCTTGCTCAATGGAATCAGATGGCTTGAAATATCGCTGGAAATGCTGAAGACCCGGACAGGATCGGAGAGGTGGCCATATAGTTTGTAGAGAGGTGATGAAGGCGGGATGAAAAGGAGGAAAGATCTGTATAAATGCCATGGACCGTCATATGCGATGTGCAATCGATCTATCCTTTCGCCTTCTTCCATAAGTTTGATCGAATCGTGATGCTGTCAAAGGTGACATTGTATCATTGAGATGAAAATCAACATGAACATTTAGGCTCACATTGAACTGACAAAATTCTTCAGGAACTTTGAAGTACCCCGGTAGTAGGTGTAGGAGCGTAAGCAGGTTATTCCGAAGAAGGGAATGAAACTGGTTCTGCAATTCATTGTCATTGGACTCGTGCGAGAAGAGCTGTGCAGGGTCCAAGTGATCGAGTATGTAGTTAATCGCATATTTGAGATGGTTGGGAAGCCCCTCTCTCCTGCTCATGAAATCCTTCCATTTCCCTCTCTCCCCGAGAGGAGGGCTGGTAGGTATCCTAAACACATCACGCTCGCAACTGTCATTGAAAACTCGAAGCAGCGGTAGTCCAAGGAAATAGCCTTTCGTGTCGTTGACAAAAAATACTTGGTCATTTTCATTGCCAATTGGATCCCCTGTGATGAATTCTTTTGCAGTGGCATGATAGAATTTAAAGCCTTCCGTGTCTTGTAGGGAAGGATCGATAATTGAGCCAATTGGCTCCAATATTGCATGGATCTCATCCTCGGTAATCCCAAACAGCTGCGACATGGAATACACACTCAGTGGCCTGTGTGCCACGATGATCGTGCCAACCACCAGGCGATATTTCTTCGCTATGTGTGGACGAACTCCGGACGAGCCGAGGGTGTAGGCACGTCGCAGTATGCGCAAGTACTCAGAGTTGACATCAAGCGGGGCATCGCCGAGATTGCAGAAGTACTCGAACTCAGATTTGAGGGTTGCACCACGACGAGTTCGAAAGCAGACATCGCGAATCCGGATTGAGGCAATAACAGGCAACTCGCGGCAAGCTGAAGCAAAATTGTCTAGGTCCTCCTTCGATGGTTTCCACAACGATGCATCGATGCGATCCCGAAGGCCATCCTCCACCATGCGTTGAACTATGCGGAACATCTCATTCTTCGCAGCCATATCGAGATCTTCACATGGTACAACAAGACCATGACGCCGAGCTCCATCCCAAGCCGACACGACTGATGATTCGGGGCGACAGCTCACCAACACAGCGAATGTGGTCGGTAGCTCATCAAGGACAAGTACTAGTTCCATCAGGTTCTCGAGTGTTTCCAAATCCCCACACTCGTCTAAACCATCTAAAATGATGACAAGACGATCTTTTCCCGAGGGTAGTACTGCAAGCAGGTTGCGCATGGGCTCAATAAGGAGAGTCTTCATTTGGTCCCCAAGAGGGAGATGGTGGACTAATTCTAAGTCTTGCTGCCGGAGGTGCCTGACAAGCGATGTTTTAAAGTCCTCATCAAAACGTGCAAGTTGACGTGCAAGGGTAGAAGGAAACCGTTCGATGGAGTCAAGGCCGGTTCCTGGCCTGTTTTTATCCCAAAAGAAGGACGCTGCAAGAGTACCCTGCCTCTCAAGGGTGGACGCAACACTCATGGATATCGCAGTCTTACCGGTCCCTGGCGAACCCCGTAACCAGACAAAACGGTTCCCAGCTTCTTTCAGGTGCTCGAGTAAAGATTCTTGCATCTTGACTCGCGTGCTTGGAAGGCAGGCCGACTTGCTTTTCACGTAAGTGTGCTCGGCAGGGGCCCGTTGGAGTCTCGAGAGCTCCGCTGAAACTATCTTTAGCGGGGAAGTCCAAACGTATGTACATTGGGACGCACATTGTACCGACGACTGAATCGTCTGCAGCAGAGTCAAAGTCGTCGCCTCCGTCTGCCAAGTTAGTACTAAGTCAGCCACATCCAATACTCGAAAGAAAAAAAAAAAACAGACCGAGAACGAAACAATAGCCTTATTGATGCACGTCTTTACTTCGTTTATGTTCTGGGCTATCTTTGTGGCCGATACCACCCTCACTAGGCGCTTCTGACCCTTGAGGAACTCGATATATTTTATCTGGTTTTCTAGAGCGCTTCCAAGGGTTCTAAGATCAGATGAGGGATCAAGGGAGGGGCACACAACGTACGAGTGGAATTCTTTGAATAGAGAAATTACTTCAGGAGGAATCTGGCCTGTAGAGAGCTGGAAAGGCCGCAAGATGGTAGTGTAAGCGTTCCGGATCTCGTCATTAAGGCCCTTTAGATTCTCGTTGTTGCTGTCGATGGTCTGTTCGGGTGAAAGAAACATGAGCAACTCCGATTACCGGCCACCGAACCGAACCAGAACGTTGCACAGACCTCGTAGCTTTGGAGCAACATCAGAAGGAGATCTGGAATCTGGCTGACAAATGGGATAGGGGAGAGCTTGAGAGCAGAGGATGCGGTTTGGAGCAAAGTCTTGGTGATGCCGATGACCGTGTTCATTCTGCCACCAGGTGGGGCGGCGGACGACGGTGATGAAGGCTCCAATGAAGGATGTACGCCGACGTGCATATCCGCATTCTTTAGCTGCGTACGGAGGATTCGATTCAGGCCATAAATGTTGGGTGTTTGGGGCGCTGAATGAGGATTAAGGATACTTCCTGGAGGGGAGAGGCGAGATAACGATGGCTCCGAGCTGCCAGGGAATAAGTAACTGGGTGTGCCAGGTACAGAATCTGCCAGATTGAATGTGCTCAATAGGCTGGGATTTGGACTACGGTGAACCCTGGGACTTATACGCCCTGGAAGCTTCCATCGTTTCAAATCCTCGGATCTGCTGTAGGATCGCAAAGTAGAAGGAGCCCTGGGAGGCTCAATATGGGGATCTCCAAATCCATCATGCTGATCATAGCCAGTGGTCTGGGATCTGGGGGCTCTGGTGTGACCAATCTGTTGAAGTGAGGAAGTCGAGGGTTGTGACGAATGCAGATTACCAAAGGACGGAGCAACCGTGGGATTTTGAGCTGAGGTTGAGGCCTTTCTTTTGCGAGCCATAGCACCTGGTGTAGATGGCAGTCAATACGAAGGGAAGAAACCTACTCAGCTGCATCACTTGACATACAAATCAAAAAAAGGAATTCATAAGCGCCTACGTAGGAAGCTTAATTGCTCCAATATTTGAGATAACAAAGGCACATTATTCTGGAATAACACCTTGCCCCTTACATAAAACAGCCAACCGAATGGGCCACGACACACTCGGTTTACATAAATTGTTAGGCCACGGTCTTCTCCGCTCGATGTTACCGGAGGTTCAAGTTGCATCTTCTTGTGAAGCAACGTTCATGCTCTAGGAAACCTAGGTCTTGAGCTAAAGGGAGATTGACGGCTACATGCATAGTCAACGCGAAAGAGTCCTCTCATGATTTTGGAGATATATTAGCTGCGACAAAGTTATAGACACGAAGCAAATGAACATGCTGCGAACACCCATACATCAGGCAATGGAGATCCACCAGCTACATCCTACAACGAATCTGAATCAAGTGCCATCTTGTGTCGAAAAGGTACCATGAGTGAGACGTGCGGACATTGACATAACACTTGCCATGCTCCCAAAATTGAAAGCTCCATACAATTAGCGCAACGAATCCAGGTCAAAACGACGATACCGTTTGACGTGACGTTAAGTCATCGGCCTACGCTGTAACTGCTCACGTCGTTGGGAGTGTTGCCTTTCTTGGTATCTTGCCTACCCTAGCAGCAGACGCGAGGCAGTTATTATTTACAGTTCACGTACTACTGAACTGAGCTGACTGCATATGTCATAGTGGATCCTAGGATGTTCAAAGCGAGAGGATGAGGGTGTATGTTGCAACTTGCCACAAAAGCGCGGATGACGGATCGGAAGTCCGATTCCGGACGTTACAGGATCATACTATGTACATAGAGGGTCCACGGAGTATCCCGGGGCCATTAACACCCTGTCGTGCGCGCGGGTGCCAGGGCAAAATTGAACTGGCCCAACGCTCCTGTTTGGGCTGGCGCACCAGTGATCCGCCTCACCAAGTATAAAAGCCCACGTTGAACTTGGTCATATTGTTACATGAGCCGACCAAGTAAATATAAAGCGCAAATAAAGCGAAAGGACCGTTCTGAGCCCAGCTTTTCAGGGTCCGTCCAGGCTTAAGATTAGTCATCCATGCGCGGGGAGACCGTAGAGGCCTCAGAAAATTGTCACCTCGATCTACTGCCCACGGTGCTACGACAGTGCAGCTACCAAATTCGAAACACGCGAACGGTGCATTTCAGCGTCAAGAATGAGGAAGCTAATTCGATTGAATTGTTCAACTGGAACATTTCGGCGTTTGGCGCTGAGGCCAAGGCGTCATCCTAGGCCTGGCAGTGGTGGCCGAGCCGTACACGCAGCTCACCTGGGGCTGGTTCCCTCTCGCCAAGCCCTTCAGACTATTCCTAACAACACAAGCGGGATGAACCTCAGCCAGAAGTGTCTCGGCCTGTTCGGTGTCTGTCTTTCTCATGCGAACATTTCCTGCGTGGGCTCAATTGGCCCGCATCTGATCTCTCAGTATGTCCTTCGTTCACTGCCCCATGGAAACCTCAACTGTCCTCTCCCTTCTCCCGTCGTCTATTACCTCACTTGACCCACTTTCGGGAACCTCTTCAGCTGGAGCCCTTCCTGAGCTGGTCAGACTGTCACGAACCTATTGGTATTAAGGCGTGGGACCGTCCATCACCTAGCAGTGTTTGTAGTGTTATCGCTCAGCCTCGTTGTGCACCCAGTTACAAAGAATTCTTGTATCATAGCTACCGCTTGCTAGCTTCCCTACACCTTGGATTCGCGATGCTTTCCCGTTTTAGCCCCAAGTACTCCGACCGAATGGCGCTTCCTCACACGTGTCTTGAGCTCAGTGTCCCCACTGTTCCCTTCAATAATAGTCGTGATGTGTGCGTAGTACCATCCCCCTTCCCATCCAGGAGATGGTGCCGATGCTTATGTCGATAGACACGGCCCCTAACATTGAGCATGCTTTCCGAGGGGAGAAATCGTGTCTTGATGATGGGGGACGTTCCGAAATCAACTCTGAATGCCACCTACTATGTGCTTATATAGGATGACCGCCTCAAATAGAATGGCTGTGTCACAGGTCTTGAGGGTGCCATCGGGGTGCCTATTCACAGTTCAACCGCCGATGGCAATCCTCCAGATCGTGGTTTCATAACACCCTTCTGAACGATCCGTTCTTTAATCGGGTTTCAACAGGTTTTCCCCTTGATAGCGCTCCCCTCTCAGACTAAGCACCCCAGGACACCATGGCCCGAATTGCTTTAGTGGAGCAAGCCGGCTGTTGCTGAAATTGGGGACCTCCCTAGTAAAAGTCCAAGAATGCAAGGCCCATTCGGTGGCCCCTGGCTTCGTCGTTGCCATACGTTTGTAAGTTGACACATGAACAGACTGATAGAATAATTTCCTCGTCCGCTGACACTCGGGGCTGGTCTCAGTCATATGCAATACCGAGGTTCACTGGCAGGCCAGAATTCAATGCTTTGGGTACCTTTTCCATACTGTCTAGCGTTCCACCCTCCTGCCGGAAACTTGCATCGGCACTTGGGATCCGTAGATACGATCCAGACAGTGGGAAAGGGTACTGATAACATATCCTTTGGGACTGGATTACGAGTGAAATATATGTCATCGGGGGTGTGGATGTCAAGATCGATAGGTGTCCAACATGGACGGATGATCCACCAATGACTGGGATTGATAAGGGATTACGGTGTTTCTGGGAATCAGGGAAGCAAGAGAAGAGTACTAAACGTGTTGTTGAAAGGGTTGGCAGCGTGAGCAACGTAGGGAAGGACGAAGTTTGGACCCGACACGCATTTGAATTCTAAGCGCCTACTTCAGTCTGCACAGTTGGGACCCTCCCATCCATACTTCATCCGGTTGTTCCATTGGTTTCTCATTTTACGACGGCCTCGTGTTCACCAGCTATTGGGGGAGGATGCAGAGGAGCTCATGTCGAGTGCATTTGAAATGTTGTTTATCGAAATCAAAAAGCCGACCGACTGAGATCCGCATATTTAATGCGTTTTGTGCTTCATGAAATCTTGGTTGTCATGCAGTGTGGGTTGAGTCAGATCCTTGACTACTGTACAGGGAGGGAATGCAAACACCACAACAGAAATAAAAGACATAAGTCATTGCGGGCAACAGCTTTGGCTAGCTGTGCCACTGGTATCCGCCCAACCACCGAGCAGCTGAGCTCGTGGCGGATTAAAGAGAGGCCTCTACCCAGCGTCAGAGCGAGACCAATAAAACACACAAGACGCATTTCCCCATAATCAACCAACATCGCACAGCGCAGTGCGAAGTATGGATCAGTTTGGCATGTACATACACTCATGCATCAAGCAATAGCTTCTGATTCCATCCTTGGATGAGCCTCGTTTGTCATTCAACGATGCCGTCCCCGTTTACGGTATTGTCGAAAAATAATGTATCGAGATCGGTGGTAGCGTATTCAAAGGAAGAGAGCAAGTAGTCCGATAACAACAGCACTTGATCGATATTTCTTTGGCCCGAGGTTAGGTCTTGTGCTTTATCGGAGCATGCAGCTAGCGGGCTATTGCGGTCATCTCCCTGGACCTCCCTAAGCTAGACGGTCAGCACCAGAAGCGATCAAGTGAACTATCTCACAGTTGGATGTTTTGACGACCATCGATAGGGCGGGACGGGAATGAGGAACTGCGTGCTGTGTCGGCGTTCTGCCCGGTCACAGATACTCCCCGTGTTTCCTGGCTTGTCATTGGATTGCTTGGGAACTACCCACGGTAAAAAAAAATGAGGGCGGATTGTGGACAATTACATCGAGATGAAATGTGCCAGTGACGCACTTGCACGCGCAAGACGGAGGAAAGTCTTGCAACCCTCCGACCCTCGCCACCCAATGAGCCGTAACAAGATGAATTATCTACCACTGAAATTGTGTAAGTAGACACACACAAGGAACGACTCCGGCTCACTTTCGTGCGCGATCGCTAGGCGAAGTGGCAAACGAATATGAGACGGGGGATCAGCTGTGAATGACTTGAAACACACCCTTCACGTAATTGTCTAGAAAGTGACATCAGAAGAATGGATAGACAGGACTGAACGAAACATACATCTCACGTCCTCCACTGTTCGGAAATGATCTAAGAGAATCATAGTGGCCTTGAGAGTCCACATGGTTGGCTTCCTGACCTCGCTGAACAGTGCTGCAACGATTTCTAACGTGAATTCCTCAGCAACGTTCGCCCCCTTGAGCATATTATGAATACGAGGCTGGCGTAGAATTATAGCCCAATGGCACGATCGGACGATGTAAGGATGGGAGGGATCCAATTGCCGTGCGGCCTCATTCAAATCAGTCCAGAATACCTCCGAATCAAACTCTCCTTGGAAAAAAATTCTCGCCCTGTGAATACCCTCGTCAAGCTCGACGTCGTGGAACGATGTTGCTACGACGTCTGAAAGTACCGGGACCAGTCGAAGTGCACTTGGGTGGTAGCTCGTGCTCTGAGAAGGATTGGGCACAGAATCCGTTGCTGTTGCATCGCGCGCAGCTCACGAAAAGGACTCTGACAGGCGCAAAGCTAGTAGATCTTACCATGGTTAGTTTCAAGAGACTGGGGTATTTGTATGGTGTCCTCAGTTGGGGCGTTGCTCCTTTTTGGCTTTCTGACTTGGTCAAAGACGCACTATCAATAGTAGCATGTTAGAGTCTCCGCCTCAGCACGGATAAAGACTCATACCTCTTTGCCCAGGCGCCCACATCTCTTGCAGCCGGTGGTTCCGGGGGACGGTAAGCATCTTGTCCTCCTGGACCAAGAAGTCAGGGTTGATGAATAATGAATGATGGGTTCTGCTGACGCTTTTCGGCATACTTTGCATGCTTGACGGGCATACGCATCGCGAGGTTGATACGGGGACATGACGAGATTCCATTCGACCGCACTACGATGCAACTGGTTTATGTAAGACTGTGGAAAAGGAAGAGGAAACGGAGTCGGGAACGGAATGCGGTAACGGAAGCGGGAGGGTTAGCAGTAATTCAGAGATAAGAGACTTGAGAACGATCCCGGTCGTGCGGCACGAAGAGCACAGGAACAATGTAACCCAGGCCTAGTTTTGCTGTTATTTGAACCAGAAGTGGATCATCGCAATGTCAGTGCATTTCGTTTTACCATATACAGGTTAAACCACGCGCGCAGGTGCAGCGCAGGTGCATTGCAGGCCCATCCAAGGCAGGTGAAAGGGCCAGCAGTTTGCGTGGCTTGACAGTCTGATCTATAGCAACAGAAGCTGGTTGTTCACGCAACATACCCATTTAGCGGTACAAAGATAGCGACGCTTACAAGCGGACCAGATCAGATGATTCTACGCGACCGAAACGAGCAGGTTTGATAATGTACAAGCGCGCAAAGGCCATTCATTTACCCGTAAAGTGATCCGAAGCACCCAAGTGTACTGTGCAGGCGCGCCATAGGGTCGTTGGGGTTTCAGAACTGGCTCGGTATTCGCCAGGTTGGGTTCGCGCTCCTCCTGTGAGTCGGGGCAGTATATGATTCACAACTGACTCCTTAAGACGACCGAGCAAGCACTGATCATCATTACATGAATGGGGTTCTTTTTTCATCGGTGCATCGCCACCGCGTGAGTTAACCCTGTGGTCTGTCCCATATATAGTATGTTGCGTTTATCTGGCTGGCCGAAGTTACTGCCAATACCCATTCGCCAAACTAACTTCTGCGATATGAGTCTCTGGTATATCACGCAACAAAGCCGTGTTGCCACAAACTGTTGAAATTCTTGTTTCTTGGACCGACCATTGAATACAACGGACTATATTTCTTGCGCACGGACATTTCCTTGTAGGATTGCCCGATGCTACCGTTTATGGCGACCATGTTGATGGACGCAGTCGAGGATGGCTTAAAAGCCGCCTCGCGCAATTTTTCCCTCTTCTCTCCTCAGTTCACGTACTTGGAACTGAGGTGAGATATCTATCTCTTTGTGCCCTGTATGTCTTTCTGATGATTGTACATACTACCCTAGCGCTTATACGCGACTAGGTGATTATCAATCTTATGAGTTCACGTACTTGGAACTGAGCGCTTATACGCGACTAGTTCATAATTCAAATACAAACAACCCGACGCCACATAACCGACCACCCGAAAGCATCGATACTGAGCTGCATTGTAGCGTGATTTGGATACTTTAAGTGTGTATTTCTGACTTACCTTGGCAAGAGTGACTCTCATGTATTGGACGGTCAACAGCAACTAGATGGGCAGGTGACCAGCCTCTCTTTGACGGGAGGCAACCAGAACGGGCGCCCCACCTTGCAATGGTGATCCGGCTCCATTGTTCATCGTCCTGGAACACCGAAGAAGATTCATCCGAGCGTGCAGCCATACATGTGAGAAATTGTGGGGTCGACAAGTGTGACGTACTTACCGTTGTTCGAATAGCCTGCGCCAATCTTCGTCAATAGTTCAGATAGAACTGTTGTCTCCGAAGAAAATAATAAACCTTGCGTACACAGCATGACATCGATTACGGGCCCTGACCTTCCAATAACACCAGTATTCATGACATTCTTGCCTAATTTCTGGAGGAAATTTCCGCTTTTTGTCGGAAAGTCGTAGATTTTCATCTGGGCTACTTACCACTCACTTGGCGCAAAGTTGCTCGTTCACGGGATACATGGTGGGCCTACAGACCCGTTTTTAGTAGGCTCATGTCCCACCGGGGTTGGTGGCTGTTGCTCTGTTTTGTTTCCTTAGTCCGTATGTCAATCGAGTGCCTTAGAAATAGAAAGTGATGTCACAAAGGGCGACGTCAAGATCGTGTCACCATACGGCTAATGCGCCGGCGTAGATTGCCTTGTATATGAGTACAGATCGTATCACTTCTATATCTGGAGAGTGGGTAGAGCGTCTTAGAGACGAGTCAGATCGAACCCATAGCCCAAGGCACGTTTGCTAACAACTACAATGTAGCACGACGCTCGGTACTGTTACCATATCCATACCTCAAATTAGTGCTGCCGATTACACACTGGGAGGCTGCCTGTCCCTGAACGATGCTACCGTTGTTTAGGGCGCTGTCTTGATTCATGGAAGGAATGCATCGAAAAATGTTTGCGACGTCACCGCCAAAAGAGAACGAGAGGTTCGATGGTGGCGGGAAATAGTTCGATGAATCCGGACCCGGCGCGTCCGAGGTGGGGTCCCGGAGCCTGTTAGGACGCACGGGTGATGTGGTATCGGAGTCATCACGCTGCATCGGCCTAAGCAAGACTTTAGCACAGGGCGATAGAGGGGACCATCACTCACGGTCGGAAAACATCCGTAGGGTGGCGCAGCATGGGACCACGATCTTCACTATTTCCCTGCTTGGTGACTGATAATCCCTGTGTCGAATTGGCCCTTGGGAACTATTTACGGGAGAAGATCAGGCTGGAACGCTGGGCGATCGCATTGAGATTATGAGTGTCATACCTGCGAGCGAAGGATAGAAGAAAGCTCTTCGATCCGGTGACCCTGGCTCTCCGATGATTCAAAACGAGATGGATCGTCTACCACTGAGATTTGCATAAGTGAACGAATAAAACTCAAAAACTCAGGCTCACTTTCGTGTGCCAACACTAGGCGAAGTGATGGATGAATATAAGACGATACAATAGCGTGCGAACTTAGAACGCACCTTCCAAAATATTGTCTAGGGGATTAGGATGGCATTGAAAAAATGGACAAACAGTACTGAGAAAAAAACATACATCTAATGTCCCCCATCGTTCGAAACCCATCCAAGAGGATAATCGTCGCCATGAGAGTCCACAAGGTTGGCTTCTTGACCTCATCAAACCATGCCCCGAAGATTTTCGACATAAATTCCTCAGCAATGCTCGTCACCTCTAGGATGCGACGAACACAAGGCTGTCGTAAAACCAGAGCCCAATGGCACAATCGGACGAGGCAGGGATGAGAAGTTCCCAATCCCTGTGCGGCCTCATTCAAATGAGTCCGGAAAGCCTCTACATCAAACACTCCTTGGAAAAAATGGTTCGCCCATTCAATACCTTTGTCGAGTTCGAGGTCGTGAAGCCCGACTGCTACGATGTCCGGAAGGATCGGGACCAGACAAAGAGCACTCGGATGGAGATTTGGGCTCTGGCAACGATGTAATGCATCATCTGTTGCATCATGTACACGATATGAAGACGGTTGTGACAGACGAAGGTGGGGATCTTACCTTGCTCTGAGGCAATCTCCGAGGCACTGGACGACGTCGCAGGAGGCTCGTGCGCAGGTGCTGGAGATGAGACCCTCCCGCTTTTTGGACTTTTGGATTGGCCCGTTGCCTTAGCCACACACTGTGGATGGTAATATGTTAGAGCCTTTCACCGGGGCATGCATCGAGATCCGAACCTCTCGCCTCAGACGCTGACACCTTTCGCACTTTTCTGTGGTTCGATAGAGCAATGAACATCGGGTCTTCCTGTACTCAGGATTTAGTGCCGACGAGAAACTGATGAAATATTTTCTGACATTTTTCTGCATGTTTCGCAAGCCGTTTGACCACGAGGTTGAGATGCAGAAGACATGACGACGGTATTATTTATGACCCAACTGACCTTGATATATAGCCTCGGGGATTCGGTGAGAATGGAAGAGTGAACGGAGTCGGAATCGGAATCGGAATCGGAATCGGGATCGGAGAGCGGTAACGGAAGTCTGTGTGCGTAAGTTAAGCCACGTAGTTCCCACCACCTGCACGAAGTAAGCGAAAGGAATAGCAATTTCCATTTCCAGAGATGGGGATGGCTTCTCATGCCGCGCGGATCCACATCCAATGGCGCCGAGATATCTATTCCAATAAGTAGAGGCTGGTCACCTGCCTAGCCAAGATAGTACATGAACCAAAACGAGGAGCGCATTAGTTTTGATGAAGCTTGGGCGTGCAGGTGCAACCAATTTACATGAAGCGTGAGGTGGCCCCAGGCTGTAACGTCAAGTATGTCATGTGGGCGTCGCCACCATCGCCACCATTATTGTCGACCCGGCGGCAATGTATTGATTACAAATAATCCATTTAATCATGCCGGCGTATTGCCGACGGAAACAAGTATTCACGTTTGCAAGCAGGATCGAGTCCAGGCACCCGAGTGCTGTGGGCTGTAGCGGCGGGGTACTGGGTCTAGTCTTCGTGATCTAAGAACTAAGTGACGCGCCTATCAAACCGAGGCGAGAAAAGGAAGATGTTCCAGAGTGATGGCGCTGAATCACGCTGATCGCCCGGGAGCGCCTTGGGAGCACAGTTCCACACATGGAGCGCCAGAAAGGGCATGAGCGTTTCTCGTACAGTGAAGATGAAGCTTAACAGAGATGTTTAGCCAGTACTACATAAGTAGATGAGCACATGATTTCGTTGGAGTGACTAAATGATTTTCTGCGGCGAGGAAGACATTCCTCTCGGCCTGAATACTGTAGTATAACGACGGTTAGTTCATTCCCACGGCCTCCGGGAATTGCCGGAGGCACCAAATCAATTCAATCCAAAATCTTCACTAGAAAGGTTGCGAAGCAACCATGACCTTGCTTGCACATCATTAATTGCTGACCACAAGGCCAGTTATTGGAGTTGGCTTTAGTCATTTAATTCCTTGACACTCCATCCATCAAGCACCCACTCAGTTGACATTTTCTTTGTAGTTAACGGACATAATGAGCACTATGAGTTGAATCGAGGATGGTCTGAAACGATAAAAAGTATAAAGGGTTGGCACCGTCTCTTACTCCTGCCTTTGGCACTTAACCAGAGAGAAAGTGGTCCAGAGAAGTGTCGTTTGGAAGGCGAGCCACCTTCTACACGGTTACTAAGAAGGGGAGCTGAGTCTCTAAACACTATGATCTCCACCGTGCGGAGTATGTTGTCCTCTTCTCAGTGCCTATCAAGTGACATGCTGGTGACATCAAACCTAAACACCAATCTGAACATCGCAAATGGAACTCGTGGGGAAGCGGTGGGGGCCGAGAGTTTCGCTTCATTACCGCCCTCTTATCAGGTTGGATGTCGCTCAAGTGCTCTATGGCACCCAACAAAGCTGGAGAACTTGCAGTCACGAAGTTCTCATTTGTAAAGTGAGGTTCGATGTTGCCATTTGTGAGTGGTACCGGGGTTGTCGCCAGCCCATGGCTGGTACATGACCTGTGCACGAAGCCTTGAAGCGGGCGGACTCCAGCACATATGCTTCGAAAAGTTGAATATGCCGGCAAATACTACTTGGGAAGCAGTGAGGGCATCGGGTGCCGGTTATTACTTGACTGAGTTATACCAGGGATGCACTAAACACCAGAGAACTTCAGGTACGATGATGGCAAGGGGATGACCATCACACAATGATACATAATACAATTCGTTGAATGGTCACATGCTATTGGGAATCACATGAGAAGTAAAACTAATATAAACACATTTTTCCCACGCAATTGTGGGTTTGGAAGTGACCTTGCAAGCAAGGTAATGCGACGAACTTATGGTCGTTATAGTACAGTATTCGACCTGAGATGCGCTGGTACCCAGAATTGCATCCCTAGAAAATACGGATCCTCCCCAGCACCCAGGCTGTCCATAAACCAAATATGAGTCTCCCGCCCATCTCTTCATTTTAATTACACCTACAGGTGCAATGGCCGTGGGTATCTCTTAAGGAAGACATGATGCCGAAGACCGTTGGTACCGTGATGGCGAAAATTCAAATATCTCCGCATCCACTCAACCTCCATCGCAATATGCGTGTCCGTGATGAAGCCCGCCTGCTGAATCAGAGGGGTGGGGAAATAGTGGGCGAAACTTCGGGATAACATCTGCCCAGCGGCGCTGTCACCAGCACAGACTCTTCCAGCGGCGTGGAAAACATTTGAGACTTCTAATCGGCACCATCTTTGCGCTGCTCCACAGCGGGTAGCAAAAACGAGCCACTCTGCGAACTCAGAAAATTTGCAAAATCCAGTACTGTATTGCGCGAGTCCTAAGACTCCTAACACAAACGGCCCCTAGCCAGTCCAGACCAAGGTTTGCTTCAGCGTCTGACGGAATGTGTCATGATTAGTCTTGCTGCACCGGTTGCAGTTTCCGCAACTCCGCATGTCGTTTATTGGCAAAGGGGGCTTCACCGAGTCACGCTCCGGCTGAAACGGAAGCGGAATGGTACAGCACTGTCAGCGCGCAATTCAAATGTACTGCTTGGCCAATTGTTCTTGGTTGCTCAGTTAATCTTCGAGTCGGATTTGGCATGTCTGCGCGTCCGTCCCCTAATCATTGAGCACCGTTTCCGCAATGTTGCCGTCACAATCTCCGTCCCAAACACAGTGCTTATATCTAGGGCGTTGAAGGAGGGTCGGGATCAGGAATTCGAATCTCGAACACCTAGGACTGTCATTGCGAACTCTTAAACTGGTCTGTTGTAGACAGTCTGACGCTATAGCTGGTTTCCCATATCAAGAGACTAGTCCGCTTGTCACGTCTAACAGTTCGCACTCTCGCCAAGAGTTTGTGCTGTATTCTCAGAGGTAGATTGCCCCTTGGGCTTCTCTGGAGAAATACTCATAGCCTTGTTTAGATACAGAGAAGGAAGGAGCGCATATCCCCACCGAATCGGCCATCACAGCAACCAGTATGCCAAGGGTAGGCCTTCTCTCACACAGTTGTCGTGCATTTCTAATTTGGGGGATGCTTTCATTAGGATATGCCAACTATTCTCTACGATGACGTCCTTCAGCTTCCTTCCAATTGGGACACTGGTCTTCTTCAAGGCTCCGGTCTCACCCTTGAAGAATTAGCGGATATCCTGTCCGCGTTCTTCCGGGCAAAATGTGGCTGGCACAAGGCTGTCTATCCAGATTTGTTTATTCGGGACCTGCAGATTGCCTTGAACGCTACAGAATCCAGTGGCACTCTGCCTCAGAAGGATTACGCTTCTGCGATGTTGTATAATGCCGTTATTGCCTACTCGCTAGGATATTCCCGAGTGGAGGATCATCGTTCACCGGAATACAGAAACCAATTTGCTTTGGAAGCGAAGAAGCATTTTGATGCGGAGTGCAACGCTCCCACGCTCGCAACAGTACAGGCACTGGCGATTTTATCTTCATTTCATAACGGAGTGGCCGACCAAGGTGAGCAAAGATTTAGGTATTCCCTGGCGCGGGCTAATGTTTATTTTTGAAGGGCTGAGCTTCACGTATCTCGGTTCGTCTGTGCCCCGCAGCCCCTTGTATTGGCGTGTTTAAATTTGATTAGGAACGGCTATCCGTGTATCGCAAACTCGTGGGTTTTCTCCTCATTTGGCCAAAACCAAGCCTAATTTCATTTCACAGTTTGCCTGGATGGAAGAAATTCTGGTCAAAAATTAACTAATCGTGAGGAAATTCGCTCTTCATTTGCCTTCTGGAATCTGTACTGTTTGGTGCGTGTTTTCAACGACGTGATGCCTTTCCGATTTTTCATCTGAGATGCAGGACAAAGCATGCAGTCTCTATGTCGGTCGCCCTCAAAGTCTCAAACACGAGACAACTCATTGGAAAGTTGGTTCTTTCCCGGAGGTGGGACCAGCTCGTCATCTTTTCAGCCTCTCTAGCTCGGTCTTTCCTGAAGACGAAGCATTTGCGGCGCACGTCGGCCTTATGCAAATTGCTTCCTCAATCATGGATGTCCTTTACCGTCATGACGGGCTCTGCAGGACTAACATTGACGTCGCTCGTGTGGAGCAAATGAGGTTTGTTTCCTATTTTACAATGCATAAGTCATCTCACCTTGAGTCATTATTAGTATTGTGATTGATACGTGGAACAAGCATCTCCCACGAAGCCTCCGCATTGATGAAGAAACTCAACCAACCACCGACGTGATTATGATCAACGCGATCTTCGAGTGGATGAACATCCTGCTCTATCAACCGTTCTTTCAGGACAGTAAAACGATTACATTCACTTCCTCATGTTTGACTCGGCTCGGAATAAGCGGGGACACCTATAACAGAATATCGAGGTTGTGCAACAAGGCAAAGCTGTCCGCCCCTCCAGCAGCGTTCAAGATTACATCCCTACTTGAGACATTCGACTACTGTTATGGTCTCAACATGGTGGACAACACAGCCGTGCAAATTGCCTATGCTGCCGGAAAGATGCACTTGCTGAGTGCAACACAGAATCCCAATTACCGTTATGAGACGGAGGGTCCTGGTCAAGGCGTCACTAGGTGCATAGGAATTTTACGAAAAATAGGAGGAACATGGCCATCAGGCCTGGCTTCTGCCAATAGACTCGAAGAATTGTGGCGGCCCGTGTGTGAGCGCCAAGAGCCTGGCTCGGAACATGTTAGCGTGCTCCCGCCTCCCCCTCCTTACACTGCACCCTCATAGGTGTGTTTTTTCTCATCATGTTCGTATCCTCGCTTACTGTGTTCGTACCTATAGCTTTGCCAGATTTCTTGTCCCCGGGATGGACTTATTAATTGTCTCGCGATAATAGATAACGCTCGATGGACCATCGCCTTTCTTCTTGCCCCAAACGTGGGAGAGTGCAGGAACTTCATGCTAGCAATCCTTGTTGCCCCAACAAATGAATAGAAAGTCAGCCTCTCTCCTTCGTTATTGGACGCTTCTGCCTGTGTAATGTACTGGAGAATGCATTAATTGTACGATATCATTGGCTCCTTAAGTTCACCGCCGATTTTCTCATTTTTGAGCTGGAGCCATGGCAGCCCCATCTTGAAAACGTCCATATATATGAGAATTGTTGGGGTTCGACAAGTAAGATTCTTCAAATCGTTTCGTTCGAATAGCCTCTGATTCTCAATTCACACACAATGTTTTCTCCGAGATTTATATATAGCAACAGCCATAAGCCTTGGGCTTTCAAGATTCATTTCATCGATCATCTGAGCCGTTGACTATGCATATATTTGACGCAAGGCGCTCCTTCATGGCCCACAGCGCCATTCTCAGCACGCCGATGTAGCCGCAACCGACGGTGGAATACTGTTTTGACATAACTCTGCGCGGAATGGACGGAACCACGAAAAAGTTTCCCTTTCGTTTCCTAAGTTCGCACGTTGCTTGAGTACTTTGGAAATGGAAAAAAAAATAGCAAGTAACAAATACAACGAAGGGAACCGGAATCCAAGTTACTGGGGGGCCAAAAACGTATCACCGATAATTGTGTAACTAACATGCAAATAATTAGAGGGACACAAATCATGTCGCTTCTATGTCTGGTGTGTCTCGACCAGTCAGATCGAACCTGTCGACCAATAAGACACACGGGGCATGCTCGCTCCAAACCGCTATAATGTAGCCGGACGCTCTATACGGATTGGGATGTTCGTACATCACAACTGCTGATTCCACACTGGGAGGATCCTGGATGCTTGTCCCTGAGCGACGCCGTCTCTGTTCAAGGTACTATCTTGACCCTTAATATGTCCGCAATGTCATCATCCAGAGAGAGGAAGGGAGTGTTTAATGGTGGCATGAGATAGTTTGATGGTTCGGAAAGTGGCATGCCCAAGATCGAGTCTAGGAGTTCATCGGGACGTTCAGCCTGTGGGGTATCGTGGTCATTTCCCCGGAACGCTCTGAGCCAGGATATTAGCACCTCAAGGTGATAGAGTGAGCCATCACGCACTGTTGGGCGTTCTGAAAAACATCGATGGGGTGGCGCAGTACGAGGTTGCGTTCTTCGTCGCTCTGCTCGGCCACTATTGATTCCTGTGTTTCATGGGTTGCCGCGAAATTCAAGTGAGAACTGCCTCTCGGGAACTATTCACGAGAGGATCAGGTAAATCAAAGGTATCAAAGTGAACCACAACCAGCGACGTACCCGCAAATGAAGGATTAAGGAAAGTTTTTCGATCGTGTCACCTTGGCCATCGGACAAATTAAAATAAGACGGGTTGTCCACCACTGAGAGGTGTTTAAGTGAACGCACTAAAACTTGAAGAGTTCGACTCACTTTTATGCGCCAACACTAGGCAAAGCGGAAGCCGAATGTTAGGCAGGCAATCAGCGTGCGGGCAGTTATGACGCACCTCTCAAATATTTGCCTGGAGGGCGTCATGAAAATGATGAACAAGCGCGAAAGAGGAAATGAATGCATACATCTAGCGTCCTCCGTCTTTCTAAAATGATCCAAAAGAATGATGGTCGCTTTGAGGGTCCATAGGGTTGGCTCCTTGAACTCCGTAAACAATATTCCAAATGTAGTCGACACAAGCTCGTCAGCATCCTCTCCCTCTAGTATCACATTGATGCGGGGTCGCCGTAAAATGAGGGCCCAATGACACAATTGGACGAGGTACGGATGGGAGGGTCCCAATTGTGCAGCCTCATTCAAATGATCCCGGAATGCTTTCACATCAAATGCTCCGTCGAAAAATTCGCCTGCCCATTCAATGCTCTTCTCGAGCTCCGAGTCGTGCAGCGCATCCTTGACGAACTCTCGAAGAACTGGGACCAAGGAAAGAGCAGTTGGGTGGAAACTCGCGCTCTGGCCATGATTTGGTGCAAGACCTGTTACAGCTATCTTCGGCACGGAATAGGACGTTACACGTTGTTTGGGTGCATGTGCTGAAGATGCTGCTTCACTGGTAAGCGCGTTGCCAGTTTTGGAGGTTTTGGTTTGGCCTCCGGCCTCAGTTACACACTGTATTAGCAGCACATTAGAGTCTTCTGCCATTAAACGTATGAGGACTTGAACCTTTTTCTCCAGACGAGCACAATTATCGCATTTGCCAGTGCGTGGATCGCGGGGAGAGCATTTAGTCTTCCTGGATCACAACATCAGCATCGGTAACTAATGGGTGAGGTGTTCGCTAACCCTCTTCTGCACGCCGTGCATACATCTCGTTGATAGGAACCGCGAGATCGAGAAGCAGTTACCAGCGAAGACATGAGCGAACGAATCTTCCCGACCACATTGTGGCGAGATGTGCTTATATGTGCTGTGAATTCCGGTGGAAATGGAAAAGGGGGCGGATTCGGAAACGAGGAACGGTGGCGGAAGTGGGGCTCAGGCGTGGTTTAAAACAAAGACCCAGACTGCAGACCACGGAATGGGCACTGGATAAGCGCAGCAATGCAATCGCGCGCGCGCTTAGCTTCGTTGGCAACTAAGAACCAAAGGGGGACAAGTAGACGACACCTGTAAATTTTACATGGCCCGCCCATCCCAAGCACACGATGGAGAACCGACTGGCGTGAATTGGTCATCCAATGTCCCCCACTAGCAGCAATAGAAGACGATTTTCAGGTGACGAGCTGCGCGGATAAGCGTTCAATGCTGCAACGACAGTGATATCAAGGGGGGAGCCAACAAGGGGCTCAACGCGGACGAAACAGTTGGACGGGGGGTCGCATTAGTCCTGAGCACGGAAAAAAACATGAAACGTCAGGCGATAGTGCGAGGCACAACGCGCGATGCGCGCCAAAGGTTTTCGTAATTTAGCGAGAAGTGACTCAGAATGGTCAGTGGCGGTACTTGTCGATTCGAATAGTATCGTGTGTGCGAGCGAGGGAGACAGGACGATAGGGGACAGGATGTTGTCGCTCAGTCCGCTATGCGTGAACTAGAAATATAGAAGTATTCACTAGCGATGTTGTCGCTGGTGTAAGAATATTAGATACAAGTTGTTAAACATAAATGAAGAAAACTTAGACTCACCTCAGTCCGCTATGCGTGAACTGAGGAAAAGTCGTAAGGTCAAAAAAATGGTGTTTTATAGTCAGGCGCTATCAATGCGCACTGACTTAGTAACAATGATCAAAAAGGAAACAAAGTAAATCTTAGCGCGCAAGACTCAACATCAACAACGTGAGTTGGCTACGCTTGTATCCAAGAAATTTAACAGGACTCATCCAGCCTCTACTAGGTGACATAAAGTGCTTCTAATGTTTTCGATTAGATGTATGTAATAACTCTGTTTCTCCCAGAGTTGGAGTGGGAATAGACTCTAAGTACCAAACTGGGCATGCAATGGCATGCGCACACGTTACTAACCTTTATGAGACATCGCCAATGTTGGGCGGCTAAAGGATATAGACCTTATAACCCCCGAAATTCGGACCCCTCGCAACTAGCTAGGCAGCATCCCAGCCTCTATTATTTAAAACAACTAGCCTGCATGGAAGCGAGCTCTGCGAATCGGTTCATTCGATCTGACCGAATATACTCAAAGATCACCACTGATGAGCTGGGAAATGATGAGCGCCCGGCAAAGCTGAAAGAACCCTCTTTTTCGGGTCCCAAGATAGACGCGCTATCAACTCTCGACCTTTCCAACTCATCTAGTGAAACGCGACGCTTCGGGCAGTGCGTCGGAGCTCAGGGGAAAAAAGCAAAGATGTCTGAGTCACTGGCACCGATTACTAGTAGATGTAACATAGGTATCCGCTTGACTACCGCGCAGATGAACAGGGGGAAGATCATGGGTGATATACCCCCAAACCCGAAATAAAAACTATCCTTGAAACCCAAAACCGAATGACACACAAGACACGTTTGCTACAAGACTAAACAGATAATTGGTTTGGCATATGAATATGCCCATACGTTAAATCAATTTCTGCCAGAAATCCCATCCCTCCGTTGTTTGTGCCTGGGCGACACCATCCTCATTTACAGTATTGTCTTGATCTGGGAGAAAGATTGTGGGATCCCAGGGGGGGTGGCCATAATAGGGGGTGAATATTGGGGCACCCAGTAAATGGTCTACTTGATTAATACCTGTCACGTCCGAGGTCAGATCTCCAGGCTTATCGGGCGGGGTGTCGCGGCCATCGCCCTGGATTGCCCTAAGCCAGACTGTCAGTACCTCAAAGCGATGGAATGAACACACTTCACTGTTGGATGTTTTGACAACCATCTACGGGGTGGAGCGGCATAGGACGGTGTTCTGCACTGTTGCGCCCGACGCCCGACACCTCCTGTGCCTCCTGGTTTGTCGTACGATTCGACCGAGAATTGCCGTTCGGGAACTAATTCACAAGAGACAAATAATGTAGATTGCTGGGCAAACGCATTCAAATATATGAACTGCAACAAGCGACATACTCGCGAACAAAGGATGGAGAAAAGTTTGCCGATCTTGTGACTCTGGCCATCCGATGACCCGAAGTCAAAACGAGATGGATCGCCTACCACTAAGATTCCCATGGGTAAGTACAACAAGACTCAGAGATCCTGGCTCACTTTCATGTGCCAACACTTGGCGAAGCGGAAAACGAATATTAAACGAGCAATTAGCGCGCGAATGCATATCCACACCTTTCAGATATCCACCTGGAGGGTGCATGAAAATAATGCTACACGGCACTGAAAGGAATAACAACATACTTCTGTGGTCTCCTACAGTTTGTAAATGGTCCAAGAGAACAATGGCCGCCATGAGAGTCCATAAGGTTGGCCTCTGCACTTCGACAAACCATGCTCCAAAAATTTTTGACATAAATGCCTCAGCACGCCCCACATCCAACTTCCAGTATATACCGGGTTGGCGTACAATTAAAGCCCAATGACACAATTGGACAAGGTAAGGACCGGAGGGTTCCGATCGCCGCGCAGCGCCATTCAAAAGAGTTCGGAATACTTCCGCATCAAACACTCCGTCGAAGAATTTGACTGCCCATTCAATGCTCTTGTTAAGCTCGAGGTCGTGGAGCTCAACCGCTACGATGTCCAGAAGGATCGGAACCAAACGAAGAGCGCTCAGATGGGAACTTGGGTTCTGGTAACGATTCAATGCCACAACTGTTCCGTCGTGTACAGCTTGTGAAAATGACTGTGGTGTATACGAAGGTGGGGGATTTGACGTCATTATCGAGGCGTGGTACGACGTCGCAGGGGATTTGGGCGAAGATGGGCTTTGTCCGATGAGGGCTTTGCCGCTGTTTAACCTTTTGGCTTGGCCCGTGGCCTCAATCACACACTGTAGTGGGTAGTATGTTGAGCATTCCACGGAAGCACGCATCAAGGCTCGAACCTCTTTTCCTAGACGTTCGCATCTTCCGCACTTGCCTGCTTGAGAGGGTGGTGAACATTTGGTTTTCCTGTGCTAAAATGTTATCGCCGATAAAAAGTTGGTGACGCATTTCCTGACGCTTTTTGGCATGTTTTGCAAGCTCCTTGGTGGTACGAACCAGGACCGCGGGGTTGAGACATAGAAGACATGAGGACGAGATTATTTTGATCATATAATGGCCTCACTGGTGTTCTTATAGAGGCTCGCGCGGAAGTGGAAAGGGACCGGAAACGGAAAGTGATAACCGCAAGCCAGATGGCGGAAAATGTAGGCTCCAGGCCGTAGGCAGTGAAGGTAGTACCGATAAGGGAAAAACAAAATGGCGCGCCTGTTTGAGCGGGATCATTACATTGAGTAAACGATGCATTTAGCCATGCAATTCTCGTTAACCCACGGAAGTCGTACGCCAAGGCACGCGAAAGGAATCACGATTTCCGTGGGGCAGTCATCCAATTTTCACTGTTGCTGCGAATAGGGGCCTTCTGTGCAGCGAGCCGCGCGGGTGCACGTTCAACAGCGCGAAAAATAGTGACGCCGTGAGGAGAGCGGATCAGAGAGTTCCGCATGGCGCGTGGGTATTGGTGGGGGGTCTGCAACATCAAGTATGTAGTGCAGGCGCGCCATAGGCAATCGTTGAGGTCTCGGAATTGGCTCAGCATCCACCACCCGTGGTAGTGTCATGATTCATAATTAACTAATCCGATTAATGCCGCCGGAAGCAACATTATTGTTCACGTCAGAAAACCCGGACTGCTCGTGCTGCAAAGTACTGTAGAAGCAAAACACCAGCCGCCCACCCTTCGGGAACTGATAACCAAGTTTCCCGCTTATCATACTCCTACCTGGATAATGCCAGACGGAATCGAAGAGGGGCAAGCAAGCCAAAAGATATATAGTCGAGTGTGATCGAAGGATGACAGCCTGAAGTGTGTTCATTGCCGAAGAAAATCGCCCCCAACACAGTCGAATTGACAGAAACAAAGCCGTAAACTTCTCGATGATTGACGAGAAACTACAGAAGGTCGCAACATGGTTTGTAAGGAATCGCGCTCCTGACTGAAATGGAGAGTGCCAGCATCGATCAGGGGCAGCGTAGCGCACGATCCGTTTATGCAATAGGATATTATTTTCAATGGCGCCAAGGAAGGCGCAGTTCTGTTCCGGAGAAGGATCGTCAAATTTGAGTGATAGTGGAGTCAATCCTCTAGTGAATCTCAATTTGACCTACGGTGCATTGGCCCTGGTTCTAGAACCGGGCGACAGTGTGAGAGGATAAATGGTACACAGGCATTACGTCTCCTACAAAATGTGAATCCTTCACAGGCTACCTGAGATCGCAAGAGCCTCCTGAGATACGGGAACGGTTAGGCAGGTAATCAGCCTCTCTTGGGAAAGGGCGTGGCCGCCGACCGAATCGACTTAGACTGCCTTTGGGTCCAGGTTTCTAAATTTACTTATTGTTGTCACCAGCAAGCCACCGAGCCAAAGTTGTTCCCAGGAATAAAAATATATACCCCTTGAGCATCCTAAGGTACCCATAAATCGGGCGTGAGGGCTCCGTCCGTCTGGGCATATGAACGCGGACATCTCCGCAGAGGAAAAGGGGGACATAGTACCTAGATCAGTGAAGGAGTGCAAAAATTCGAATATCTCTCCTCTTCCATATCGTTGGCATCGTATGTACGTGTTGTTTAGGAAGCTGCCTACAGCTGGGCCAGACGCGAAGTCGGAAAATGTCACACTGCCCAGCGACCGTTATTACTGCAAAATCTTCCAGCGTAGAAAGCGAGTGCAACACCATCAACACCATCGCTGTATCGTCTGCGGGTGGCGGAAACGAGCACATTCCGCAATATTCGTACAAGCTGCGGTGCTAATTTACAGAATATATCAGGGTGCGCGCAACGGCAAAAAAAAAAACCTGAGCGGCTCGCTGAGACTGAAATTTGTTTCAGCGTCCGGCGAAGCGCGCTGTGTTTAGCGAAATGAAGTTGCACAGGTTGAGGTTTCCGCAAATTCCGTTGGTGATTGTCAAATTGAAATAGGCGCGCTAGGGGACCATTTCGCACAGTCACGTTCTAACTGAACTCAACGGAAGCGGAATCAGGCGCAATTCATCCGAATCCAAATATGGTTGGCTGAATAAACTTCAATTGATGGGAATGCGTCGATTCCTTGACTGGCTTCCGCTCTACCCCAACCGATATTTATAGCTAACGACATTGGGAGGGGATCGCATCAAAAACCCGAGATTTGAGCGCCTACAGCCGCTTGCACGAACTCTTAAATGACCGACCCTCTCGTCTCCTGCAAAACGAACAGGCTCACATCTAACCCTTCGTACTCTCGACAAGACTCTGTACTGTGCTCTCGTAGGTTAGTGCGTTCAGCCCTTCTCTGAAGAAATACTCATGTCTTCATTTAGATCTCGGGACGAAAGGAGAGTTTCGCCATATCCCCGCCGCAACCAGCCATCACGAGAATCAATGTCCTCCGATGAGCCGAGGGTAGGCCCCAAATTGCGTATGGTTGTTGCGCCTTTTAACTTTCATTAGGATACGTTCGCCATCCTCCACGATGAGCTTCTTCATCTTCCCTCCAATTGGGATACCGGCCTTCCTCAAGGCTCCGGCCTCGCTCTTGAAGAATTAGCATGTATCCTATCTACATTCTTCCGGATAAAGTCCGGCTGGCAAAAGGCTGTCTATCCTAATTTGTTTCTTCGAGACCTCCGAAATGCCTTAAATTCCGCAGAATCCGGTGTTCTGCCCCAGAAGGATTATGCTTCTGTGATGTTGTACAACGCCGTTATTGCCTACTCGCTGGGATACTCCGAAGTGGAAGATCATCGATCGCCAGAGTACAGAAAGCAATTTGCTTTGGAGGCGAGGAAGCATTTCGATGCAGAGTGCAGTGCCCCGACGCTCGCGACAGTACAAGCACTGGCGATTCTGTCTTCGTTTTATAGCGGAATTGCCAACCAAGGTGAGGAAGGAGTTTATTATTCCAGGAACTGGACTAATTTCTTATTCTGAAGGACTGAATTTCACGTACCTCGGTTCGTCCGTGCCCTGCAGTCCCATACATACAAATGTCCTTACAAATTGAACAGGGACAGCTATTCGTGTGTCACAAACTCGTGGGTTTTTCCTATCCACTTGGCCAAACTGAACCTGATTTCGTTTCATAGTTTGTTTGGATGGAGGAAATTTTGGCCAGAGAACAATGAATCCTGAAGAAACGTGCTCTTCGATTGTCTTCTGGAATTTGTACTGTTTGGTATGTGTTCTCGGCGAGGTGATGATTTTTCAATTTGCTCACCTTGGATGCAGGACAAAGCATGCAGTCTCTATGTCGGTCGTCCTCAAAGTCTCAAACCCTGTTCCCTTGAGACGACCCCTCGAAGGTTGGTTCATTCCCGGAGGTAGGACCAACCCGCAATCTTTTCAATTTTCCGGGCTCGGTCCCGCCTGAGGACGAAGCATTTACCGCGCATGTTGGCCTTATGCAAATTGCATCCTCAATCATGGAAATCCTTTACCGTAACGACGGACTTTGTAGAACCGACATCGACGTCGCCCGGGTAGAGCGAATGAGGTTCGTTTTTATTTTGCAGTGCCGAAGTTGTCTCACCCTATGTCATTAGCGTTGTGATTGATAAGTGGAACGAAAATCTTCCCCAGAGCCTCCGCGTAGATGTCCATGAAGAAGGGACTGAACCAAGCGTCGACCTGATTATGATCAAGGCGATTTTTGAGTGGATGAACATCCTGATCTACCAGCCATTCTTCCAGGACAGCAAAGTGATCACATTCACTTCGTCATCTTCGACTCAGCTTGGAGGAGTCAGCGGGGACACCTACAACAGAATATCAAGGCTGTGTAGCAAGGCGAAACTATGTGCTCCTCCAGCAGCATTCAGGATCACAGCACTATTTGAGGCGTTTGACCGTCGTTATGGTCTCAAATTGGCAGACAATACAGCCGTGCAAATTGCCTATGCTGCGGGAAAGATGCACTTGTTGAGTGCCACGCACAACCCTGGCTACCGTTATGAGAATGGGGATCCTGGTCAAGGCGTCACCAGGTGCATGGAAATTTTACGAAAAATAGGAGAAACGTGGCCCTCAGGCATGGCTTCAGCGACTAGGCTGGAAGAATTATACCGACCTGTCCGTGAGCGCCAAGAGTCTGCCTCGGAAGGCGTCAACCCGCCCTCGCCGCCTCCACCTTACACTTGATCCCAAGTAACGTACTCTCACTTGGCGTTTCAAGTTTGTTTCGCTCACAGTGCTCGTGCCCTTAGGCCTCGGGGCCTCATGATTGCTCTGTCTAAAAATGAGAGGCTTCTTCCTCCTTGCTCCACCGCTGCACGAACATATCGCACAGAAATGGCGCAACGCGGGAGAGCACGAACACTCCAGATCAGTGACTGTTCCATGACCAAACGAATGGAAAAATTAGTTGTGTTCCGCTCTCCTTAGTTTTTGTACATTTCTGTTCTGTTGCAGAGTTCAATACGCATCATATTAAGTGTACGATACGATACCCCCCATAATAACTTCCCACCGTCTAATCTCAACACACCCTGCGTGTCTCTAACTTTCCGCCCGAATACGCGCGAAGCGCACGTTTCTCGTCGTGGATACAGCAGTAAATATTGATCCGGCACCGTTGAGGGTGGAGTCACACATGCAAGGACTTCCTATCATTTATCCTTCCCTTCCTTTTCTTTATGTGTAGCTGATATACACATACTTGTACATGTAAACTGTGGAGAAACGACCTCGAAGCATATATTTGGGCCTCCAATTCCATCTTGAGGGTCTACAGTCATCCCGACCAAATCGCGCCACTGAGCGCCATTTCCCAACATAAACTTATCCCTGGGTTATTTCTAAATGTTTTCCCGTTGTCATCCCCATCATACTTAAGTTCCTAACATGAACTACTGACTGTTGAAGCAACCAACCCGCGCTTAGAAGAAAATGAAGATAGGATGAAGGACTAGTAGGGATGGAGAAAACGGTCAGAAAGCTGAGGCTTCAAGGGGGGAGGGGAATTGAAGGTCGATGAAGATGCTAAAACCAACAATCCACCTGAACCGAACCCTCAGAGCTATCACGACCTTCTTCCCAGTCCAAAACCAGATCATAATCCACCAACTGAATCATCCAAATCGTTAGGACCGACGACCACAACGTTGGCGAAGTGATCGATCTCTCGTAGATCTTTAGTCTTCGCGTTCAGTGGGTGGAGAAGGCACGGATGAAGTAATCACAATGAACCGATCGATGCATGAACTTGAATAGGATTCGCTGAAAAACAGAATCAGCAGGCAAAACTACAAAGAGATAAACCAAAGTGCTAGCCACAGAGGTGTATGGTGAAGATTAAAACTTACCGGTGCCCGGTTAAATTTTTATTTTCTTCTTTTCTCCTTCACCCCCCCCGACATCGACTCATATATTGTTGACATCCTCGGACCAGTTCCACTAGTGGTGGCGCGCTGAGCGCTGGGCAGGTATAGTACGAGTGCTGATTTCTAGCAACAAGGGATATTTTCCATTTCATTTAATAATAGCTATAAATCTGGGCACCTAAAGGCATCGTATTTCACAACTTTCAGGTTCTACATTCACATCAAGAACGTTGTGAGCTATGACGCGAGTTTTGCAATGAATTGTTTCCGGAATGGTCATAACCTCTGTAGAACTTTACCAGAACGATTTCCCAAGGCCATTTCCATCACTTGGCGGTCGACCATGAAGGAAACGCCCTCGGTACCGTGTTTGATGTTCATCTGGATGCAGACCAGCTGAATTTGTGGAAGCTCCCGTCGCCGATGCCAATGAGGGTTGCAAAAAGCAGCTTTCCGTCAACGGATAAAGACGATCCTGTTTCCCGATCCTGAAAGCGACGAGGCGCTGGAGGGAAATGGCTTCGTGCGGATTCTCGACCACCCAGACGGAATATCCAGATACTGGCAGGCAGCGTGAGGGTCTTGCGGCTTTTTGATCTATACCTAAATTCATTTCCTGCAGTCGATATTTCAATGCAGCCGTCGGATAAATAAGACGTACCACTCCTAGCCATTCCGCACGTCACTATTCTGGGTGTCTATCTGGACGCACCTCTTGATCCCGATGAGAAAATCCCCGTTTCTGGTTCGGGTGGCGGGCCTCCTGCAGGCGGACCTCAGCCCCCCTGAACAAGACCTTGCGATGCTCTTTGCCATGCAAGAGTGAGGACGAGAGCACCAAATTTATCTTGCACATAGCAGGGGGAGCAATTCTCCTGACTCCACCGGACTCATTGGGTACTAAAGATTCCTTCCATTCGTTCTGGGACCTCAATGTGTATTCACCGGCCCATGTGGATACGCAACAGCAACCGCGGCACACATACTGGATCTTTCAGGCCTGATTTTGGTCGTCTCTTGAGGTTGACTTGTTTATTTCGGGGGCAGGAGAAAGGACCGTCGTTTTCCAGAAAGCATCCTCGCCAGGAACTCGCTGATTAGACTCGCTGGGTCTATGGCCCTGCTCCGTATGCGATTCTTCTCTAGCAGCACCTGTTGTTGACCCACGTATTTAGGCTACAATGCCATCGGTGCTGATATCACGCTCGTAACTATCGAGCCTGGTATAGACACAGGGATTGGGAAAAATCATGTTAAAAGACATTCTAAACACAGATTTGTCAACAAGGCGAGGACATATCAGAAACGCGGTAAAGATGATCAGACTGGTCAAAGCTCTCCGGGCATTAGAACGTTATCGTTAAAAACGATGTGGATGCTGATATGCTTCCATTGAATCGGTGAGTATCCTTTTGTGTATCTTGTTCGCATTGGACCTAACTGTGAAGTTAGCGATGATGGAACATCCATTGAAGAGGATACGTAAGGTTTATCTGGCAAAAGATAAATTCAAAATTTCCTCTCTTAAATCCATCTATGACAAACTCTCGAAAGCAAAAGGCCCGCCAAATGCCGAGTGTCTTACGAGAATTGAATCGTTTCATCCAGAACACGGTCGCTTCGTCGAACTCCTCGAGGCGGCGGTCCAGCATCTGCCGAAGATGTCAAAAAATGCAGTTCATCTGTGCCCTCGAGACCCTCCAGAGGCAAGTATTCGTATAGGATTATTGATTTTGAGTTCATGAGGTATCACATACTGAGCCGCAGGTGTTTCGTCAGGGCATTCGTTGGCCAAATGTCATGCGGAACATCATTCAACCCCAAGCAGTGATTCCTCACTGAACCTGAACTGGGAAAGATTTGCTTGCCAAGCATCCCCTCCAACCAAAGCGGCCCTTCAATTTGCGTCCTGAAAACACATGCAACCACAGGTATTCAACGATGGTCATGGTGCAGAGGTTAACATTTGGAGTGTTTGGGAGAGTCATTGCTTGCTTGCAGCTGATGTGTTTGGTTCTTTCCTGAAAAACCTCCGATCTCTTGGACGGAGGATGGTAGAAGGTTCCATTTCATCAGCTGAGCAAGGATTTCGAGAATTAAAGTCACTGTGATCTCCGCAAGTACTGCTGCTGTTTGCACTTGGTCAAAAAACGGCCTTGTTGTCACGTGGCGGTTCGGCTATCCCCGCTCTTCATTACATGAGGGGGATCCCGTCGTTACAACGTAGGGGTGAGGTCGTGTGTGTGGTGTTCCTCGGGGTGTGGGGGTGTGTGATGTCGGATTGTTTGACATTCGCATCACCGCATCTCCCGTGGTACGGCACCCGCCTGGCTGAGAGACTCGTACTTTAAACATGGACGGTTCTAATCAACTTCTTGGTGTGCAGGCTTGAAGAGATGCGATTTTGTCGTAGCAGATCGATGGTGTGGTCTTTTGCATTCTCAAGGTCGCCGAATATCCTACTGCAAATCTATCGGTCCTCCATGGACGTGCCGATGCATTGCTATTTGGCAGGTTACCAGCACAGAGCGTGCTATAGCCGAGATCGGCGTGAGCGAGTGGGGTCAGTTCTCAAGTGTCCAAAAGGGGCACATTTCTTGTTATATTAAATCCATAGGCAGGACTCCTGTTACGAGCCTCGCTTCTCATGATGGGATCTTCCGGCTTGAAAGATCTCTGTAATCGCTTTCCGGGATAACCAGGCAGCCGGTATCGTGCTGCTATAGTATGGCTGACAGTGTATGTCCAGGTGCCAGAGACGCAACGAAGTCTCTTAAACGTGGGGGATGAATGAGCAAGACAATTATTTTCATTCGATTGTTGACCTCGATATCACCATCCATATTTGCCGTATCTGCCCACTGCCAAACCTAACTAACTCCTAGTCGTAGGGGGACTACGGAGCCCCTAGCATCTCCCCTTGAACCAGTGACCTACCCACAAGTGCGTAAGTTAGGGGTTTGCACTGCCCCGAGGGCATAGCCGAACCCGAAGAGTTGGGATGCAATGAGTGTAATGGGTGGCCAGAAAAGAAAAGAAAACTACCACTGTTCCGGTCTCTCCTGTCTTACATACGTGTTGACGCACAAGAGATGGGCAAATTTCATCTCCAAACAATGTAAACCCCCTACTCTATCACGATCAATGACGCCTGCTGAAAAAAACCAAAACCTAGTATGTACGTGGTTCCTTTTCCAACTTGAATTGGACAAGCTCTTCTTTTGTGCCTTTCCGGGGTTATGCCTCCCGATGGCAACAATGATCCGATTTCGGAATCCGGTCTTGTGTGCTTAAAGGGGTTTTGTGGGGGTGTCTGTCTATATTACTTTGCAGTTGGTATTTGGATTCCAGTATATTGAAGGTGTATATGCGCAGTTGGCCGGGGCATGTACACGTACGTGGCGAGGCATGGCGATGTAATAGTAACCGAGTAATTGAGAGTGAAAGCCGACAACAATTCGGGGGAGAGTATTACATACCGCGTGGTGGTAGATGTACTTAGTGACCGAGAAGGACACGTCCACATGCACAGCAATCCGCATCAATATGTACCTATGGTTGTTCCATTTGTGATCAACTCATACATACCATACTTTCAGAGCGGATCTTTTGCGGAATACTTATATAGTGCATCCAGTGCGAAGGAAGCAAGGGCTATGCACGCGTGAAAGAGGAGTGATGGAAAAGAGGAAGAACCAATACCGCCTAGCTGCACGAGGACGCCCCGCCGATGATTCGATTTATTGCCCACCCCCTTGAATTGAGGAGACATGGAACGAGGAGCAATGTATGTGTCTCCTCACTTTCACGCAATCTGTATTCGCCTTGTGATTCACTTGCGGATGAGTCGGAAACGGTTTTATATCGTTGCTTGACTTCCGTTCAGCGTGAAATGAGGTCGGGGCATCACGCCGTGCACGGAGAACCTATGTCGTTGCATCAAAGCACGAGTTCTCCAGTATTAATGAAGTTGGCTGAAACGTGTGATACAGCGAAAATTATTTCGGCGAGGAATGATCCCAAAGTCCTTACATGATGGTATTGAGTCTGGGTCAATATCGAAGTCACTATATAAAGGTAACACCCCACCTGTAAGCCACTGATGTGTGGCATGGGGCGCGCGGCAACGATATGAAGGCTGGTCATCAGTGGAGAATGCGGAAGGGAGAGGTTCTTCGATCCACATGTGATTCACTCATGAAAACAGTTCGCCATTTGCCGATTTTGCGGGTGGCGGAAACTGGCGGTGGCTCATTAGCTGTATATGGATGATAGATCATGTAGCCCTATATATACATCAGCGATAGATGTCGTGTTATTGCTTCATTTCTTGCGCGCGTCAAGCTCCAGAACGACGTCGGGGCCTGACGCCGTGCACGAATAACCTATGTCGTTCCACCGAAGCACGAGCTTGCCAGTAGTGACTTTGCAAGTTGGTTGCATATGTGTGCCTCATTGCAGTATTGAGTCTGGGTCAATATCGAATGCGACTATTGCATTCAAGGAGAGATGGAACTGCAAGTCACTGGTGTGCAGCAGCATGGGGCGCGCGGAAATCGTGTGAAGGCCGGGCATCACTTGTGAAGGGGGACAAATTCCCCAATGCAGAGTCCGGCCAGAACCTACTCGATCCGTTGAGCCACACCAGATATTCCTATCATACTTTCCAATGCTGGACTAGGCATCGATGTTTGTGCAGGCGGTGGATGCCTCGGAGTTAGCGTTCGGATGGAGATCAAAAGGGGAAATTTTGAGTGATCGACGCAGTTAAACTAGTAATTGTTGAAAGCGGAAGAAGCGGAACTTGGCATTTCCAATGCTAGTTCACGGATCATCCTTCTTACAGAAGCTCGCAGGGAGCGCGCGAAGCCTTTACATACATACATAATGGTACCTCCACGGAACCGATGTTACCATTTTTGGCTCGTATATAATTCAAGATGAGTGTGAACCGAAGACGAGACGAATGACGCAGATTAGATCAGGCACCATGCATAGGTTTCTACGTCATACCGCCATAATAAAGTAAAATCCGAGTGTGTACCATCTTTTACGTAGCGTGGAGATACATATATATTGGCGATTCCATATGAAAGTTGCTCAAGATATTCCCGCTACTCCGTAGCGGGTCCTGCAAATTTAGGCCCCACACTGTGCACATGGTCCTCAGGTCCTCTTATGACAATGACAATATAATTCACTCCCTTATAACTCCGTTAGCTCACACCCAGTCGGCTCCATAAGTACGACTTCTGCGTGGAAAACACCGTTGTGAAGAATGTACTGAAGACAATCCAAAACCAAACATCGAAAGGCAGTTGTGAGGAGAGTAGCGGGCCCTTGCCGCGACAGGCAGCGTCTACCAGTTATTCCATTGAAGAAGTTTCTGAAAAGTGGGCAGCAAAAGAAGAGCGGTCGATCGCTGACGCGAAGAATGACGTACGTGCGCTAAGGAGATTAGTACAAACTTTCTCCCATCTCGCCCGGTCGGTCCAGTGCGAGGTGATTGGGAACCGCGCGCCAAGAGTACTGTCTCCCGGGGTACACCCCACTACCTATGGCAACCTAGTACATAGCTTTCGTAGGGCAACATTGAACAAGTGGTCACAGTCACAGTCGATGCAAGTGCAGATACTCGAACCCACATAAAAGAAGATCTCAAGACACTCCCTAGATGTCCAGTGATGGGAAGATCAGATTCGGGGGCTACCCCCATTTGATGTGAGAAGGGGAGGGCACCATGGAAATTGAGCAGAACGAATGGGAGCAAACCTGAAACGGTAACGACGAGTCGACTATCAGTCATTTCATTTCCACCCCATTATAAATTTTTGGAGACGATGTTCGCAGCGTTCGTGGCAAATGTCTTATACATTTTTAAGTCGCCAGACGCGTGTCGGATCACTTAACATCGTACAATGCACATTCTGGTTGAACGAACAATGAAACGCGGTTTCGTGAAAGTGTATACACGTAGACGCGTTACGCGCGCGCGACGCGAACGCGTGCGCAAGTGCTGATTGATCAGAGCCGGAAACCTGGACGTGCCAGACGTAATTCATGCATGCGAAAAAGTTAACGGCCAAAGCAATGTTTGGTTCACGCGTGGGAGGTGAGAGAAGTAGTCCTCGGCCGCTGTTGCCGCGTGCACGTAGGGAACGATCGATCGCGTTCGATAATATTGATGGTTCATTAAGAGGGATCTTCGCGATGACCGAGTCAGCCACGCGACTCCCGCACCCGACCGCGGTGATCTGCGCGCATAACTTGAGCTGAACCGAAAAGAGGGCGGTTTGGACAAATCATCTCTCCTTCCTTTGCTGCGACCATCCCATCCTAGGGCAGTGGCCTTATGCGTAACTGCATTCACCTGTTTGTTTGTTTTTTTTTTTTTTCCGCCGTTTAGCCTTAACTTCTTGACGGCCTGAAAATCAATCAATGGCATCTTTACGTGCATACTATCAGTCGAACTCAAACGATACGCACCTGAGGAATTTTTTCGAACGCGTTGAGGTGAGCACAGATATCGTTCTGATTAGCTGCTGGGAGAGGTAACCTTCTAAGCTGACTCATTGTTCTATTCCCCCCTTCGCCCACCCTCGTTTGTCGCGACGACTTCCCCGGCTCGAAATCCACCCGCTTCCTACCCCATGAACCATTCAACTCCCCCGCCCCGCTTGATTCTCCATTGTTCCATTCATTCAATGAATGAGTAGATCGGAAGGGAATTCAGATATCTCGACACCCGTGGCCACCACACTGGGATTGTAGTGGAAATATGGCGCGAAGTATGTCCCCCTCGCTATCCTTCGATTTCGATGAATGAACCCCATCACTCGACTTGATCTTCCTCTTCGCGCTTGCTTGGGGGCACCAACGTTGGTGGTTTCACCCACGTGGAAATAGCCATATGTATCGGTCCCGGCCGCATTGGTGAAGGCGTCACCGGACGCGAAGATAGCCACGGCAGTCCCGTACGTCCTTCTTTTCCACCTTACATGTTATGTTGTTATTCACCGTGGTGGCTTGTTCATAATCTAGATACTACGCCATCTTCTTGGATGAATGGGGTTGAACCGCCCCATTGTCTGTGTGTGGGAAAAACCAAATCCGCCATCCCAGTGGACGAGGCATAACGACTAGTTCGGTAAGCCATTAATGCCGTTGTCTGATTTTTTTTTTTTTTTGGTCATCAAGAAACAACTAACAGACCTCTTCCCCAAAGTGCGAATGCAACCACCACGACTAACTCACGTAGTCGTAGTGGTTGATTCTCCAGTGGGGTTAGGTAAGGGTGGTGCATGTGTTGAAAGAGGGGGGGGCAGTATTGAATCAAGGTTAGCATCCCTGAGGTCTTATATCTCGTTTGGCCAGGATGACCCACTCGTATCATTTCGGGTGTGTAGCCGGGCGCAAGATCGTTTTGCGTTCCGGCTCTTCTTCTATCCATCGTCGCTTGTACAACATAACGCCCCCAACGCGAGGCGAACATTAATGTACGATTCCTTCCCGGTCACTCTTGTGTGTAACATGATGTATACAAAGATCTTACAGAGAGCTGCGGGTCACCTAATAGTGCGCATTCGTATTGTTTCCCCTTGTAGAATAATGGCCGTTTCCCGCCAATGAGGTCCGTCGACGGTATTGAAGATCAACAGAGACAGAACACCGGGTAACGCCGTACAAGAAGAGTCGATGGAAGGCTAAATCACACATGCGCAAGAAGATATCCAAAATAGCATTTTCGTTCCTTGTGTTTGACGCCATTGTTCGTGAGCAAGTGGCAAGGGGCAACCGTTGTTTCCGCATTTACAAACGAAGGAGGGAAGTGGGAATCTTCCGACCCGAAATCACGCGACCCCCCGCCGTCGAGCTAGAAAGCAGGGCTTCCCTCCTTTAATTCCTACCACAACCACCCCACCCCGGGGCCCAGCACAGCACGCTTCAGAGCATCTGCGGCCTCGAATCCTTTTCTCCTTCACGCTCTTCTCCATCTTTATTCGCTTTTCCCCTAACCCCCTTTGAACCAACGTCTCAGGTCTCAGAAATTATTATGACATTTCTCTGTGCCTCCTGTCTCACGAACCTGATGAACGCCTCCTATATTCATGTCGAGAGTGAGTCTTCTAACGAGCGGCTAGAAGCGTTTCAATCAGACTGATTCTTGATTCATTGCCCCCCCTTCCAACCCCTAATCGACTTGCTTTTTCTCGATCGTTCAACTCACCTGCTCTGATTGTCATGCTCTACTTCTTCTACTCTTTGTCCTTTCTACTAGCTCTTTTCCGATGTTTGGAGCTAATATTGTGACCTCAGAACAACGGGAAATATAGATTCCAGCGGCGCTTGTATATGCGACTCCGCATCTGCCGCCTATACAATTGCCGCTGGGCTTGCATTTGCCATTGCTTATCCCTGGCGAGTGAGGTCATACGCTCCGTTGTCTAAGGGCCATTAATGTACATACGCAATGACCTGAAGTGGATGTGGTCAAGTCGTTTCGTTAAATAGTCAACGGACTCTAGCTATGATGCAACCACCATGACGATTCTCCACTTGGTAGGAGTCTTGCGTCATGGGGAATAGTAAGTGGATCAATGACTAACTATCTATCACAGGCTACTCTCATTCATGCGCCATGTGCGTCATACCATAATTTTTTGCTCTATTCTCTCAGCAACGTGGCGCGAACGTTCTATATATATCTGTTGCTCTTTCCTTCTCCTTTGTGCAAGTGTAAGTAAGTTGGAATCCTTTGCCTAATGGTGGTTACGTTCCATTGTCACTCGTTGCGGACCATGCCTGGTTCCACCAATGAGGTGGGAATACTTATTGTGGATTGAAGGACTGGTTAAAGCATACCGCGCGGGGTTAGATACAAATTGGACCTTTGTATTGATTTCCTGAGTCGACTGTAAACTCAGAGTTCCACTCGTTCTGCGAACTGGTTCCCAGTAGCTGGGCCTCAGGTTCAAGAACGTCAGTATAACATGAAATAGCTGAGCTTTTGCAAGTACCAGTGCTGATAATTTATAAATCACATTTCCGCTCCAGTTGAAGGATCAGCATTCCTTCTGGGAATTTCACTTAGAACCCGCGATGCTTTCTTCTCCTGTTCTACCGTGTATGTGTATGCGCGTTCAGGCTATTCAGGGCTGGCAGGATCCCAGCCTCTACTAAAGTAGGGCTTGCGTCTATGTGGGATTACATGCACGTGCGCGTTGCACGATGAATTCGCCGCTGTGTACGTGATCCGGATTAGAGAACTCGTTGCTGGAAACGGCCATAATATCGGCGGAGCTCGTTCAACAAAACCAACAGTAGTAAGTCAGGGGTGACACCATATGGAGTCATGGCCGCTGGGCGGCAAGGCCAGGGTTGGATTGATGCGCCGCCTGATGTTCCATAAGCAGTGAGAAGCAATTGACAGTTTTCAAAGGTCGAATCGAATTTGAACCCAAGGAATGTGGTCTTGCTCTCTGCCTCTATGGCCAACAAGTGCGCTTGACGTGGTGTTAATCTGATAATGCCACGCCAGCGGGCATCTAGCAGTGAACGCCACCACCAAGAACTCGCCCGGCCTAATGGCAGGTTATTAGTTGTTTCATGTGTGCTCTTGGGAGGAATATTGATCCAATGCTGGATACCACCAATAGTAATTCAGGTTCGCCGTATCGGCGTCCGAGTCGTAGCCAGCGCCGTCGGGTTTCCGTCATCTCCCGTCCACCGAAAGTGAGCTCCCCCCATGCGCAACCATGTTGGACGCCCTAATGTGTCCTCTAGAATGGTCCTACAAATTTTCACAATGAACTTCTCCGACTTCCTCCGAATTGGGACACCGGCCTTCCACAAGATTCCGGCGTCACACGTGAAGAACTAGCGTTCATCCTATCTACGTTCTTTCGGAGTAAATGTCAGTGGCATAAGGCGGTCTATCCCCAATTATTCCTCCGAGACTTGCGAGCTGCATTGGCGAGCGCAGAATCTGGTACCTTGCCTCAGAAAGATTATGCTTCCCCGATGTTATATAATTCCATTGTTGCCTACTCGTTGGGATACTCTGAGGTGGAGGGTCACCGGTCAGTTGGATACCGAAGCCGCTTTGCCTCCGAAGCGAAGAAATATTTCGATGCGAATGCCAAGCTCCTACGCTCGCCACTGTGCAGGCGCTGGCAATTCTCTCCTCATTCCACAGTGGGGTGGCTGAACAAGGTGAGGAATCGATGGAATCTCACTATCAGGCTAATGGTTATTTTTGAAGGGCTGAGCTTCACGTACCTCGGTTGGTCCTTGCTTTGTGATTGATAAGATATTATGTTGTTAAGATGATAAACAGGGATAGCTTTTACTGTGTCTCGAACCCGTGGGTTTTTTGGGCACTCTATTTGTACGAATTGAACCTATCCTATACACTAGTGTGTTTGGACGGAGAAAATTCCAGTCAATACTCAAATAATCTGGAGAAAAACCACTTTTCATTCGTCCTCTGGAATCTGTTCTGCCTAGTGTGTATCCCCCCCCCAACGCCTTTATGGTTTTCCAAGCTGCTTACCTCAGATGTAGGACAAGACATGCAGCCTCTATGTCGGCCGACGTCAAAATCTCAGACCTTTTGTTACCGAGTCAACATACTGGAAGATTAGCTCGCTCACGGAGGTAGGGATGATTCGCGGTCTTTTCAACCCTATCACCCCAGTCTTGCCAGAGGATGAAGCGTTTGTCGCGCATGTTGGCCTTATGCAAATTGCATCCTTTATTATGGAGTTCTTTTATAGCGATGATGGACTTTGTAGGCCTGGCATTGACATCGCCCACGTGGAGCAATTAAGGTTTGTCCCTCTGCTCTAAATGCTGGAGTTGGTTTCACCTCGTACCTTGTACCCTGAACGAACAGCACTTTGATCGAGACGTGGAATATCCATCTCCCCGCAAGCCTCCGCGGGGATACCGACGACCCAGAGACAATTCTCAGCATCGAAGTGATAATGATCAAGTTGATCTTTGAGTGGATGAAGATTCTACTATATCAGCCTTTTTTCCAAGACAGCACCTCAGTCACATTCACCTCCCCATCGTTCAATCAGTACGGCGTCAGTGGTGACATCTACAACCGTATATCGACGTTGTGCACCAGGGCAAAGCTGTGTGCTCCCCCAGCGGCATTCAAGATCACATCACTACTCGAGACATTTGATCGCCAGTATGGTCTCCGTATAATCGACAGTGCTGCTGTGCAAATCGCATACGTTGCTGGAAGGATGCATTTGTTGGGTGCAATCCACAATCCCGATCGCCGCTACGGGGGCGCCACCCCCGGTCAAGGGGTCATCAGATGTATTGACATATTACGAAAAATAGGAGAAACGTGGCCATCAGGTATTGCTTCAGCCGACCGGCTTGATGATTTATACCGTCCTGTTCACGATCCTAGGGAAGATGAAGTCGGCAGAATGGATGCTGGCTCTCCTCCGCCATATCCCTCTTCTAAATGAATGGACCCTCGTGTTTCTGCCTGTGTGCCCTCGTAACTGCCTGCGACCCGCTATGGATGTTTTGGACTGAGTGCTTGCTTGTTGTCCAGCTTTTTGTGGCCCGTCTGTCGTTATGTTGCAGTGTCTCATCTGTGCTTCGTCATTACCCAATGTGTAAATACGCTGACCCCTCATGTATTTGCGCTATCAGCTTCCGTGCTATGTGCGTCCTGCTGGACGAATGCGAAGAACTGAGCAAAGCAATAACATTAAGTACAATATTAAGACTAAATACCATTCCCCATATCTCGTAATAACAGCAAACCCAATATTATAGGTGGCGGGCAACCAAATATCTAGTCGAAAACCGATGTCCGTAAGTCGAACCCTCTAGCTGCTCGGAGATTGACGACGTCTCCTGCAAGGCTGGACGTAGGATGCCCATAAAAGAACACCGAGTACGAAGCAATCAGTTGCTCGACCTGCGCTACAGCATCATCGAAAAGCATTGGCCATCCAAGTAACCTTCGGTCTTCCTCGCGAATCAAATCTTGTATCGTTACGGCACCTTCTTTGCGCATTTGTTCCAATACCTCGGGGGAGCGCTCATCCGTCAGAACAAAAAACCTATCAACGTTGAAGCTCTCAACATAGTAATCATCGCGGGACACTGTACAGCAGCGTACTTATCCGTCTCCAATGGCGGGGCCCCTTTGAGGTTCTCATCTGAGGGTATGTCGGTCATGTTCGCAGTCTGAGGTGGTAAATGGGACAACTCCTGAACGAGCTTGAGACCTCTCCTTAGCCGGTTCTTCACTCGCGAGATTCGGGCTTCTGTGTAATCCATAGGAGGGGAAATGGCAGCTGTGGAATCGGAAGCTGGTGAGAACGTTGGAAACGTGTACATCGTAAGGCCAGCTTACGGTCACCTCGCCTCATGTCCGCAGACATGAATTGGCGCCCATCATTCATGGACCTTAATTTGTGGACCAACCGCTCCGCAAGTAAGCGAACGGGTGCAATCGCTAGAGCCATGCGAAAGGAGTCAATGTCGTTGGTCCCAATCAGCAATTGTAGCGACTCACGCTGCACGCCTTGCGTGACGAGCCACACGAAGGTTTTCCTAGTTTTATCCGACCCAAACATCAAGAAACCTGGCTTTATGTTCTGTTGAATTACCCCTTCAAGAAGCAGCACTTCTTCGTAGCGAGAGGCGAGTTCGTTATATAGCCCGCGGACCTGTGAGATCTTCGCTACTTGAGTAAGCGGTTCAGTCACAGTCCTGAGTATTTCGATTCGTGTGAAGGCCCAATGTCAGTTCGTCCCTCAACAAATTTTGGCGGTATGCGCAAAACTTACATTCCTCTGAACGTATAGAGAAATGTCCATCCATTGGCATGCAACAGGCGTTCCAATTCTTCCTCAGACGACCACTTAGCGAGTTGTTTCTCTTGAAGAGTTAACTTCACTTTGTCTAGGTCTATTGTTTTTGCCTCCCCGAGTCCAGCATCGAGAGCACTAGAAATGGGTTTGTTGTGATACGGATCCCGTGGTTTCGTTATTCCATAATCCACTCGTACCACGCCGTCGGGCTCATATTCATTCTGTTTGAGGGATGTGAAGGACACTGGGTGTGGTTTCGTGGCTAAATAGGACTCATTGTCCCACCGCCCATTGAGTCTCTCAATTGAGATTGGGAGGCCATGCAAGTGGAGATATTCGGCAACCGTAACGACGGGGTGTGCAGCGCGCAGGCGTGGAAGATCGACCATCAATTCGATGGGAATGGTCCAAGCCTGTTGTTTCTCCCCAGAGGGGGAACCGAAATCTTCGCTACCATGATGCTGTATTGCATAGAGCTCACAGACTGCGCTAATGAGGAGCGTGAGTGTGGGATGCTCCGCCGAGAGCCTGATGTTGAGAGCCTCACTGCGAAAACACACAAGACCTTGCATACAAAAATGAAGGAATTATTAAGGTTCTATTGAGTACCAACCCAGCCAGCATTCCGGACTCTATTATGTAGCGGATCTTTAGGGAGTTAAGATGAAACTACCAGTGTTGCTCAGGAAAAACTCACATCATTCCAACCGAGGGGGAGTGGATAATCATGGGCGAGGTATCCTTTCGTACGAGAGACCATCGTCTTGATCCGTAGTAATGTCCAAGCATCCTCATAAGGGAATATAGCATTACCAAAACCTGGTCGAACATAACCCTTGCTGACATCGCTAACTCCACAACTCTCATGGAAAATGGGCGGCTCGGGCTTAAATGTGAAGGGTTCCCCGTAGGTCCGAGAGGATGGAAAGCCGAAGAGAAAGAATTGGAGCATTATGCCAGTGCTCACAGCAATAGCAAAGAAAAGCATCATTCGGAGTCTGGCAGCTATAGTAGAGGTAACTAGTTGTCTAGGTTCGGTGAGAAGCTCGTATGGTGACCTCCGCCATGGTGCCTAGAAGAACAAATTAGAACGTGATGCTGGCTGGCATAACTGCAGCACAACTGACCAAACTGAAATTTATCTTGGCTCTCCACATTTATTTAACAGCCCAACGGGATGGCGGATCGAAAGCTTGGCTCTATCAGTCGCTGAGGGAACGCTGGGTCCTGTACAGGCCTGCCAGACTCTATCACAAAAATGTGGGCCTTGTGTTTGCCAAGCGAGCAGCTGCACACACGTGATAGGGCGCTTTCATTATACAATTTATACAACGATGAATTGTCTCATTATCTCAAATTCATTCCAGTTCCCACCCAATCGGTGAAGTGTTGGAAACCAGAAACGTCGGCTCAGAGGGGTACTGTAGACACGTTCAGAGATATTCGTGCAATATTTGCATAACGTATGCAATCAACGCAATATCCCAGATTCGGCCGCCAACAAACCATCACCGCTTCCTTCACCGTCACAAACTCGGCATCATGGCACCATCCTGAGATTAAGTACACTAGATATTCGATGTCTGACATTGTGAATTGCTGTAAACAAATCCTCCATCGCGACTGCGAATTCTGTCATAATTCGGAAATAAACTGACCATGCCGTGCGCTCCGCTGACTCCGCACACCATGTTATTGGATGGAGCCATGATGGGCAAAAAGCGTAAGTCCAGCATGTCTGGAGTAGACAAAGCTCGAGAGTTCGGATACCATATCCTGCTAGGAATGGCTGAGCGACGAGCTGCCAACCTCTAGGCTCCACCGTATTAGGAATATGGACGTGATAGGGTAGATGCTTATGGGGGATAGCAATTTGCCAAGGCGATGTTCACTGAGTTAAGAAGTATCCTCGTTTGGCAGTGATCATTACAAGCAGTGAATACAGAGCTTAAACCACTGAAGTAGTGTAATTAGTAGAGTCGAGGGAATAGTGTTGGACACACCTACTTTCAAGGTAATCCGCCGCCATCAATCTGCGCAAGATGTGTCAAAGTCGGATATTGAATTTGAGATGGGCACTCACAATTCAAGCGCAATTTCAGGGGGAATACGTTCCAGAAAATCTGGGATTTCCTCATTTTCGGCTGCATTCTGCGACTGTGCTCTGAAAGACAAGTACTCGACGACCTTCTCAACGACAATACCTCTGAACGGTTGTTGGTTGCTAAAGTGAGGATAAACGCGGAGAACGAACCTGTGGGGGACAGTACACGTGTTACTTAGGGACTCAGCGAAATTGCTGTCCTCGTTCAGCGAGGCCGCAAGAGTGGGGCTTGCTATGGCCACTTTCCGTTCCAAAATGAAAGAGAATCCGTCGTCACTGGCTATACGAACCCATCGTGCAGGTTCCTTCTATTTCAAAAAAACCATTAAACGAGAACACACGAAAACGAAATTACAGTAATGACGCTAGCGAACCTGCTCTGAATCTTTTGTCATCGCTAAGTCAAATGAAGGATCTGACACGCGGTACCGACGATCTTTCTAATCACGTGGCAGATAACGGGGCATTGACAAACAACCATAAACCTCAACAACGCCACTATCGAGGAAGGCAACCTCGCTCAGTGTCCAAATACTACGCCCGTAGCCATTTGGCACGAGAAAACAGTCGATGACAACTGACACTAGCGGCAAGGCCAAGGAACTCCTCGATTCTTTGGTGGAGCCCCTCACTGCCCAAGTCCATCTTCTTCCAGCCATACACGCGCAGCTGGGTCTTCCGAGCTCTGCTATAGCAGCTGATCTCGATAAACTCCGTGTGGTTCTTGCAGATGCAATAGAGGCCCAAATACAGCAACGGCGAAGCGAAGTTAAAGCATGGTTGGAACGATGCGACAAAGTTGAAAAGGACTGCAATGTCTTGGCGAAGAGCACGGGGCTAGATAAAAGCGAGAAACCACCCACATCTACTATTTCTGAGCTTAGGAAGATAACTGTGAGTGATTTGGGTCAGCTGGACACGTTCTTCAGAATAGGAATATTCTCACGCTCTTGTCCGCGGCGGCGCCACGGATCGTATCTCGCGCAGAACATTCCGGAACGCCTTGAGCAGTTAGTCGCTCTTCGAGACTCACTCAATGCGGTATGTTTGAAAGTTTGACACGGTCATTTGGTCCATTTGTTCACCCTGTTCTTAACTTTAAGATTTATGCCGTTAAGTTCGAAGAAAAGAACGCATTGACTGTGGAACTCGAACGGATCTCGAAGATAGTTGGTCTTGAGTTTTATTCGGCCGATGTTTTGTCTGCCATCAATATCTCAGCGTCCGATGCCAAGGGTAACGATGCACTATGGAGGGACGTGACACCACAAAAACTGAACAAGCTCGAGAGAGAGATTAAACGTGGATTGGAGGAGATCGTAAGCACATCATTTACTCTCTGTATCTCTATTAGTTTTTTGAACTTATACTCGCTTTGAGTAGAGTACCAGGCAAGCCGAGCTGACGAAACTGCTTGAGCAGATAATGTGGTTGCATTCCGAGCTTGGTCTCGAAATCCCGGACCCCGACGCAGTCGAAGATCTTAGCATAATAATTGCGGATGAACAACAAGCCGCCACGTCCTTCAATCACAGTGCGACGCAAGGGCATGCCTCGAGTAGTACACGCGCGACACCTCAAATGTACAATCGAGTCCTCTCTGAATTCGCAGCACGCATAGCCGAATTGGACGAAGACAGCTTTGAAAACTTTGTTTTCGATGGCGTTGATCCAACTCTTGACATCATTTCGTATTTCGGAACAATTTTACAGGAGGTGAGGTTTTAGTTCATTCGTAACATCTGCATGCACCGAGAGAAGGAATCCATACCAAAAAGTTAGAACAACGCATGAAGACTAGACAACAACAAATACAATCAATGTACGACGAGCTTGAAGTTGTTTGGAAACGCCTTAATATACCAGAGATCGAAACGGAGGGATTTGTCGAACGGAATCGGGGCACCACTGACGATGTTATTCAGGCGGTAAGGTTAAATAGACAAACTTCTTATTATCCTGATGAACTCAAGCCCTTCAAACAGTATGAAGCGGAACTTGCTCGCATGACTGAACTGAAGCTGCAGAGTCTTTCTGGCTTTATTGCTATCGTGCGAGGGGAGTTACAGTCCCTTTGGGTCGACTTGATGATGGGTCCCAATGATCGTGCATTGTTCGCTCCGATGTGGAAAGGTATTTCGCAACCTTCAATACCTCGCGATGGGGTAATTCATGTGTTATATACAGATGAGGAAGAGGAGGAAGACCCGGAGGCACTTCTCAATGAGCACGATTTAGAAGTGGCCAGGTTGAAGGAAGAGAAACGGTCCAAAGCCCACATTCTTCCGTTTGTGAAGAAGTACTTCGAGATCTCGAATGACGAGAAGATATTAGCGGTTCGTTATTTTAGAGCCGCAATCATAGAATCACTCCAATACCGATCTGTAGGAATCAGCCTCCGACACTTCGCGACTAACAGGTCGAGGAAACCGGGACCCTGGTCGACTCCTTCGAGAGGAAAAGATGCGCAAGCGGGTGAGGAAGGAGAAGCCTCGAGTGAGTCTGGAATCACTTCAACTACCGCTCCATTTCACTCAACCCTTTTGTGGATGTCAAGCTACTCCGAGAGTTACTTGACTTTGTGTCGCATTGGGAGGCAGAGCATAGGTCCGAATTCCGTGTAGAAGACACATCACTTCTCGCTTGCCTGCAGCAAGATGCTGAAGCCGAAACATCTTCGAACCAAAGTAGTCAGAAGGTGAGTCTTGCTGTGTTAACCACCTGAATCAGTCAAGCTTACAATTCTCCAGAGAACCAAGGCGGCCACGATGTCAATTAGATCCGTGACACCTGCCCCTGGCGGCTCTGTCCAAGGGTCTGCCCAAAAGCACGGCCTTCCGAGCTCAGACAGCGGCCCACTTGCTAAACGGGCAAGGCTTACTCCTACCAATGCTCCAAGGAAACCGAACTCCACAACTCATTCACGAGGCGTCACGCCCACACCATCGAATAACCGAAACACTACTCCAGCAACCTTCGGAACGACTGTCCGTGCGCCGCTGCGAGTTAGTTCACAATCAAACGGTACCGTTCCGCCTTTACCGCCATCATATGACAGCGTCAAAATATCTGCGCATCCTTCAATATCCAACACCTCGTCAGGTCACGGCTTTGGATCCGTCATTGGCCTTGGCACTGCTCCATTGAGACTACCGAACGGGGCATCGGGCTACGCTCAGTCCCTTAGGTCTGGATCAGGATCAACGGTGAGAAGCGTTTCGGCTTCGTCAATCCCTCGACCGCCGTCCGCTGCGCTCGCTCAAGCAACTGCAAAAGTGGCTAGAAGACGGGATAGTTTCAAACCCCGACCCAGTTTGGATTATGCATTAGTAGACTTATCGGGAATGCACAGTGCTGGCTGCGGAGGTGAAGAAATCCTAGAGGAGAGTGACGAGGAACTGGAAGTGTATTAATTAGAGGCCATGATACCCTTTGGCGTCCATTTTGATCATTGCTTTCAAATGCCTGTGTGTTTATGTTATTTGTACAGTTTTCGTTGTGTAATGAATTCCAAGACCTCTGTGTATCGTTATGTACATGCAATTTGAGATGCGAATAAAACTACATAGATGAATCTGAAATCAGTGATTTGGTCCCAGATTGGTTGGAGCGCCCGACTGGGCCGGGTAATGATAGGGGTCAGAAATAAACCATGAGCTATGCCCGAAGGGAAATTGGTCGGGTAACCATGGTACCTCCAATGAAACGGAGTCAAGCGAGTATGTTTGGGGAGATTGTTCGTACGAGTACAGCATATCGTACGGGTTGCTTACTGAGAGCGTATCGAAGCGAGGTGGACCGAGACCTGCAAGTGTCTGGAGAGCTATCGGGCCGCCCCCGTTTGGCTGTGTCCCTGAATAGGGTTCATTACCCATCGACCGCTCCACGTTGCTCGAGGAAGTACTCTCAACTGATCTCCATGGCTCCTCATGCATTTGGGGAGATGATTGATGCACAGAGTTTAATCTATTCCACGGAGGATTAGTCGAAGCGCGAATATTATTAATTTTGGTGCGTACTGTGATCCATGACGCGATCCAGTTTCGGTAGGCACGGTCGGGGTCCCGCATTCTGTTTGCGGGGCTTGCTTTGACCTCCGTTCCGTTGAAGAGTTCATTGCTCTGTCAAATAGATCATTCAGCAGCCTCGCAGTGACTGCACCGGAGCTCCAGGTGCTTCCAATTTCTTCTAATATTGCAATGCAGTACGACACATTGCGTGCATCGTCTCCCCGTTGGTCCTGCGTGATGGAAGGTCCGATTGCTCTCGCTAAGTGAATTAGTCCTGCGACGTAGGCTATCTGCACGGCTGTAATAGTGATCCGACGAAGGCCATATATCTCCTGGTATCGATGGAACAGTTTAACAATCTGGCAGGCTGACGAGGTGCAATCTCGCAGCGCAGTCACTTGCAAATCGTAGATCACCGCTTCTCTGCCTCTGAGTGCACGGGCTGAATTTTGTGTGGCCGGCGTCATCACTCCTGTCTTGAAGAAGGGCCGGAGTAAGAGGATGAGAAGCCAATGGAAGCAGAGGTTTAGATTGAATGTATGAGGGGGATACATCGCCCCTTTGATTCCTAACTGATTTTGATGGCACCGCAGGCGATCCGGGAGGTTCTGCTCCCATTGGCGCATCTTGCCGCTAAAGAGGTGTCAGATGTCGGAAAGAGTCATTACAACAGGCCTAGAAGACTTACTACAGTTGGCGGACGCGGGATAAGTCCAACTCTCGGTACGGAACATATGCTAGTTCCAGAATCGTGGATGCGATTTGCATCAGGGTGACCTGGTACTGGAATGTAAAATCGACGGCCACGGGGCTCGGGGCACCTCCCACTCCCAAATCATCCAGCATGCAGAGATGTACGTCCATCCACTCCGATAGCTCCTTGGCTTCCCCCGGTCCCTCAAAGTCCTTTGGAGGAAGTCCCAAACCCTGAGACCTTCCAACATAAAGACTCCAACACTTGTCCTAATTCTGTGTTAGACAACACCGTCAACTGCACAGTGCACAGACCTACTTGGCAAAACAAGCTCCAGAAGATCCAGTTTCGCTCCAGTGCGTTATGATTCGGGATTCCACCTCCCTGAAGCGTTCGCAAGGGCACATGCAGTCCGACTATCAATGAATTAGATCACGGTCCATGAGTTGAACCAGATAGACTCACGAGATTCCCCCATCCTAACGGCCATCCCTGTCAAAGAAGAAATGTCAACATAATATCATTTCTACCGTGGACTGTGACTCACCAAAATACATGAACCCGAGCCCTGCTCATTGGGCTGGTTCAGTGCGTGTTCAAATAGGTGAGGGCGAGATAATCCTTACCCTGTTCGGAAAAGCCTGAATGATAAGATGACAGGACAGCAAGTGCCACGACTGTCGCAAGGGAGGCTTGTTGGCATTCAAACTCCAAAAAGGATTTTGCGTGCTTCGCAAACTGATCACGAAAAGCGCGGGACTGGCGTTCTTCGTCTCCAGAGTACGCGAATGCTACAGAGAGTATCGCGTTGTGCAGCATCTTGGAGTAGTGCTGAGTGTAAATCGGAATGGAGGGGTTGAAGGTTGCGACACCCATATCCCGAAGAAACAAATGGGGGATCACACGCAACTGCCAACCACAAAAGAAGGTGAAGAAATCCAGAAGGATTTTATCATGTTCGTGCCTAGGCAACTCAGAGGTGATTAACTCGGGGAGAAATGCGTTCCAATTCGCACAGGGATATCCAGAGTGTGAGTTGTCTGGTTTAGGCCTCAGCTGGTGAGGTCCATACCAATCCCCCCACAAACCGGAATCTAGTTGTAACTCGGCGGGAGGGAATGGAGGGTGGTCAGAGAATGGCGCCGTTTTCCCGTAATATTGAATGCGGCCATTTTCTAACTGCAAGATGCATTGGTAAGGACCCTCACGCATCAGGAAGATCGACAAACTCACGACAAGCCCTCCCATCGAAACGGCCAACCCACTTGTGTCAGAGTAATTCCCATCCGAGGCCGCATTCCCTTCGTCGATGCTCTCGAGGTCCTCCCCATAATCCAGTGATGGATATCCATTCTTCTCAATGATGGCTTGGAGTCGCTCAACCTTTGTTTCTAATTCACGAATTTCCCGCCTGAGGGTTTCTGCATCTCGATCCGAAAGGCGACGACGATGATCCACCTTCCCCTCCCAGTCACACTCAGAACCACGAGTAAGGCATCGTGTGCATGGAATGGCAACCCCACCGTTCGCAGGGGAGACTCCATCACATTTGCGGTGGCTACGGTAAAGGGACCGTTAGCTACATCATCATTTTGGTGCCAAGGAACTGCATACCTCCTGGCACATCGTGCACATGATTGCGAACTTTTACGCGTTGTCTGGTTTCTGGAGGAAGACGAAGCCATCAATGGCCTGAATTGCGCAATAATGCACGAAGATGACTGGGGGGGAGCAGTGTGTCACCATTCGCTCAACCAGGGGCTGGTTATAATGAAAGCCAAGGGGAAGAACAGCGGCCAAAACAGGCGCTCAACGCTTATCTCGGGTCTCGGATGCAAAAGGGATGCTGTGTAAGACAAAAGACCGGGTCAGGGACCTAACTCGTGTGAACAAGTGCAAGGTCAAGTGCGACGATCATTTTTTATTCGTTGAGCAGAGCCTGATCCAGCTCATGACCCCAACCCCCATCCACTCCCAGAAACAATGCCTTGGCCAGTCCCTGTCGTTCATGAATTTGCACAGGTCCCCACCAACCCCTCCGAAGCTGACTTCCATGGGCCATACAATAAACTCCTTTACACCGTGTTTCCGGCGGACGGTCCCTTTACAGTTGTTCCTGTGTACATCCCTGGTTCACGCGAGTTAGCCCCCCCTCTCGTCTTCTTCGAGGTTACAGTTGAGCGTAAACCTGTCCTCATACTGCTGCTAAAATCACCCAGTGATCTTCGTTACCGTTCCCAGCGTAAAGCCGCTGATAAAGAAATTCGGGTTCGCATCGAGGATTTAATCGGTTCGTCGGGATCAACTCTGACCGAGGAACTGTGCTGGTGGGGAACTGACATCCCTTCTGGCAGAATATTGGCACATCCCCACGCTATATGCTGTTAGTGCAATGGGAACCAGACTGTGCTTCTTCTCCAAACAGCCTGGCCAGCCTATCGTACCAATCACTCCCCTTAGTTCTATCGACGAGACCAAAACAGTTCCAGAGGAGCATTGGAGCTATGACATTCTGGAAGAAGAGGGGGAGCAGAAATTCCGAGCAATGGTTGAAGAGACACAGCAGGCTTATGCTGCTCTATGAAGGTTGTGCACATGTATCAGCTATTTTGTAAGTGTTCTGAAATTGTGCAGTTTGTACGCTCGGGTACAATTGCGACAAGTGTATTGTCTAATCCAAATAGGAAATGTGTCAATGAAAGCAAGCGCTTGACACAGAAGGAAAGCCCGCTGCCAGCCTACTTGATTTGGTCGTCCTTGTCATTTCTGTTTTATTTTTTACCGACTCTGACTCCACGGTTCGAATCAAAAGAGATGCATGTATGGTGCGGCAACAGTGACAGATGTCATTAATCAACCATGGACGCTGAATTTCAACTTGAAATTCATGACTTCCTCGTATCACTTGCAAGTCTCCGTACCATTCCCCCTTGACTCCCAGTGGCGACAGACACAGCTTTCGCCGTCACTTGTAATATATCGTCCTCGTTGAGGATTTTTCCCCTGACCCCTAAATGTCTATTCGGTTCCGGAATGGAAATGAGCTTGTGGTATGACAAATTGAGGGGGAGCAGACGCCACTCACCTTTTCTTCTTCTTCACGGTCCCTGGCTCACCAACATCAGGGACGTACTGCCCACTGGGTCCAAGCTCCGCTCGAGCTTCAATGCGTGCCTTTGGGTTTTGAATGATGAGTGGGCCATCCATCGAGTCATCAGGCGTCAAAAAGGCCGGAACTTTGACTTCCTTCGTCGATGCTCTCCGACGTCCCTGAGAGGTGCTCGCCACACGATTCTTCTGTGTATGACCCCCAGGAGTTCTCCTGGTATCGTCTACATCAAATGAGCTATCTTGTTGCTTGTCAAGGGCTGTGCTACGGGCTGAAGACTCAGACGTTGCCGAAGCCCCTGAGCGGCGTCGGCTTCCTTTCTTTAAGGACCGGGCCCTGGACGTGGGAACGTAATCATCATCGCTAGCGTTGGAGTCGATATCAGCGCAGCCATCGGTGTCAGCGGCCTCGTCCTCCGACACGAGAGGAGACGGATTTGGGAATTCGTCAGGGTGGGATGGCGTCTTGGACTTTGCTTTATGTTCCCGTTTCGACCCTTTCTGACTCTTATTGATTCTGGCGGGCGGCGTCGGGCTCGGTGTACTTTCTTGTGTGTCCATAAGCTAAACAACAACAAAGTGCTCATAGATATACAATATTGATAAATAAATTATAGATGACTGCTCACAAGACTAACTTCAACGTCACGGATATCTTCCTCTTCCGTTTCCTCGTCAGATCCCTGTTCACCAAATACACCTGTTCGCGATAACATCTCAATCTTTCGGTCCATCTTGAGCTCGTTCTCCTCGATCTGATGATGCATCAAACGGTTAACTGGCTCAGTGTTCGAATGAGCGGCGAGCAACATACCTCGCGACGAAGACGTGCAGCATACTTGCGCTCCATTAGCTGCATGCGTTCTTCCATCTCCTGCATGACGCTCTCCCTCGTCTCCGCCTCAACCATCGCACATCGAATCTCAGCCTCGTACCACTATATCGAGTACCTTTAGAATACACCAAACGGTGGGATTGTGATAAGGATCACGAACTCTTTCACGCATTTCCTCTAATTGTCGAAGCAGGATGCTGACGAGAGAGTCAGGGTCATCCTCTTCATCTTCCTCTTCCTCGGGATCTTTCTCTTCTGCTTCTGTTGGTGCAGCACATGAAATGTATGAACACCATACTCGAGTGTCAAACAGAGCAACGAACGCACCTTCGACGACTTCAATTACCCGTTCGACAGGGGCACCTCCCCCGGGAGCTGCAAGCGAAACTCGGACTTGTCGACTCAGTCTCTGTGGTATCAGCGACTCCTTCCGCGCGGCCGTGGAGTCGGCAGCAACGGGTATTTGAGTTGGCCTCAGAGTCGTCAGAGGCAACTTCGTCGTGTTTGTCGACACCTCGCTAGCAAGAGCTGCGAACTCCATCACTGTCGCATTCTCGTGATACCCAGTATCAAACGGATTGACGTTCACAATCATCACCTTGAACTGCGTCAGGAGAAGAAAAACTCCAAGTAGATGTCACTCAACCGCTCTCCCGCGTCCTTCAAAGAATTCTTGGAAGAGTTCGGTGAGCTTGGAGGTTCGATACATTGGGACTTCCAATCGAACAGGTCTGGTCGAACCTGTTTTGATCAACAGTCAAACACCCCCACGTCATGCAATGTGGCGTGCACGCACCCGAAGCTTTTGCTTTGACCAGCTTCATCTGATTACATCGCAGAGTTCTCATGCACTGGCCGAGTGCCATAAGCGAGTTGTTGATTTTATTCGCCTCATCCATTCGGTCGCCTACACATGGGGCAATCAATTACCATCGCTCATCATAAACAGAACAAGAGACAGAACAAACCTGTAGCCTGCGTATTTTTATTCCGCTCAGACCCGGCGAGATCAACAATCGACATCTTCGCAGTCTCCACGACCCCACTCCGCTACTCGCAGAAAGAAACCCCACATTCAATCATACCAACCCAGCAATGAGCGAAGCTTCGTCTACTCACATCATCTTTTCTCCGCCTTTCAATTCTAATTCCCAGAATTGCATGACTCCTCGAACTTTCCCGATTCGCTATTGTCCCAAACACCCTCCGCCCCAGCATCCCCATCCGCACAGCTTCCTTCGCCTCGTTGGCACTTCTCACACAGACTTCTTTCAGTGACGCAATGTACTTTGTTCCATTGACAGGATTGATCCTTACACTGAGGGCTTGACGGCTAACGGTCGTGGTTCCAGTGTTCTGTACAGCGAGGGTGGTGCTGGAGCTTGAGGCGCCAGAGCGCAAGGAGGAAGAGTTGGAGCCAAGCCAGGAAAAGGGGTTGAGACTGGAGAGGGTTGGGATGAGAGTTGAGCCTTTTTTGGATGTGTTCAGAGATGGAGCGGAGGAGGAATGAGAAATATCTGGAGCGCTACTTGATTGTGGGATGGAGGAAGCCTGGCTTAGAAGGTCGAATATTTGGTTGTTATAAATCTCGGCGTAAGATATGTAGACCGCATAGGCACAGCCATCATCGATGGGCAGTACTTTTATCGAGGAAAATTATGAGTCAAGTTGTACACTCTGATTTTGAATCGCTTACCAGTTTCGTCCCGCTCTTTCCATAATCCTTGGTCCTCCTCTGTTAACAAGGACTGCACGAACGTGGCGTCATGCTGTGAAGTACCCGCCTCGCCCATATCATCCTCTTCCTGGCCGATAGGTAAGATGGCAGCTTGCTAATGTGGAGATAAAAAATACCTGGTTTGCTCCAATACTATTAAATACCACATCAATTGCACGAGGGAGGATCCCAGGATTCTCGCCATCATGTTTTCCTTGAATCGTATATGTCTTCCCTGAGTTGGTCACGCCGTACGCGAAAACAAGGCCATTCTCCATGTTTAGCAAGTCCTTGACCAATGGGAGGGTGGTCTTCTGAAAGAAGTCACTCTGAGTTGTCGAGGGCTCAAATACTCTAGTAAATGAGAACGTCTGAGTACGACTGCTTGAAGCCGGTGCTCTAAGCCTCGATATTGATGACTTGAGGAAGGATATTGATGAAGAGGAGGGTGGTGAAAGCTGCACTTTGGCCTCGGAGATTAACTTGAGGTAAGGTGTTCTTGCTGGATCCTCATCGAGATCTGGTCGCACTCGGAGGTAGGCCTGAGATATTAATTAATCAGAAGCACAGACAGATAATGGGCGTAGATACACCCACCTTCATGGCTTCTCTTTCTTCTTGGATCCCTGTCGACACTGGCCGTAGTGCTTTCCTTGTGGCGGCGAGAACAGCAGCCGGACTCTGCTCAGTAGTCTCAGCTAGATCATTATCCTTTTCTTTAGTTTTCTTCGAATTTATTCCCCTTATTCCCAGAGGCTTCAGCCTCTTCAGACCAGGATTTTGTGCCTCTGACGCGGTAAGAGTGGCGGATGTTCGAGAGGTACCCAAGGCTGCCGCGGCTGCTCTAGTGGTACGAGTTGTCGATGGGACATCAGGGGCCGTCACTGATGTTTTCAGACGTGATGATGCCCGCGTTGCAGGTGTTGACACTGTATTGACCGATTTCAGCGGCATCGAACACGAAGTCTAAAAACGCGTTCGCGGTTTCGAGTTATTTGGTACTGTTTACGGCAAGGGCTAGACAAAGTGTTCCCACGGTGGATGCCCCAAGTAATTAATGTAATACCCAAAACCTTTTGACCTCCGCTCCAATACTTCAATGTGGAACAGCCTGAGAGTGACGTCTCTCACCACAACCCGTGCTATAAAACACTTCAAGAAACCCCAAACCACCATTTCTAACTTATCCTCACACATAGACATACACTATCTCCAATCAATTTTCCACGATAATGGCTGCCATTGCAAGGGTTTATCAAGCCCGGTTTGAAACTCACCCTGCTGTCACACTCGCCATAACGAATGGAACATTGGCAGCATTTTCGGACGTTGTCGCCCAGACATGTCAAATACTGGTGTGTCGTTGACCAGCACTTTGATCCGAATCTCCCCTCAACAACCAGTTATCTTATCTCGTTAGCTCACAACGCCCCAATCACATCCACCCCGCTCTCTGGAGTTCGATCCTCCTCCACCCAGGAGCCTGGATTTTTCTCGCACTGCGCGCTTTGCAGTGTTCGGAATTGGAATGGGCCCTCTCCTGGGTCGATGGAACTTGTTTTTGGAGAACAACTTCCCTCTAAGATGCGTAGGCGGCAAAGTCAGCTTGAAAGCTCTTGGAAAGCGTGTCCTAACGGACCAGGCCCTGATGTGAGTGCCTCGAGTTCGTTTCCGAATTTCTCCTGATTTTCCGTTGTCACGTCAGGGCGCCAACGGGAGTAAGTAACCGAAGATTCAAATTTCCATCCGCTGGTGTCTCAGTACTCTTCCGGGTCCATCATAGCTCGCCATTTTCATCGGTTCTATGGGTTTCATGGAAGGTCGCAATGCGGCCGGAGTACAGAAGAAGTTCGGTAAGTTGTTGCAATGCCGCAATTTGGCTTTGAATTGACTTTTCATAGCCGACATGTACAAGCCTGCCATTATCGCAAATTGGCAAGTATGGCCTCTCGCTCAGGTATATTCTATCAGTCCGCTTGTCTTGTAGCGCTTTACCTGATGTTGAACGCCCAGTTGGTGAATTTTCGATACATGCCTTTGCCATACCGCGTACCGTTCCAAGCAACTTGCGGAGTGTTTTGGACATTATACCTCTCACTACTCAATGCCAGGTCCGTGGCCTTTCATGTGCATTATGTTGCTTCCACGCACTCACCTTTATTACCTCAGGGAAGATATTAAGCAGGATGGACCGTATCGAGCGAAGAAACTTACTCTATGATCTGACCCATTACATCCCACCTCCGGAGATGCATTCAGTTCTGCAAACGCTTGACACACACACGAAGCAATCCAGACCATTGATTCTTGGACTCTTTCTTACAATGACTCCTCAACGACCTCAGTAATTTATCGTATTGTCAGCATAAATGCATTGTGTCCCATTCAATAAACTTTTACAGCAACTGCTCAATTCGTTGTTGAATGCCGGTATGGGAACATAAATGGAGTCCCGTTGTGACATCATTCCACCTCCGAGACAAGCGCCCAAAATGAATTCAAAATCAAATTCGGATCCTCTTGTCTTGCGTCATGCCGAGCATCACGGACTCGACGCTCGACAGCTTCATCACGACTTCACGGACACCCCCCAGGCCATTGGCAACGTCAACAAACATAATCGATCGTGACTCTACCTTCATCGCATATATCTTTCGCGCGACATCGCGTACCCAAGCAGCATCCTGTGTTTCCCATGTACGGCACGTCATGCACGCCGATCGGCCCGCTACACACGAGATGAGTGCGTGGAGATGTGTGATGCTTAAACACGGAAAGACTGGGCTAGATGGGCCGGATGATTTTGAAGAAGTGATGGGGCATGATGACGATGGGGAGACGTACGGTTCCTCAAGAGTGTTGGGTGTAATGGAAAAAGAAGGGGTTCTTGACGCCGTCGTCGTGTGTTCGCGATGGTTCGTATTGCATATTGTAGTAATTTTCGTATCCAGTCTCTAATCCCTACGTGCAAATCGGTGTTTCCAATTATCATGATGCAGGTATGGAGGGACGATGCTCGGGCCAGTTCGTTTCGCCCATATCGAGAAATGCGCACTGGAGGTTTGCCATGCCTTCAAGACCATCGAGCAAATAGAAGACTGCATCATTGAACTCAAATCATACGACGAGACGCTTGCCAAACTCCGGGCTGAGATCGCAACTTTGCAAGGAACGCCTCCACCACAACTAACGCCGACAGATTACAAAGCCGCTTTGTTGACCCCTCCTGATTTGGCGAAAGCTCAGCGACTGCTAAACGCGCGGAGAAGCGCTGTGGATGGACTTCAAAGGACCCTGGAGTTGAAGAAGCAGGCGGCGAATACTTCCCCCGATCCTTGAGCGTGGTGCATGGGTCCAATCACGAAAAATCAGCTGTATATCCTCAAGACCCAATATACCATACAATGATTTCCTGGACAGATTCTATCGCCGTATTACAAATGTACAATATTCAATCGTCTTGAAGGCAAATTATTCAGAGTTGATTATCGTTGAAGGACAGCCTCATTGGGATAAGCTGAAAGCAAGTCGGGCGTACCAACATGGCGCAGTTAGTACCTGTAATATTTAGCAAACTAATTCGTGAGTTTCACCACCGAGTGGTCGCATGACAAGGACATCACCCTCGGTAAAAACCCTGCTGCAATGAAGGCTGCCCAAATCCGCTTCCATAACCATATTGTTGTGGCTGCTGCCACCCTATCTGCTGTAGTTGCTGTTGCTGCTGATATAAACTCCCAAACCCGCCCGGTTGATTCCCACCACCGGTAACATAACCTGTGGGCTGCGCCAAGATAGAAGACTGTTGTGGTTGTGGGTTGGTATACGCCACTGTTACCCCAGCGCTTGTTTGAAGTTCTTCTGGCCATTCCGGAAGAGATCGGAGCCCCGCGTTGAGTGCTTGGCGCACTCGGGATCGCGAAGCCGTATCGGAAGAGTGACGGTAGCCAGACTGAACCTCTTCCAGTTGGAGTTTGGCAGCTAAGACGAGATCGATGTTGGAATCGGCTTCACGAAGGAGCTGCATGTATGTAAAGGGACATCAGTATGAGCGAATGAAGATGTGATGAGGTAATTGTGCCTACATCCTGGGCCCGAGTGACATCCTGTTGTGTCCATTGCTGATTGTAACCCGCTGTTGCGCGATTCACGAGATCCTTCCTCGCTTCCCATGCACCCTTGAGCTTCTCGATAGAGCTCATGAATTGTTTCCAGGCACTTGGATCCCATCTCTCCAGTTCATTTTTGTGGTCTCGGACAAAAGACCGTGGATGGTCAGAATGAAATGACGTCCCTCCAAATGATTCGGAAGTCGGAGAGCTGGGGGGTTTGGGAGCTGGAGCAGGTAGAGCTTGAGGAAGTAGTGCAAGATTCGCATAAGGATCAAAGGCTGCGATGCTCTGATATGTAGGATCGGAAGCATGCGACAGAGCACCACTCCGGTTGTCTGGGATTTGAGAGGGGAATTGCTGTCCAAACGTATTAAAATATTGGGGTTCCGAGCCCAACGCGTACGAGGGCTGTTGACCATTGCCGAAATATTGCCCAGTCTGGGGAAAACCGGTTTGTTGGGGATATACTGGCTGCTGTTGCAGAGGATTATACCCTCCACCAAAGGACCCTTGACCCCATTGTCCCCCTCCAAAGTTCGGGTCCCCGGCGCCTAATTGGCCAGTGAGAATGGACGGGTCATCGATCTTCGGGAACCGATTGGATGCATGGCTTGGATCCGACTGAAGTGCGAATGGATTATTGGTTAGCTGGGAGCCAGTCGGACCAGCAAAAGGGTTGTTCGACATCCTTCTCGTACGACGAATGAGCTCAATTCGCGGCGCAGTTTAGAGACGCCAAGTTTGTGGGATACCCAATGGCTGTACAAATTTTAAATGTGTCGTGAGGTCACATGCTAGCCTCATATTCATATTTGACATCACAGCCCATAAAAGGACGCTCCAAGAAACGAATGATGATCTAAGACTTTCCTTCAACCTCTACAAACGATCAGTGTCTTAAACGTTCAGTATGCCTCGATTTCTCAACAGCCTCGCTGAAAAGGTGAATACTAACGCCGATTTAACGTCGATCTTTGTTCGATGAGAGCACTTACTTGGCGTTGATCTAGGCACAAAATGCGTTGAATACGACTCCGCTTGGACAGCAAATTTCGACGCACATTCCAGGCCAACAGCAGCCCGCTCAGCCGGCTAGCACCACCACTCAGCCCCCTGGAAATGCCCCCACTAGTCCACCACCCACACTTGATCATACTTCTCCCCAACCCATTGGACTTACTGGCATACTGATGCAACACGGGCTTGGCAGTATTCAAAACTCTCTAAAGTCGCTTCAAACTCAGTACAGGCAATTCGTTCTCTTACCCTGGCTTATGCCGAACTCGTAAACCTGACTTTGCTTTTGAATCAATAGTTCGGCGCAAGACAAACAGATCCAGTTGCTCATACTTGGACAGAAGAACTTGGTGTATGACTACGATAATGTTGGCCGTAACGGAAAGACTTTTAGCAAGGAGCTGTACATTTGGGGTCAGGAGCAGACTGATGAAATCAAAGATGGTAAAGCCGTTATATCATATAGTACAGTCAAGAAATTAACGAACACTTTGTTTTCAGTGTCCGATCGATTTGCATACCTGCACTACGTCCATGGAAACCTCAACTGTGATCTAGCCGCGAAGATCGATGCTTCGCGCGCACCATTCAAGGATGCGAGGAATACCGAGGCAGCTCTAGGGCCCAAGCGTTCCCAATTGGCCGGGATCGATTCACAGATCTCCCGTCTTCGTTCCGAGGTTGAGGCTGGGAGGGCCACTCCAAACGCACAGGCAAAACTTGCACAGCTCGAACAGCAACGAGCGGCATTCATCAATGAGACCGATTCAGAGAATAAGAACATTAGCCGACAGTGGCTCGATGCTCTTAAGCAGAGCGAGAAAATCCAGTGGCAAGCATTTCGCGAGTACGCCGAAAAGCTTATCCTTCTCAGCCAAGCTGGGGAAGCGCTCTTGGATTCTTTGCCTACAGAACCTGCATCACTCTCGAATACGTACACGGGAGCCGGAAGAACGGCGGAGATCAGGCACCAAGCCCAGCAACTCCTGGAGAACTTCAAGCCGGGAAACTATCCTTCGCCATTCGCACCTGCCGAAAAACCAGGTGCACCACGCATTGACAGCTTTGGAATAACCCATCAACAGGAGCTTTCACGTACTCCTACCTTGGTCGACAAGGGAAGGCAGGATCAAGCAGCCCTTGTGGCGCTTGCTGCCGAACAGCGTTCCCAACTTCCTCCTAATGAGGGAATCAGTCCATCGGCTCCCAACGATGCACCTGCCTCGCCCCTCGCCTCAGTACAAACCCAATCTCCTCCAAGCGTGGCTGATCTTGGGGCGCCCCAGGTCGACAGCGCGGCACTCGCTCCTGCCGCCACGCGCCCGACGGTCGCCGAGATTGGTGGCCCCCGCTCCGGCGAGAGACAAGGAACGACAGATTCGCTGAGTAAGGATGCGTCCTCTCCCGCTCCCGTAGGTCGGGCAACTGAGACAGCAGAGGAGGAGAAGAAGAGACTTGAGCGCGAGGAAAGGGAGAGACTTCTGAGGTTCGGTCTCGAAGGTGACGGATCTTCCGCCGGGACTTCGGCCGCACCAGGCCCGGCTGAAGGGGTTCAGAAGCCTGAAAGTGCTGAAGAGGAAAAGAAGCGACTTGAGAGGGAGGAAAGAGAGAGGATTTTGAAAGCCGATCGAAGTGGTCATCCTCCCGATGATGAGAACCGTGGCAATCCACCAGCCTATGAGGGTTAAGTCTGCGTGCTGAATGCATACTTGACATTGAGTTTTTCTTCTGTGTAAACTGTGTGGCTCTTGAATGTTTCATCCTTAGTGATGTGTGTCTGCACTCGTGATTGTACCGGTCGTGCTTAGTATACCAAAAACGAATTGATATTCAGGATTCACGTTATAACCCATGGGACTTCAAACAGTACAAAGTCGAAATACTCTTGCTCCATAAGGGCCTGGTACTCGCCCGTGTTCAGATCTTCGGCCTTTCCAGACGTCTTCTTATCTATACCTCCTTTACGCCTTAAATATGCGAAGTGTGATGTAAGGGTATTGAGAATTTTTTTCGTCGATTTCGGGTCAGGCTGCAGCGAAGAACGATGGTTAAACTCAGCTGTGGGGGAATGGCGGCTTATTACTGGCCTTTATTATTAGTCCTGTATAATTTGCAGGTAAACCAAAGCGGAGGACACTCTCAACGAATAGGCAGATAACTTTCAGATGGACTAATACTTGGTACGCTTCTGAAAAGTTTGTCCGTGATACGCGTAGCATCTCCAACTATGTTTTTTTTTTTTTTTTTTTTTTTTTTTTAAAAAAAAAGTCAGTGGTGTGGTGATAGATAGGTATGTCGTCCTAACGCACCCAGAGTTCCTTCTCTGCTTGTTCAGCTGCTCTTAACTCGGAATTATGCTTTTCTACCAAGTTTTCTTCATACACGAAGTCTCGTACAACAAATCTAAAAGTCGAATATTGATGAGACGCACAAGGCGAAAGATTGTAAACTCTTTTACGACACACCTGTTTTCTCGACATTTCTGGGAAAACTGGTCCTTCGATTTCTTGAAGATGGTGACGCTGAAGAGGGAAAAATCATCGTCTTGGGATATTTTCCTGCAGCGAAAAGTTTTAAGCAGGACGCGGTTTGAATGATGATGATAAGCTTCATACTGTGAGGATCTCGGGACGACCATTGGGGCCAAACGTTCGTATTTGGAGTTCCAGTCGTTTACGTTGTTTCTGATGATGTATAAAGGCACCAGTGGTCTGTCAATTGGAGAAAAACCTACTTTGGAACTGCAACGAAGACACTCTCTAGGTATTCCGATTCGACTATCTGCTCCTTCGTGACAATCCCGATCAGTGAACGGGTCGACAGGTTCCCGCTGAAGGCAGATGATAATGAGAATCGCGGGGGGTTGCATAGGAGAAAAGGATGCATTTACGCAGTCTTTCGTTGTAATTGTGTGAGGGATCCTTTCGCGAGATTATAGTTGTTTAGCCTATTCTTGGTCACATTGTCAATGGACGTAATTTCCTTGAGGAAGAAAGATGAGGATTCGGCGATGACAGAACTCAATAGCCGACGCATGCCTTTACTAGCGTGTCGACCAAATCGCGCAAACCTCGCTGAACGCCATATTTACCGGAATTCCATCTCCATCCTTTGAGGAGATAGTCATCGACGCTCCTTTCGTCAACTAAAACATGTTCCGCGAGCCGCTGAGGGTTATTGTTGAGCAAATTCCGTAATGTGTCGACTAGTTTGGCTGTGATGGACGTGAAGGCAGTATCATGCTTCGGCAACTCCTCAGATAGTGACACAAGAAGCTCGAGCGTCCCGGTCTAGCCAGTCACTATGATTAGGCATTCGTGTGCAAGAAGAGTCCACTACCTCACTAACGCACTTTCAGGGATGGTACCGAAAGCTCGGAAATATTAGAAGGTGATAGGGCTTTCGATTGGCTCAACTTTCCACTAATTTCCTGCAACAATCCTTCCGCATCGCCGTCATTTGGGACGGACACGAGCCATGTGCTGAGATCGGAGGGCATTAAGGCAAGCGTCAGGAGGGACAAGGAGGATAAGTCCAGATTCAGGACAGTCACGCGGTCACATTGGACGTGCTTGGCTTGTTTTCTTTTTGGATTACCGCCACAAAAAATCTGGCGTCTCAACTTGGGCTTCTAAATGCTTTTGGAGTATTTTTAACGCAGTGAGATGTCCCTGTGGATCTAAGGTGCAGGCAGCCAGACCACAACGACGCGGGAAGTTACGCAGGAAGGATAGAAAATCAACATCATATGCATACTCATTCGTTTCGGGTGACCCATCTATCTGGCGTCTGGCATTTCTTATGATCCAGTTATTCCCCGTCGTTGTACACCCACTGGAGGCCTGTCCGCTACGCAAAACGTTTTAATCTGGTCAACAAATTCATGTGGGTTGATAGCTCATATCGCTTTTCCAGGATGCGTGCGACGCGTTCTCAATGCTAGCATCATAGCCACCTGGGCATATCTTGCCCGTAACAAACTTCCCACTCCTTAGGTTCCGGAAGGGAAACGCTGGCTGTCGCCCAAAGTCCAGAGCAGGAGTTAGGGTGGGACTCAGACGAATCCTGGCTTGAAGTGCCCCCTTTACGGCACCGAGTCTAACGGCACCAAACTCTTTTCCTCGTGGCAGGAAGAGTCCCGTTGGTTTTTAACCTCGAAAATTTGCTCCAATGGAAGGTTTGGTCTCTTTCCAGACTCCCAGGAATATGAGAGATACAGACATTCGCCACAAATTGGGACAGAAGATACACCCAGGGCGAAATAAGGACAAGGGTGGCCCGCCAAGACACAGGTGGATGGCAAGGCCTCGATTACGTAGTATATTCGTAGCAAAAACCGCAGCTCTGTGTCCTTCATACTTATGAGCAGAAACAGTACCCAAGTCGAATTGGAAGTGTACGACATGAGATGGTCATCGATAGGGTTTATTTACATTGCCTTAATGTAGGACCGTCGGTATGGGGAACTTGACCTTCCGAACGCGTCCGGCCAATCGAGCCTCTCATTGAACGGCGGTATCAAATGCACTTTTGATGACATCATATGCTACACCAGGGCCAGCCATACAATGACTTCGTCAACCTGTTGCGGCTTAAGGGACCAAAAACGTCATTTGGGGCGCCTGCGGGTAAAATTGAATGCAGATCCCCTTTTCCGTTGTTAAAACGTCAGACTGTCGCGCTCGAGACCTAGTTGGTCGTGCCACTGAAGAATGCATGTATCAGCATACCAACAACCCAGTCACATCGGAGGCGATCACAGATGCCATGGAGTGTCGTAGAAGTGCTCTGCAGTACCGAGTGCTGAAGTACATGCCCTATTGTGCAGCCACGTCGGGCTTCGTGACATCATTACGGGCACCTTTATCCTACAGCTTACTCTAGCTCTGCCAATTGGAGCATGCAGCACAGCCGTCACGGCCAGAATCCTGACTTTTACAATATTCTGACTGCACGATTACGCGAAGCACAGAAATGGGTCGTACATCCAGTTATATATTGCCTACGATACCGACGCAAAAAGGATGCATGTTTGCGATGCTTGGTGACTAGGGGTAATCTGACGTTTATCCTTTGGCCGGAGCAGGACATTTTCCACCTCCCCTGCAGTTTACTTTCCTGTTCTTGGCCTCTTCTCGTTGGGCACAAGTGCGCGCCACACCAGATCATGTGGGTCCAGTATACATGCAGCTAACTGTGTGCTATACTCCAAGTCATCCACTTGGGCCAAGCCCTTTGGTGCCGACGCTGGTATTTAAATTTTACTCTTGTCCTTGGTGGTATTGGTGGAATTATAGGGTTGGTAACGCCCGGATTCTACATTCATTGGTGAATACTCACAATCCTAGATGGTCAGGCCCATTGCGGTCCGCCAAGAATGTCTCTTCAAACACTACCTTCCTCATATAAATCTAAATCTCGACGACGACTTTCAGGTACACAGATATCATGGGAGAAACAGCCAATTGCTTGGGGCCTCGATATAGTCTGATATCAGCAAGAGCCTGTGCGCTCGTACTCCGGATGCGCAAGCCAACCCCCCCAGCCAGCTAGAACTGGTCTCTGCACAGTTACTTCGCTTTCTCATTACTATCAGTAACACGTGCTTTCGTGAGTTCACCCACCGCTGTGAACAATTGTCTACTTTCTAACTTGGGTTCTTAGCCCTGCTTGACCTTTGTTTTCGTGCATCCCACCCCCTTCCCCATCACCACCTAGTGTGCTTACCTATTTTGAATGTTGACTGTCTCCGTACTTCAAACCAGTTATCCTGTATTTAACTGTTGACTATGTTCCGTATCACCACTTTAACTCTTTGCGTCATTGTGCGTATCTGTTCTTTGTTTGTTTATGAGTCACATCTGCCGCTTGGCCCATTTAGGACCGTGCACACTACCCGCTGATTCAGACCGATTAGTTCGGAGCATAATTTTGATGGACTATTCCCCATTGAAACGACTTCATTATCCCGGCCTTCCCAAATAAAAATTTGAACGCACCGCGTCATCGAGTGAAGAGAGAAATTGCATTAAACAACCTGGCTGATGTCAACGACGATCGGGGCTGTCATTTCGCCTTGGACAATAAATCGAGTACCATCCTTGCTAGCCGGAGGGAAGTAAAGACGATCGTCCTTCAGCACCCGATCGCCATACCAGGCCCTATCGCTGTGGTCAGTCGGGCAGTATTCTTCCGGGAGGATGAGTTCATATCCTCCATTGAACCAAATTAGAGGGCCACCAATCATCGGAACTCTTCCTGCGGTGGAGGAAAGATGTTCAATGATATCAGACAAGGATGCAGCCTCGAAACCGTAAAAAGGGCACTCCATCCAGGATTCATCCGTGTTTTGCCCTAAATCTCTCTGGGAATTTTGTACAAAATCAGGGGTTTTCTCCGGGATTAAAGGAGTGGCGGGTCTAGGGTGTACAGGCTCAGGAATGACATATGAACTGGTGGGTATAACGCCAGCATTGAGAACCCATTTCACAGAATCTGGGAAGCGATATTGGGTGATCAATTTGCATGAATCGGTTGACCAGATAAAAACATTATGGGCAAGGTAAACAGCAACATATCGGCCTCCAGGTGAGAATCCAAGCCCATACTGATGGGGGATCGCCGGAATACTAGGGCATTCCATAGGAGGTAATGCGAGATGCTGGATGAATGGACCACTCGAAACATATAAGAGTGCGATGGTGCTGCGGCCTTCGTAGAACTTCCCTGGGACCCGTAGGATCATGGATCCATTGTCGGAAATGGCAGTTAGAGCAGGATAGAGATCGCTGGGCCCAGGAAAGGTACCGAGTTTCAACGGTTCGATGTCGTGGCCAAAGATGATGATGTTTCCATTGCTGTCCTCAGTCGCAATCCAGTGGTTGCCATTGCAGAACTTGATCCAGACTAGACAACTAGGGGGGTTGAATTGGAACTGAGAGATCGTGCACTGATGGTCGATGTCGGCAATCTCGATAACACCACTTCCAAAACCAAGTGCAACCCAATGGCCATCTGGGGAGAGCGCTGCACAGGTCACAATGCCATTACGGACATTATGGTCACGAAATTCGGTTTCATAATCAATCACCTCCCCAACCCATTTATCAACCTTCTTTGGCAGCTCGTTCAGCTTCGCCTCCATGACCTTTCGAGCTTTAAATGCATCCTGGCTTAATGGGACAAAGCGACCGCCATACTCGCCATCGATGCTGAAGACTCGAACGGGATCTGAGAGATGACCATATAATTTGTAAATGCGCGATGATGACGGAGTGAAAGGAAGGCAAGACCGATACATATCGTAATCATCGGTCTGCAGTCCAGAGGAAAGATACCGCAAATCCCATCCAGCAGCCCAGAGTCGCATCAATTTGTGTTTCTACGGAGTACAGGTAATATCATAATTCAAGTCCTTCGAGTACAAATGGTCTGGACTCACTTTGAATCGATTCCAACTGCATTCATCGTGATGACCCACATGAATGAACGAGAGTAAATGTTTTGTAAGAAGCTGCTTGAATTCCCTCTGCAACTCATTAGACCCTCGTGAAAAGAGGAGTGAAGGGTCTAAGTGCTCGGTCAAGTATTCAAATGCATACTCGACATATTTCGGTTGCTCCTTGTTCCAATTATCCCACTTCTGTCTATCGCCCAAGGGAAGTTCGGTGGGGATATTGAACTCATTCCGGTCAAGTGTACCATTCACAAGTCGAAGGAGTGGTAGTCCGAGGAAATATCCCTCCACATCACTGATAAAGAAGACTCTGTCGCTTTCCTCACCAATGGGTTCACCCGTAATAAATTCCTTCGCGGTTGCATGGTAGAATGTGACCGGCTTCGTGTGGTCTGAGGGAAGATTGACTATTGGGCTAATAGGTTTCAGCGTCATGTCGATGTCATTCTCAGTAATTCCTAGAATGATCGACATAGACTTCACGTCACGTATACCATCGGTTTGTGCCGTGATGATCGTCCCGACTGCTTGGCGATAGTTGTTGACCACGTGGGGACGAATGCATGAGGAATGGGACATATAGGCCCGCCGGAGTATGCGCAGGTATTCCGAGTTGAGATCACTCGGTATATCAGTAAGATCGCGAAAATAGTCAAACTCTTGTCTGAGGGAAGATCCCATTCGAGTGTGAGCGCAGACCTCCCGTACTCGGATCGAAGCCATGACGGGTAATCCACGGCAGCCTGAAGCGAAAACCTCGAGGTCTTCCTCTGATGGTTCCCATGCCGACTCCCTGATACAATCGCGGAGTCCTTCATCTACCATGCAACGAACCGTATGTAGAGTCTCATCCTCTTCGGTCTTATCCACATCTTCGCATGGGATCTCAAGGCTCCCATTCCGGGCTTTGGCTCGGTTCCAAGCCGAAACAACTTCCTGCTCAGGACGACAACTAACTAGTATGGAAAATACTGGAGGGAGCTCATCAAGTAGAAGCACCAGCTTCATCAGGGACTGAAGTGCCTCTAGATCGCCACACTCGTCTAACCCATCCAAGACGATCACAACGCGGCCCTCTCTCAAAGCCCATATTCCCATGAGATCATTCATTGGTTCAATGATCAAAACCCTCATTTGCTTCTCCAAGGGAAGGCTCTGAACCAACTCCAAATCTGGATTCCGAAGGCGTTTGACGAGCGACACTTTGAAGTCGTCGCTCCAGTGCGCGAGCTGCCGTGAAAGGGTAGAAGGAAACCCCTCCAAAGAGTCGAGGCCCGTCCCCTTTTGGTTCTTATCCCAAAAGAATGAGGCTGCTAGGTTATGCTGCTCATGAAGGGTGGAAGCGATGCTCATGGAGATTGCCGTCTTCCCAGTGCCAGGTGAGCCCCTTAACCAGACGAATCGGGTTCTAGCCTTCCTGAGGTGTTCGAGTATGGATTTTTGCATCCTGGTGCGCGTGGTTGGGAGGCATTCAGACTTGGTCTTCACATAAGTATACTCAGCCGGGACGCGCGCAAGCCTCGCAAGGTCGGCTGAAAACACCATCAGTGGAAGGATCCAAGAAAAGTCATGGGCACGTACATTGTACAGCTGCCTGGATCGTGTGAAGAAGAGTCAAAGTTGTCGCCTCCGTCTATGATGTGCATTCCAGTCAGCGAACAACCACTCGGGAAACAAAACAAACAAACCGAGAAGGAGCTGACTGCCTTGATTATACATATCTTCACATCGCTTATGCTCCGCGAGATCTGAGTTCCTGAGACTATTCTCTTTGCCAGGCCTTGACTCTTGAGGGACCTGATCTGTCTGTTTTGTTCTTCTAAGGCCCTAACAACGGGGATTAGGTCCAGATGATCAGCATGGGAGCTGAACATACGCACCGGTGAAATTCCTCGATTAGTGAATCGACTTCTGGAGATATCTGGCCAGTCCACAGCTGGAGTGGCCGCAAAATGGTGTTGTACGCTTTTTGTATTTCGTCGTTCAATTCTCTGAGAGTCTCCCCATTTCCATCAACGGTCTGCACAGAAATATGAGCGATATGCCGTCACTGAGAGAACAGCATTCCAACCTCGAGAACTTGGAGTATCGTGAGAAGTAAGTCCGGGATGTTGGCGAGAAGCGCCGGAACGGGGCTCATCCTCAGAGCGGAGACTGCGGTTTGAAGAATGATCCTCGTGGCACCGAAGATCGATTTCTTTCTACTACCACTGGGGCCGATCGGAGACGACAACGGCTCTGATGGGGGGGGTGGAATCGGGTCCGTGCCTAGATGTTTTTGTTGCGGCCGGAACCTTGTACTGCTGTCTCGTAGCGTACAGATACTGGGTGTTACACAGGGCGTCTCGATACTTCCCGGTGAAGGAGGAGAGGATGAAAGTGCCGAATCATCATGGAATGACCGAGCGGAAATAGTCGAAACAGACCATTCGGAGAGGGGCGCGCTCGATCGATAGCTACTGTTAAGATTGGGAAAATTTCCCCCAACATCTTGTTGGGAGTGTGAATCCCGTGGATCGCCAGAAGAGTACGGCGTAGGCGCAACCCGGGAATGCTCACCATAAGACTCCGCCGGTTCATCCTCCCGATCGTGGCGAATACTGTCGTAGGCCTGGCGGGCCTGCGAACCGGTAACGTAAACCTGGGGGACTTGGGGTGAAGAAACCAAGGTGTGCAGCCACGGGTCACTCAAAGATGGCCCATTCGGTGCAGCCACACGCTTTGGAACAGGCAACCAGCGCTGAATATAATTTCGAGAACTGCCAGAAGGTCCCGAAGTGTGCATGATCCAAGGAAGTTCGGGAGGTGGTGCAGCTAATCCATCGTACCGATTGTGAGGGACATTGACGTGAGTCTGAGAATTGGTAAGATAGTTCTGGGGAACCTGAAATGAGGGAGCCGGGGCACGCGATGGCTGTGGATCATCGCAATATGGCTTGGGGGTGCGTCGCTTTGCTATCCAATTGTCCGGGATCGACGTTGATTTTCTTTTGTGAGACATAGCGCGAACGTGAAGCACGGTCAAGATGGGTAGTGGATCGGGGGTTGGCCTGCCCACTCAGCGCTCCCGGATTATGTGCTGAAACGGCTGTGCGGTAGAGAGAAGCCTCGGCCACGATGCAAGCTCAATGGGAAGCATTATCTTGTTCCTTTTTTGGATGCTGATTCAAAAACATTCACTAGTAGCCACCAGAGAAGCCATGAGCCAAAGCGGTGCTGGAATCAATTTGGTCCGAGTTAATCGTGCTGCAATAGTGCAATGCGGTAGGCGCCCGGCAGTGCGGCTACGTCTGTCCGAAACCTTTCCCGCTCCGAAGGTCTGAAGCAGACGATCCAAGCACCCAGCCCCTCTACTTACAATGTTTGTTGGTCAGTCTCTTTCACGGAGGGTGTGATTCCGCAGAGGCACGTTTAGGTGGCAGATTTGTCGACTAGAATCACTAGCCAAAGCCGAGTACAGCTTGGATGAAAAGTGACAGGATCGAGAATATTGACTGCAACGGATGCAAAATGCCCCCTCGGTCTTTGTCTGTTCTTCGTGATGTCAACAAAGCTCATCATTAATAAGTGACACCGAGGCATTAACCTGGGCCTGTCAGAACGCCCTCGCCCAGACGCAGAATATATACCAGGCTCGTCACTCGAATATTGTCCGTCTTGATTCATCAGCTATGTTGGTACGTTTGATTCTGCATTCCAAGCGCATGCTTCCTGTGAACCTCAAAGTCCTCTTCTTTTTCCCCTAGCGCCAGGTGCCCATCTTTAGTGCCGTCTTTGTCTCTGATCTCACCTTCCTTGTCGCTATGCCGGCTCGTTATGTGTACACCGAAATTGCCACAAGTTGGATGATTATACCGGCTGTGGTGGACGGACTGGTGAGTAACTGCGATCAGGACCCGCCCAGCGTAATGTGTCCTCCAATATTTGGGTCCCGTTAATGGAGTCCGCTGCGATCGACGCAACCTTGCCCCCAACCCCTGTGATGCATGTTAACACGATGAGGGAAAAAAGAGGATCGAGGGAATGCATGCCTGGGCCACAAACGTCACTCACTAGGTTCACGGACAGGAAAATAAAAACATCGGCCCAGCATGTCAATCAGCAAAGGCCGCTTGCGCATCCAGAATGGTACGAGCGCACAAGTTCTTGCCGATATCAAGGCCCCAAGCGATTGACTATTTCCTCCAAAATGATGAAATTTGCAGTGCTCAAGAACGTCGGGCCACAAAAGTAGTGACCGCTGAGGGAAGGATATCTGTGTACCTGAAAATCGTCGTCGAGATTTATATGAGGAAGGCAGTGCTTGAAGAGACATTCTTGGCGGACCACAGTGGGCCTGACCATCTAGCGCCAAGGGTCGATTGTGAGCATTCACCAATGAATGTAGAATCCGGGCGTTACCAACCCTATAATTCCACCGATACCACCAAGGACAAGAGTAGGATTTAAATACCAGCGTCGGCACCAGAGGGCTTGACCCAAGTGGATGACTGGGAGTATAGCACACAGTTAGCTGCATGTATACTGGACCCACATGATCTGGTGTGGCGCGCACTTGTGCCCAACGAGAAGAGGCCAAGAACAGGGTGCGGATCCACAGAGTAGGGGCATAGCCGTAGGGAGTATACGATGGTTCAACTGACATCGCCGGAGCCAGGTGGAATAGACTGTAAGAGGGGGGGGGGGGGCGGAAGATGTGCAAGCCTGAGCCAAAGATGCATCAATAAATATCGAGTCATCGAGTATATGCATCTTTCTTACCTTGGTATCGTAGGCAACGTACCATGATGGGATGCACAATCCACTTCTATGCATCGTGCAATCATGCAGTCAGAATATTCTATTCTAGCTATGCCGCATGCATGCAACACCACCGTCTGCGTCTCCCAACCTATAGCATAGCCCTGATCACTATAAAACTTGGAAGCGAGTCATAATAAACAATAAGCTTTTAATTCCACCCCCACCCTTCATTAATATTTGAGTGTAGCCGTCGCTGAGTGCTACGTCCATATCAGGCTAGTGAGGTGTGGGATTAGGATAATGAATAGTGATGCCATGGATGGTCAGTTGAACTTCGTTTGTTATTGGGAGAGTGAACACGCAGACACAATTTCCACCATAGATATACCTGTTTGGGTGGCGACTGGGTTGTTGTGGGCACTATGAAACTGGATGAAATGTGTTGGTAGTCGTGCAACTTTTCCTATCAGTGTTGCAGACGAACCTACACTTTCGTTGACCGCAGGCACTATGGCCATAGTACTAGAACCAGTGTCAGTGAAGTATCTTGCAATCGGCAGGTGTCTAAGAAAGGGCATGCATCCTTTGGGACTAGAATCGCGAGTGGAACCCAGCTGATCGTGTCCGTTGATGTCCAGATGAGCAGGTGGTTCATCTTGGGGCGGTGACGTGCCAATGCGAAGAAAATATTGGGTTTCTGAAATTAGGAAGGTATGGGACATTAAAAAAACTCATGACAGTGCCTCTAGCTAACTCAGATGCTCGTGGTCCAGGAAAGCATTCGATCGATTCTCTTTTTTGGCCTGGCCGTGTTGACATGCATCACAGGGGTCGGGGGCGGGATTGCGTCGGCCGCAGCGGACTTCATCAACGGGGACCTGAATATTGGAAGGTACCCCATGCTGGGTGACATCTCATGCTTTCCATCGGCTGCGATCGCAGTTACTCACCATTTTGTCCACCATAGCTGGTTTGATCATCCGACTTGTGTGCACATTCCTCGCTGCTATTTTCGTCTATTCTAATCTTCAACGCCAGTCTGCATCCTTGAAATTGGGACGGTCAGGGGGTTCGGCCCCCAGCTCCACATCGTCCGAGAAGAATCCCGAGGCGATGTTCGATGGACGATATGTGTCCTTGACTCCCAGGATAGGGTTCATGTTGACCGGGATCCGCATAAATTCGATTTTACTGCTCATCCGGGCAGTGTATCGCATGATCGAGCCAAGTGATGGTTGGAACGGTAGTACCATCCGGACAGAAGTACGTATTCGCTTGTTTTGATCCAAAACCTATCACTTAGTTTCCCCCTAGGCCTATTTCAGTAAGCTTAATGGGTGTTTGTCCGAGAGAAGATGCCAGTATTGACCATTCTAATCACAGACGTCTTCGACGCGCTCTTCGACGTTGCTTCTTAATAACTTGCACCGGAGAATTCTACTCGATGAAAATTAAAGGCTTGATATCGTTTCGCATGGAAATAGACGGCTTATGATACCCAATCCACTAGTCCAGACCGAGTTCGAGTTGGATGATGGACTTGCTCACTATTCAGTATCCTAAGTGTAGAGTATATATAGGTGTCGACTGGGGATAGAATAGACCATATGAACTACAGCCACTTCTAGAGTTCTGATATGTGATCGGGCAGGCGGAAGTCAGTCCAGCGAAGAGGTTCCCAGATAATGATAAAAATGGGCGCCTGGTACTAAATAAAAAGGAAATGACTTCAAGTTTCACTGGGTGCATGCGGTTGGAATGCAGAGCCAAGCGCGTCGACATGTCGGTTGCGCCAAGCTGGCTAGTATGGCGATGTTGCTGTAATATCCGAGAATTGATACGCCCTCGCCAGAGGACCTTCTAACATACTTACGCTTTCGCGTGATCTATGCCACAAGGATCAGACAAAGGTCATGAGGGGTGAGCGGAATTGAAGGTTATGAAGATGTGAAGAGTTAATTATGTTCGGAACGTCGGGTTTCCTGCAAGGTTGAGGTGAGGGCAGCGGATTGAAGAAATAAAGTTGGTGTAAGCCCACGGGGTGTTAGTGTGTGTGGGTGGATGACTTTTGTACATTTAACCTGCAGGCTGCTCCTGAGAGTGCCAAGGGCATGGCAGGGCTGGGTCCCCCGAATAAAAATACGAAGAAAGTCTCAATGAGTCCGATCTGAGTGCACCCGTCCTCCTTCGTCCGAGTAGGGCCCAGATCGTGCTCCGTTGACAACCCCCATATTCGGTCACGATGCCAGCACTTAGGCAGGTGACAGCCCAGGTAGAGATTTACGCATAGCCACCAAATATGCCGCCTGAACTACAGAACCACACCTCAGGCTCGGTGGAATAGACTGCCGACGAGCCTCGGGAGACTGTGAGCCCACAGGTTGATTTTGATGTGAAGGTGTGAACCGAGGCTTGGTGTCTTGTGCCTTTTTTTTTTGATGGGAGCTTCTTTAGCGTACGCTGGCAGTGTGCCTGAAGGGCCTGAAGGTTTGTGATGAGAGGGCTGAGCCTCCTGGGGGAGGTGTTTCGTACGGCTCTTGCCTTTTTGGTTCGTGATTTTTCAGTTGTGACTTGTGGTGCGAGCTGATGTGTTCGGCCGGTGCTTATCTCTAATGTGCTTTCCTACCAGGTGCCTGGCGTGATGGATGAGTAGACGAACTAGATGCTTGAATCAGTCGCTTCGGACCTTCGGAGCGGATGCATTGCTGGGCGCCTATCGATCAAGCACGATTAATACAAACCAAAACTGCTGCCAGCAAGCACCGCTTTGGCTAATCAACTAGCTTCCCTTGTCATGGTCACGATTAAGTAGTGAATGATTGTGAACCAACATTCTATTTTCCGAAACGGAACATGGCGGTCAAGGGGTGTCTCCATCGGACAGCCGCTTCAGCATATAACCGTCGAGTGGGGCAGCGCTGAGTCCGAGTCCCATCTTAACTGTGCTTCACGTTCGCGCGATGTCTCACAAAAGAAAATCGACGTCTGACCCAAACAATCGTATTGTAAAGTGCCCCACCCCTGAGCCATCTTGTGATGATCCGCAGTCACCGCATGCCTCGGCTCCCTCATTTCAAGTTCCCCAGAGCTATCTTACCAATTCTCAGACTCCTCAAAGCTACGTCAATATCCCTCACGGTCGGTACGATGGATCAGCAGCACCACCTCCCGAACTCCCTTGGATCATGCCCACTTCAGGACCTTCTGATAATTCTCGAAATTATATTCAGCGCTGGTTGCCTGTTCCAAAACGCACGACTGCATCGACTGCACCATCTTTGAGTGAACCGTGGCTGCACACTTTGGTTTCTTCACCTCAAGTTCCCCATATTTACGGTTCGCAGGCCCGCCAAGCCCACGACAGTATTCGCCACGGTCAAGAGGAAGAACCAGCGGGGTCCTATCATGGGCTTTTTCGAGTTGCACCCACACTGCATTCTTCTGGTGATCCACGGGATTCACATTCTCAACAAGATATTGGGGGGGAATTTCCCCATCTTAATAGTATCTATCGATCACGCACGCCCCTTTCCGAACGGTCTGTTTCGACTATTTCCGCTCGGTCATTCCATGATGATTCGGCGATGTCACCCTTTCCTCCCTCCTCGCCGGGAAGTATCGAGACGCCCCGTGTAACACCCGGTATCTATACCCTACGAGACAACAGTACAAGATTCCGGCCACAACTGGAACATCGAGGCACGGACTTTGTTTCGCCTCCCTTATCAGAGCCGTTGTTACCATCGCCGACCGGTCCCACTGGCAGTAGAAAGAAATCGGTCTTTGGCGCCACGAGGATCCTTCTTCAGACCGCAGCCTCCGCTCTAAAGATGAGCCCCGTTCCGGCGCTTCTCGCCAACATCCCGGACTTACTTCTCACATTGCTCCAAGTTTTCGAGGTCGGGATGCAGTTTTCTCAATGACGGTATATCGCTCATATTTGCTCCACCTGTGCAGACCGTTGATGGCAATAGGGAAACTCTCAGTGAACTGAACGAGGAGGTACAAAAAGCCTACAACACCATTTTGCGGCCACTCCAGCTGTGGACTGGCCAGATATCTCCAGAAGTCGATTCACTGATCAAGGAGTTTCACCGGTACGTATGTTCATCTCTCGTGCTGATCATCTGGACTTAAACCCCGTTGATAGGGCCTTAGAAGACCAAAATGGACAGATCAGGTCACTGAAGAGTCAAGGCCTTATAAAGAGAATAGTCTCGGGGACTCAGATCTCGCGGAGCATAAGCGACGTGAAGGCATGTATAAACAAGGCAGTCAGCTCCTTCTCGGTTTGTTTGTTTTGTATTCCGAGTGTTTGATTTTTCGCTGACTGAAAGTGCATATCATAGTCAGAGGCAACAACTTTGGCCCTTCTTCACACGATTCAAACAGCTATACAATGTACGTGCCCATGGCTTTTCCTGAGTCCCTCCACTGATGGTAATTTCAGCTGACCTTGCGAGGCTTGCGCGCGTCCCGGCTGAGTATACTTATGTGAAGACCAAGTTTGAATGTCTCCCGACCACGCGTATCAGGATGCAAAGGTCCATACTCAAACATCTCGGGAAGGCTAGAACCCGATTCGTCTGGTTAAGGGGCTCACCTGGCACTGGGAAGACGGCAATCTCTATGAGTATCGCTTCCACCCTTCATAAGCAGCATAGCCTAGCAGCCTCCTTTTTTTGGGATAAGAACCAAAAAGGGACGGGCCTCGATTCTTTGGAGCGGTTTCCTTCTACTCTTGCACGGCAGCTCGCGCACTGGAATGAGGACTTCAAGGTGTTGCTCGTCAAACGCCTTCGGAATCCAGATTTGGAGTTGGTTCAGAGCCTTCCCTTGGAGACGCAAATGAAGGTTTTGATCACTGATCCAATGAATGATCTCATGGGGATATGGGCTTCGAGAGAGGGACGCATTGTGATCGTCTTGGATGGGTTAGACGAATGTGGCGATCTAGGGGCACTTCAGTCCCTAATGAAGCTCGTGCTTCTACTTGATGAGCTCCCTCCAATATTTTCTGTACTAGTCAGTTGTCGTCCTGAGCAGGAAGTCGTTTCGGCTTGGAACCGAGCCAAAGCCCGGGATGGGAGCCTTGAGATCCCATGCGAAGATGTGGATAAGACCGAAGAGGATGAAACACTATACACGGTCCGTTGTATGGTCGATGAAGGACTCCGTGATTGTATCAGGGAGTCGGCATGGGAACCATCAGAGGAAGACCTCGAGGTTTTCACTTCAGGCTGCCGTGGATTACCCGTCATGGCTTCGATCCGAGTAAGGGAGGTCTGTGCTCGCACTCAAATGGGATCTTCCCTCAGACAGGAGTTTGACTACTTTCGCGACCTTACTGAAGTACCGAATGATCTCAACTCGGAATACCTGCGCATACTCCGGCGGGGCTATGTGTCCCATTTCTCAGGTGTTCGTCCCCGCGTGGCCAATAACTATCGCCAAGTAGTCGGGATGATCATCGCGGCGCAATCTGATTATATACTTAAGATCGAGTCTATGTCGATTCTCTTAGGAATTACTGAGAATGACATCGACGTGACATTGAAACCTATCAGCTCAATAGTCAATATTCCCTCAGACAACACAGAGCCGGTCACATTCTACCATGCAACTGCGAAGGAATTTATTACAGGTGCACCCATTGGCGAGGAAAGCGACAGAGTCTTCTTTATCAGTGACGTGAAGGGATATTTCCTCGGACTACCACTCCTTCGACTTGTGAATGGTACACTTGACCGGAATGAGTTTGATATCCCCACTGAACTTCCCTTAGGGGATAAAAAGAAGTGGACTAATTGGAATAAGGATCAACCAAATCATAAACATTTGCATGTCAATTATGCATTGGATTGGTTGACCGAGCACTTAGACCCTTCACTCCTCTTTTCACGAGAGTCCAATGAATTGCAGAGAGAATTCAGTCAGCTTCTCACAAAGCATTTACTCTCGTTCATTCATGTGGGTCGTTTCAGCGGAGACAGCTGGGATCCATTCGAAGTAAGCCTAAATCAATTGTATTCAAGGACTTAAAATTATGACATCACCCATACTCCACAGGGACATGAATTGATGCAACTCTGGGAGGCTGGATTGGATTTGCAATGGAGAACCGATAGCTTCGATAAATACAATAAATACAATGTGTATCGATCCCACCTCCCATTCACTCCGTCATCATCACCCATCTACAAGTTGTACGGTCACCTTGCAGATCCCATTCGAGTCTTCAGCATCGATGGCGAGTTTGGTGGTCACGTCATCCCATTAAGTCAGGATGCACTTAATGCTTTAAAAATCACGGAGGCGAAGCTGAATGAGCTTCCAAAGAAGGTTGATAGAGGACGTCACGACACTGTGATCGATTACGAAGCCGAGTTCTGTGACCATAATGTCCGCAATGGCATTGTGACCTGTGCGACACTCTCCCCAGATGGCCATTTCATTGCCCTTGGTTTTGGGAGTGGTGCTATTGAGATTGCCGACATCGACCATTGGTGCACGATCTCCCAGTTCCAATGCAATCCCCCTAGCCATCTAGTTTGGATCAAATTCTGCAATGGCAACCACTGGATTGCAACTGAGGACAGCGGTGGAAATATCGTTATCTTTGGCGATGATATCCAACCACTGAGACTCGGTACCTTGCCCAGCGGCCCTTATCCTCCTGTAGCTGCCATTTCCGACAGTGGGTCTATGGTCCTACGGGCCCCAGGGGAGTTGCATGAAGGCCGCAACGACATCGCACTCTTATATATTTCTTGTGACCCCTCCATTCAGCTTCTCGCATGGCCTCCCTTGGAATTCCCTGAGATTCCGACCATTCCTAGTCAGTATAGGCTTGGATTCTCACCTGGAGGCCGATATGTTGCTGTTCACTTCTCCCATAACGTTTTCGTCTGGTCAATTGATTCATGCAAGTTGATCACTCGATATCGCTTCCCAGATTCTGTGGGGTGGGTTCTCAGTGCTGGTGTTGTACCCACCGGTTCATATGTCACTCCTGAGCCTGTACACCCTCACCTCGCCACTCCACCCAACCCTGGTTTTGTACGAAATTCCCGGAGAGATGTGGGGCAAAACACGGATGAATCCTGGATGGAGTGCCCCTTTTACGGTTTCGAGGCCGCACGCTTGTCTACCATCATTGAACACCTTTCCTCCACCATAGGAAGAGTTCCGATCATTGACAAAGATGACATTTGGTTCAATGGAGAAGTTGAACTCATCCTCCCAGCTGAGTGCTGGCCAACTGACCATAGTAATGGGGCCTGGTATGGCGATCGAGCGCTGAATGGCGATCCTCTTTACTTCCCTCCAGCTAGCAAGGATGGTACTCGGTTTATTGTCCAAGGCAAGATGACAGCCCCAATCATCATTGACATCAGCCAGGTCGTTTAGTGCGGTTTCTATCATTCTTCTCTTCACTCGATGACATAGTGGTGCATTCAATTTTATCTGGGAAGGTCCGGATAATTACGTCGTTTTAATAGGTAGTAGTCCCCAATTTGCTGCTATACTCCAAATGAAATGGATACAAGGATTGTGCTGAAACATCTCCAGTTCATTATGGGGTTGCGGTAAAAGCACACTGGCCCTCCGAGTGGTACTTTCGTGGGGTTGCCTCCATCATCGATACTGATATCTAATCATGGGGGGTAATATGAGTAAATGCCCCTATGCTAGGGAAGAAGGGACAAAGAGGGTATCCAGGCAAGCTCTATTGAGTCATAGTTGATAATCCGGACGCAAGTGGCATTGCCATCCCCTCCCTGCACGGGGGATATCAAGAACACACGGTCCCCTTCCTTGGCAGAGGATATTGAGACCCCTTCAGCGTTCCTGCAGCCCACGATAACAGTACAATGGTCCAGGACAATAGGAATGACGCTCATTCAGCACACTTGCCGAATTTCATGGCTGCCTTGAACCACAGAGTGCTGGCCATTCAATTTACGCCAGTGGTATGTCTGTCAGGGACGCGTCCGGGGTGGAGGGGGCCTGGCTGTAGCGCCTGACGGAGGGACCCTCTCGGGGGACGAAGCGGGCACGCGTACTGACAGGCCCGATCTGGGACTGTAGTCCCTGGCCACTTAGACTGAAGTGGAAAACGTGAATTGTTATTAAAAGGAAGCACTACACTACTTACCTGAAGTGGAAAACGTGAGAAGAAGGTTACTTCTTCAGTTCCCACTTCAGGTACATTTATGTACATGCGGCTTGGGTCACATGACGGGTGCCACATCATCTACGGAGATAGCCGCGGCCATCCGGGTATCCCCGTGGGGGATCCCAAGGGCGTCTGCTGCAGGTGCGCATGCTGGGCGTAGCGGGAAGTCGTCCGGGGTGTCTGAGCCGGACGGGTCAACAGTACAATGATACAAGGGAAGGTGGTCCATGTAAATAGAAAGAATAAACAGAAAGGGAGAGTGAAATAAAGGAGAAAGAGGAAAGAGGGAAGAGGGAGGAAAGGGAGGAAGGGGAAGAGGGGGAAGGATGGGTAGCGGGGAGCGGGTGAGCAGGTGAGGTGGGCCCAGGTGGGCCCGGGTGGAACTGGGTCAGGCGGGTGTGCCCTGACAATGTCGCTCAGTTCCGTAGCACGTGAACTAGAATGTTACCTGGCGATATGCGCCTATAGTATACATGAGTCAGATACAACGTACGTATCAAGACAAGGGATCGAACAAATTATTTCACCTCAGTTCCATAGTACGTGAACTGAGGAAAGACATAAAAGATAATTTTCTCACTTTATAAGCGAGGCGCTTTGAGTAGCGCACAAGCTTTTAAATATAAGGCTATGGCGCGTAAGTGTCTCAGACTCGTGTTAGAGATCTATAAATTGTATGTACCTATGGCACGTAAGTGTCTGCGCCAACAGTTAGACAATTTTTGTAAAGAATAATAAAATCTATCTCACCTCAGACTCGTGTTAGAGATCTGAGGGAGAGGGAGTCCAAAAAAACTCCCTTCTTATATGCGAACTACACCAGTGGCGAGCCCGTCGCATAAAGAAGAAAAATGGGGTGCAAAAGACGTGCCCCAAAACTTCACTTCCGCCACCAACAATCAACACCGTCCTCGCCACTCTGTCGTTGGAACCGATTGTTGATATTCCAACACAAGCATGGTAGTAAAGTTACCAAGAAAGGTAATACGACGCCGCAGGCTCAACTCCATGAGTCGGGTCACAGCGTAC